GGGGTCGAAATGTCGTAAACGCACGGAAAGACGAGTGTATATTATGTGTCAACATACTGGCGAATTCAACATAATGAGAAATACCAGGCGGGATTTTTTACGACGCCAACACGAAATTCATTCGAATCGAGAGGTACTGGTCGACGAGTATTTTGTCTGATGCATTATCGATTATCTCCGTCTTCTTCCACCTTCCTGGACGTCAATGCGGACCCTTTTCCGTGCCGATCCCGTGGCCGATTACGGCACCAGCCGATTGAATCATCGGAAATGCATATCATGTCATCTCTGTTGCACCACTAGACTCCAACAACATTGCTTTCTCACATCTCGCTGTTTTTTGTGCCTAAATTACTACCCCAGGTGCGCATGAGGGCTTGTAACTATTACAATAAAAACCCTACCTAACTACTCGCACTAAGACACTCGTCGGAGTCAAGTCCCTCCATTACCAACATGTCTACCACGACAACATCTCAAGTGACCCCGCTCCAAATAGGCGTCGAGGCCCCAAGGCACAAGGAAGCAGGAAATGCTCTGAATACGATTGTGGACGGGGACGCTCCAATCCGTTTACACGAGGTTCCCACATTCACCGACAAGTATGAAGAGCGCACATGGGCCAAGCAGCAGATGGCTGGTGCCTTTCGAATTTTTGCCAAGTTAGGTTGGGCCGACGGTGCGTCCGGACACATCAGCCTTCGAGGTGGGTGAATAATGAACAAATCCAAGCCGAGAAGGTGCTAAAATTATATTTCAGATCCTGTACGGCCAGACTGTTTCTGGCTCAGTAAGTCTTACCCGCATAACCATCGATATGCATGCGTAATAACAAGCGTGACATGGCAGACCCATATGCGATGCACTTCTCTACTATCAAAGCGAGTGATCTAGTCCTGGTAGATGAGGAAGGCAGACCGGTCGAACCAAGTCCGCACAAAGTCAACGCTGCCGGCTTTATTATCCACTCAAGCATTCACAAAGCACGGCCGGATATCAATGCTGCCTGCCATCTGCACTCACCTCATGGCCGCGCTTGGTCCACTTTTGGCAGACCTATTGAAATGCTTAACCAAGGTACTGTGGACTTAATGTCATAATCACGATGCGGGGAATGTGAACTAAGCATCCCAGACTCATGCATGTTTTACAATGATCTCGCCGTTTATGAAGGGTTCGGAGGAATTGTTCTCGCCAAGGAAGAAGGCCAACATATCGCCAACGCCCTTGGCCCGGTGAAGAAAAATGCTATCCTCCAGAATCACGGGTAAGATTGAAATTCAAACCTTCTTAATTCTGAAGTGCTGATCTAACTGGCTGGCTTTATCAGTCTTCTTACATGTGGAGAAACCATAGGAGAGGCTGCTGCTTTCTTTGTTGCTCTCGAGAGGGCTTGTCAAGCACAGCTCTTGGTCGAAGCCGCAGCGGCAAACGGCATTCCTAAGAGATATGTTGGTGACGAGGAGGCAGCTTACACAAAGAAATGCTCCGGGTCCCCAGCCTGTATGTACATGCAGTTTCTACCCGAGTACAATGCCATTTTTCAGAAAACAAATGGCAGTTTTCTTTCATAAAAGTCTAATCCAATATCTCTTTTTCATTTCATTCTTCACATGAGTATATCTATATGTTGATGTTGAGTGTCATTTCACATAAGCCACAGCAGCCAGAACTCTGATGTGCGCCTCTTTGATTCAAGGTGGGCAAAGATGCAGGAGTCAACAAATCTGACAAGTTTATTGTTCGAGGGTATTTGGATATCATTGAAGAAAACTAGGTGTATCAGTGTTGATTCTTTTGTTGAGTAAATAAACCACCTAATAATGGTAGAGACTGAAGTCCTTCAATTATGAAAATGTGAAATATGCTATGCCCGCACCCTGACCAACGCCTCGCAGTGTCATTCATGTAACTGAACAGAAAAAAAAAGGAAAAAAGAATAAAATAACACGACATCACCCAATGCGAGGTTCGCTAATGTTTGTCGTGCTTCTTGTTGCGGTGCCTAGGCGGAAGACGTCAGCCAAATATTCTTGCCCGTACATTCTACTAAACAGAAACCACCAAAAGACTCACTTCTTCAGCTTGCTCTCGAGAAAGTTAGCGCCTATCGCGCCAGCAGCAGCGCTGGCAAGACTGCCGAACATACCGGAGCCTGCCTTGTGGGCAGCCCAGCCGGCAGCACCACCACCGACGACGGTAGCACCGAGACCTCGCTCGCCTTCGGCTCCGACCACTTCATTCTGAGTCTGATAAAATCCGGGAGCCGGAGCACGGTAATAGTCGGCTTGTTGGTGGTATGGAGGAATATATCCACCCTGGCCATGGCTGTAGGGGCTGTTTCCCAGAGAGTATGAAGTCTGGGAAGCGTAGATGTTAGCAGATTTGATCAGAAACGGGATACATTTAGATAGAGAGTATTCCCCACCCTCTGGGGCTGGACCTGGGTGTAGGTGTGCCCATAATATCCTTGGTTCGACATGACGACACTGGTGTATTTGATGTTAAGTGAGAGCAGATGTATTTAGTTGATGGTTTCGCGATGTTGGAAAATGAGTAACCTGATTAGTTTTGTGGTATGAACAGGAGAGTAGCAACTTGGGAAAGCATAAGTAGGGAAACAGTTCTTATTTATTCTATTTGCCACTCACGGTTTGAAGGGCTCACCCTGCCACTCTTTCGTACGGATGGACGGGACGATTCAATCAATGCCGTGCTAGCCATAGCTTTGCCCATGTGTAGGGGGCGCAGCGGGCCACATGCTGACGACTTTAACTCTGTGCCTTCTGGAAATTACCCACAATATCTGGCTGAGCCCATGCCATTCTTTGATCAGCACACGTCACCAAGGCCTTTAGGGCCTAGAGGACCATTGGAGGTACTTCTATAAGCCGCTGACTTATTCAAGTAGTAGGTATATTTACCGTCTTCTGGGCAGATTCTGTGCGATTGAACACGTACACTTCAGGCGTGGCTTGGGGCAGTCTGTCGATAATTCCACTCTGTTCACCCATTAAATGAGTCTTCGTCCCGTTGGGTCCGGCAGATCCGGCACGCTGGCTCCCAGCCCCTCTTGAAGCTTAGGTAGATACAAGTATTGCTAGGCGGACCAAATATCGAACTATAATCGCAAAAGCTCAACGGGAATAGCAAACAGGTAAAATCCCTCATATACTTCCCATATTCGTCGCAAGCCTAGGACTGCGTACTATCTGGTGACCACCTTATATACATGCACTATCTGATCTCCACGTGGTATGGAGCAATCACGGTGAGAGTCGCTGGGCTCAATGGTCGGGGCTGTACAGCCGGTGTCCCTTGGGATAATTAGGCAACCATTACCATGGATAAAAGAGTTGCCTAAGACCCATAAGAAGGAATGGGAATGTTGATTTGGCCCTTTCATCCCTAAGCCGGTCGGGTGATATGAACCCAAAATCGAATATACGATTGACAGTCGTTGTGAAGGTATCGTGGGCTTCATTCAACAATGGATGGCTCAAAGATCGGGTCTCTGGATTACTGCATAAGTTTTTTCAATTGGAGTATCCATGTGAGGCTTATTTAGTTAACAAATGCAGTACATTCAATCTCGACATCAGTACCCAAAGGCAGCTGGTGAACAGCTACACATGTCCGCGCCTGCGAGATGTCCTTGTCAGTAGATGGCGCTAACTGTCAGGCATCAATTGAGAAATCAACATACAGGCTTCGGAGACCAGGTGAAAAACTCATCGTACGCCTCGTTGATTAATGAGAAGTTTGCCATGTCGGTGATAAAGATGTTCACTTTGAGAACATTGCGCAAGCTGCTACCGCCGGCTTCCAGCACAGCACTGATGTTTTTCAACGTTTGCCTCTGGGTCAGAGTTAGAGAGATATTTCTTGATCAAATAAATATACACGGGCTAAGTGCCGTGATAATGGTAACGTACTGTGCGATCCTTGGCGGTGCCCTCGACGAGCTGCAGATTCGTGCCAGGAATAGCTCCAATATTCCCAGAGCAGAAAATCAATCCATTGTATTTTATAGCCTGAGAAAACTGCGGTAGAGGCGCGGGGGCAGCAGTTGTCGAGACCTGCTCTACTTTACGCTCTGTACTGGCAGACATTTTTTATCGTGAGATGAGTTTGTGACGTGGCAAAAACGATCTGGTTCCGGAATATTTGAAAATATATCCAATTATATAGAAAAGTTGGTTACTGCAGATCAATCCAAACTTTATCTAGACACACTTCGCACAAATGACACAACGGCCGATCATCGGCCCGCAAAGGGCGTGGTTGGATTTATAAGCGAGTCAACAGGAGGATCGAACCAGTTGTTGCAGATCAAGCTAATCATTGGCTGACAACGTTGCATCAGATGATGAAAGATGCTGGGAATCGGAAATAATCCAATCGGAGTGGTTATGCTGCTCGCCGTTGTCGGCATTGTCGGAGTGAACTCATAGGGTAGACTCTTTGAATAGAGTCTTTTGGAGCAGACTCATAGAGGCTGCCACATGTGCTATCTGACTCATCCGAGGAGGAGGAGTGCCGTCTCTAACCGACCTTCTCGGGTTATAATTATACAATAGTACAGACAATCTCAAATGAAAATGTCACTTTCCAGATCTGTTCCCAACCCAAAGACACAAAGATACCAGGTTGTTCAAAATCAATCTCAAGATGAAAAACGTGCAGGAGTTTAAGATTGATGAATGGAGTGCGTCCCCCATAAACCAAAGCTCCTCCTTTTTAATGCTAGTGCAGATACTGACATCCGAGCAGTTCGATCTCATGGTGTATGCCCAAGCCTTCTCCTCGAAACCCACGACTTTACTGACTTTTAGTTGAGCCATCGAGTAAATATGGACTTGCGGGTAAGAGCTCCACGTCGAAAACATAGTGTTGAGAGACTAATGATGTCTACAGGATCTTTCACCTCTGCTCTTTCGGTGCAGGACTTGAAGAGTCTTTCAGCAGACCCTGATCTTGAAGTAATTGATTCTAATCTCAAGCTAACATATGGAGTTTCACGCGGTTCGGTGAAGCTTCGCGAACAGATCGCCAAATTACATTCCTCCAAGGAGAAACAACTTACCGCCGATAATGTTCTCCTCACGCCAGGGTCAATCATGGCAAATTTCTTGCTCCTGGACACCATATGTGGCCCAGGGGACCATGTAATTTGCCAGTATCCTACATTTGGCCAGCTATATCTCGTCCCAAAGTACAGCGGCGTTGACGTTGAACTTTGGAAGATGGATGAGGACAACGAGTGGCAATTGAAGATCGAAGAGCTCTCATCTTTGATTAGGCCGAACACCAAGGCAATTATCCTCAAGTACTGACATATTGCCCAGAACAGCACAGTATGCCCAAATCACTAACAATAATGATAGTAATCCGAATAATCCGACAGGCGCTGTTCTAGGCAAAGATTTCCTTGAGCAAGTCATCAGCATCGCCAGCAAATCTGATCTCGTTGTCTTCTGTGATGAGGTCTTTTCTCCCATGTTTTTTGACGACCCCAAGCCCCCATCCCTTGTTTCGCTTGGCTACACGAAGGCTGTCGTCACGGGCTCCATGTCCAAGGCATTTTCTCTCCCTGGCATCCGAGTGGGATGGATAGTAACGGAGAATGATGAGCTGCTGAAGAATATAGCTATGAAGCGAGACTTGACCACGGTCACTGTGTCGCAGTTGGATGATTGTGTCGCTTCATTCGCCTTGGATCCTTCTGTATTTCCGAACCTCATGCATCGCAATATTTCACTTTGCAAGGAAAGCCGAGCACTGCTTGAGGACTTCGTGGCAGCAAATCAGGGATATGTCACTGGGATGACACCCGCAGGGTCGGGAACGGCATTCATCAAGGTTCTCGATGCAGACGGCAAGCCAGTCGACGATTTTGCTTTCTGTAAATCGTTAGCAGAGAAGGAAGGTATTTGTGTTGTTCCGGGGGGGCACTGTTTTGGAGAGGGCGATGGTGATTTCAAAGGTTACTTTCGGATTACGCTTGGCACCCCGGATGTGCTCAAGGAAGCTTTGCCTGCACTTGAGAGGTTCATTCGACAACGTTCGTTTTAGAAGAGTAGCTAGCAGTACGTTGCTCAAGCTGGAGAGAAAGGGGCGAATTGACACACGTATTCACATGAAGATCATGTTTCTTTCCCCATGAGCGTACTTTAAACTCAATCCACGCATTTCAAAAGTATGCCTGCCAGACACCTGCCCTTTCACCAGACTGACATTTGATAGGGCAGTGAGATGAAGTCTACGAAATCTTTTGACTTATTTATTACAGAATAGAAAGTGTTATAAAACGTACATTCTCTAGTAAAGAGCGCAAAACACCACAACTTGGAACGACCAAGTTTGCTGCTTAGCACTCTCGTATGTTTCCTCTTAGGCCAGATGTAAGAGAGGCGCGCCGGCAAAAGCACAGCAATTTCTACCCCACCACAAGGGTTGTTAGAGAAGCGCCATATTTGCGATCGCGGTCGCTTACTTGATTGAGACGTGGATCTACGCCGAAAAGTATGACTCAAAGAAAAACACTCCGAGCGGGGTTACAGAATTGATCATGTCGTGCATTAAATCCGGAGTAGTGAGGGTCATTCCATAGAGTCTTCACCGCTCACCTCGCATGGAATTAAGTTTTGCTTGGATGTCTTCTTTCAATAATAGCTTGACTACCTATTTTTAGACAGTGCTAGGAAGGGCAAAGCCATCCGCAGCAGATGGTGGTGTGGTGAGCCACACGTTAGGAAGCGGCGCTGGTGGCTGTGCCCGGCTTCTCGCTGACAGATTTGTTAGCGACTGCCGGCTGTTCTATCTTGGTAACTGGGCGATGGAGGAGACTATGCCACCTCAAGTTTAGCACACATCTAATCCTGCTAACTCCCCAAACTTTGGGGGCCGTTCCATCAATCTAAGTCAGATTGGCGCTGTCTGATCGGCCGCCGCATCTATCGGAAGCAGGAACATCCGGGGGCGCGGTCGCGATGCGCAGCAAACCTATTTTCAGTCCGTCAAGAGGCTTCACATGAGATGTGTGCAAGTAATGAATATATATTAGGTGTTGGAGTTGCACAATGTAAACTTTTTTCATTATCAACTTCAACTTCAGCTTCAGCATCATCAAACAGCCATTTCTCAACTCTTTCGCTCTTCATTCTATTTTCCAATTAATCAATAATTTGAGAGTCTCGCTTTTCTCCATCTTCTAATCACCACATCCGCCACTCACCACATTTACAATGGCTTTCACCAAGATCTTCGCTGCCACCCTCCTGGCCTCTGGCCTGGTATCCGCTGCTCCAACCCAAACTATTCGAGCAACGCCCTCTACCACCGTCTCATTGACCGGCGTTACCCACTCTGTCACTGCCGGCCTTGGTGGTCTCAACTTCTCCCCCGATAACGTTGTCGCTGAGATCGGCGATATCGTCGAGTGGCATTTCCTCCCCGCCAACCACACAGTTGCTCAATCCTCATTCGCCGAGCCCTGCAAGCCCTTGACTGGCAACACCGGTTTCTTCCCTGGTTTCAGCTTCCCAACGAAGGAGAACCAAGCTCCCCAGGTCTTCCAGATCGTCGTTGAGAACAAGAAGCCCATCTGGTACTACTGCCCCCAGACGACCGGCAACCACTGCCAGAAGGGCATGGTCGGAGTCATCAACCAGAACTTCGACAACCAGCTATTCAGCCTTGCTAGGCACCGCCAGCTTGCTGCCAACACCACCGTTTCCATCATTCCCTCCGTTATTCAGGGTGGCGCTGTTATCTCCAACCCCAACCCTAACGGAGGATTCTAAGACTCTTCAGCATGGCATTGCATTTTACACCTCGGCATTAGAGCGCAATAGAGCATAATGGGATAAAGGCATTTTCGGTATAGATGGCATTTTATTCATGGGTTGGAGTTTTGATAACTGTTTTCTTTTTCTCTTTTTCTTACATTCATTCACATATATTGTTAGCGGTTTGCAGCATATGCATATATTTTAATTCATAGCATATTCTGATATAGAGAAGCATTTATTCAACAATTTTTTATTATTGTTCAATAATTGTTCACGCACTGCATCATTTGAATGCCACATATTCATATGAAATTCAATCAAGTTGTCGACTGGGGCCTCCTGTGGTCACTAATTGCGCAGTTTCTGCTACCACAATAATTGTCGGGATCAGTTGACTACTGCATATTCCGGTTGATAAATAGTCTGATTTTAATGTCCAGGATCTTTTGCAAAATATACCAAACCCGCACCAAACAGCATCATCAAGAACAATGTTTACCCGAGTAGTCATTGTCCGCCTTGGAAAACATTCAGTAGATCATCTTGAGTTTTGAGAAGGCTCAAGTGTTCAATGTTATGTATTAGCTCTTGGGGCATTCTTTTCACCAGTCCAAGTTCTTATGGCGTTATAAAACTTAAACAATCTTCTAAGCAAACTATCCCAAAACTATGGGATCCATGAGAAGGAACGAGATCAGTGGACGCTGGCTAAATGTATGGAGGTACTAACTGAGAACCTTCCAACGGCTGAATACGCAGAGTTGGCTCCGATCATCATAATAGCATGGCGTACCAAGAGGTCCATTTCCAAAAATGAACGGAATGTGTTAATTTATTCCATATCTGGGTGAATCACATACTTTCCCGGAAAAAGAAGAGAAAACATAGACGCTATGGATCAAGAATCAACTTTAGCTGAGAGACAATTGAAAGTCAGGCAGCCCCCCTTCGGTCCCTTCGGAAAACCAACCAGAGCTTACAAGCTTTCGCTTCAGTCTTCAAATGTTTGAGTTACATATGTAATGATCAAAAATAGAAACGTGGAATCATTAGCTGGTCAGAATGAACAAAATCGCCGTCGCGACGCGAGAAAACGCGTCAAAATCCAGTCTAAAAATATACCCAATGTCCACCTACCCTATTAGAGTTGTGTCTAAATCATGAAAGTCAAGATCGCATCAACATTGTTTAATATTTCAATTTAAGTACAAAAGCTCATATATCAAGGTGAGAAGAAACAGAATTAGGAGGAAATAATAAAAGTATTGGTTCAATGAGTGCGCTAAAACCATCAGACGCTGGATGTTGGCACGCACATCATGCAGTAGTTGGAACGTACCACACGAGAAGGAAACGATTTATTTTTCGGTGCTTTTACTACTACAGTGCCTATCGACACATCACCATTTAATTTATATTAATCATCTATTGAATCTAGTAATATGGGAACATAGATATGAGAAAACTGTTAATTGGGGCCTAGGGTGAAAGGGATCACAGGAGGTCGAACAGAACACTCTCAAATGTCGGCTCTGTAGGTTGTCCATTTGCGTGCATGTCTCACATCTTGGCCAGACTGACATGCCGATACGGGCGTAAGACGCCAAGGAATTTATCACTGCCCCAAGCCGCTACTGACCAAGAGGGAAGCTTGTTTGCCGGTCGCTTACAAAGGGTCTGCCAAGCGATGCATATTTCAGGTGGAAGAATTGCAGCCGATTCTTAGGCAGTAGGATCAAAGAAGGGACAAGGCAAAGGAAAAAAGCCGCACATCGTTTTTTGTTGCTGCATCTCGCGACTGATCCGAGGCAACGGTTAACTACCTACCTAATACTGGGATGGAGGAAGGGCAAAAACGGCGGAGCAGCGCGGTAAAAAAGCAATCTTAATTTTATGCTAGATTGGCCCTGGGCTTGCTAACCCGAATCAACCTTGGTGCTATCTCGACGTGCCCTGGCCAAGCCACGGAGCGTCTTTTCCTCCTTCCGAATGGAGGTTTGGATCACTGGCAATTGGCTCGACAAAAAGTCTAAACGGAGGAGAAAGCACGGATTTGATCGGTCTGGGATGCGGGGAACCAATTGATGCATGCTTGGATACGCTTACCGCTTGGGACTTGATCTTAAAAGGTGGGCAGAGTTTCCCCAACCGTCCAGGTTCGCCCTCTACCTCCACATCTCGGTGGGAACAAAAAGAGACTGGATTGATAAGTAGGTAGCACTGCCTATCACGGGACATGTCGCACCTGCCCGTCCTGGAATGGGACAATTCATTTCGCAGTGCAGCCACCATTCTTGCTCGGAGAACACGAAGTCCAGAGATGAGGTGCCAAGTTGAGGGGTAGACATGGGATGGACCAAAGATCATGGAGATGTAAAATGTGTATATGACCACCGGTAGCCCAATTCCACGGGGAAAATTTCGACTCCATTAGCTCCGCTGTGCTGTAGACTTTCTTTCCCTCGCGGCTTGTAGATACAGACCGTCTCAATTCCATCTTTCTACAATGCGCTTCACATCCCTCGCTGGTGCAGTGGCACTTTCGGCGGCTGTTCCCACCCTCGGGAAAGAGCTCCCCAAAGATGAGCAGCGTGCAGCTGGTAAGTATATGGTGATTGTTTTGATGGGCGAGTTGGCTGACCGTGACGGCGGGATACAGAGCTTTACGACTCGGGCTATATCCACGAGAAGCTGATCGAAACGAAGATTGTACGTTTATCATTGGCGTTTACCAGATCTAATGGCTAATTGGCTGACGTGAACAGGCGCACTGGGAAGCTGAAGAGGCAGCCGGGTTGATGGACTCTACCCAGTGGCCTCGTCTCAACTACACCAAATGTATCAATGGAAAGGCCGAGGCCGTCCCCGGCAATCCCTTGTTGACCTTCAAGTGTAAGAATGTATGGAGCTCCACTCACATTGAAGGGTGTACCGAATCAGATGGATTGACAAAGACGGTAGATTGATCTGTATGATTTTATTAATCACGTTACGCTGGGCTCGCCCAACACGGATTATCGTGGCAAGAGTGGCAGCTCCTCCTGGGGCTGGACCGACCCTGAGTCTGGTCGTGAATTTATCGGTATGTGCGCTTTTGATGGCCTCCCTTGTTGCGCCAGTAATGTATTTATGTGCTAATTTGCCATTAGCCAGCGGCCTGTACGACGGCGTGTCCTTCATCGAAATTCTCCCCGAGGGTCGAATGCTTCATCTCGGTTTTCTGTAAGACAACCCTCCCAATGCGTGCACAGAGGCAGTATTGCTTACCGCTGGTATGAATAGGCCAAAGTTCGCTCCCGTTGGAGATCGCGCGTACTGGACCGAAGTCCGTTCGTACAAGCATTACGTCGTCATTGGCAGCGAGCTTGAAGGCAATGGTATCCAGATCTTTGACATGACCAAGGTACTTTCAATTCGGCTCCATCCGGCTCTGGCAAAGGATACTGACCATGACTGCAGCTTCTGAGCATCAAGCCCGAGGATGCCCCTGTCAAGTTCGACAATGCCAAGGACCTGACGGGTCACTACAACTCGACCATGCCTCTTGGCCGCGCTCATAACGTTGTCGTTAATGAGGAGCTTCAGTACGGCGTCGCTGTGGGTGTCACTCCTCGCGACGAGGCCTGCAAGAGTGGTCTGCACTTCTTCAGCCTTGAGGACCCTAGCAATCCTGTCGCCCTGGGCTGTAATGGCGACGACGGCTATGTCCACGACGTAAGTCCGCTCACCCAAACTTCTGTTGTCAAATAACATCTTCTCACTCACGCTTGATAGGCGCAATGTCTCGTCTACCGCGGCCCAGACGAGAGATATGTTGGCCATGATATCTGCTACGGCTACAACGAAGACACCCTTACTATTTACGATGTGACGGACAAGGCCAATTCAAAGGTCATTTCACGCACCTCGTACGAGGGCGCGTCCTACACCCACCAAGGCTGGGTCAACGACGTCAACTGGCAAGAGTACCTGTTCCTAGATGACGAGTACGATGAGTATGACGCCTCCGGGCCCGGCACGGACGGATACCCAGTGACATACATCTGGTCGATCCACGATCTCGAGAAGCCCAAGCAGACGGGCATCTGGAAGGCCACGGAGCGGGGCATCGACCACAACCAGTACGTCGTCGGCGACCTCATCTTCCAGAGCAACTACGGAGCCGGCATGCGCGTGTACGACATCTCCACGGTCCTCTCGGACCCCACGGGCTCGGGAGTCTGCGAGGTGGCCTTCTTCGACATCTACCCGGAGGACGACAACCTCCCCGGCGGCGGCACCATCGCCTTCTCGGGCTCCTGGTCGTCGTACGCCATGTTCAAGTCGGGCTTCATCTTCATCAACACCATCGAGCGCGGCGGGTACCTGGTCAAGATGAGCAAGCGCGAGAAGTGCCCGGCCAAGACGTGCAACGCAGACAACTGCCTGCGCGCGATGCGGTCGGAGCAGAAGCTCGAGGAGAGCCGCGAGTTTTGCGGCGAGTTCACGTCCGGGTGGCATGCGGACGTGTCGGCCGTGCCGTCCTACGTCGCTGCCGCGTGCCCGACCAACATCATCTCGCGCGCGAGCTCCGCGTGCTCGTGCCTGCCGACCGCGACTCCCACAGCTTGAGGTGGATGAGACGGGAATGAGCTGTGGGTTCTCCTCACTGGGATAGCTGGTTGTTCACGACCAAGAATAGATGGTCGCTGCATGGTAGCCATGTTGCTGGAGATGAGCTTAAATTTAAAAAAGGAGCCAGAATAATTAAGATGTGAATAAAAAACCCTTGAGATAAATCGACCCCTTTGCAAATGGCTGGCATGTGAACTCATTGATGAGATCATGAGCATGGACCCATGGGAAGGCCAATGGAGGGGAGCCCTGCGCGATGCGACAGTTTTCGGTGGCAAACGGAGGCTCCCAGGTTTGTCGGCAGGTGGTTGGCCCATCAATCAGTGTTCTAAATGGGGACACCAGCACAGACCACCATCGCCTACCTTCGGAGGATGGGCCTATCACTTTTTTAAAGCAATTGGCAATGAGGGACGGAGCAGCCTTAGCTAATTCTGTGGTGACAAGGCCTCCTATTGGCATGAGCTGGTCGAGGCTGGTCTGTGTGTCTCATGGTGCCCGGCTGGAATCTGGATATGGTGAGCGTGTGAGTAATGCTGGAGCACACGATTAGCGGTAGTGGTGCACTGACATTGATGGAGATGTACAGCGGGTACTGAAGGGCTCATCTACTGGATATTGTCGGTGATCGACTACAGCCAGCTTGGGCATGATGATGTCTGGTGTTCATCGTCAGACATTAATGTGAATAATTCCAGAAAAAATACAGAAAGCATCTCTTGCCTCACATTTCCCTAGACCAACTATTCGAGTACATGGCAGAAAAAACTAGGCTTGCTGGTTGGCGTGCCTGACTGTCTACAGTGTAGGGATCCTTATCCCTCCCATCGGCGCGGGTGGAGCACCCATGCTGGACGTCAGCTTCTCCCTCCGGCTGGGGACGCTGTATACATGACAAGAACCTCTGCTCCGATGGAGAGCGACTGCAGGCTTGAAACAACCGAGCGAGTGTTTCGAGTTTAAGCCCGAAAAAGAAGAATCATGGGGTTGCCCGGAATTCATATAAGGCTCGCCTTCGCCTCCCGTTCATCTCGATTCTCACCAAGCAGACTCAACACTCTTCACTTACAGGCTAAGTTGCTCAACACTCCGGACTTACTGGATAAGTCGTGACTTGCTGGAAAAGTCATCAAGGGGATTTTATTATTATTTAATTAATCAACCACCACTTTGCACCCTTATTTCTTTTGTTGTTTGTTCAATTCTTCGACTTCAGTCACCCACCAGCCTTCAGCATGTCTTTGATCAACACCCGAAACCTCACCTACTATGCGCTGGTGCTGGCATGCGCCATGCCCCACGCGGTGAACGCAGCCTACGGCGAGGTCGACACAGAAACCCTCCGCCTTGTCCTGAGATATCTCGAACAACAGAGGAGAGACGACTCGCAATACATCCGCGACTCGCCCTACCAGGACGAGGAGACCGCGGGCGAATCCCCCGTCGAGAACCAGCAGACCTTGGACACTCCCAGCACTACGAGCTCAAGCCCCAAGGCCAGCAAGACCGCAACCACCACACACTCGGGTGTCAAGCTGCCCAAGGCCGCCATCATCGGCATCGCTGTCGGCGGCGGCGTCCTGCTCATCCTCTGTTTCATCCTCGTCTGCTGCTGCATGCGCCGCAGGGGCAAGAAGGCCCAGAGAGAAGCGCAGGCCGCTCTGACAGAGAAGGAGCGGGATCTCGAGGCTGGTTCCCCCGAGATGGGCCAGGAGAACGGCTTCACCGCACCACCGCATCGACCTCGCCCATCCCACGGTCAATATGCCGAGCCCTACAACGAGCCACACTCAGCCGGCCCATACGGCGATCAGCCGTATGGTCAGCAAGCATGGGGCAACCGATTCTAAGTCCGCCATGAAGTGAAACGGGGGTTGAGGCGAACTTGCGCTTCAATCGCCACTCTCCGAGCTTCATGACACAAGCGACTAGATATCGTTTTGTCACATATTTGCTTTTTTATTCAGCCTTTTATTATTTTTCACTTCTTTATTTCCTTTGTCAGATCTTCTTTATCTTCTTTTCTTCTTCTTTTTCTACCTCTGGCTGAGGCGTTTCAATGCAAGGGCTTGCAACATGGGCGTTGAGTTGATGATACCATGCGATTATATACCATTTAGAACGAAAGCATGCTGGCCATGCACTCATGCTGGTCATGGAATGAATAATACAATATATTTCATAAACATATTTTTCCTTCGTGCCGCTGTGACAAAAACAGGTAGTAATTTTAAGATTTACGGGGTCGAGCAAGCGCATCTCAATTGATGAGGAACACTCGACGTCCAAGTGGCAAAAAGTGACGAGAAGTCTATCAACTCATCCAGCCGAGAGGAATTGGAAGCTCAGCACATTTTCGCCACTCAGAAAGACTTCTGTTTCTCTTCGCGCTGAACGGCGGATGTTTGTGGGTTGGTTGTGTGTCTTGCCCGTCGCCGGACGGAGGAGCAGACATGGGCTTACACCCCAGCAGGAGGCTGTATGACAGTTGGAGTTTTACCAGTTGGTGCCTACAACAGGCCTGGCTAGAGTAGGTAGCGATTAATTCTCAAGATCTGTATTCTTTGTTTCAAGATTAAGGTTATGGTTATGTGCCCTTTGCCGTGTGCTGCTTCTAATTTTCAAAGCTCAATTGGTTGCAATGTTACTACAAAGCCGGCTTTCCATTCAAACTGTGCTGCGCAATGGTCCTCTCAGCAGCAGTCAGCCCGACTTGGTACGCAGTTGATTGAGTGTGGGCGCTGTATATCTTATTAGCATCAAGGTCGAATGATAACGGTGGAAAATGCAATATAAATTGACAATACTAACCTCGCAATTATGTGCCTCACACCCAAGCCCACGATCCGCAGTCCACTCACACTATGTTCCATAGCTTACTCTTGTTTACAAATTGATCTTCTGAGAGCTGTAAGCACAACGGGTAGAGAGTCACTAATTTGATCGCTAACTTAATGCATTCTGAACATTGACTGCCTTTAATTGAGTTGGCACTGGATCTACCCGTAATATGATATGAAGGCTGGGCGAGTTTCAACTCTGCTTCACACACCATTACCATGTACCTGCGAAATCCTGGCCATCATGCCCTCGCACAGCCTCCTCACCTCTACCGCCCCGTAGGTCTCATCCAGCAACTCCAGCACTCCAATTGCAGTGATCTCGGGATCCCAAGCGTCCCTCAGGATGACCGCATTGACGTCCGCACCGCCATCTTCAAAGAACAGACGGACAATCTCGGCCCAGCGTGCAGTCCCCTGCGGGTCGATGTCGTAGTAGTCAATCCACTCTCTCCGACGCGCATCTCGCAAGCCGCGCAGTGTCGCTAGCCACGGCGTGTTCGGCTTCCCGGTTATGAAGTCTTGGTACACATGATTAGGCCCCCGATTGACGGGGCTCGAGGTTCCGAGCAACCCCAATAATCCTTTAATCATTTCCGGGTCAGAGACCGGGTAGATTGTCTTGTTACGGGAGCAGAGAAACTCGACCGCGTGGGTGAGCAGCGGAGTCGCCTTGTCCATCTCTAGGATCTCCTCGTCCGTGAAGGGCTCTCTAGCCTGCTGGATCCGGGTGGCGACCTCCTCGCATACATACCGCGTGAGCCCAAACTTGGTCGCAAGGCATAGGAATGGCTGCCATATGGGCGCCGCCTTTGCGCGGATCTCGTACGGGCCAAAGGCGTTTCTCGCCCAGTGGTCAAACGCATCGTCTGGCTTCGCCTGCCAGTACCACGATAGCGTCTTCTCCATCTCATTGACGAACGGGCGCTGGAGGCCAGAAGGGTCGTTCCCAATGTACCTCGCGTGCGTCATGGCAAGCGCTATCTCGGGCCACCAGTCGTCAAGACGGCGGTGCTTCTCGATCTCGTCCACCGGCTGCTTCAATCGCAGGATGTACGAGCGGAGAAGGCGCAGGTGCGGGTCGAAATGAGATGGTCTCTGTCCGACCAGACGAGCCTGGACCCCGTCGCCCTCCATCAGCCAATCTCTCACTGTGCGATGGACGTAGGTCACTCTTCTCTCCGCTAACGCGGCTTCCTTCGTTGTTCTTAGGTTACCGCCCCGTCTGCGTTCATGGAGGACGAGCAGACCAGAAAAGCGTCGGTTGATTCGATGTGCCAGGGCTTTGCAGCGACTCTTTATGTCTTCGTAGAATACCTGTTCGACCTCCAACTCTAAAGCCTTGCCGTCGTCAGAGTCATCAAGGGCAAATATGAGCTCCCACGATGTCAACGAGTTTGAGGACTCATCGTGGAGAAAGCTAGCGACGATCTCGCGCGCCCGGATGAGCTCGAACAGGGCGGCAGTCTCGGCAATCTGAGACGCGGCCTGGTCTTCGAAAACGAATTTGGTAAAGAGCGCGTCTAGTTCTGTCGGCAGGGAGTGCAGAATGGAATTGAGCTTGCCGGGGTCAGAATGGTCATCAAAGTTCTCGTGCAGCCGGTTGACCGCGAGCCTGATCCAGAGAAACACGCCGTCAGCTCGCTGCACCATGTCGTTGACGAAATGGACGCCTCCTTCACCCATTTTCGCCAGTGCTTCACGGGTAGAACGTTGGCTGTTCAATTTCTCAAGAGCGTAGGAGAACATGTCGCCGACGCTGACGTCTTGGAGCTTGAGGTTTGGGACAGCAGTCTCGAAAGCTTGCTCGAACACTGCCCAGGGTCTCGATGAGAGGCAGAGTTTGAGTGACTTGCCATTGGGCCCCGAGCTGATTTCTTTGAAGAAATCGATGATGGTCTGGTGATTTCCCTCAAACTCGTCTAGGCCATCAATGAACAGACAGATCTTCGTCTTCTGCTCTATGGCAACTTTTAGCAGAGCATGGAATGCATTCATCAGATCTTCCACGGGCCAGTCTAGGACCATCATGATTCTCTCCTTGGTAGTTGTATTGAGAAGCTTGGCCCAGAGGTCGGGGAACGTTTTTGGGATCAGTTCAAGGTTCTCCGATAACAGTTGGTACAGCAAAGAGCGCAGCAACCCTGCCTGGGATCGTTGGTCTCTTGACCCGCTGGTCCAGAAGAAGAAGCCAGCCTTGATTGGGGTGTCTCCTCCTGCCCATTTCTTCAGAAGAGCAGTAGCGATGGGATGATGAAATAAGAATTGGGTGAGTGTAGATTTGCCCGAACCTGGCTTTCCGGTGATCCAATAAATGGGCCCCAGATCATCTGTGCGAAGCCAGGAATTCAAAGCTTGCGATACCTGTCGCCTGGACGCATCTTCGAGTTGGTCCTCAAAGATCCAGTTTAGGGTTTGGAAATGTGCCTTGGTGATCTCTTGCTCTCGGTCATGCATGCTTTTATAAGCCAGCCCCTCCAGAATGAAGTCGTAGAGAATGTTGAGGGGAACTCGAGGACGGCGACTGCTGGGTATCGGCTTTGAAAAAAGATCTTTGGCGCTCTTTGTTTTTTGAGCTGGAGTAGGGTCACTTTGGCTCGGTAGCTCAATTTCTTTTGTCTCCTCAATGCCATTTTCGAGGGTCAAGGTAGACAATGTGAACCGGCTGCTGTCTCTGGTGATAGCGAGTTAGAGCTGGGTAACTGCGAATATCTTTACTAAGGGAGCTCACAAAGCTGAAGGCTGCCATTGCAACAGCAAGTCTCCAAGCCGCTGTCTCAAGGCCTTCACATCATCAAATGTCCAAAGCACAGAAAGTTTGGAGGTGTCAAGATGCAAAGCAGAGTCTTGAGATTCTCCTACGGCTTTATCGATTCGCTCGAGCCGGAGGAGAAGATCGAGACCAATCTTGCGGCAGGATTGGGCAAGGTCCGGCTCGGATTCGGCTGGAGCGCCGCCGACTGTAGCAACAACATCGGGGCTGCCAAGGCTAAGCCCGGCGACGGCGGCATGCAGTTGCTGTTGGATTGGAGGGAAAGCAAGCTTGACTGGCTCCGGGCAACCTGGATCGGTATGATGGGCTTCCCAAGTGATGTTGCTGAGCTCGGTTGCGAGCCCGAGCACCTTGGAGACGGCGTCATTCACAACGGTGGAGGAGGCAATCTTGTCTGCCATTTTATAACATGTAATGGACAGACACCTAGTTCAATTCTACGTGGTTGGGACAGCTATATATGGGATTTTACAGCGGAAGAAGTATGGTGGTAGCTATTGATCGCGCAAGACGTGAGGATATGCAGCGGCACAAGCGGCATGAATGAAGGAGGAGAAATGGGGAGACGAGAGGTCTGGGGACCTGGGGGATTTATACCGATACGAGGTGTCATACGAGGGCCCTTTGCAGGCGGCAAGATATTGCCGACAGGGCACCGCATCAGCTTCCTTTATTGGGTCCTGGCACGCATTGATCCTTCTGTATTGGTGCGAACCTTGAGAAGCCATCACCAACACAAAGCCGATGGGGGATACGCTCATCGCGAAGGTTTGGAACTTGTGTAAATCCATATCTATTGCTATATTGTGTCTAAATATACCAAGAATTATTCTATTCCTCCTGTACTTTCCCCCAGCCACCACCTCCTGGCGTCTTGATGATGATACGATCCCCCTTGTCAAACTTGGCCGTCGCCTTTCCCCCGAGGTTGATGACGGACGCTCCCCCATTCCTCACCCACAGGTTCTGGCCCATGCCGCCGTCCTGGCCGCCCGCGTAGCCCCTCGGGGCCCGCGACCGGCGCTCCGAGAGGATCGAGACCTGCACGCCCGGCACGCGGAACTCGATGTCGCGGACGATGCCCTCGCCTCCGCGGTTGGCGCCCGCGCCAGCAGACCCCGTCCGGACGCCAAACTCCCGCAGGAGCACGGGGTACCGCTTCTCGAACACCTCCGGGTCTGTGATGCGTGTGTTGGTCATGTGCGTGTGCACCGCGTCGGTGCCCTGCCAGGTCGGACCCGCGCCCGCGCCGCCGCCGATGGTCTCGTAGTACCCGAACCCCTTTTCGACCGTCTCCTCGCCCTTCTCGTTGACGCTCTTGCCGCCGATTCCGAAGGTGAGGTTGTTCATGCAGCCGGAGCTGTTGGCGCAGGCGCCAAAGGCCGTGAGGATGACGTCGGTGATGCGCTGCGAGGTGAGCACGTTGCCGCCCACGACGGAGGCGCCCTGTGCCGGGCTCAGGATGGAGGACTCGGGGATGCGGATGTCGATGGGGTTGAGGCAGCCCTGGTTGAGGGGGATCTCCGAGGCGACGAGGCTGCGCAGGCAGTAGATGATGGCTGAGTGTGTGATTGCCTGGGGGGCGTTGGTATTACCGTAGACCTGCGGTCCGGTGCCGGCAAAGTCGAAGACGGCGGAGCCGGCGTCCTTGTCGATGGTGATGGAGAGGCTGATGGGCGTTCCGTCGTCCATATAGTCTACCGCCTTGAGGCCTGATGCCGGCATGTTGGCGTGCATCTTCTTTAGTAAAGAGCGCACCGCCTGCTCGGCGTTGTCCTGGATGGCGTACATGTACTTGTGGACTTGAGGGAGTGTGTACTCCTGAACAAGGGCATGGATCAAGTTGATGCCTTGTTTGTTGGCTGCCACCTGCGCCTTGAGATCCGACAAGTTATCGCTCAGGGTGCGGGTGCCAGATCCTCCAGGGATCTTGGCCGGTTCGTGGAGGAGGATCTCGATGACGCGCTCCTCGTTGAATCGTCCGTTACTGACAAGCTTCTCGCCCAAGATGGCAGCGCCTTCTTCGTACAACCAGTGAGAGTCGGGAGGCATGGAACCGGGACGGGTGCCGCCAATGTCTGCGTGATGGCCACGAGACGCCACGAAGAAGATGATTTCTCCCTGGTTGAAGACAGGCGTGACAACTGTGATGTCAGGTAAATGCGTGCCACCGCTGGATGGATGGTTGGAGATTAACACGTCTCCCTCTTCCAAGCGACCCTTCCATTGATTGTACAAGTGCCGAACACAGAATTGCATCGAGCCGAGATGAACAGGGACATGCGGGGCGTTGGCCACAAGGCCACCATCAGGCGAGAAGATTGCGCAAGAGAAGTCCAGTCTCTCTTTGATGTTGGTGGATACAGAAGTTTTCTGCAAAGTTCTACCCATCTGCTCGGCTATGGACATGAACCGATGTCCAAAGATGGAGAGCTGGATCGGGTTGACAGCTTGCTCATCCTTTTGCGATGACGAAGTGGGATTTGCTGACGCCTCGTCCTGGAGCTCAATGAGCACAGAACTTTCCAGTATGATCGCAGTAGCCTCTGGTCTGACAAGGATGGTCTGGGTCTTGTCTAGAATCAGAGCCGGTCCCGGGATCCGGGTGCCCGGCTTGAGGTTCTGAAGCTGGAACAGATCAGTGTCGATGCTTCCCTCCCCAGCCACGAAGAACACCTTTGTCTTGGACTCGGGCACCGGGGCGATCGCCTCCGTCTTGGATATGTCCATCAACTGCTTGTACGGGCTCTTCTCCGCATGTTTTGACGTAGAGCCGATGGCACGCACACGGTAGTCGTCAATGAGGATTCTCTTCTCTGGGAAGATGAAGCCAAACTCACGGGCGTGCTTCTCCTCGAACTCCTTCAAGAAACTGTCCACGCCAGCAGTGGTTTGTAAAATCATAAAAGCAGAGTTTGAGCCCACGTATCTCATATTCAGATACACCTCCAGACGAACGTGATCTTTGGAAATGCCCTGGCTCAGCATATTCGCGGTCGCCTCGTCCGAGATCTCCTTGAGGGTCTTCTCGATTGTTGCGTAGTTTTGTTCATTAAAATCAAGGGCGGCCGGCTTCTGCACCTCGTGGACCAAGTCCGCTAGCGAGAGACCGTATGCTGAGAGAATGGAAGAGTACTTGTGAATGACCACCTGAGTGATGGACAGAGCATTAGCAACGTCGCACGCGCTCTGGCCGCCGGCACCGCCAAAGCAGGAGAGGAGGTGTTCAGAAGTATCGAACCCACGAGCCTCTGTCAAGGCGCGGATAGGTCGCGCCATGACCTCGGAGGCGACCTGCAAGAACCCCAGAGCGACGTCCTCGGCAGTGAATGCATCTCGCCCAGCAGCCCTGTTGTCAGCATTGATTTGGTCTGTCAGCTTGGCAAATAGCTCGGCTACGATTTCGGTGCCCAGCGGCTGGTCCTCGTTGGGCCCAAAGATCTTGGGGAAGTATTCAGGGACGATGCGGCCCAGGAATAGGTTTGCGTCTGTGATTGTCAAAGGGCCTCCCTTGCGGTAACATGCAGGGCCGGGATGAGCGCCAGCAGACTCTGGGCCGACAGCAAAGAGTCCGTTGCGCCAGAAGAGCATCGAACCGCCACCAGCTGCAACACTGAGAAGGGTCGAGGTTAGTATGGATAATCAGAACCGTGTCTAGACACTCGAAGGGAGGGGGGGCCTACGTAATGATGTCGAGCTGTGGCGATTGAATTGAAACACCAGCTGTGGTCGTCTCAAAAACATGCTCGTAAGTGCCGGCAAAGCGAGAGCAGTCAGTTGATGTACCGCCCATATCGAAGCCAATGACCGGTTTTCTCTGGTCATCATCCCAAGAGGTCTGCGCATAACCGACTACGCCTCCCGCTGGCCCAGACAGAATGCTCTTCAAGCCACTGAAGCTCTTGTAGTCAACCAGACCACCATCAGACTGCATAAAGTCGCAGCGAAGCCCTTCGGCTTCCAACCCTCCCTGGAAGTTCGCTGAGATGGAGTCAATGTATGATTTAATAATAGGTGTGAGGTAGGCGTCGGCGGTGGCGGAGGTGCCCCGAGGAACAGCTTTGATCATGGGCTGGAGGGCAGCAGATTCTACAGCGGAAAAGCCCATTTCCCGAGCGACAGCCCCGACCTGCTTCTCATGCTCGGGGTAGACGTACGAGTGCAGAAAGACAATGGATAGCGATCTGTACCCTTGATCCCAGAGGCTTTGCAGTGAGCCACGGACGGCTGTCAAGTCTGGCTTCTGCAGCACGCGGACCACCTCCCCAGTCTGACCCAAGCAGAGCTCAGAGTCAGAAGCCACGTCAATCTCCTCCGGGTACGGGTTCTCGGAGTAACCCTCGAGGGTGATGCGCTCATCTACCTCTACTACGGACTGGTAGAGGAGCTCGGGCGTTTCCACCGTCAAGTCGAAGATCTTGGGTCTCGACTGATTGCTGATACGCAGAAGATCTTTGAAACCCTTTGTGATGATCAGGGCAGACTTGGCTCCTTTTCTCTCCAACAGGGCGTTGGTGCCGACTGTGGTGCCCATGCGGATGCGCTCGATGGGCGTGGTGTCTAAGGGCTGCCCTCGAGGCTGGGGCTTGCCTGTGATGATTTCTAGGATGCGGCGGACGCCCTCCGTAGGCGCGTCATTGTAGTTGGCCGGGTCGACAGACAGGACCTTGAGAATGATGTCGTCTTGCCCGGGGACTGATGCGTGGACATCTGTGAAAGTACCACCCCGGTCGATGGAGATCTGCACCCCAGACATGGCGAGACTGATGCAAAGAAGAGGATGATATGATGGGATGCGGGGGAATTATGAACTGTAATGCGTAGGATCAAACAACCCTTTTATTCTCTGGCTCTGGGTCCGTTGTGCGGTACGGCAGAAAACCGCGCAGTTGAGAGGAGCCAAGGAGAGATGATGCCACCGGGAAGCGACTTATGTACAAGTTCTCTGCACTGGATGAACCGCAACTATTAGCGACATCGCAGGCCTGTATTTATGTGGTTTGGCGACTGATGCCGGTGGCGGCTCCGCTTTGACCCCAATTTCTACTCGGCGACGGATCTCCGTCCCGCCTGCGCATGTTGTTTTGAGATCGGCAACTCGAGAAATGCCGAGACTGGCCTGTCTTTACTGCCGGACCGGCTTCCCAAGAATTGCCAGAGAGTGTGTTAAAACGGCGGACAAACACCGCCAGGTATATGGACATCACCGGCTACTAGCACCTGGATTCCTTATTTCTCCATGCTCTTCTATGTTGCACTTTTACATTACAAATCACACCATACCCCAAACGGCAGCCTTGGCTGTCGTTTAAGTTTTTGGTCAAGTTGAATGGCTTGTTCTTCTCTGTAACTTTGGCTTCTTTTGTACAAAACACAGGCAGTTTTAAAGTAGCGCTAAGTGTTGAAATCAATCATGAGACTTTTTGAGACATAAGACAGCTATCGTGAAGACTTGGCCTCAATTTCAAATGCAAGGAAGAGCCGTCGTCGAAATCTCTTTCCCGCTCAGAGTAATTACGGTGGCCATGGCCGGAACAGGGCCGCCAACACACAAAGTTATGAAGATATCGAGTGTTTGAGGCTTCACGAGCGTTAGCTGGTACGATACTTTGAAAAATAGCTTCGATACGTCAGTGGACGATCTTGAATATCTGGAACCTTGGTGTGGATAAAACGCTACTAATAACTCGCAGTGTGTCTACAAATCCAGCCCGTATAATAATTCGTAAACACCATATTTGACGGCGACAACATCTTTTCAGTGGTCATTCGGTTTAGTGACTCTGTATATGAGTGTAATAATGTGCCTATCCAGATGGGAAAATATTGCACCGCCCTGCACAATGTTCCTCATCAAGCTGATCATTCCCTCAATTTCCTGGAAAACACTCGCCAGAATTCGTGTGACCAAGACCTGCATATTCAGTCAATCAGAGAGCGTCTTTTATAAATAGCATTGGAAGCACAGCCGTTGGGTTCCGATGCGAAAACTGCAGCTTTGAATCACTCCAATGGGCTGTACTTGGCTCTGTGTGCGCTTACCCCACCCACTTCTTCGTTGTCACCTCCTTCTCCCAAGTCTGTTGGGCACTATTGATTCCTAATCTGATTTCCATTACTATAAAAGAGGTCAGGATATGCTCGAAAAGGTTGGAGCACGCTTTGGATTTTCAAGCATGGCGACAACAAAAACAACCCCGTCCGGTAGTGTGCCTACATCGGCCCAGGCCCAGAACACCCAATATCAGTGGGAGTCCAAGCCACAACACGTCCTTCCCAGCGCCTTGAATGAGTCGGTTATCGATAGTATGCTCGGAAATAATGTGCTCGAGACCGGCGGTGTGATCCCGCAGGAGCAGGAGCATCTATGGGCCGTTAAGCCGCCCACTTCAAACGAGTTCCTCGTCCCAGGGAGCCCGAAATTGAATAAAGTCGATGTAGTTCATGGGCCAAGGGCCCGGACACCACCACCGCTGTTGTCCCACCAGCCGGTGTGCTTCAACTCGGAGGAGGAAGAGTACGGATATTACATAGCCTCCGGAGACCAGTTAGAGCTTGAAGATGGGTTTCTCTTGTCCCAGCTTGGCGACGGCCGAGACCCGTCTGTGACTCAACAAGCAACAATGAGATACTTGCCTGACCCGTACGGTGAGGATAGTGACGAAAGGAATAGGCTACAAAATGGGGGAGAAACATCGTTTGGAGGCTCACTGGAGTTTTTTTGCGCTTCATTTCTCGAAAGTTGGGATGTTGGGATTCAGCAGACTGTTGAGACAATTGGTTGTGACAGGGAAACATCGGGACAGGCATGGAGATGAAGCACGGAATGTTTCTAGGCGAGTGCTCAAGTAGATAGAAAGTCTTCACCTTTTCTATTAAGATTAATTATACGTTCATGCCTTCTGACTCATATAAACCAGACATGATTGCGTTGGTGAACAATGATCAGATCCTGCATCACGTCTTCCGCACCTCTTGTGTGGGTGATTATAGGAACCTCAAGAACCGAGCAACGGCCACAAACAGCAAGGCAAATCCCAGCATGAAGCCCGTGATGCCGAAAAAAGGTGCCAGGTTGTTGCTTGATGAGCCGGCCCAGGGCACAGGCACATTCATGCCGAACAGAGAGCTCACGAGCTGCAAGGGCACAAAGACTCCTGCTAGAAGCGTCACTTTGTTAAGTACACGGTTGGTCATGTGTGCCTGAGAGTGGTTGCTAATCGAGAGCGTCGCGAGATAGTTGCTATGGGCGCGAGCGAGGATGGTCTCGAAGTGGCTGATGTTGGAGGTCATGGTGACGACGTGATCCTGGATGTCGCTCAGATACATGCCGATATCCATCCGGGGCGCCATTGGATAGTTCTCATTGCATCGTTTCGTAAATCCCCCAAGCACATCTGCTTTGCCTGCCAACAGGCGGAACAGGGCCATGCAGTTCTTACGTGCTTGTCCAATCCGCTTGAGAATCGTGTTCTTGTCATCGTCCCGCATGATGAAGACATCGTCGTCAATGGAGTCCACTTCGGCTTCCATTCGCCTGATGACGGGGCCAAACTGATCCACGATGTGATCGCTAACTCGCCATTAGAAAACGGGTTCAAGACAGGATGCCATGAAATACTTACACAATCGCATAGCAGATCCAGTCGCTGCTCACCGAGACAGACCCCTTCAAAGCCATCATTTTATTCCGGACGTATGACGCATGGGCGTTGGGAACAAAGCTGAAGCTCAGCACACCCTGCCGAAAGATGAGAAGATAAATACTGAAGCCCTGGTACTCAATGCCGCCATCCTCTTCCACGGCATGGAAGGACTGGAACGAGGCAAAGTAGTAGGAATTGAACAGCTCAACCTTCTCATGCGGCTCGTTTGTAATTATATCCTCGACCGTCAAGGGATGGATTCCAAAGGCTTTCCCAAGCCCCTGCACTTCGGCCCTCGACACATTCGTGCAGTTGAGCCACCATGAACCATCTTCATCCACCGACTGCTCAAACAGGCTCCGTATAGTTTCACCGCACGGGACCAGATCGACCAGCTCAGACGCAGACAGCGTTGAATCCGACGAAGACGAGCAGAAAGTAAAGCGCGATCTTTCGATCTGTGCCGGCGGTATGATGGACGGCTTCTTCTTCTCCTCGAAATCCGGTGAACCAGGCGGTTGCATGAGAATCAAATCGCCCTCAGAGTTGGTCGTGAATTTCTCATTGCCAGACTGAGACCTGCGCAGGTCAGAGAAGACTCTGGGGGCGGCATCCGAAGACAGGCGATGATTCATATGCGCTCCCGGCTCGGCGTGCATGAACTGTTCGAGAAACTCGAAGTCGATGCAGAGCTGTTCCTTCTCCTTTGCGTATTCCCCATCGGCCTCGTCACGGTACTCGTCGCGATCTTCGATGTTGGGGAGATGGATGCCAGCGTCGTCGACCGGCGCGACACTCGGATGCCTGACCTCCTGGCCTGGGGAGATACTTCGAGCCTCCGAAATGGACCCAATCCGAGCTAGGTGTTCCTCGAACTCGGACCTGGCCTCGCTGCTGAATGTGTTGCGCCGCGAGCGACGTCGGGACGCAGCAAAGGCCTTGACGGAACTGGGCGGCGAGGCGGATCTGGGGTCGCTGATCTCTTTCGTCCAGGTGCCTCGGCGGACGCGAGGGGACAGCGGGTCGACATTGTCGTCATCGTGATCGTAGTTGTGAACAACGGCGTTCTCGAAGTCGCGGACAATGATGGCGGGCGATGTTCGTCTTGTCGGCGAGGGTGTCGGAGTGCGAGCGTTGTCGGACGCAGGCCGGAGAGAGGCGTTTCCCTCCGCGGCCTGGAGGCTTCTTCTCTCGGAAGACATGTCGGTATTGTTCGTTTGTCCAGAGACAGCCCGGATTTCCCAATTGCTCAAGGCAATTCCAAATCACTCCCAGCTCTTTAACCCATTATTCTGCAGATCTTCCCAGGTGGTGTGCAACGAGAGAACATGTTGAGCATGGCGCGATGCTTCTAGACAGGCGCCAAGGTAACTATCTGTCTGTACGAGCGGGCAGACGCTGAATGCGACGAGGAATGAAGACGGCGGTAGCGAGCACAATTAGTAGGCAGAGTGGAGGGGCCGATTGTTGGGCCATCGAGTGAAAAGTTCAGTCGCAACCAGATGAAAATCTCCACCGTGACAGACGCCACGCGGCCAGAGTTTGCGACTCATTCCAGGCGAGAAATGCCGTCATTATTAGTAAGTCGTGGTCCACTGAGGCCTGGACCAAGGGTCCCTCCTGTGAAAACACTGCTGCCGAAATGCCTTCGCAGATGATAGGAGAAGGACTAGTTCTTGATGATGTATCATTTGCTTCCCTTTTGCATTTCATGGCACGTGTAGGCATTGCTGTCTGGGTATGCTGGCATTATTGTAACTCTCACATCACATTCAGCCGCACCGCCGGTAGACTCTTCCTCCAAACTTCTATGCCAGCAAAAACTCTATCACCAGGCACAATATCGGTGGCGGATTTATAGAGTTTAAAAATGGGGAACAGAGTATGTAGAGGAAAGCACCTAATTCTATTGGTGTGTATCCAGAGAGAAAAATATACAAGGGGAAATCATGGCCAAATCCCAGTGGGCCGAATGCCGAATACTCCGTAATATGCAGGCTTGCTCATAAGAAAAAAACTCCCAGCAACCAATCGTGTCCCCTTCCTCGTCCGGGCTCCAGTCCATCATCTTCTACCTTCAATGGGCGGCAGCGTCTCTTCCTTTCCGACCATCATCCGCATGACTCGCTCAGAAAGGGTTCTTGAAAAGATTGCCCTCCTTGGAGCTGGTGTATTTCGTTGCCTCATTGAGGATCGCAGTGACAGCGTTGAGCTTGGCCTTTGTTTGCTTCTTGGTAGTCTTCCTTGCCACCTCCTTCTTGACCTGTGCATTCAGCAGCTTGGTAGTATTGGTGATGAAGTCGCGCAGCTTCTTGTTGACCTCGTCGGTGTGCTCCTTGAGGAACGTGAGCCATAGCTCGTCGTACTTCTGCGACTGGTAATTCTTGGTGTTCTTCGCGACCTCCTCCTCGGCCTTCTTGAGCGCATCGGCGACACGCTTGCCCTGCTTGTAGTAGATTTCGTTGATCTCTTTCTCGTCCATGTATTTGGCCGCCAAGATGGCAGCCTTGACGGTCGCGACGACCCTGTTCTTCCCTCTGAATCCCTTGATGAGGGACTTGATGACTCCCTTCTGCATGATCTCACCCTTGCCGAAGGCCTATTTCCGATCCTCGTTAGAATATGCTGATTGATACAAGATCGTGACGGGCTATTTCAACTTACACGAGCCTTGACTGCATCAATGTTCCTCTCTAGCCTCTTCATTTCCTTCTTGCTGCACGATTGTTAGCTGAAAGCTCATCCAGTGTGCTCTACAAGTCCAAATTGCTGCTCACCCGTCTTCGTTCCTGTTGGGCCAGGCGAAGCCAACAGAGTCCAGAGGAGTCCGCTTGTTTATCAGTATCTTGCTGTCTGCCCAAGTCTCCTTCATGTAGTTGCACATGTTCTTCTCCTGGTTGTCGATCTTGATCTTCTTGCCCTCCATCTTCTTCTCCGCAAATATGGTGAAGAGCTGCCTCTCCAGGACATGCTCGTCGACGACCTTCCTATCCCCTCCCTTGTCGCTACCCTTGTTGGACAGATCAAAGTTCTGGCACTCCTCCCACTTCGCGGCGTCATACAGGTCGTTGCCGTCGGGGAAGTCCGGCGTGGCATACTTCATCTCGGCGCCATCCTTGGCGCAGAACTTGTACGTCGCCGTCGAGCCCTGGCGCCGGGTCAGCGTCCGGTAGCCGCTGGCCAGGTCGGACCCGTCGATGATGTCGCGGGCCATGAGGTAGTAGTGCACCGAGTCGTCCACGTCCTCGGCGTCGTAGCGCGCAAACTCTTCCCGGGCCACGAGGTCGCTGACGCTGACCTCCCTCGTGTCGATGGAGGAGAAGTCGACGTCCCGGGGGTCCAGCAGGTCTCGCTTGTTGATCTCGTTGAGCTCTCTGTTGGTGAAGATCTTGGTCTTGGCGCATTTGACCAGGTTGCATTTCGCCGACTTGGACTTGCAGTCGGTGCCGGAGGATGCCGCCTTCTTGGAGTTCTTCTTGCTTTCTTTTGCTTTGATTGCATTCTTGGAGTTCATTGGGTGGTTTGGGTCGTCGACTCGGATCTTGTCGGTGTCCACGGCGGCCACGAGGCCGAAGGACATGGTGAGTCCCAGCACGGCGAGGTGAAACTTCATGATGGGGACCTTGGTAGTGGTATACCTTGCAATTAGAGGCCTGAAAGAACAGAAAGAAGTTGAGAAAGAAAAAAGGAAAGACGAGAAAACATGCACAAAAGAAGGTAATTGGGAAGCATGATCCGAAGAAAATGGCGGGAGGCTTATGCTTCCTTTGAATTATGGGAGATCACCATCCTACGTAATGCGACTCCAAGCATGGCCTGTCCAACGTTGGGGCGCGACAGTGGACGGAATCCTCCCCTTCCCGGCGGTCCATTTCACATCACATGGGGGTGCTATTTTCGGCAATAGGCTTGCTCTGGAAGTATGACTGTACGTCGCTGAGAGAAAACTGAAGGTAGCTTACATGCTGAGTATAATAAATAGCCAATGGATGTCTCTAATGGCCCACGGTGTCTACCTCGCCGCTGGCACAGTAGCTTCACTGATGATTGTTCCCTCCAGCCTTCAGCTTCTCCGTCTTGGCAAGCCTCTAGGCAAGACACAATGCATGGAATTCGAATCAAGGTGCGGCACAGCAGTACGATCGCAGGTTGATGTACTATGTATTAATATTATTAACAATTTTTTTAAAATCTAGTCTCCGAAGGAGACACTATATTTTCAATCCAATGAGTATTTTTATGTGTGATGGCCGTAAAGCAGCAGCGTGCTTTGTTCAAATCTTACGTGAGACAGCACCCTACCGCGTCTTGTTGGCTCGGGACGAAATGAACACCTTGCGACTTGTTCTTTAAAATGAATGATATTTACAATTTGCATTGCCTATTTCCAAGGGCTATAGAACCCAGCTAACATAATAGAGTAAATACAAGAGGGATCAGCAAGAGAAACACTTCTAATCCAATATCGTATGATGCTATAAGAAGCAAACACCGTTCATACCTGTCAGTCCCGTTATGCTGTTGGTATAAATACCCACAAGAGCTCTAATGCTCGTAGAGGTAATGCTGGTGCTAGTTCATTCCCATGACGGTACGACTTCATGCTTTCTCCTCTTTATCTCAACAGCTCGATACCACTTCATCAGCTTCTCCTGCTTCTCAATCACGTAGTTCATGTCAATCACCGTGCCCATATCCGTTCTTGAATTGAGCACGTCCTCCATCGCGGATGCCAAGAGCTCGCAGTCCCAGCACCCACAGATGCTATAGTCTTTGGAAAAGTGCTCCCGGTACAGCCTCGCGGTCCTCTCAAACCCATCATTCAGCTTGCCTGGCCTGACAGCATCGTCATGGTTGATGAACCGTCCCACCCTGGCCTGGGTATCGCTGACATACTGGGCCGCCGCGCATTGGTGCGTATGCCAGACCAAGTCAATATCTTGCGTCGGAACAACCATCACTGATGGTACCCTCCTCATCAGCTCGCAGAAGTTCTCGTATCTGCCAATGGCCCTCTGCAACGTTCCTTCAAGAGCAGGGCTACGGATCCATAGAAAGTCGTGCATCTCTTCAATAAACTTGCCTTGACGGAGCACAGCATCTCGAAGCGCCGCCGAGAGAGTGGGGTCGGCATACAGAAACTTCTTTGAATAAAGCGCTAGAGTTTTATTGTGTTGTAGGTTGAGAGGGTTTGCTGCACCAGCACTCTTGCCGAACCGAAAATCTTTAAGACCAATGTACTGTTGCTTGGGTGCGTAGACTGGATTGGTAGGCCAGTCCTCCAAGATTTTAAATAGGTCATAGTCCAAGCTCGCGTGCCTCTCGAATTTGTTCTTATCGTCTTGCGAATGCGAGAAGTTCCAACTGTTCTTGTCGATGTGGCTATGGATCGCTTCCCAAGGAAATTTGGTCTTGTAGAGAGATTCCCGCTCGTAGTTCTTACGGAAAGTGGCGGGGTTGAGCAGGAGCGAGTGCCAGACCATCAATATATCCAAAGGCGGGAGATATGGCAGGACCTCGTATGTGACGATGTTGCTAATGAGAGTCTCCCTCCAAGTGAGAAAACGAACAACGGCAAACTCGACATACTTTTCCCACTTGCCCTTGTACCACGCTTCGATTGTAAGATCGTCTGGTTTGTATTTGCTCACATAACCCATCGCCAAACCAATGGGCTTTGAAGATAACACCTGCTCGCGCATAGCATAGAGAACTTCCAAAAATTCCAGATGCGCAGCACATTCGGCTACATTCGGTGGCGTCCATGACCGGGAGCCAGAAGGGCCTGGTGGCTTCTGTTTCAATGATCTGAATATTTCCTCCGAGGGAATATTCACCGGTTCACCAGAACTGTAGATGTTTGGACTGGTTTCTAGTAAGAAGTTATGGGCTGGGTTGGCCATCTGGATTGCCGTCTTATGCAGCGAGGAGAGTGTATCCCGAGGCATATTTGGCCTTGGGCTGTTGTCACTTGGCATCTTGTCTGCATTGCTTATCCAACAGGATTGTTTCCTTAGATTTGAAGGCGTGTGCGCTCTCAGGTTGCATAATATCACTCATTCACAAGTCGGCGATTGATATGAAGGCAACCAAGGTGAGGGCGGACCGTAGCAGAGGAGGCATGATTAATTAAACCCACTCAGCCGCACGAGGAGCCACCAGGGCATCGACAGGCTACGCCCGACACTGGTGATAGGCATTTTCAACGTGCTAACTACTTCAATCACGGCTGATGCAGATCCATTTGGCCTCTGTTCCACAGCACGCAGCTAAAGAGGGTGGATCAAGCCTTGCTCATATGTCTCTTCCACCAGATCGATGGCCTTCTTGACCATCTCACGATCCGTCCGAAACGTCAACTTGTCCAACACGTCGGAATAGCTGAAAAAATGCACTGCAAATTTATCCTTCTCGAGCGACTCAACAGGTGGAATAGTCTCATCCACAGTGGCAGCATACCACCAAATTAGCTTGACCTCGCTGTCGCTACGCCGGCGGATTTGCAAGGCCAGAGGCTCAGTAATCCCCTGGTAGAAACGGGCGCCATCATCCAACTTCTCGGTTTCTACAGTGGGCGGAGAGCGAGTGTGCATATTCAAAGGTAGGATACGCCCAGAGAAGCCAGTCTCCTCGGTCAATTCACGCAACGCTGCTGTTTGGCGAGACTCTCCGCAGTTTCGGCGGCCTTTGGCCAGCACATATTCGTCCGAGTCGAGGACGTGAAGCACGCAAATCTCTCGTGATGCAAGGCGGAACAATATCGCACCGGCGCTTTCGATAAATGCTTCTGACATGTATTGCTCGAATGGAAATCTTGATTCGGCCATGACTAATTTAATTAGCACTGATAGGTAATGAAGAAAAATCCAGGTTGCGTAGGTTAGTATTTCTGTGCACCTGGAGTCACTTAACTGTGTGTGTGAATGAGGTTTGCTCTTGTCTTAGGCAGCAATGCCACTGGCGGATGCATTGGACAAATTAAATCGCTTAATAACCCCTTCTGATTTTATGTACGTAGTCATCAAATGGGAGAAGATGGGCTTTCCTCGTTTTTGCTAACGGAATCACAAGTGTAATCTTTGAACCTTGCCAATGTACGTTTCTCTTGTCTCGCAGGCAGAGCAGGGAACCATCGGCCTTTTTTACAGATCAAGGCCATGTTCTAGACATATATATACACAGCATCTCATGGCAAACTTATGCACCCAGCAAGAGCTTCGAGTTGACCCAAGAGCCACCACCACATCCCTCGCCACATCCTCGTCCACCTCCATCATCACCACCACCTCCATCACCACTGCTTCCACCAACACAACCACCGCCTCCTGAATCACCACTACCTATTCCAAAAGAGCAGGTAGTAGCACGCGCTCCAGGTGGCGCGATATTCGTCGGAGCCGCACACGCACCGCCCGTGTAGGAGTATGCACCACACGCCGCTCCGTGCTTGCCCTTCATCTTGATCTTCTTCCCCGCCCGAGGATTGCTCGGCGCCTGCGCCCACAGTTCCGGGTTCGGCGCACTGCTTTTGCTCTCATCAAAGTAGATCTTGTTCTCGTACGGCGTGAACAGCTTCGTATCCTGCCACCCAGCTTCCCTCTTCTTCACCCTCTCCGCTCGCAACGTCTTGTACCTCCCGACCCTCTCTTTGTAAGGTTCCGCGATCCAGTTCGCGCGGAAGAACTGATGAGTCGCGTACTTGTCGCGGTGGTGGCTGAACGGCTGCGCGCGGTGGGCGCTGCCCATATTAACTCGCTCCTACGCGGGGATATGCTGGAATGTAAGCCAGTGTGTGGTCTTGAGCACGGCTGGGGAGGAGGCCATGGCTTTGTCGATAGTTATTAGAGCGTCTTGGGCTAGAAGAAGGCGCATTCTATTCCGGAACCATGCCGGATTGCGCTTCCTCGACTGCTCCTTTTCAGGGTATGGTCGTCTTCCCGAGGGTAGAGGAAGCTGCCCCGGGAGAGGTGCATGGAGAAAATGGAGAAGGAGTCAAAGGGACTGAGCCAGACATGTTTAGGCAGGTTGCAGTCTCTGCAATGGGTAGCGTATCTTCCGTATGCCTCTGTGCAGTCCCATGGAAACAAGTCCTGGTATGGATATAAAGGCTTCAAGGCTGCAAAGTCACTCCAGTACTCTGAAGTGCTGTCTATGAGACCCGGCTCCTCGTGGCGGCCATTCTGTACGCGCAGGAGATATTCCTCGACGAAGTCGTTAAGTGCTTCGTAATTGGACCATGGGTTTTCTGTAACCAATGGACCTGGCCGACAAGTAAAGCCCATAAGGAGGGGGTAATCAACCGTGCCGGCGCCAGGACTGGGTGGGAAAAGACAATGGAATTGAGGCTGGCCAGGAAGCTTGTCGCAAAAGTCGCGACAAGTTTTACTTGACGAACTTCATAGGATATCAATCGACAAGCCGGGCGATGATGCCTCGGAGAAGGCTTTCAATTCTGGATCCCATCAAGTCTCTCGGCTTCCCGAGGGCAATGTGGATGATAAATGTATCGCCGCCTGCGTTCTCGGCTCCCTTTAACAGGAAATACACGATAGACTCTTCCAATGATGAAACCAAGTAGCCACTGAATGCGCCCCCGACCACTTATTTCCATCATTAATTTGTATCTTCTGGGATTTGTTGGTCGATTCTGCGAGAAGAGAACCCTTTCATCACGCCCAACTAGGAGAATAGAGGGCTCAATAGCGCCTGTAGGGAATCAATCGGCCTCCAACAAGTGTTGAGGCTGCCGTGCCATAATGAGAACACCACCTTAGTACTACACGCGGGTCTGGTATCAGCGTCATCTCGATCACGGCGAAGCTTCGAGGAAACCCACCTTGCAACTCCATTTTCAAACACGATGGGCCTGATACGGACAGCCAGGTGGATGTTCCCAAATGGACAAGCGGTCGACGAAGGGAGGAGATGCCCTGGTGTGCCACCACCGGCACGATGGAAGACGTCGGACCCAAACTCCGGCGTGAACCAAGTCCGTTAGCTCGACTCGTCTTGAGAGGTCAGATGCTTGTAAGTCAGTTCCTTCGAAACAGCAGTCAGTGTATCATCTCCCATTTTGGCGGCATAGTCTGCCAGACTAAGATTCTTGTCATGCTTTTTTCTCGTCGTGTCGAACTTGGCTTCCGCGATGCAGTTCGCAAGGTTCCCCAAGCCGCACTTCTTCTGTGTGAACCTGACCACGGGGATGGAGGGGGCGGAGGACCCTTTCGTCGTCTTCTTTTTTTCATATCCTGCTGGTCTGTACAATCGCTGAGCATGCGGCTCACTTCCAAGGTGACGCCCTCGTCCAAGCACTCTGTCGACGATTCCCGCTCACCTGATCGGGAAAGGAATCGAAACCATGAAGGGGAGGGTCAAGTTCCTCAGGCAAGGCATCGTATCTTTCCTGCTGCCATACACGTAAGGCACGGGTGATGTGTTCCAGGTCTCTTTCTACTGCCGCCCAATAGAGGTCGAGAAGTTGGCTGAGCAGATGATCGCCGGCCGGACCGATCTTCTCGCGGGGTATGGAGAGCGCGTCGGTGATGTGCGGCGGCAGTTTGTTGAATATGTTCTTCAAGGCCGAGGCGCTTCGGAGGTGCGCCTTGACCGACGACATGGCGATGCTCTAATCATCAATTGAGATGTAGCTTCTTTGTGTGGCTACGTGATCGCATTCAAGATGCGGTTCAGTTATAAACAACGACGGGCTTCCCGGGCACAGCTATTCCTCCAAGGTGCATCGCCATGGAGTTGGCACCGCAGCCGGGCGCCAGAATGAGCAAAGAACGACGGCCAATTGGCCCGATAAAAGAGGGGATCATCAACAGCTGAAGAACACCGGAAATGAAATGAAGTATAGGTTTTCAGCTCTCGAGTGATCTTAGCCGAATGCTCAAGCCGGCTCATACGACAGGGCAAGATACTACGACGTGCGAGGGCCTGCGTCTTGGAGCTTGAACAGGCTGGCGGGAATAACTCGTACACATTTTCGAGTGCCAGGCTCAGTCATTTCAGATTCCTTTATTCATAGGTATATATGTATAATTTACCACTGGCCCTGGTTGGCGAGTCGCTGCTCAGCCTGCTGCTGAGCATGGCGCTTGGCCTTCTCCTTGTCAACATAGTCCAGCCCCCTTGTCTCGACCTCGCGGTCGACGAATGCGCCAATCACACCGGCGAGAATCTCCTTTGCGCGGGCGTGGTCTGCGGGCTGGCCTGGAATGACACCTCAGGTTAGAAAAAGCCTTTCGAGTCAAACTATGGTAAGATTGAGGCCATCATACCGTTCCTTGAGACGTGGTCCTCGTAGGCCTTGGCAGCCTCGAAGGCAGCAGCACCGCCGAGCAGCTCGTGCGACCACTTGGCCTCGTGAGGGCGGTTCACGACCTGGTCGTAGGACTGGGCCTCGTGGGAGTCATCTTCAGACTTGTTAGGTGATTCCGTCGAGGATGCTATCTGAGACACGGTTGTCAGGACTCACCGTCGAACCAACCCATGATGAAGATTATGAGGATGAATGTAGGTTTAAAAGTTTATTTTTTTATTTAAGAGTGCGCTGATTGAGATTGAGAGTTTGAGCGATCAATTGACTTCACTAAGTGATGCGGCTTCAGCTTTTATAACCTTCTTCACCACCCTCGAGCAATCCAGTAAACAAGCTCCAGGTATCCCTATTCGCCATCGCCTGGATCTCACGGCTAATCCAGAACGGCCCGTGACGGCATTGGGTACGCGTCATCCTGCTTCATGCTTCAGAGCCGGGTGTTTCAAGGTCCTCATGTCATTCGTACGGCATCTTGACGCCGAAAGGTCCCCACAGAGGCAGTAGCTATTGATGGAATGGATCCTGGAGCTGGAGAGCTTCCGACAGGTGTGGTGTGGCGTCTGGATCTAAGCCGATCGACCCGCTCGTGCCGGTGCCGTGACTACGGTGAAAGGCGGACTTCACCGTCAGAATGGGGGAGGGAGCCCATTGGATTGGGCTAGGCTTGCCATTCTTCCGGTTCATGGCCAGCAAGTGATGGGGAGGAGAGGCCTCCTCGCATTGATGATACTGTCACGCTTGTCGTGGATGGTGCCATCTCAGCTCTGCCTGGCCACACCATCAGCTCCGACCCCCATTTGTCGAGGGGCAAGGAAATGGTAATCGAAGTGCCTCTTTGGGCTGTGCGCTATTTTGGCTTCGGTTCGAGTTTGCCGGCGCATCTCACTTAGGCTCTGATGTCGCTAAGGTTGCCATCGCTCGGGTTTTCGGCAGGCAGTATCAAATGGCAAGCCACAGTAGCTCAATGAGTTGAGCCTGACCAGATCTTCAGGCGGGGAACTAAGACTGCCAGCCGAAGCTTCAGGATTGGCTGGCGCCACGGGATCACTGGCGGCTCTCGTTTCAACTTGAGAGGTTCCCCTCAGTATGAGTGAGAGGACAGCCGTTGCCTTTGATCCACATGTTGCACGCCACGCATTATGAGATGGTCTCGGAATGCCGACCTAGGAGAGCACCCGAGACAAGCATGCACCAGACCTAAGGGCAGATATGGACGATGATAGATTACAAGGCTATGTACACTTAGGTAGGCACGTCGTTGTCAAGTCAAGCTTGTTCACAAATTATATTAAAATTATCAAACGCTTTCGCTATCTCGATATACAAATTTGCCCGGCCGTATCAGGAGGAGGCGTTGCCACTCTTATTGCTCTTGCCGCTGTTGCTGGTATTCCCCTCCTCCTCCCCCGATGACACGCTCACTCTCCGGATTGTCTTCCAGGCGCCCATGCCCTTGTCCGACAGCCTCTTCGACGCCGAGCTCAACAAAGAAATACGCCCAAAATTCAGTGTCCCCACCTGGGACGGCGATGACGGCTCGCCGGTAGCCTCGATGGTCGTGTAGACCCCCAGCTTCTGATCGCCCTCGTAGATACTAGATCGGCTGTTGTTATTGCCGCCGTTGCTGCTGTTGCTGTTGTTGCTATTGGTGTTGTTGTTGATGGCCCCGCTAGCCATGGTGACCCCGTTGGGGTTGTTGACGCTGTAGTGGCTGCTGTACTGGCTGCCGACGTCCTCGCTGCTGCTGCTGTTGCTGCTGATGACCGTGTGCTTCTCCATCATGGGCAGGACGGGCAGCGACGGCGGCGGCGAGTCCGACAGCTTCAGCGAGCTGGGCTCCTCCCTGCGCTTCCTCCACAGCCAGAAGAGGAGGACGAGGATGAGCAGGGCCGCGACGCCGACGCCGGCACCGATGCCAGCCTTTGCCCCGGTGGACAGACCTCCTCCTCCGCTGCCGGCCTCGTCCTTGTCATCGTTGTTTGATCCACCGCCGTTGCTGGAGCCGCCGTTGGTGCCGGTGGTGTCGTTCGGGATGTCGGTCATGTAGTCGTTGGGGTTGCCCTCCGTGTTCTCGATCCCGCCTGTGCTGGACTTGCGCTCCTTCTCGTCGTAGTTGCCCACGCAGTTGAACTTGCCCTTGACGATGTTCTTCAGGTTCTGCTGGAACCAGTAGCAGTCCATCGAGCTGCCGCCGCTGACCTCAAAGTCCCCCGTCACCTCCTTGAGCCCGAAGAACTCGACGTTTGTGAGAGATCCGGAGATCGAGATGGAGTGCACCGACTTTAGCGCGTTGGCGGTGAAGTTGGTCAACTTGTCGTTCTTCTTGATGAAGATGTCCGTGACGGCGCTCACGCGGGGGAGGGCCAGCGTCGTCAAGCTCGGGTTGCTCTGGACGGTGATACTCCCGTTTAGGTTCTTGAGGAGGGGGACGGTAAGGTCCTCGATGGAGGTGGATTGGAAGGCGAGGGCGCCCTTGACGGTCGTGAGGGAAGCCAGCTGGATTTTGCTCAGCGAGTCAAATGTCGATGTCGAAGAGCTGTTGCCGCTGCCGAGGGACTGCAGCTTGGGGAGGTAGAGAGCGGCGTTTGCCCCATTGGAGGTGAAGGAAAAGGTACCGGCTGTCTCGAGGGCCGGCAGTGCGAAGGAGGTGAGGGCCGCGTTTTGGTAGATAGTGCCATCCCCCTTGATGGTCTTGAGGCTTGCGAATGTCGCCTTGGTGAGCTTGCTGTGGGAAGTCAAGGCGAAAGCCTTCTCCGTCGTCGTCAGGTCGCCCACTGTTAACGTCTGGAGGTTCTTGTTCGAGTTGATTGAAAAGTCTTGCTTTACGGAGCTAACGCCGCCGAGGGAAAGGTCGGTTGATTCGAGGTCGCTCACCCGCATCAGCCCACCGACGGTGAGAGACTTGGCATGCTCAACCGTGAAGCTCTGGTATGGTCCGGAGATGACGTAGTTTTTCTGGACCTGCTCCAAGGCTGGGAACGAGATCTGGACCTCCTTGACCGAGCTTGTCGTTCCCGTGACCGAAATGGTCAGATCGCCATCCACCTTCTTCAGACTCTTGGCCGTGGCCGTCGTTTTCTTCGGTTGGCTGGACGGGTATATCACGAGGTCGCCTTCGATGGACCCGACGCTGCCGAGGTCGACTGATGCTTCGCTGGGCCAGGCAGAGGGGGCGCTGTTGAACAAAAGAGAGAGAGACCCATCGATCGCATCGCATGTTGAGACGGTCTTGCTGTCGTCGGGAGCATCGATGATTGTGTAGTTTGACGATATGTTGCAGTCTGCCGTCGCGTGAGGATTCCTCGTCAGCTTCCCGCCCTTCGCCCTACTCTTCCCGCACGCCCCGGAGCTTGTTTGTTTACTTACCTGCAACGACCTGTGCCAAAAGAATGGACGCCGCCACGAGGACGGCGTGTCTCGTGGGAGCCATCAAAGACAATCGGCGTCGTGCCAGCACCGCGAATGGCAGCCGCTCGATGTGTCCATCTAGCGTGAGACGGGACGGTTGGAATGATGGTTTCACAAAGAGAGAGGTGCCCAAAGAGGGGGCGGAAAGGAGAGTAACTCTTGGGTTCTCTTTTATTCATCTCGCCTAATCTGCCAGGGTTGTCAGTCCAAGAGCCTACCAATTGGTTCCTGGTAATTAGCTCACGCCATCAGGGAAGATGCGACACCAAACGGGAAACTAGCAGGGCCAATCTTGGTCTTTATCCCTGTCGGCCATGATTTAATATTATGCATGGGTCCGAGAAGCATGCCGGGACCCGCAAGAGAATGGCAGTCTGAAGAAGATTACTACGGTAGCAATCACAATATTAGCCCAGCGATTGGCATTGTTTGTGGTCTAGACTTCATCTAGCCGCTCAGCTAGACGCTGTTTGTCTGTTTCCGTCGTCGTATTGGCAGGTATGGATTGTAGCGAGACGTCAAGGATGTGCTCGATCGGTGCAACCGCTGGAATTGTCTTAGAGGGAAGAGATGCAGCGCTTACATAGCTGTGATCTGGCTGTGTAGCAAGATGTGCCTCCCATCCAGGGATGTCCAGCATGTGGCAGCTGAGACAGGTCCATCAATGCAGAGATCTCCATGCTCTCCAGATATGTCTGTGCTGCACAATCTGCACCTCGTGTCATATGTCATAACTCTGCTGAGGCTTCGATTTCGATCCAGCCGCTTTTCCTTTTCCTTTTTTTTCCTACATCTTCTCAGCCCACAGTGCTCTAGGGTCGAGAAGAAAAGGGGAAATAATCAGCTTGTCACAAACGCCATCGCCCAGATGTGAGCTTTCGGTTCCCAGATATGCTAAATAAGAGGAGTCATGTAGAAGCCACCAAGCCACAGTTGATGTAATGCTGCTGCGCAGGAGCTTGTGGCGTTCGCCGATGGTCGGCTTGGTTTTGCCCATTATGACTCGTGTCGGTAGTCAGCCGTGATGCTCGGCAGTCAACCGTCGCGCGCGCGCAAAGACGACACTTGTATGACCGGCAATTTGCTGCCTAGAATTACTTGATGAGGCAGTCGATTGGAGAGCTTCGATGCAGCCTCCTCTATAATTCAAGTACAGCCCGTCTCGCCCATCGCCGGTGGCCTCAATTCCTCCCTCCCACTGAACGAAAAGTTGCACATTATTTAGTAGATCCCCAGTCTAGGCTCCCAATATTCCCTCTTCCCTCCACCGTCTCACGAACCATCATGGATGCCCTACTTGGTCCCCCTGTGCCTACCGACCCGGCCGCCGTGCCACCGCGCACGCCGCTACATGGGCGCTACACGTCCCTGGTTCCCCTGGAGCCGTCGCATGCACCAGCCAGCTTCAAGCATCTCGCTGGCGAAGGGAATGCCCAGCCGTGGACCTTCATGTTCGGCGGGCCCTACAACACAGAGGCCGAGTGGCAAGCCGCCGTCGACGGCTGGTGCAAGGCCAGCGACCCCCTCTGCTATGCTGTGCTCGCCAAGCCCACGCCCGACGCCGGCAGCAGCCCAGAGCCGGTCGGGCTCATGTCGTTCATGAACATTGTCCCTGCGCACCGCCGGCTGGAAATTGGGAGCATCATCTTCGGCCAGGCGCTGAGGAAGACGCGCATGGCCACCGAGGCCTTCTACCTGACCATGAAGCACGCCTTTGACGACCTGGGCTACTCCCGGTTCGAGTGGAAGGCGAACCATTTGAACAAGCCCAGCTTGGCGGCAGCTGAAAGGCTCGGCTTCGTCTTCGAGGGAATCTTCAGGTGAGTCTCCGAGTCCAGGCTATTCTCTCTCTTTTCTTTTTCTCGTTTTCCCCCCGAACTGTACGCTATTGCATCTCCACCACGCACGGTCTCAGTTGCTAATCTTCCATTCGTTCCTTCGTCATAGGAAGCACATGATCATCAAAGGTCGTAGCCGTGACACAGCATGGTACAGCATCACCGAGGACGAATGGCCTGTCATCAAGAAGGCCCTGGAGACCTGGTTAAGTGACGATAATTTTGACGAGAATGGTCGGCAAATCAGAGACTTGAAGGAAATCAGAGCATCCATCCAAAAGGACGCAGCTTAGGCTGAAAACGAAGCCCATTCCGGGGTGCGACAAGCCATGCGCGTGCCCCGGGCCAGGCACCAAATACGGAAAAAGAACGCAAAATATCCCGAGTAGACGTGTTCTGTAGCTCTTGTGACATCTACTGGCGTTCGTTGTGTGCAGCATCAGTTCCACTGTCAGTCAAACAAGCCTCCTGAATTAGCAAGAAACCATAAGCGTAGAAGCACAAACACCCTTGTTGATACAGATTTCAAATTGGATTCATCTCTTATTCTTAGCAAATCATAAAACCAGACAGTAGAATATGAGCACAGCAAAATCTCATAGCTATAGGGTATGCAGGTATCAGAAGTCAGGCCGAAACTAACATAACCACATCACGTACACACACTAAATCCAGACATTGATTATACCGTACTTCAGCATTATCAAAAGGTGCACTTTCGTCTTGCCCCCCGCACTCTAGCCCGCTTATTGGTGAAATTCTTGCTGGAGGCCTCCTCATTCTGGGACTGATAGCCCGCATCTGTTGCACAGAGTGAAAGGGTGGTTAGGTGAGATAGATGGCTTAGACTCCTGCAGCCAAGATCAGGACCGGTCTGGATTTTCTCCTGTGAGTTGTGAAAGTAGCCGAGCTAACGTCGTCCAAGGTGACACCGGGTCGTAATTTTCGTCCGGCTTATATGCATTACTATGGCTGCAGCTGCAACGAGAATCCGCCTTGGCCTCTGTTTCATACGCTGTGAGCGCTGTGTGACTGTACGCCACACGCCGCTGCTGGAAGAATCTTTTCAAAACATGTGTCAATTTTATTGGTTTTAATGAACGATACAAAATGAGTGACGGCGCACAAGTAATGCAGTACAAAATGAGTGTGTAGGACATGAACAGCCAGTTCCGATCCCCTCCCTCCCCTCCCCTCCCACAGACTGGAAGCTGCACAACAGCGAGCCTTCCTGCCTGAATGCTGATCACACCCGCTGCTTCCCCGAACTGCAACCAATCGGCCCTAATAACCCAGACGAGTATGTAGTCAGTGTGAGCTAAGCTTCTTCTGGGTTCTCCGTAGGTTGTGGAAGGTCGTGGTCTTCTCCAGCGGCTGGCCCAGTGATCTGACTTGTGGCGACAAGGAACTTCCATTCATGATGTATCTTTGCGTAGCCGGCTCCAACCCCTTGAGATATCGTTGCACTGCTTCGGTATGCTGCCAAGTCTTTCCAGTTGCGCTTCGTTGGGCGAGAGCCTTGATATCCATGAATGGTGAACCATGGTTCGTAGATAAAGTCCACAACGTGTGAATAAGTGAGATCGGCGAATGGAGCTAGCATTGGTTTACGACCAGCCAAGGGAAAACCGTTCACTTTACCTGTCGCGGGGTCTCTCATTTTCATTGTTAGGCTGATTGGTGAATTGATCATGAGAGCGTCCAACTTGATGGCTTCGTAAACCATCCACTCTAGATACTCATGTGAGGTCTTGTCGGGAGCTCTGACACGGGACTCGGATAAAAAGAGAGGTTCGAGATGCTTTGCCAGAATGTTGTAGAGCCGACCTGGTTCGGTATGCCATGCATCCTTATGCATGTCGAAGAGCATGCCTGACGAAATGCGGCGCCAGTTGTGAAAGCGAATGTTGAATGGCGAATCAGCATCGTCAGAGTTCTCTGCGTGATCTGCGGCCAGTAAGCAACTTCTTCTTGGCGCCATGAAACAAGGGGAAGCGGAATATGCACGTACTGCTGTATATGCGCTGCAGCTGCCCGAACATTGTCCAGTCGGGTGATGACCACTTGTCGTGGCAGTCACGCGAGAATAGATTCTCATACAGGAGGTGAAAGATCCATCCCTCGAATAAAGCATTGAGATGTTCTTTTTCGTCGTGCTCGATGTGCACTTTCGCATTGCAAGCCCAGGAACCAATTTCCTTCTGGCTCTCCTCGGAAAGGTCTTCCCACAAGTAGCGTTCAGGCATCCATTCTTTAACGAGGTAGGAAATATTGCACCTCAAAGAGACCCATAGGTCCCTAACGCGGGAATGCTGCATATCGAGACGATCATACACAAATTTTCTCCACATACTCTCATTCTGAATCAGAACGGGTGCAGGTGGACGCGAAGTCGATATAAGCTTCGTGATTGCGTGTTTATCGTCGCTGTCACCACTAGTAATGAAATCAGCACTACCATCCTGGATCTCATCCCCAAGTGTATTCAATGGGATGCAAGGTCTTTTGGATGCGGGTGACCTCGTTGTGGAATCACGCGAGACCTCGCGGCGCTTCAGTTCCCCATCCTTCTCATCGGAAGACGCAGCGGTGTGGTATTCGGGATGCTTCGTGTCCGACATCTTTGCCTCTGCAAGAAACCGTATGTGAACAGGAAGAAGCTCAAGCTGTTCAGAATGGGGCGGGGCAACAAAATACTGGTAGAAAAGTTGCAAGTCTTATGAACAAAGGGGGAGGGGGAAGCGAGAATGACGGGTGGATTTTCCTCTTTGTCAACCTAAGGAAGGGTCGGGTGGCTTGAAGGATCACCGCATAATTGCCCGAGCGGCATGTTTCAGACAAAATCATCCGTGCTGTGCTACCACCACCTGAGGGCATTGACTGTAGGTCTTAGACAGTCATACAGCAGCAGGAAGGGTGTACAAGACGAAAAGGCTCATGCTAGTCTTCGAATACCAGACTTCGCATGACCGTCACCTGCTCCTTTTTCATTGATGAGAACAGAATACAGCGTTGTGGTGGATGCATACCCTGATTGGTATTGCTTTGTTCAATAAATTATCTTATCTATCCCCTATTTATATCAACTCACGACTGTTCTTTCATAGCACACAATCTTCTCACGATTCTTCTTTCATAACACACAATCTACTCACACACACTTAAGTTACTGTTCAGGGCTCCTGTATTCGTCGTACTCTCTCTCTTACTTCCATCCCCTTTCGTTATCAAGCCATAGCGCTTTCTTTTTCTGCAATGGCTCAGAGTTGTTCATGCGCTCATCCCACCCTCTTCATAGGCCTGGATATAGGCGTAACGTGAGTGTTTCATGACCCGAACCCCTTCTCGCTTGGTATCAGCTTGCCTGATTGTTAAAATTTTGTAGCTACTCTGGAGCCGTTGGTATTCTTGTAGAGTATTGCATTGAACACAAAAAGTTCAATGTTCTTGGGGACATTGTGATTGACAAGTTCCAAACGTTGCTCACTCGAAAGGGGAAGACCGAAGCAACATTCTTGCCGCCTGGGGAGACGATTGGGCCTGATGACGAGATTCTATCTTACTTCAAGATGGGCGTCATAGATCTCAATGGCGCCAAGTTCTCTCAGGCGGATGACAAGATGGTCCAAGGTTTGAAAGACTGTTGGGGAAAACAACCCACCTACGTTGTAGCACCGAAGGCCTTTAGTCTTTTTATTCATGGCCTGTACCAGCACGTCATTGATCTTTCTGAGGAACGATTGGAAGATGCGGGCTATAAATACATCGCTGTCAAGACTATTGCTACTTTCCCCGCCTGCTGGGGCTAAGAGCTACAGCAACCGTCGATTCAGCAGGCCTTTTTTACGGAGGGTGCTTATGACGTGAAGAATATGGTGATTGAGGAGGAGCATGTTGCCGCTCTCCGAGGTCTCATGCAATCGGAGCCTGATACTATTCAATCGCTCACAGATGTAAGTGTGAGAAAGCCTTGCCGTGTTTCTTTCCTTCTCCCTGGTCACCTCTTCGTTGAATAGAAGAACCTTGCTAAGGACAAGTGAACAGGCCAAAGAAACAGCCATTATCTGTGACATCGGTGGCATGACTACAGTAAGTTCTATTTTTCTTTTCATTTGGAATTTGAACGGCAAGTGCATATTTGTAGTGTTTTTTTAACATTATTAGGATGTTGTGGTTCATCGCTTCTGCCCAATCGGGGGGGCGTCTGCATTGCCTCGTGTGTGCATGTCTCGCCTTAATGGCGCATGTCTCATCGACGAAGAGTACTCGAAGTTGCTTGATAGAGAAATAGAGCGTCAAATTCCCGAATGGTATCGAGAGAATAATGCTGATGCGATGAAGGACTTCAAACACCTTTTCATGTCTCAATGGCGAGAGAAGGATAAGCTGAAGTATGACCCCGCCAATTACGGTGATAGTCTGGACTTGAAAATAGGAAAATGGAGGCTCAGCATCCAGCAGTGAGTCACTCTATATTACGCATCAGAATGAATGTCTTCTAATTGCTGTTTTGACTTACTTCAGCGCTGCATTCATCGGTCTTTTTGATCCACTTCTTGAGCACGTCATCTCTGTCGTCAAAGAGGCTTACAATAAAGAGCGTGCCATGCCAGTGAAGCCCCCCACGGTGTGCTTCCCTACGATTTCTTTTGGCTCATTTCGGGGCTCTTTGCTAATCTGATGGGTGTAGAAGGTGATTCTAGTTGGTGGCCTCTCTCACTGCAAGTACTTGGTGAACGCGTTGACAGAACAACTGGCTAAGGAGAAGTTGGAAGTCTACCCTTCTCCCTCTCAAACCCGGTATGTTTTTCAAAATGCAGTGGAGTTTCAATGGCCTTAGCTAACGAATAAAGATGGAATATCGTTGCCTTAGGTGCGTCTTATCACTACCAACTCTAGGTGGCAGAGCGCTACAGGCCGCGCACGATTAGGGGTGCACTCTCTTCGTTTCCGGGGATTGTCATATGTTTTTACGCTTTACGCTTTAAGCCATCATTCGCGACCACTTTTCGTGATATGGGAGATCGTTTCTTTGAGTGGCCTCGTCACTAAGGAGGTTACCTACATGTAGGTAGTTACAAGTAGGTAGTTGAAGTCAAGCGCCAACGAGGCATCGCGTGAATGCAACTTGGTACATCTGAGGCGATTGATAAGTGGTCGCTTTCTCATCGCTTTGTCCATGCACGTAAAACATCCCTTATTTTTTCTTTTGGAGAGCCACTGGCGTTTTCTATATATAATGTCGTGATTTTAGAGACCTAAAACATTGCCTAAGCTGAATGAAGCCTTCGATTACACACTTGAGTAAACTACCTGTAGAACTCCCATTACTCTCATACTGGCCTTATCTTGGTGTATTTAGAAGGTACTGTTCTAGCTACCACCGTGTTCTTACCTAAATGCGTGCAGGTCGACTTTCGGTCTTTGTCGTTTATTAGAGGCATCACTAACAACCCTAGCTCCGGTGCCCTTAATATAGTTTGTAGCAGGGGTTGAATGAGAGGGCACACCTAGGTAAGTTGCTAGATCAATCAGATATCCCCCCTGTGGTACCACTGAGATCAAAGATGATGTGATGTACCCCGCATTGTCAGATCAACGCGAATTCAGCAAGATGGTGTGCAAATGATGTAACCTCGACTTGTCGTTCGCGATGAGTTGCGGCGGTATCGGTAATTACAACAATCGATGTGGTGATTGCGTGATTACCCATGTGGCACTATATATGTCGAGCTCTCTCGACTTGACTTGAGTTTGATACTAATGTGTTATGATACCGGGTATGGTGTCAAGTTGTTAATTCTTGGTGTTTGGGAATTTCCCCCTTTTTTTTCAGCAGCTGCATAGCTCTCTCACTTACTTGAGTTTGATACCAGCAGTTGTCTTTCAGAACATCTACACGTCAGATCAACTTGGTTAACGGTTTATTACCAAGCTATATATCTATAGCAGCTCCAGTGAACAGCAATCTCAATCTCGATAAAACCCACAATGACGACTACGATAACTGAAACTGGTAATTCCACCATCAACGTCAAATTGGCATATGATACGGTACTGCATGAGCAGGTAAGATAGCTAAATCTTTATGGCGAATTATACGTATGCTCATGATCATTCTTTTAGTACAAATACACTGAGTATCTTCCGGTGTATGATGAGACTACTAAATTTCCGCCTCTAAAACCTTTTGAATTTAATGACAAGGGACTGGTCGCCAACAAAGAGAAACCGAATCTTTTTGCTGGAGACGCTCCTGGCGTGTCAGCCTCTAAGATAGCCCCAGTCATTGGCACAGAAATTCGCGGCCTCCAGCTCTCTCAACTCAATAACCAGCAAAAAAATGAACTTGCGCTGCTCATTGCAGAAAGAGGCGTCGTGGTCTTCCGTGGCCAGGACTTCAAAGACATAGGGATCGAAAAGCAGTTGGAATTTGCGCGATATTTCGGACCGCTTCACATTCACGTAAGTTCCAACCGACCGAGTATGCAAAAGAAGGCGAGCTAACGTTCATTTCAATGGAAAGCCTGTCGGAGCTCATGTCAAGGATCACCTTGAATTCCACAACATCTATCTGGGACCTGATAATGAATATCGGAACCAGAGAAAATTAGAAAGACTCAACACTATTGGATTCCACTCGGATGTCTCCTACGAACACCAACCTCCCGGAATTACCCTCTTGGCTCTTCTGTCAGTGCCGGAAACCGGCGGCGATACAACATGGGCAAGCCAGACAGCGGCCTACTCCCGCCTTTCCACGCCTATCAAGACACTGTTGGAGGGCCTTAAAGCTGAGCACAGCGGGTTTCCCCAGGCGGAAAACGCCCGGCGAGATGGCAAACATGTTCGTCGGGAGCCGGTAAAGTCTGAGCACCCGATTGTGAGAATCCATCCAGTAAGTCTCGAAACGAGTTTGATAGATACCGCAGTGACTGACAGATCAAGTAGGCAACGGGGCAGAAAGCTCTGTATATCAATCCAGGGTTCACAAAGAGAATCATTGGGCTCAAAGCTGAGGAGTCTGACGCTCTCCTTGACCTGCTTTTCAAGGTATGATACTCCCCGAGTCAGTCTTTCGGTTCAAACTCCTAATGATGGTGGACTTTAGCATATCGCGGCAGGCCAAGACTTCCAGGCCCGAGTGAAATGGGAGGAAGGGACGGTTGCTCTCTGGGACAACCGTGTGACTGCGCATACAGCTATAAATGATTACAACGTGCACAATCCACAGGAAGGACTCCGACATGGTATTCGCTTGACCACATTGGCTGACAAGCCTAGGGGAGTGTACGGATTGGAATCGTCCTGGTGATCCACGCCTAGTGATGAGCATGGGCTTGAGAACCTTTCACAAATGGCCTTTTTTTTTAAATTTGCTTTTCAGTTGTCTGTTTGCTGGGCTATGTGGTATTGTGAGGGCATCTGCTTAGTCTCCTCTAACAATCTAGGGTGTTCTCCTTGACAAGAGAATGCTCCAACCGATGACGGTCGTTTTGAGGAATACTTGATCCAATACAACGAATGTTCCTCTACTAGGACTGAATTAGAGCCAAGGTTTAAGTCATTTGTTAGATGTAGACGGATACTTGAGAGCTGGTTCAATTGACTATGCTTGGATATCTACCAACTGATCATATAGCTAGATATTATCCATATGACGAGCTTCTACTCAGTTATATTAGAAATTAGGCTCATACCGTTATATATAGTCTGTCTCACCTAATTGCTTCTTCCAGAAAGTAGCTCGCCGTAGCAGCCGTTGCACATCAACGCATCTTCCTCATTGTCCTGTGTCGCCACGAGCTTGGAAGTTTTCTCCTTCTTGCAACTGTTACAAGTGAAGGTTCTGCTTTTAGCGAGCCGATACTGCTGAAGGTTACCGCGGGGAGGGTAGACCTTGACCGATTCGGACTCAAGAGTTGTACTGCCTGTAGAGTCTTTGTTCATCGCAGGGCTTAGAATTATTTCGAGAAAGGTTTGCCGGTTGGATCGCTGTAAAAACAATTTTTTTTTTGAGTAGACAGTTATAGACCTCTTTGAATGCTAATATGTATATTTGGGTGGTTGGCCTCCTGCATTCCCCCCACTCGATTTCCTTTGATCATGGACATGATTCGACAAAAGATTGCAGAGCTAATGCACGAATGAGATGAGTCTTCCCGGTGAGATTGCTCTGTAAAATTTGATTTTTTTCTCTCGTCTATTTGATTTTGAGTAGGGCTCTGAGGGAAAGCCTCAGCATCAGTTTGAAGAAGAGCCGTGCAATCGTAGTAGAAGCATAATTAGGCGAGGAATATATCGGTATTATATTAATATATACATCAGCATCGTTGTTGAAGTTGCCAGCCAACCTTTGCTACACGTCCCGCTGCGATAGTCGCTGCTCCCACCAGGAGGGCTGCCCCAGCCCAGATCCAGGCGATGTTATAACTGAATTTATCTCTGAGAGCTCCTGCGATGGGGGGCCCAAACAACAATGCTATAGCAAAAACAGAAAAGGCCATACCGAACCGTGTACCGATTTTGCCAGCGTCAGAAGTCAGTCTTACAACGATGGTAGGCTGTAATGCGAAAAAGGTGCCAGTGAAGAAACCATAGACGACGATGGCGGCCAGGACCCGCGAGGTGGTGGAAGCAGTAACAAGACAAAGACTTGTGATGCCAAGAGCTGTGCCAGTCAGGACAATCATGTTCACTGGCCCAAGGTTCTGGGCAAGAAAGATTGGCAAAATGCGCCCGAATATCGAACTGGAGTTAAGAATGGCGAGCATATAGAGGGATAGGTGGGAAGAAATAACACCGCCCTCGAGGGAGTAGCTCTGGATGTATACGAAAGGCGTGTACATGCCGAGAAATGTCACGACACAGCCAAGTACAAAGAATATATACGGCCAATCTTTGAAGGCGGTAGCGTCAATCAAGGATCGAGGTGTTTTGCGGACTGCCCCAGGCCCTCGGGGACGAAGACACGCATTTGCAACAGCAAGAAGAACTAGACAAACGAGTGCTACCGATCTTATTGCCCACGCCAAGCCCACCTGTGCGTGCAACTGCCGCACCATAATAGGTAACAAGACCCTAGTTCTTGGTTAGACTTTTTTCAGTTAGGAAAGAGAACGGAGACTTACCCCCCAAGACCACTCCCAGATGCAGCAATCCCATTAGCAAGAGGAAGTTTGGTTGTGAACCACATAGAGGTCGTTGCTACACTGAGAAGAATAAGGCACCCAGCGCCTAGCCCAATGAGAACTCCTTGAGCTAGCATATAATGCCATAGCTGAGTGCAGAAGCTTTGTATCACTGTTCCAACGACAATGAAGACAGAGCCAATACCAAGTAGATAATGGAAATAACCCGCATCATATATTGGTCCTGTTACCAATCCAAGAAAAACCATTAGGAACGACTGTAATGAGCCAATCACGGATATCTGGAAATGGCTATGGCCTTTCAATGGACCAGTTTCGTAGATTGCTTGGAAGGTTCCATAGCTGGATATGAGACCTGAGCAGGTAAGAGTTAGCTATCAATGATTTTAGCCAAAGCCGGATATTCCTGTCTCCGCCAATTCATATCAGAGACTGGATTGTGTTCACTAGCTTACCCCATGTATTGAAGTACAAACAGAACGATCCAACAACCTGCATCCAAGCACGGAGACCTTGGTTGGGAATCGAGCTAGGCGCAACAACAGGATTCCCAGAACTAGGGGGAGTGCTCGTCGTATCTTCAGGAGAACTGGGGGTCTCGGTAGGCTCCTTCGTGATGTTCATGGCCAGATGCTGAGGTGTCTTGTCACTCATCTCCGGGAGTTTCTCTTGTGTTATCGAACGATTTACGTCGCTCGCTGCAACTGTGGGATGATTCATTTCCCGAAAGTAATGGCGGTTGTAGGAAAACTACTTAGCCAAGATAATGAAACGCAAGCTCCTCATAGTACGCGTAAATGATGATAAATTGGTCATGAATGATAAATCTCCTGCGGGATATAGCCGACGGTGGGGGCGATGGGCGTATAGGTTCCATCAGAACGACAAGGGGTTCCATCAAGGCAGCTCAGGACCACTAAACAAAGCCTACCATCCTAGAACTTTGGGGGCTAATAAAGCATGTAACAAGGCCAGGGAACGCACAGGCCCAGAGGATGAACAAACTTGGCTGGCTAACAACCCCTGGTCACCTTCCTTCTCCATGCGGCTGCTAGCCCGTCGCTGATCACCGAAGGCAAAGTATTGAATGTGAAACTTGGGATGGTAATGTTGAAACCCTGTCCCAGTTAAGTAGGTGCATCGTGTTGGGCCGAGGCAACTTCTTACCTGGTAGGTCAGCGACCGAGAGGAAGACAAAGATCACTAAGCAACGGGGAAGGCGATATCAAAAGTACATCTCGATTGATCCTATGAAGCACGCTACCCCTACCCAGCATTCCTCCTCTACTCTTGGCTGAAAAGCTCATCGAGATACGATTTCCAACCCTGTTCATCGGTACCGACATAGCCGATGTACATATCTGGGCGGACCACGACGACAAAAGAGTCTTCTTGCGTAACCCAGTCCGCCTCAAAAACTTTTCCTCCAGCCTCCCGGGATAGGGTTTGCTCTCCGGCCTCTCCACTGCCCTGTGGGACCGGAGCAGTGTCGCTTGAGCGCGGCAGGATAGAGTAGCATGAGGCCACCTTTTCGTATCCCACTCGGCCCTCAGAGTGCTTACCAACGAATAACAGAGCGTAATTCCCGTACTCAACTGCCGAGTAGAGGCGGTGGGTCTTCCCGTGGGGTGCATCTGTAACCTCGACGTCTGGACACCGCTTGCCAGCCGTCCAGAAAGAGTGAGTCGATTCCACGACAAGTGGAGAGTTCATGTCCTGATACGACACGCCCATGCCTGGATTGAGTAATCATGCCGGTTAGCAAATCGCCTCAGTCAAGGCGTACCGGCTGCCGCTTACCTGTAATGTACCCAGCATTCCGTTGGATTGTGGAGACGTATTGTTTGGCTGTATGTACCGTGTCGCGGACGAGGGCGGCGGCGACGTCAATGACGCCTTTAGCCGTCGTTCTCCGCTCAAGGTCGTAGCTGCGCAGGAGCTTATCTGCGGCCCCGGCCTTGAGGTTGTCCTGCTTGAGCACCATGGCGAGTCTCCACGAAAGGCCAAACGCATCGGCGAGTCCCGTGTTTAGACCCTGGCCGCCGTTGACGCTGTGGACGTGCGCAGCATCCCCTGCCAAGATAACCCGGCCATCTCCACTATTGGAGATGAAGGAAGATGCAAGCCTTTCTTTGACTGTTTTGGTTTTGCAGAGTCAGTTGGCCGATTTCCATACGTCGGAATGGTTCCGAGCGACTTACCGTCGAAAGTGCTGAACCACTCAACCTTGGTAAACTCCACCTTGTATGGAGCAAGATGAATCTTCACAGACTCCTTGGCCCGCTCTTCGGTCACCTCACCCTCTAACAAGACGTAGAACCGAGACAACCCACGCTCTCGAGGGATCCATGAAACTCGGGACTGCCCATTGATCTGGAACGTAATGATTTCGGGGCATGTCGGGAAGTCCGTCTCGATGAAGGCGTCGATAACAGCCCACAGCATCTCCGGCTTGGTGCCGGTGAATGATATTCCAAGGGCATTACGTACCGTGGATCTAGCACCGTCGGCACCGATGACATACTTGGCCCGTACGCGGCGGCCTGTGTTGGTGATGACTTCCACTTGCGTCTCTCCTTCCGAAATCTCGGTCACAGTTTCTCCAAAATGAACGAGTCCAGGGAGGCGCTTGTATAGCATTGCTTCTATGACTGGTTGACCAAGCATGAGGAAGTTCTTGTGGAGCGTATGCTCAAGGCTAACCCACCAATCGTTTTGGCGAGACTTGAATTCACCCTCCCCGAATGTAGAGCTGGCTAAATCATACGTCAGTGATCATGCCATGTCAGCTCCGAGAAGAAGAAAAAATAAGAAAATTCCATACTGTTGCATTTGAGGCCTTGGGGGAGAAGCTCATCCAGCAGACCGGCAACCTCGAGATATTGCTGCGTACGCGCATTGAGCGCATCGGCCCTTCCAAAATCCAGAGTCTCACTTTTGGCATCTGACAAGGTTAGTTTTGTATGATGCAGGAATAAAACTTGCCGTTAGTTTAAACACATACCAAGGATAGATACTGAGACCCCTAGACGGTGTAGTAGGAGTCCGTTGAAGAGCCCCGTTGGACCACCTAACAAACAGTCCAGTTAGAAAATGGGATACAAATAACACCAGATAACAACTTGCCTCCAACAATTGCCACATCGACATCTGTCGTGTCGTTTTGGTGAATTTCGGCTGGAGACATGGTGGAATACAGATTGCAAGGTCAATCAGGTGAGCTTGAGATATTTGCTGTAGTAGATCTTGCACCTTACGTGTGGCTACCTTATTTCAGTTCCGAAGCCTCTAATAATGAACCCTTGGATGGGTTTGTCTAGAATACAAAAGTACCTAGCTGACACATCGTTCGACTCCGAAGTCCGCCAGTGGTGAGACTCGAATCAGTAAGTGCCCGATGATATGGATACGCCGTGAAGCACCGCCCCGGCCAAGGGAGATCTATTCTAGCTTCCGGATCGCCCCATTTTGTTACAACCGAGCCATTTCCATGCAGTTTTGTCCCTTCCCTTGGTTGGGCCGGGTCCGAAACCTACCGCGCGCGTAGCATGTGGCAATTAATGCTAAGCGGAATGCGGAAGGTCGTTTGTTAAAACCTACCTGAAGAAGTTGGGGATCACAAGAAACAGTATCAGCGAGCCCTACAACACAAGTTCCAAATCCGTATAGCCCCGAACGCTGGCCTAAAGATCCTTCCCATAGCGGCCCCATCGTAAAGATCTTTACCCCTGGCCGAGTGGGCGACTTGGGTAGCATCTGACCTTGATCCATTTCTCCCATACGGTTGTAAAAGTGCCACCGAGACTGGGACTTGCATAAAAAAGCAACGCCTTGGCTATACGAGGGAAGAGGAATTTGGTAATCTTGTACCTATATGTGTCCTAGTTGACTGTCAGATTCGTCGCCACAGCCTTGGGACTGTTGTTCTTTACCTGCTGAAGCAGACTGACCTCTTCAGGAGCGCGTATTCCTGTCCCTTCATCTGCAGGAACACATTCTTCATTATTTGGTTCACTTCAGCAGAATTTATTTGACCCGTCTTAATCATATACCAAAAAGATGCCAGTTGCGGTCGATGCCATGGCCCATGGGCCGACCACTCTCAAATTTGAGCCTCAGCCAGTTCAGCCTGTGTCACTGAGTGTTCCATTTGGACCACTAATTCCCACAGTTGATACTGCTGCCATTGAAACCTCCTCCAAGGTCCTCCGAATCATCGATCGCTACCGTATGAGTAAGACGATCAACGCCCCAGAAAAGGCGGATGAAGGTGCTCTGAAATTCATCGCCCTGATTTACAATCACGTCAAGGCTGGTGAAGCTATTCCCATGTGCCTCCCGGCATTTCCATTCAAATCACCAAACTCTGAGTCCAAGGTGTTGGGAGTACTGCCTGACAGGGCCGAGATTCTTGCCTTGTCGCACTTAAACGGTCTTTGTAGCGCTATTCAAGACGTTTATGCGCCTGGGGCAAAGCTTACCATCATATCTGATGGTCTCGTATACAATGGTAAGAAATATGAACCCAGCCTGTATGAGTACGTACATGACTGACTGTCCGTTTTTCATGAAGATCTGCTTGGAGTACCAGACAAGAATGTTTGGGCATATGGTGAAATTCTAAGGGAAATGGCGAAGAAGGAGGGATTTGAGCACATCCATTTTTCAAGACTACGAGACTTGGTGTCTATCCCTCTTCCTGAAAACCTTGATGAAATGACATACGTTGCCAATGCATCCAACTTCCGCCTGGCTCTCCTGAATACGTTTAGCCGCCCTGACTGGGACTGGAAAGAGATTAGCAAAAGCGAAGACGTTTGCATGACCTACAGAGGTTATATCAAATTCCTCGAGACCGATTTATTGACCGTTTACCCCCAAGGAGAGGATCGGTCAAAGTCTAGATATAAGCGAGGCATTGAGTATATTGCCAAACAAATGTTGTCCCGCGGAGATGTAAGTTCTGGTGATCATGATACTAAGAAAACTATGGACTGATAAGAATATAGGCATTCGCACAAGCAGTAAAAGAGAAGTACAAGGATAGCATACGCCTTTCTATCCATCCCTCTACAGGAGCGAACAAGCTGTCAATCAGTCTTCTCCCCACCTCAACGATTTACACTACCCCATGGCACTGCACCATCGCTTATAAACTGGACGGAACCATCACTTCGGGTATGCGGTCCGAGTTTGAAGCAGACGAGACATTGGAGCTTATCTACGAGAACGGCCGCCCTAGCTATTTCCGAGAAAAGTCCGATCTCTTGTCCTGGGGAGAAGAGAAAGGCGGTATTGTCTGTCAGCCCATTTACCCTTGCGGTCTCATCATTCGTCCTGCCGCTGGCCCAGGATCCTTAGGAATCCACGACATTGATGCCAAGAAGGTCAGGGCCTTGTCCGAAATAAACTCTCCTGTAATTCTCCGTGGGTTCTGGAAGAAGCCGAACCGCGAACTGTTCGTTAAGAAGGCAGAGGAGTTCGGCGAACCTCTCCCATGGAAATTCGGACTCGTTCTGGAGGTTAAGGACCGAGGACTGGAGACGCGAGGCTTGAATAATGTTCTCTCAGCTGAATGGATGCCATTCCACTTCGACGGTATGTTCAAGACTGTTCAGAAGGTAGATGAAAATGGGCGAGAATATATGGTTCCAAATCCTCCTCAGTAAGTAAATTTCTCTAAGCGGTTTATATTAGACCGGGGCTGACACTTCGTAGCTTCCAATTTTTCACTGGAGTCACACCATCCCCAAGAGACACAGGATTCACTCTATTCTCTTCCTCTACTCTCATCTTAAAATACCTTCCCTCGTGGCTTCCTTTGGACACTCTGAAGAAGTTGACTTGGAAGGTATCAACGAGTTCGTTCGACAACACGGCCATGGGTGGCCTGCAGCTGGTCATCCCTCATCCTACAACTGAAAAGCCTTGCTTGAGATATCATGAACCTTGGCCTCGAAGCAAAACCGTTTTCGATGAGACCCACGTCAACATCGAAAACGTCAGTGACAAAGAGAGCGAGGCTATCTGCGAAGCTCTCGACTCTATTCTTCATGACCGCCGCGTGGCCTATTATCATGTTTGGGAGAAGGGCGACCTTCTGATCAGTGATAACATTTTGACCATGCATACACGAAGTGATTTTACGGCAGGTTGTGATAGAGAGCTCTGGAGAATCCATTTTAGTTAAACCCTTAGTTATGTGATAAGGGGGAGTTATATGAATCAATTAGAATGTAAATAGGCCGCGGATCGATCTTGTTAGGAAACACATTGAGCATCTTGATCCTTGCAACATAGGCAAACCCGCCAGTGTACGGAAGGACTGGAAATGCATTTTTACTTTTCATTCAATTTCCATCACTTGAAATCCTTTATTAATAGATTCGAATTCACCATCGACGGTGATAACTGAACTTTAGTATCCATTGTTGCGTGAAGAAACCAGGCCGTTTTACAGATGCGATCACTAACCTCAACCCCCTAGGGATACCCTTTTTCAGCTTCGCATTATTCTTCATTGATCACGCCCAGCAGATTGCACTGCTTAAATTATCCAACTGAACGAAACGGTTCGACTTCTGTGGTTCCAAAGTCTTTCGTGCTTACTTGCTCCTCGAACAAAAGGTCTATTTCTGCTTGCGTCAGCCCCCTTGTTTCGGGCAAGCGAAAATAAGACCAGACAAGGATCAAAAGGCAAAAGCTGGCCCATATGAAACCCCCCTTTCCTCGAAGATTCCAGGCCGTAGGGTTAAGTATCGGCGGGTTGAGGAAGTTAGCACAGATGCTAGCAATGTTGTACGTATTCCGGGCTAGAATGACTGTCTTGATCCGGAGGCGAGAAGACGGGATCTCTGAAACGAGGCAGTACCCGATCGGGCCAATGGTGAGGTCGTATATAGCTACGAATATCATCAACAAGACTCCCGATGCCCAAGCCACACCAGGCATCGGCGCAGGGATTCCCATGAAGCCAATAGTCAGGAGGATCAGGAATAGAGAGGTCAGACCGCAGAGATAGAGCCTTCGTCGGCCCACCCGGGTAAGTATGAACCAAGCCAGAAGAGTTCCCAGTAAGGCTAGGCCGCTTGTCCCCAAACTGAAATTAAACGACTGGGCAGGGTCGAGCCCGACCTGTTGTAGGAAATATGTGCCGTTGCTGGCGAAGCTGGCTCCGCAAGCTATCTGTGCGAGCCATGCGCAGCAAGTTATCTCGGTGCGCTTGAGATTGGTTCCTTTGAAGCAGTCGAGATACGAGACACCCTCTGTCAGCTTCTTCTCCATCCTATTTTCGTATTCGATCAATGCCACTTTCCGCTCAATCTCCTCTTCTGGCCATGTGCTGGCCGATGTAAGACGCCTCAGGGACTTTCGTGCGTCATCAAGTCTGCCCTTTCGGACCAACCAGATCGGACTTTCTGGCGTAAATAGAACCGCGGTGATCAGGGGTGGGAGAAAGACCCATTGGATGGCGTAGGGAATTCGCCACGCCCAATCATCCTTTCGACCCAAAAGTCCACGCAGCACACCCCCACTGATGAGGTAGCCAATTGTCCAGCACATATTCACAAAGGTAGTAAGAATTGGTCGTAGAGCAAGGGGAGTGACATCCGCCGCATATGTGGTAGTGAGGGTCTGGAAAGCACCCCAGGGCAGGCCGCAGAGAATGCTTGCGGCAAAGAGCATCTCGATCCGCGTGGCGAAGAAGAAGAGGAAGATGAAACATGTCAAAAATAGCATACACCCGATGATGGTTTTCTTGTAGCCGTAGCGTTCGGTGAGAATACCCGCTAGCATCAACCCAAGTATCTGCCCAACTTGGGTGCCATTTTGGAGGCCAGACATCCAGCTTGAGGTCAGCTGGTAGTCTCCGCTGTCAAGGGGATGGCCGAAGCGCTTCCGAAATTGAGGCAGACCGAAGAAATTTCTCGTCAAAGTGAGATCGTAGCTTTCCATGATGAGACTCATTGAGAGAATCATAGAAAAACAGACAGCCTTGGGATAAGCTCTGATGGCCTGACAAACTCCCATATCCTTTTCTCTTTCCGCTGCTAACTTGGCAGCAATGATATTGTCTTCTTGGGAGTCATTTGGAGGAAAAGCCGTCTCATTTCCTCTTGTTTGGTCTGGCTCCTCAGACACGAACGCACCTTGTTTAGTATCATGCTGGCTGAGCTTTGAGGTACCCATAGTGTGCTGATGGTGTGAAATCACTGGGATAGGTGACAGAAATTAAGATGCGACAAGCTCTCATTATAATGTATGAGGTTTTTTCTAAGAGCTGAAATACAGCTTCTTTCATACGCATATGTCTAATCGGGCGCAATGCAAGTGGCCAAGCTTGGAAATAGCACCCCGCACCATTTCATAGCGGTGTATATCTCGTTGAGGGAATCGGTGAGCGGCGGAGTGGTAATGTGCAGCAGGCAATGTGACAAGTCAGTAAAATGACACTTTGAGAATCAGCTGTCTGCAGCCATAGAAGCTATCAGCGAAATTCATTGGCTCTTGCTAGTCGCTGAACTGCAACCTGCATGCTTAGCCCATTCAGCTGAGATGTCGATCACGGGCTGCTCACTGGATTCAGAACTATTGGAGGGCATCAGAAGCGTAGATATCTGCTGAAGTGAGGGTGTCCTAGGTATTTTCGGATAGGAGGGCATTTGTATTTCTCTCTGGGACAGCCACGGAACTTCAATGTTGCTCATGTCTTCCACCTTAAAACGTGCATTTTCTCTCCCACGAGAATCAGGATTCCCTATCTATTGTTTGGCAATTCCTTCAACACAGGTTTAAGCCCAGTGAGCAGCTTTCCGGCTTCGAGAAGAACGGTGTCCAGCCTCGCTCTATCCTTTGGGTACCGCCCCAGATATTCATCCACAGACAGCATGACGTCCTGGAGATATCTCTTCTCTTCCTCATTTCCGGCCTCATAACCGATGAAAACTGTTGCAATTGTATTTGAGGCGACAATTGACTCTAGCGATAAGATGTATGGCATCGCTTTCCAGTTCTCGACCGCAACCTCCCGGAATTGATCCCACAACTCCGGGTCTGGAGAGCTGTAGACGACGCTCATTTCATAGAGCATGCGCAGAGCAGTCATTTGGATCAGATGGAGAGACATGAACACCTGACACATAAGTGCGCTCTTGAAGTCGATTCGCTTGCCAACGATGGAAGCAGGATCATCCCTCTCAGTCACAGCTCCCTCCTTCATCGCCAGTTCGATCGATTCTGCGGCGAGCTTACGGACTTTGCTAAGCATATCTCGTAGCTTCTGCTCGAAGATAATAGAAACGGCCTCATTCTCATCGCCATGAGGGTTCGTCCGAATCTGGTGCATCGTATTCAGCCATGAAAATATATCTTTGCTGAAGTCGTAGATAATCATTAAATCCACGGATGTGATAGGCTCAAGGTTGGATAATTTTGGATGCTTGAACGCGCAGTTTGCCATCACTTCATTCCACTCAGACTTCTCTATAAAGCTGGCGCAAGATTCCACGCTGTACCCACTAATCTGTTAAGAAATTCCTGTTAGGTGTGTTCGATCTATATCGGAACGCAGTGTGATAATAAATACTTACCATGAGCCCATGTACCTCATTTGTGACTGTGATATCTAAGTCATCATTCAGATCAGGAGGGCCCTTCCTCTCCATCATCTGCAAGATTCCTTGATGGTGAATACTGGAGAACTTTCCACGGTCAAATAATTTGCAAGTACGTTCCAGAAGGACCATTGCAGCCAGCGTCTCTACTTTCAAGGCTTGCTCGCTCATCAGGGTCCGCCTTAGACTACGGAGCACTTTTCCGTATTGCGGCATCGCCATCAGCTCCCCCTGCGGCTGGCGACGGCGGAAGTCGGCCCAGGCCGCGCAGAAGAGGTCTACAGAGTCACGCAGGCAGGGGCTATCGGCGAGGCGACTGGGTAGCTGCGGCAGATAGCTCATCTGGAGGCTGGTGATGCCGTTCGCGCCCTTGTCTAGATTGCCGACGAGACGAGTAGCGACACGTTCGGCAAGAGTTGTGGGATTCGCGCGAGGAGGAGTAACTTGGAGAAGGCCGTATTCAGCGCTCCTGTCATTAACATTGGGGTAATAGATTTTCCGCAGCTGGAGCGTCGAGGAGCTTGAGCCTTGCGTCTGGCGAGGCGGCGACTTGGATGGCGAGCGGCGTCCATCGCTTGGAGGTGATTGACCGTCCCTGTGGGAGCCATTATTAATGAATTTGACGAGCGACGTTGGTCCTGGGCAGTCGGCATTGATGTGCCTACACTGGATACATGTAGGCCACGTTTCATCGCACTGGAAGCTGTCAGCATGATTTGCGCGATGAGTTGAACGTGAACGAGCTACGTCAGCGACGAATGAAATAAGGTGTGCGCGATTGGCGATCGCCATGGACCGGTTGCTCGCCTTCACTCACCTTGATCTTGCGACGTTTACACGTCTGGCACCCCTTGGATCTCGGTACGCCGGGCATCTTGTATCTGGGGGCTACGTTGGGCGAAGATATCTAGAATGATGAAGCCAAATGGCTGAAACTGATGCTTTGTTGGACTTGGTACGTGCGAGAGAAGGGCTGAATTGCCCGAGATTAAGAAAGATGGGGCGAGCCAAATCTGACCAAAGAGAAGGGAATCTAGCAGAGCTAGGAAGTGATCAGCTGCATGTTGACGTCTGGCCAATTCCTTCCAAGATTCTCCTAGCCTATCGACCGCTATTTTTGTCTCGCTGCTGTCAGCAGCCTTGCCATAATAGAATTGCCACTCCTGGGGTTTAGGGACTTTGGGGAAAGCTGACGCCAACATGTGCCGAAAGATTCGACGGAACCTGTGCACAGCCATGAATACATCCAAGTGCCGTACCAAATAGAAAGCTAGCACGGCAGTCGCTGTTATATTTGGTTCAATTGGATATGGAGGCCTCCTCAGACTGGTTTTGAATGCGTATCAAAGGGGAAACCTGTAAACTTTCCCCGACAAGACTTGGAAGGCCTGGTCAATACCAATCTGCCTATCATTGTTATTCACAGTAATTTACAATGCATTTTGTGTGGATTCAACACTATTATCTCTGTGCCCAAGTAGTCTTGCAATTATGTGACTTTTTTACCAAATGTCTCCGCTGGTTGATAATGTGAGGGGCGTTGAACCACGGCCAAAACTCAGGTCGTTCTTTAATAGGTCTTCATGATATCTAATGAGATAAAGCTGAACGCCAAGGCCACTGAAATTTATAAAATAAGAGTTCATAATGACTGGGATCACAATCTCTTAAAAACTCCGAGCATCCAGTGCAGCATGATGGTGTCTTATTAATGAGAATCCCGTCAATTTATTGAATTTCATCTATCTATGTGTTAAACGAATATGTGGTGTCTGTACGGTCGTCATCAATCTTCTGGGTTGATGTAATTTGAATCGTCGGATTTCGATCGAAAGACAATTCGGAGTGAAAGTCTGACAGGTTGAATCGTAAAGGCCAAAGGCTGGACTAACAAGTTGGTTGTGTTCCTTGGGCAATGCTGTCCACCTCCATTTCTCCCATCTGCGCCCGATTTGGCCGTTCTTTTCGCTGAAAAGAACCTACACTAACTAACGACCAGGATTCTCATATCTCGAAAACCGGGCTCGTTTCTGCTGCCAAGGGCCGTTGGGAATACTGTATGTCGAGTACCAGCCATCGTACCGATGCCCTAGCCACTGACATTCTACTGGGCCAACAAGACTTCGATATAACCAAAGATCTTGGTCAAACCTTCAATGAGAGGCCCGCGCAGCTGAGCGAGATGGTCCCCGCATATGCAGAGATGTTGGTGTCTCCTTAGGCTTTTCAATTCTACAGATCCAACCAATACAAAGCCGAGCTCAGCCAAACAGTCAACACGGTCCGCAATCAACTTGAAACAGGTTTAGGAGATCGTTTCTTCGAGAACCATCACACAAGAGAGAGCAGCCATGACGACAAGTACCACGTCATCCTCGCAGGCTTGCCAACGAGTATAGTGGTTCAACCACAAGAAGGTATGTGTGCCTCCCAGTCAGTTCGTAATGCTCAACGTGTAAGGAAAATGGGGTGATTTCTCATTCTATTCTCCTTGTAGATCTGAGGGCTATTAGTGGAGGCATTTGGAGTAAGGAGCTAGCCGCGAGACATGCAATGATAGTATTGCAAGTTGCACACCTTCTTCCGCTACCTATGTAGTTGGAATATCCCTCGCCATTTCCAGAGTCAAAGTGCCAGATGTATTTATTGGTAACATATTTGAGATCAGCTTCCAACCCGATTGATCATACTAATTAGGGGAAACATTCCTTGAATCTTCTTAATTCTTTTATAAAAATGGCCAACGTTGTTTTTCTACTTCAATACCTCCAATTCGATCGTTGATAATAATTCACTTTCCGGATAGAAAGTGCTTGGAGACCAGGTATGTATTAACAATTTTATGTTTTCAATTATTGTAGCTAATCACACCTTTTTTACACAAGACTCCTAGGATAAACAGCTCTATCTAGACCGTAGTAGCCGCTGACCCAAATAGTATGTAAATTACAAGCAAAAGAACGCGCCAAGCACCTTTGTATCTAGCTCGCTAACGAGGCCCTATTATTTTATATCATCAACAAAACCCAAGGTATGACGATTCTCATCACATACTCTAGCCCACTCAAGTAACAAGCGCCACACATACAAGCGCATATCCTCTCGTCGGAGTGTTGCCTCAGCCCAGTCCTTCCCGCTCTCAGCAATGAAACGGGCAGCCATGTCCCCAGGCCCGTCACCGTCGGCGAAGAAGTCGAGGGCGGGGAACAGATCTTGCAATGTATTGTCAAGTGGGATAAAATGTAGCCAAGGAACAAGGCGGTCATCGTGCCATTCGGTATAGATGGAAGCTTTCAGGGGTACACTGGTAGATCGGAGGAAGCCACGGAATCGTGCGCTGAATGAGTTGCCATCCACATCCGGGAGAAACTTGTATTGGTACTGCTTCTTCATGGGGATTGATTTAACCACCTTGAAGTACGTACCCAACCATTCGCACTCATCGTATGGGCAGAGGAGACCGAAGCCCGCGTTAGCAAACGTTTTGAGCCACTCGCCCAGCTGGCCGTCCTTGATTCGGTAGTCGGGGTATATTTCGTGCGATGGGAGCTCAAACGTCATCGCTCTACCTTCAGCCTCTGCACGGGACACGGAGGTGCTGTTCAGCATATCGATGAGGCGATGTCGTTGAAAGTGGTGCCAGGAATGCGGCTTGGCGCGGCCGCCAGACCCCATCCCACGCCATACAAGTTGAGTCTTCTTTCGCACCCATGTCGGTCCGTGACTATCTCCACCAGAGTAGAACTCTCTATCTGTCAGGTACATTGCCCCGGGGATGAGGATCTCATTATTCATCGGGAGTTTCGATCCGCCAAACAAGGGGATGAGCTCTTCGGTAGAGCGAATAGAAACGGGCTCGATGAGACTGCCATGTAGCTGTCTCATGTGTGGCTGAAGACACGGATCTATAGCAGCTGTCCAGTTCTGTATGAATCCCTTGTATGCATAGCTCGGTCTGTAGTTTTGTGGAAACTCGCTCGGTTGAGACAAATCGGCCACCTGCTTCACTCCGTATGCAGGCGTATTCGGGCCACAGGTTTTGACGGCCACATCCCAGTACTGTTCGTCAGGGCCATGCCACTCGGGTTCGTACGTTTCGGAGCTCGACTCGTCAATCTCTTTAAGGCCCTTGAACTCCGTCGTCACCTCCTTGATATCAACCATCTTTCGTTCCCTCTTTTCCTTGTCTATCAACGTCGTAATGTTATCAAAAGGTACGAGGATCCGAGATTCATCCATGTAGTTGATGGGCATATCGACGTCTGGTAAGTGTTCGGCAAACTCTTCCACTAGGGCATTCCATAGTTGCAGCCATATTACACGGCCTTCGACATCGCCTTTCATGGTGGCAGTCCCCCCACGCACTCTAACCACGAAATGCCAACTGCTGGCCCTTCGCTTCAGTACCTCGGGCTCAAGCGCCCAGTAAGGTGCCAGGTCTTTGTATATTCTATCGAAGTAGTCTTCGACGTGAATGGCATCCGTCTCCATCGCTGCTTGGAACCAGCGGTCGAAGCCCGGTGGCGGGTGTCGCCCTCGTCTCTCTCGGTATCTTCTAGCAGCAGTGTTGAGATCTGTGCTTCGCTTCAGGAGGGTTTCTTCATGGCGCTTTCGTGCATCGAGCATCAGTTTCCGGATGGGATGGTTATGCGTCGGTGCCCCGGCGGGATGATGTACGGATGGTACATTCCAATACTGAGTGTCGTGCCAGAGGGCGACATTAGCAGCAAGAAAGAGAAGGATAAAAAGTACGCCAACGCATTTCAAAACGAACAGCGGGGGGGAACGAAGATAGCCGATCGGTTTGGCGACTTGGCTGATCGAAATCAGCGGGAGTTTGAGCCGTTGGCTCCGATTCCAAAGCTTCAACATGAGGATTCATGAAATTTCAACGTCGACATGGTAGTATAAACGGCAGAATGTACCGAACACAGATTTGTAGGGCACCTCAAAAGATGAAATGCATATTGAAGCTCTCTGGGGCTGTGCAGCAAACAAACTATTTTTGTTTGCTACACCACCCAAGCCAAGCATCCCAATGCGACAACTCCCCAACGTGTGATTAAAAACCGGAGGAACTTTTCGGGCGGCGGAGAATGCATGGTGCGTGATTGGGCCAAGGTAGGAGCTGAAGTCGGTTCGAGGACGAAAGATCCAACTGATGGACCTTGCCATCCTCCACCCCCCGACCTCCTGCTGCGTTCCCTTGTTTTTCTTTATGTTATAAACGGACTTCCGGTCCTCCCCACTTCTAAAGGATATTTATTCCCTCAAAAAGCAGTGCATCATGCTTTAAGATCCAAGTCCACTTCAAGGGTAAGGGTGGCCCAACATGGAGTCCTCAACCTAGACCAACTGGCCTCCGGGTACACTATCCATTTGAGAAGGCAGATACCCATACAAGTACTAAACATCTGATCTCCACGTCTCAAAACGGCCGTGATTACAGATTAATTAATATAGGTAAATATAAACTCATATCCTAGGATAATTGAATCTTGGCGTCAGAATAAGCTCCACCTGTCCCTACCCAGTGAAGGAAATTAGAGCGGCCTAGAAGTCCTTTTGAAAAACTGTTGTCCAGGGTGTCAGATCCTTGGCTTTCCGCCAACCGTGCTGTGATAGGTCTGCGGCCAAATCTGGCTGAATCACGCGAAGGAAGACTTCAACTGGGTTATTTGTGTGCTCGGCCTCCATCGGCCCACAGACGTCTCCCACATACCGTGATGAAAACGAAATAATAGTAACGAGTGGCAAGAAGCATTAGTGCACATAATTAAAATGACTTCTTTATGAAGTTAATCTCCGCCATGTTGACCTGTGCTCTCACAACGACCGACAGGGATCGCGACAATCTTTCTCGTCTAGGGCCACTGTTGGGACTTTGGTTTCGACGTTGTGGTAGTACTGGAACAGCTCCTGAGTAACCCTACTTTTACCAAGACCGAGCATTTTCCGCCTGGGGCTCCTCAGTACGTCGCTTGCATTAAATTATTTAAAATTATGATAACCATCGCAGCTGTAAGTGACAGACGAACTCTGGCGCCTCCTCAGGTACTGGTATAAACTAGCCCAAGAGACTTCAGCAGACATGCGATGAGATTCTCTGCTGCTTTTTCCCAAGATGCTATAGCCAGCTTTCCATATTCTGCAGCCAATTTGAAATTCAAGCCGACCGGCACTTGATTATCAAATATCCATTTTCACTCTGCCAATTCCACACCTTGAATTTGCCATCTTCAGTTCAGACTGCGACTAGGAATCTTCAGTCCGGTCAAGTCCTCTCATTGATCCCGGATGTATAGTAAACTTTCCAAGAAGAGAACCGTGCTTTGTCTAAAGTCTCACTACTCCATCAATCCTACCAGTTGGAAAGTCCCCATCATCCCTGTTTTGGCATGGTAGGTTGTGTCTAACCCCAGTTTAGCCATCTGCCATGGTTCTCCTGTGGAGGGTTTGTTTATATGTTGAGCTATGGCTCTGTAAGAGCACTACTTACCTGTTTCTCCAGTCTTCGAGCGCAACCCTGAGACGTAGAGTGTATGACCTTGAAGAATATCGATATACTTCATATCCGCTTTGTGCCACAGTATAATCTCATCATCACTGGATCGACAGACGAATAGGGATGGGTCAATAAGAAATAAGACACATTTTGCAGGTACCTTGTGTCCAAAGAAACCACGGATTATGCTAGTGTTCGGCGCTAGGTCATACTGCGCGGAGATAGTCGTGCGGAGATAAGTTGTACAAAAAGCTCACCCAAAGCCCTCCTTTTGGAAGGTTTCGCTTGAAGCCACGAGCATCAGGTCTAGCGGGTGGAATCCTACATACAAGTTTAGCTCAATATCAAATGGTCTGATTGTTTGAACAAATTTGCCCTCTGTTCTGGTAATGCTGGCAGTTTAGAGTATAAACAATGCACTTTGCACGGTCTTGTAAGTTTAAGTGAAAGTGAATTTATAAACGAAGTTTCATGGCGAGACTATGAGTTTGAATACTGTAGAAGCTTACATAGTGAGCTCGTTGAGCGAGTTTCTGGTGCGGCGATAGCAGTAGGTGTTGTGAGCAAATGGTTGGAATTGAAGGAGATCTGACCATTGCCACGTCGGACTTATACCAAGGGTCCAAGCCATATGAATTGTTGGTCCCGTAATCAACATGCTCGCGGTATCTAATAGTGCCGCTGAACGAATTGATCGCTAAATAGGTGACGGGTGCTTATTAGACATTGGGTAGTTACTCGCGTTGGATAGTTATGACAATTGGTTAAATGCATGCTGTGCACTGCCCTGTAAACTCCAGTGTAATCACCAGCACGCATTTTCTTTCCCAATCAGGTAGATTATGAAGGCAGGCTTACAAAGGTGCTACAGGATGTGATATGGTAGTTCCAAACCTAATAACAGATCTCCAGCAGCCCCTTCCCTCCTCGTTCTTGCTGCCTCAGTAATGTATATAGTTCACAGCACCTAAATGACATATCGAACCTAACACTCAGTTGGCTACTAAGGTTGGTTGGTAGAATTATTGGAAGCACAATTAGGAGAGGCAGTGAGGCCTCAACGTTAAGATGACCGGCAGTCCACTCAGATTAATACCAACCTGCCCTACCTATTTCCTGCTATCTACTTATAGGGGGGAGGAGTAGACTATATGAGCAAGAAGTATATGAAATAACAGGGGGGGGATCTTTACGATTATAGACAGAATGATTCTGATGGACTACATGCGCTGTAGTGTTCATACTCTATAATCCTGGCCACTTTGGCACATTCTCGCTCAGAGGGAAGCGAGGGTACTTTGGCAGTTTCATCGGCAGACTGCCCCACTGAGATGGCGCCTGGGCAGGTCTTCATGCGGTAGTCTCCGGTTCCAGGGCAACATCAGGTGGCTCTTCTGTAATTAACCGTCTCACTTGGCGGAAGGACGTGGCGCAGCGCCAAGCATGGCAGGCCTAGAGCTTGGCAACACGCGATGGTCCGCATTTCTAGCACGTGCCGTCAATCACTATCTTTCGCAAGAGGAGGTTGGGCTTCAGGCATTCTCGTTTGCATTGGGGAGAGGCTCCCTCAAGAAGTAGACCGCGTTGTTCGGCGAGGATCATGGATCATAACATGCGGTTGACTGGGGACGCGATCCTTAATAGTTAGCTGGCGGCAACATGTTCTTTGGAGGATTGAAAACATCGAGTTGGATGACTTGTGAGTTGTCCGGGTGGCATTGAATTATTTTCAAGCTCACACTATTTCAAACAAGCATTCTCACTCTTGGTAGTAAGTTTCATAGGATCCCGCAGCTTGTTTGATAGAGACAAGTAAGAAAAATTTGCCTAACAAGCATGCGATCCCGTCAGATCTTGGCGTTCAAGGGCTCTTACAGATCAAATGGTTGAGGCAGTGCAAAGTGCGTAGATATTCCTTTGAGCCTTTGATCGGGCGAAAATCACATACTTTAATCGCGTAACGAGCTACTCAATTTATAATGTGATTGGCTTTTATATTCGGAGAGGAATCACACCGCTTCTTTAGGTTGAGGATAAACCCACTGTTCCTGGAATGCTTTGTCTCTGGAAGGATATAATTTCGTGACAGAACAACTGTCACTAGACAAATTTGTTGATACAACGAATGGCTAGCTGCGATGAGACGAAATAATTTCTGCATTGACGATGACGATGGTCGAATGGCTGTTAGAAGACAACATCTATGTCAATTCATCGCTATCATCGCTAGGGAGTGGCAATTCTATCCTGATGGTTTCCTTGCTGTAGTACAGCTATTCTTATTAAATTGATAAGCAACCGTAAGTTTATTAATGAAACCGGGCGCTCTTGTTATGCTCTTACTTCATGGTCCCGACAACATCGTACGTTTCTATCGTAACCACGGAACAGATAGCCACTGACACAGGAAAGATTCCTCCAAAGGGTTGCCTGGTCCGAGTCGAGAACTGATCTATTGGTATCATTCCACGGACTCGTTCCCAAATTCACTATGGGTTCTCTCCGAATAACGATCGATGCTGACATATTGTGGGTTTAAGTGGGGGATGTTCGGAGAGCACATTAGTTATATTTCCTCTCCAATTTCTGAGTTCAGAGGTTTGGAGATAGAAATGGTGATGGAATCGAAGCAAGTACACCTAACTACACCGCTAAGAAAGCAATAATCATCTTGACTCCATGTCTCTAACATCCCATGGGTCCACATCTAGCTGACCGCTCACAATATGATTTATTTGAGATATTCGATTGCACATACAAAGTTGTCTCCGGTCACTCGATAGGATGCAGTGTCTTGGTGCCAAAGACTGTATTGGCTAAGATGAAGCTTGTTGGACCTCGGCCACTGATGATACGTTTCCATGCTGGAGACTGGATCACCGTTTCTCATCTGTTTCCCATTATTTCAGCCCCTGGCAGCTAGAGCTTGCTGCTCGACATTCGGCTTTGCTTGTCAACACCCGACTATCGAATGCTGCTTGAATATCTTTGGATGAACCCATGCAAGACATTGAAGACTTTTGGACCTGGGCTCAGACTGAGCTGCGGGGGTTCGTACAAAAACAAACTGATGGCGCGCTGGAGGTGGACCTTTCTCGTATCATCACGTCAGGCGAGAGTGTAGGTGGTTTCCTGAGCCTCATCACTGGCTTGAGTCATGCTGAAAGCGTTCGCTCTGTCATGGCTGCATACCTAGTGGTCGATCTTCGATCCACACATTTTACGGATTATGAAAAAGCGGTTCTTGGTATGCCTCAAATGCCCTTGGATATGATCAAGGAGCACATGGCCAAAGTTACAGATGGAAGGATCCCATCTATTGTGTCTAGCGACCCCAAAGGCGAGAGGATTGAACTGATGTTTGCGTTCATCCAGCGCGGGGCTTACCGGGACTCATTCCCTCCTGATCAAAGGCACAACGCCATCTTAGAAGAGGTCCAGATTCCCCAGAGGTGGTGTTCTTGCGATGCACGGGAGAAATGACACGGTCGTACCCATTGAAGGAAGCTTCGTGCTACAGAACGAGTTGCTTCGGCTAGACCCTGAGTTGAAATTTCATCTTGCGGTCTGAGATGGAGAACATGGATTTGATAGGACATCTACCCTGGATGAGGAGTGGTTGGCGATTGGATCAGCTGATGTGGTTCCCTCGTGGTTAGCCTAATAAATCGCTTCCCGACCTTGTTGATTGAGACTGGGTTCGATATCCGTGAGCGTTTTTGGTGAATCGATCTATGAAGTGGCCTATTGACAGGTGAATCAGAGTGTTGAGATATTTGGGAAGTAGTCCGACTTTCTAAACAACAGACACTGGAATTCTACTTGGGCATGGGCTTCAATGTCTTTTGAATAATGGTTTACATTGGTTGATATTATTCCAGTAAACTTCCTGTATTATTATGAAAGTAGAAGAGCCTTCATTGAATATACCCTTTCCTAAACTTGCTAATTCCCTTAAAATTCGTCATTACGCCAATATAATCTAAACTCGCCAATCTTATCCCTAGACTGCGTCCCCGAGAGGCACAAAAAAGAACGGCAACACACCAACCAGATTGACCACTCCAGCAATCCAGAACTTGCTTCCCAGTGAATTCTGGCCCGCGGGATTTGCGATTGTTGCAGCAACCCGAGTTCCTGCCTGGTATTTGAATATCAGAGTATAGAACAGGCCGCCTACGTTGCCCCCTGCGCCTACAATGCCTGCCACAGCTCCGACGTTCTTTGGTCGCAGATGGCCATAGACGGAATAGCAAGCGCCATTGGCGGCGAATCCGGTGACGGCAATGAGGACGATAAAGCCCATCACTCCACCCAAGGTGGCGTGGTTGTTGTTGATGTATACGCCGAGCCCGACCATTGCAACACCCTGGGACAATGAAGTTCCGAGGAGCCAGAGCACCTTGGACCTAAGCCCATAGCGAGCATAGAGCATGTCGGAAATGATACCACCCAATGGACGAGCGAACAGGTTCAGAAGACCATATGTGGATGCTGCATAGGCAGCGTCGGCAATTGTAAATGTCGCGCTCTTGAACAATTGGTTCATGAGGCCGGGCAAGGCGGCATCCATGGCAGTCTCGAGGCCAAAGGTGAGGAGGTAACAGGTGAAGCACATCCAAACACGCAAGTCGCAGAGGATTTTGAACAGAGAAGAGAAAGTGAGCGGCTCTGGCTGCGCAGTATCGATCTCGTAGATGCTAGTGCTAGCTGAAGCTTGGGACTCGTCTGTGTTGGGGCTATCCGACGACATCCCGGATTCCATGTCTTTCTTCCGCAGAATCTGTCCTTTGGACTCCTCTTGCACACCTTCGATGAACATTGGTTCGGGGCCACTAACTTGGTTTCGTTGGGACCATTTTCCCCAAGGATGATCCTTGCCAAGAACAAGGATCATAACAGAGACAAGAATCAGACAGGGAACGGGGAGGGTAGGGAAGCAGAGACGCCATGAAAGATGAGCGCTGTATCCGGCCTTGATGTACCGTTCGTAGAGTCCGATCATGACGGCAACAGTGACACCTCCTCCAAGGTTACCCCAACCGCCAGAGAACGCATTTGCAGTACCGACGATGGACTTGTCAAAGAAAGTTGTTGTGTAGGCTTGGGTGGGTACGAAAGTGCCTCCAAGGATCGAGATGAAGAATCTTACTGCCTCCAAACCCTCAATATTGACAACAAGAGCAGCCAAGCCTGAAGGGATGGCACCGAGGATGAGTAGCGTAGCGAGGACTTTTCTGGGGCCGAACCTATCACAGCAAGGTCCAGCAATGAGGCGAACGATTGCGGTGCCACCAAGCGATGCCAAATTAGAGTTGATCACCTGGTCTTGTGTAAGACCGAGATCATCCTTCACTGCCTCGGGAACCAGGGGCGAAAAGGCAAACCACGAAAGGAATGCAACGAAGAAGCCCAAGGTGGCTAGCCAGAAGGCGGTGGAATATGGGTCCCAGAACCGAAACAGAGGGAAAGTCATACTTTTGCCGTTCAAGGGGTTGACCTCAGCACGTTTCCAAAGAGAGGACCAGCCTGACTTCTGGCTTGCTGATGCGGTTTTGTTAGATTTTTTGGCCTTCTCATGGCTCCCAGCATCTGGTGTGGGAGACATTGTGCTGGCAGGTGTGAGCGATCGGACTTCGGTGGCGCGGTAGCCTGGAATAAGGGGCCCAAATTTTTTTTTTCTGAATTCAAAGAAGGGCGAATGTAAATTGGTGAGAGAAAGTATGATCCAGACTATCTTTAAGTATTGTATGTATCCAGGCGTTGGATAGGAACTTGCCAGTGTGGATGGCTGATGATTTGATGACTGCTGAGTTGATCTGGAAATGATCCAAGCTCTTCTCAGGGTTGGACGATGAACTTATACTTAATTCACGATTTCTGACGAGGTTCCTTATCTCACAGATATCTCATTGCGGCTATCCCTGCACGAAGACACTGAATAACTTCTTCGACGTATCATTTTGTGTATCGTTGAGTGTGTGATGTGGACAAAAACCGATGCCCAAGGTGCGTGCATAAAGATAGAACCAATTCTATTGGCTGATAACGAGTTTCAAATTTCCAAGCAGCGATAATGATGGCATCCGGCCGATTAACTCCTAATTAGGGTGGATTCGGAATGTAACTGAGGCTAAGGAGGCCCCCGGACGGCTGTTTATCTCAGTCCAATGGCAGACATAGATAACAAACTCCAGAAAATGGTTTCTCCGCGGAGAGGATCGTGGGGAGCATTGCATACGCTCTCGGTACCTTAATTTTCATCTGCAAGTACCGGGGGCAGTGGATTTTTTCGTCGTTATCTTACGATGCTGGCTTCGTGGATGATGCGGATCGTATCAGGCCGCCGTGGGGACTCCAGCCTTATCTGCGAATGAAAGGCTTTTTCGTGAATGTGATATCGAAATCTGGCATTTCCGCGGAGACTGAATTGCCCCCCAAGCTGTGTCCTGCTCCAAGCACGGGCGTTGATGCTGCTTGCATGTGGGAAGTTTCTCGTCTGTGGGGATCTAGAACGTCAGCGCGGTAGATAAATATCTGAGCTGTGATAGGTCGAGATAAGACTGTCGAGAGTCGGTGGGCTCAGCCTCAGGATTGGGCTTAGTATCGGTCTAAGCGGCCATCAACCCGAAACTAGGAAACGCGTGGAGACGACCGACGTCCGACTGACAAACGTGGAGGCTGGAAAGGCGGGTCTGAAGGCGATCACAAGGCTAATGAATCAATCCCTGGCCGATACGATACGCCAGTGATGACCAACGTCAGAGCATGTCATTGTGAGAAGATTATGCACCAGGAGTTTGATTGAGAGGATTATGCACCGGAAGCTCGATATTAGGTTACTATCTGTAGCAAATTACATGATTACTACTACTTAATGAAATATCACCAATCTAAAGCAGAACTTCCACAGGAAATTTGAGCTGCAGGCGCTTCTTGGCTCGTGATTCCATCCAAGAGCCTCAAGCGTTCCTCCATTTGACTTGGTGGAAGGGGACCAGAAATCTCAATGGAGTGATCCGGAACCCCGGCGAGACGGCTGGCCTCTTCCTCAGCCCGCCTCAGCATCCACTTGGATGTACTAAGTACAGCATCCAAAGCATCAGTCGGAGGAAGACGGAGCAAAACAGCGTCATTTTCTTCGTCTTCTTTGGCCTCGAACGTCATGATTGAATAGTCTGAATCAGAGCATTTGCCTCCGCCGTTGCTAGGCTTTGGGTCCAGATAATAGTTGCGCTTGTGAAGAGGACATGATACATACTCACGATCCTGTTCGTCCTGTCCAATCAAACCATCGGCTAGGACGAACGCTCGGCGATGAGGACACATATTCTGTGAAGCACGTAGGCCACGGCCCGGTATGTTCCAGACGGCTAGTTGTACATCGCCATATTTGACCGTAGCCGAAGTAGGGGCATCCGTTTGCCGGTCGAGAGCCGACAGCTTACAGACCTCGCGCCATTCCCATTTGGCGTCTTTGGCAACATCAAGGACGTCAAAGCGGAGAGGAGAGCTATCCTCAGGCCAGTCGGCAGGCCTTTTCTGGCTGCGTTCCGAGATGGACTCTGACACTTGCTGTACCTCATCCGTATTCACAAATTGTCGGAATGCGTTTCGGCGTCCAGAATCACGGACTACATTGGTCCACTCGCAATGATAGGTACCAACTAAATCGTCCATCTCCTTACTTAATTCTTCACAAATGCCAAGCTTGTCATTTACAATGACATCTTTGAGAGCGGGGAGACCACCTGGATATCTCTCAACCCACCGAGCAGTTCTCTCAAGCTTATCGGCGGAGCGGATATATAGCATGATGAATCGATCCAAAATCTTGACCGCTTGAAGCTTCGTCACGTCTTCCGCGATCAGTTGGGCGTGGCGGGGTTTGGCACCACCGTTTCCGCCCACAAAGACGTTCCAACCCTTGGGTGTGGCGATGAGGCCGAAGTCCTTGCTCTGTGCCTCAGCACACTCTCGGACACAGCCTGAAACGCCACCCTTGAATTTGTGAGGAGCACGAATTCCCTTGTAACGGTGTTCAATCTCGGACGCGAAACCAACCGAGTCGCCAAGTCCATAACGGCACCACGTGCTGCCGACACAACTCTTCACTGTTCGGAGCGACTTGCCATAAGCGTGGCCACTCTCGAACCCTGCCTTGACTAGCCTTTCCCAGATAGCGGGAAGATCCTGCTTCTTAGCGCCAAATAGATCGATACGCTGACCACCAGTGATCTTCGTGTACAATCCGTAGTCGGCAGCTATTTCTCCAATAACAATGAGCCCGGCTGGAGTCACTTCGCCAGCAGGAAGTCGGGGAACTACTGAGTACGTCCCGTCACGTTGCATATTGGCCAAATACCGATCGTTGGTATCTTGCGTCTGCCGCAGCGAAGGTTTCATAATCCATTCGTTGTACAAGGAGCTCAGGATAGAGCCCACAGCAGGCCTGCACGTCTCGCAGCCAAGGCTGTCAGGTTTCTTGCCGGTAGCTCTCATAACAGCCGAGAAGTCTTTGAGCTTCTTGAATTTGATAATCTGGAAGAGCTCCTGGCGAGAATAAGCAAAGTGGTGGCAAAGGTGGTTGGAGACTTCGACGCCTGCGTCCTTGAGGGCTCGATTGAAGATGCTGAGCGATAGAGGTATACAACCGCCGCAACCAGTTCCGCACTTTGTGTTGGATTTGACCTCACCAAAAGAACGGATGCCTTTGGTCTTAGCACATTCCACGATGTGACCCTTGGTGACGTTGTGGCAGCTGCAAACTTGTGCGTCGTCTGGTAAGTCGTCGCCCTCCTCTTCACCCTCCTTCTTTGCCCCAATGATGAATTCCGCGGGCGATTTGCCAATAGGTTCCCGCTTGTTGCAAAGTGCCACTAATTTGACATAGTCTTTGACGTCCCCTACCATCATGCCGCCGAGAATATATTTTCCATCAGCAGTGAAGATGTACTTTTTATACACATCGGAAAAGGGGTCGCGATATGTGAGTGCCTTGACCTTGCTTTTGACCTCCTCAGGCGACAGGTCGTGGACCTCTTGCACAGCCCCCCTTCTCGGCCTTGATCCAGGAAGTGGTTTTGAGATTACCCCTCGATCGGCGAAGAAGTCACCAAAGGAGGCAACATCGACTCCCATGAGCTTGAGCTTCGTGCTGACATCAGGTGCCTTCATTTCCCTGAGGTGATGGTGAGGCCCTTCCGTCAGGTTATATGCGAGTACATCGGCCATCTCAACGCCTGGAGCAATGAGTCCATAGGTTTGATCAAACAGACTGGCACATTCTCCAACGGCATAAATATTTGGGAGGTTCGTCTTTAGCCAAGGATCAACAACGAAACCTCCACGCTTCGCCGTATGGAGACCAGTGGCTTTGGCGAGATCATCTCTGGGGGTGATTCCAACTGCGAATACCACCATATCAATATCGACTATGTCGCCGGCCTCTCCGTTCTTTCCTTCGAGAGAAAGACCAGTGAGGCGGCCGTCCTCACAAACCAGATTGTGAACTCTAGTTTGAAGAAGGACCTGGACTCCGAGTGCCCTGACTTTTTCCAAGACCAGGGTGCCACCTTCTTGGTCCAATTGACGGCTCAGGACCCAGCGATTTCGTTCGACCAAGACTACTTGGTCGACCTCTTCGAGATCTAAAAGGGCTTTGGCCGCCTCTAGGCCTAGCAGGCCACCTCCTATTACGGCTGCCTTTCGGATACGGCAACCTAGGACGGCCGGAGCCTGGCATGCATAATCAATGGTGTCTTCGAGATCCTTGATGGTTCGGTATACAAAGCAGCCCTTGGTTTGGTAGAAGCGCTCTTGAGTGACATAAGGTGGCAATGCGGAATCAGAGCCTGTGGCGATGATGCAATCATCATAGGAGAACACAACACCCTTTGAGGTTTGTAGCGTCTTGGCCTCAGCATCAAGAGAAACCACAGGGTCGGCGAGGTGATACGTTAGCTTCTGGCTGTGGGATGTGTACCACTCTAGTGGGTTGAGGTATAGTGATTCCTTGGAGCGGTTTGTGAAGTATTGTGTTAGGCCGACTCTGTTATATGCGATGAGGGGCTCTTCGGCGAAGACTGTGATTTCCCATTGATCGTGGCCGCCTTCGGCATCGTACTTGAGGAGCTTCTCAATGAATGCGACGCCGACCATTCCCAGTCCAATGACGGCGGCGCGTTTCTTAGTCCCTAGCGTCATTTCTTTGGGTTCCGTGTGTGAGATTCCGCCATTGATCGTTTTAGTTGCAACGGGTGCATCTAGGACTACCGCAGAGGGCGCCATGGTAGTGACAGATGTGTAAAGACAGGAAGCAGCTGGATAAACCTCTTACAGCCAACCTCTTGTCAAGTGATGTGGTGGGACGATGTTATAAGAACCCTACAGGGAAGGATAAGGCAGGTAATAATCTTCCCTCATAGATATGAGACTTTGCTCTGCGTTATTGTAAGGCAAGGTGCTCCGCTACCCTTTTGAAGATATGCAGCTATCTTGCCTGACTATCGAACACTCTCATTGGACTACGACATTGTGAAGGTGTGGTAGGCACTGATACGCCAGAGGTCACTTACACATCACCCAAGTATCTCAATGCCCTGTCCAATCAGCGATCCCGATTTCAAGATTAACCCGAAGATCTCCATCGGCCAGGAACTAGAACGAGGTGGTGGGGGTTCTAGCGTAGCGTTGTGTCACTCTGCGTGAGGGTGGCAAGGTGGGAAGCAAAGCCGGCAGCTGTCACCCTGGATTTATTCCCAGCTGCTTGATAAGTTGAGCAGCATTGGGAGGATTCAATTGGCTCGGTATCGCCATGGATAGCCCCTGCGGGTAATAAACCCTGCAGCATCGCCATCTCAGCCCTCTCCGCGGAGAAAGTCCATCCCCAGAGTTGCTTGACAGACTTCAGATTCTGGGGGGGAACCAATAAGAAGGCCGTAGTTTCTTATCAAGTTGTCTTATCTGCAAGTTTATCTCTGTGCGGGCGGCCAGCTTATCTAGCTCAATCTATCTTGTCAAGCGAAGCTCTAGTTTGTCATTGAGTAAGTCTATTTATTCAGGAGGGCCCTTTCTCCGCGGAGAAACCAAATTCTGTAAATTTTTCTCCCTGCCCCCAAGTAATACGACCTCTTATCATACCATCAAAGTCAGGATACAGACATCACACCATAGTCCACGGGCAATACCGGTAGCCTAGTTTCACATGCATGTTGTAACCGATGCCCTTATCATCGGCGTGGCGTAATTCTTGTTACTGGCAAATTTAATCACGCTATCTCAATTGTTCACCCCATCCACTTGTGCTCCACCATCCCTTGACATCGGCCGGGTCGGTTACGTATGAGAGAGTAGTGGAGAGTTTCGTTCTCAGCACTACTGCTGGTGGACTGCGTTCGAGAGAACAAGTAGACATAGGCCCAGTTTCTCTCTTTTTGTTTGTGTCTCGGTACCATGAAATCTCGGACAAATTCCATTTCACTCCTGCCGTTTGTGTGACCTCCTTGGCCTTGAACTGGGCGTCTGCTGAGACATTATCAATTATTTTCATGTACATGATATCCCGAAATCCAGTGTCCTTAAATGTGAACAATAACAATAAACAACAACCATGGCATCAAAATCTTGGGCATCTCTCGCTTCCTCAGTAGTGACTACTGATGGCGATGACCATGTCTGGAGTTCAGCTGCATCTATCGCGGACACAACCGACGGCTTAACATCGCCAGCATCGTGTCTTTCACTGTATTCGAAGAACTTCGATGAACCGGAACCGGAACCAGAGAGCGTTGAACTCTTTGCCCCTCGGTCATTTTACGATTCAAACTTATTACCTCCCGTCCCCAGAATCGAACCAACAATACCATTAGCCGTCGACGGGCCGACTCCAGATAACTGGGTAAACAGAGACGAGCGTCTGGTCCGATTGACGGGCAAACATCCCTTTAATGTGGAAGCCCCGCTGTCTACACTTTTCAGCAAAGGCTTCCTGACGCCGCAAAATCTATTTTACGTCCGTAATCACGGATACGTCCCACGAGTGACCAGAGATGAAGCAAAGTCCTGGAAGCTCCGTGTGCATGGTCTCGTGGAGAACGAGTTCCAGTTCACCATCGACGATTTGAAATCCATGTTTCCCACAGTCACATTGCCAGTCACTTTGGTGTGTGCCGGTAACCGCCGAAAAGAACAAAATGTCGTCACAAAGGGTCTTGGGTTCAACTGGGGTGCTGCTGGAGTATCAACAGGCCTCTTCACAGGAGTCTATCTGGCCGACATTATCGACTATTGCAGGCCCAAAAATCCACTGCTAACAGCATACCCTTCATACGAAACTGTCGTGCCCGGGCGCGCACGCCACGTCATATTCGAAGGCGCAGATGAACTTCCCAAAGGCAAATATGGAACATCACAGAGACTTAGTTGGGCCATGGATCGGCAAAAGGGTATGCTCATTGCGTGGGCCATAAACGGAGAAGACTTGTCGCCCGATCACGGGTATCCTCTTCGCCTGGTAGTCCCGGGTCAAATCGGTGGTCGCATGGTCAAATGGCTACAGCGCATCGAGATATCAGATCGTGAAAGTCAACACCATCTTCACTTTTTCGACAACAAGCTTCTCCCTACCGTGGTATCGGCTGATCAAGCTCGAAATGAGGACAAATGGTGGTATGACCCGAAGTACATCATCAATGACCTCAACGTCAATGCCGCTATTTGCTCCCCCGACCACAATCAAATTGTCACTCTGCAGCCAAACTCAAGTCAAAGATTACCTATTGAGGGATACGCTTACACTGGCGGTGGTCGTCGGATCACCCGTGTCGAAGTTACACTCGACGACGGCAAAACTTGGAGGTTAGCAGATATCACATATCCCGAAGATCTTTACCGCCTCTACCCGGTTCAGAACCATCCCTTCTTTGGCACCCTAGATCTAAGCATGACGGAGATGAGCTTTTGCTGGTGCTTTTGGAGGCTCGATCTCAATATCATGTCTGATTTGGTGGGCCCAGACGTGAGGGTGATTGCAGTACGAGCTATGGATGAGGCGCTACAGACAATGCCCCGCGACATGTACTGGAGCCCAACTTCGATGATGAATTCTTGGTGGTTCCGTGTCGCTGTCCACAAAGATGAGAAAGGAGAATCCGTTCGATTCGAGCACCCGGCTCCTGTGGCTGGAGATGCTGGCGGCTGGATGCAGCGGATGAAAGATGCTGGAGCCGACCCAAGATTCCCCAATTTTGGTGGAGAGAGCCCTTACAGTGCCAGTGCATCCAACACGGCCGCATCACAGCCTGATGCTTCGAGTGCAAAAGAAGATATCCTAAAGGAGATGTTGGACGACTCCAAAACCTCAGTGGCAATCACACCGGAGGAGTTAGCACAGCACGCAGACTCAGAGGGCCCAGAACCTTGGTTCGTGGTCCACGGCCATGTCTACGATGGAACCAAGTTTCTGGAGGGTCATCCTGGGGGTGAGCAGTCAATTCGTATCGTGGCTGGAGAAGATGCCACCGAAGACTTCATGGCCATTCACTCGGTTGATGCCAAGCGGATGCTACGCGACTATCATCTAGGAAAGCTTCAAGGATCTATCTCCACGGAAGCATCTGCAGATGCTGCTGAAGATGAAGATTCCAGCAAGCCATTCTTGCAGCCAAAGAGGTGGAAGAAAACATATTTGACCTCAAAAAGGGTTGTTTCGCATGATTCTCGAATTTTCAGATTCGCGCTCTCACACGAGGACCAATTAGTAGGGTTGCCAGTCGGTCAGCACGTATACGTTCGAGTAAAACGAACGAACCCTACCACTAAAGAAGTAGAAACGATACAGCGCGCATACACCCCATACAGCAGTAATTCTCAGAAAGGATATCTGGACATCTTAATCAAGGTGTACTTCCCTGGTGCTCCTCCAAACAGCAAGGACGGGGATTATCCGGGAGGAAAGATGACAATGCTGCTTGAGAATGCGCCAATAGGTGCCGAGTCTGAGGAGTTAACGATAGAGCTTAAGGGCCCTGTCGGAGAGTTTACCTATCTTGGCAACAAACAAGTCCAATGGAACCCTGGCAATCGCTGCCGTTCAATCAAGAAGCTGGTTATGATTTGCGGAGGGAGTGGCATCACACCCATCTGGACTACACTCAAAGCCATTGCGGATGAGTTCCAGGCCCTCCCTGCCGACGAAACTCATGAGCCTATCCAAATTTGGTTAATATCTGGTAACCGAACAGAAGAAGACATTTTGCTTCGTGAGGAACTTGAAGAGATCGCGTCTCTCCTGAAGCAACACATTCGGGTTTGGTATGTGTTGAGTTCTAACAACCTTGGGGATGATTGGAAAATGGGTCGGGGGTATGTCGATGAGAACTGTCTTCGACAACACCTACCCCCTCCCCCACCCACACCAACGGGAGATGAGCTGGAGGATACCCTTGCACTGGTTTGCGGCCCCCCGCCAATGGAGAAGTGTGTATCAGCTGGTTTAAAGAGCTTAGGATGGGATATTGATCGAACAGTTGTGTTCTTCTAGTATATTTGAACGAATTTCTTTGTAAATAGATTAGACCACCTGTGAACGGGGTGTGGATCATGCGTTTTTTACTAAATCATAGCGCTATTATAAATGAAATCAAGAAATTTATCATCGTTTCCAATCAGCTTGGGTTAATTAGAGAGTGTGCGAGTAAGTGAAGCTCATGGTATGGTAAAGAATTCAAGGTGCTGGAAGCACGGAACTAATAGGTTTCAAGATGACAAAAAGCCGTGGCGGAGCGCGTCACCAGCGTAAAAGTCGCTATTTTTAGGCTGCTTGATGAGTCACTCACCGCAAATACGCAAATGCATGAATCATTGCTGATGAGGATTAGTAAATAGAATTGAAACATCGATTGCTTCTGGCTCTGGGTATTTTTTCAATTCGTTCACTAACCGCTCTTCGAACATAGACAGACCGCTGTTGAAGTCGCTACAATGGAGCAGCTACAAACCGAACTGGAGCAGCTCATTAAGCAATCGTTCCATTTTGAGCCCATCAGCACCCAGCGTCACGATCAATGGTACAAGCGCGTGTATCAAAGCTCATGGAAGGACGGGGGTTGCCCTCTGATTCTAACCCCCAAAGTCTCACGGGAGGAGTGGACAGCACAGGTGCACCAATTTGCCGTCAATTTCGCGAAAGCAGTCCACGGCGCAATCAACAATAGCTCAAAAATGCGGCAGGATGCTCTTCAGGCGGAAGAAATCTCAACTGACAACAAACTGTTCCAAGACGCGGTGCTCGACGAGTTCCAAACCACGTTCACGCCTTGTAGCGCCAAGGAGAATACATTAACACCAGCCATGCAGCGGCTCGTGTTCTGGACTGAGCCCCATGACAATTTCCAGCCCGTGGCAGATGCGGTTCGGGCGCTGTTGGCATGTGAGCAGATTGGGCCTTTGCTATACTTGGCCCGTCGTCGCGGGGAAATCCCGCTCAAAGACCTGGCACCGAAGAACGCCAAACTCTGGACCCGAAGACGCTTCAAAACAGACAACACGGGCTGGGAGCTTGGGTTGGGAGAGGCTCTTGAATTCCTCTTCTTCGTCGAGATTCTCAAGTGCTTTCCCGACGTGTTGGGTAAGGAGGAAGAATGCGAGAGATGGGTCCCTTACACATATGCCGAGGAGACTTCGCCTATGCGGCGCTACCTACGAAACCGGAACGGCACTCATTCTAAAATCATATCAAACACTGACAAAGAGATTCAGCGGTGTTTCCGAATCGTGTGTCTCCACCAGATGCTACGGGACGCGTGCGGGTTACCAGCCCTGAATCTAGAGGAATATGTTATCAATACGTTCCTCTCCTTCCTGGGATTCGAGGCTTGGAACCGTTGGCGAGAGGGAGAGGGATACCTGGGAACTGATTTGAATAAAATGAAGGACGAGAAGTGGCTGTGGCAGAATATGGGCGACGACGCGAAGCAGGCTGCTGAGAAACAAAGGGAGCTCGATGCACATGATTCCTCAAGTGCCGCGCCAAAGCCGCCGAGGCCGCGAGATCCCCTTCGACTGCGAGAGCCGAAAGCAAAGCCTGTTGAGGAGCCTAGCGAAGAAGATCTTGCTGAGCTAAGTAAATTGGCAGCGTTGGAGGCTGAGGAAGCAACATATGGGCGGAAGAGAAGCGCCAAATATCACCGGAATCAGTAGGAACAAGCATCCTACCGGTGCCAACAGCTGCACATTCATGTTGTCACGTCAAGGCTCATAAAAACTTCATAACACGGCACCATTGATGATATGAAGGGTAGAATTCAACTGCTTTGACACGAAGTACAGAACTGTTTCCAAATTTCATGTATAGCATTATTCCTAGCTTAATTATTTTGTTCCAAAAACCATTTCACAAAAATTCCATTTGCCTCCTCAGCTCCTATGCTGTTTTCGACATACTTGTCAGAGATCGGGGAGTGTGGCGGCTAGTCACGTCAGTGAAATATCAGACCTCCACATCATCTCCCTTGCTTCTCTGCTTAAAACGTCGCTTTGCCTTGAAAAAAAGTCTGGTTAAATGTGCGATGCCAAACGTCCACCCCTTGAACCTGACGGTATAGACGAAAAAGAAGAGTAGAGCCCAGTTTAAGACAACAAAGACGGCCATAAGGCCAAGGGCCAGCCATCGATCTCCACTATGGATATTGAGAGTCTCGATATACTCAAGACCATTTTGATACTGGCAGAACCCGCAGTTGGATGTTTCGTTCGGGTTCTGCAGATACCCGGATGTGGCCACCTCACTGACAAAGTGGCCTGCGTATTCGGCGCAGGTGCTCCCCGGGGGCGGATTGAATCTTGCCAGCTCAGGCTGGCTGCACTGTATAGAATATGAAGGAAGAATCGTGGAGAGAATTCCCCGGCTATACCAGGTCACTGGGTTCATGTAGTAGACTGTGTACTTCCACACGGCTGGCATATATTGCCAAGGGGTGAATGTTGTGGTTATTAGTGACAATCCGACGAAGAAGCAAGGTAGAATCTAGGCATTCCAAGTTTTAGTAAGACTGGCCATATTTAAGGGATAAGGAGTCTTACGTTAGAGGTTATCTGGTATGTTGGGCCGAATGCACCGATCCAGTGACCAAAACTTGGCATAAACAGAGCCCATAGGATAGTCAAGGCGTAGGCATATCCTGACGCGGAACTGATTATGGGGGACTCTGACGGGAAATACCAGAGAATGAAATAGATAGTGCCAGCCAAAATTGAAATTGGTATTTCGGCGATGATATTTGCGGTGCAGAATGCTACCCACGAATACGTTCCGCTAGGTAGTTCTCTGTCCTCCCAGAGCTCGCGGAAAGTGAAAAAGTTAGAGACAACGCTGTTCACAACTGGAGCAGTCATAAAGAAGGGCATGATGATAGAACTGAGCATTCGGTTCTGAATAGACGCAATGGTGTTGGAGCTGTCTCGGAAAGTCTGTGCTTGTAGTTAGGAATGAGCATCTGGGACTATGAGATCGAGACACTTACAAATCCAACCAGAATCCCCATGGTCAAATGGATGAAAATTCTTCCATAAAAGTAGTGTGGCTCTCTCCAGTACTTTATAAATGTTCGTTTAGTCAGGAGCCGGCATTGGAGGAAAGTCGACGCTGAGAATGACTCAACCCTGGGCTCTCGAGTTTGGGCATTCTCAAGTCCAAGAGCAGCATGTCGGTCAATCTCTTTGACTACTTTGTCTGCCTCAGAGCTTTTACGCCACTCTTCGTCCCAGTCGATTGGTTCCTGGTCATTTTTGACGCTGCTTGCTGCTCGAGATGTTGTCTCCAGGATGAACTCAGCAATGTTTTGGGCAGGTGCTGGGCGAGATCCACGCGCTGTAAAGTATTCAACAACGACTGAGCCGTCATCTCCCAAGGGTCCGAAGTAGCTGGTATTTCCTCCAGGATTGAGGGCCAAGATCGAGTCAAATTGCTCGATGAGGTCAGAGGAGGGTTGGTGAATCGTACAGATAATGGCCTGGCCAGAATCTGCAAGCTTGCGGAGGAAACGAACAACAGAATAAGCTGATTGGCTATCAAGACCGGAGGTAGGCTCGTCTAAGAATAGGAGCATTGAGGGTTTGGCAGCTACTATACAGTAAGTCTTTGAATCTCGGGCGCGATGAAGCGCAATAGTATTGTGATATCTTACCGAGTTCAACGCCGATGGTTACTCGCTTACGCTGTTCAATATCCAGTGAGGATACAAGCGCATGCTTGAGCTCATTAAATTCCAGCAGGTGGATGAGCCGGTCAACGTAGGCGAGTTTCTCGGCACGAGAAGTTTGGCGATCCTGCCTCAACAGCGCGGAGAAGCGGAGCGCCTCCAACACTGTGGCTGATCCCTCATGAACATCCCGCTGCTCACAAAATCCAACTTCTGACTTTCCAATATGATCAACTCTCTTGCCATCCACTGCAATGGTCCCCGAGACTGTGCCAAACCTGTGTCTAAAGGATAAAGTATTCAACAAAGTACTTTTGCCGGCTCCTGATGTTCCGATTAGTGCTACCATTTGGCCTGGCTTTACATATCCTGTTACGCCATGTAGTAGCTTCTTTTCTCCATGCCCATAAGGGATGGTATACTCCAGGTCTTTGAATGTAAAGACATGATTTCCGTGACCCATGTTACCCAAATCAGTCTCTGGCCCTTTGTCTTCAACCTTCGGTGATTCAGCTTCTTGATTCGGCTTCGCGTAGAAGGTTGACTGAGTATCGGCGGATTCGAGACGGAACATGTCAACTGCTACCACATTGACCACGATAAAGGCGATTGAAAAGGCAAAAAGAATACCGAGATTGCGCCAAATATTTTCTTTGTGGCTGGATAAACGTTAGAGAATCACGATGGGCCCATCATCGCATTGTTGACTCACAAATCAAATGCAGCACTCAAGAAGGCGAGACCATCTACTGTGGTGCTGCCAACTTGCGCACCCGGAATTCCACACCCTTGGAAGCCCTCCAGAGCAAACTTCCCTCGGGGCACAAGTTGATCTTGATTACATTTTAAAGATATGCCGGCCATCTCACTCGTCAGGACAGCCTCGAACGCAAACGTGAGGGGGTTGATGTAGGCAAACCAGCCAAACCAAGGCACGTCATTGATCAAAGTGTTGCGGGGAATGTTGTAGCCCGTGTAGATGAACATTACATTCATCACTGTTCAGAAGTTGTTAGCTCATCTTATAACAAATTGCGCTGAATTTCAGACAAAAACTCACGAATCCCAACGTAGAGAATAGCATCGTCCACCGTATTTGAAAAGGCTGCCAGCATGCGATAGAGCGCTGTCAATGTGAATCCACCCGTGTAGACAAACAAGAAATACGTCCAAAATTTTCCTACATTAAATTGGTATTGAGCAAGAAAATAAAACGCCAAACTGAAAGTCGAGGTCATGATCAACATGGCCAGCAAGTCCAGAACGGCGCGACCGACAACCACAGCCGATGGGCGGCAAAAAGAAAACTGGCGTTGACGTTCCAATATCGTACGACCTTCAATGGAAGGCTTCAACTCCGCAAATTGGATCCACCCGATGAAGCCAACAGAGATGAAAGTCATGCCGCTTCGAGCAAAAGTTGAGTCGGTGGAGCCGGAGTCAACCTCGGAGAAAAGAGATCCGATAACGAGAGCGTTGACGATGATGGTCGCGAGCTTGACGTAAAAGGAGTTTCGGTCATACCACATAAGCCAAAGTTGGCGCTTGATACATGTAGCAACTTGGCGTACGTATGAAATAGTGTAGGGGGAATTCGGGGACACCCGTCTTGATTTTGCTGGGCCACTGAATAAGTTTCAACTTCACGATGAATATTCGGGTAAGACTTACACCGGTGAACTGAATATCTAAAAAGCTCGCTAGGATTGGTCTGGCCATTGTGATCAAGATTGTATGTCTTTCTTACATCTTCGAGTATCCTTTGGTGATGCGAACTGCGGTGAAACAACTCTTCGAGCTCTTGCGGTGACTGGTGAGCACAATCTCCTCGACCCTGTTGGAACTTCTCATTGTTGATATCACCAATTGACGTCAAGAAATCTGCAGTCGTTCTGCCCCGGACTAATTAGTTTGGTTCAGAAGAACATCGAGGTCAGAGAGGACTCACTGCCTGGGTGGACAATAATATCCCAAGTCGACAAAATATCTTTTGGCCTCCTGGGCAGGCCCTTGGTAAATGACCCGTCCTTGGTCAAAGACGATGACCTTGTTAACGAGATTGTAGATAGACTCGCTAGCTTGGTAGAGGCTGATGAGAGTTGTCCGGCCGCTTAGATCGGTGTATGCACGAAGAGCTTCCCCAAAGCTGAGGGCTGTGCTCGCATCTAAGCCTCGTGTTGAATTGTCCCAACATGCCACTGCCGCTCGCGTAGCTAATGTCTCAGCAAGGCTGATGCGCTTTCTTTCGCCGCCAGATAAACCCCGAAGATGCTCGTCTCCGATGAGAGTTGAAGACACATGCCTCATTTTGAAAACTCGCAGGAGTACATCGATGACGTTTGGTGTACTTCCTCTCTCGCGTCGCTTCGTCTTCGCCGTGAGAGCAAACCACAAAGTCTGCCACGCCGTCAAAGAAGCTAAATGCCTATCGTCCTCTTCGCAATAAACAACTTCGCCACGGTAATGTCGCTTTTGCTCCTCGGCTGTAATGCCGCTATAGCGAACATCTCCTTCCACTGCAGCATACCCTTCGCGTTGATTAGCAATAGCTTTGAGGAAGGTGGAGCACCCCGATCCAGGGCGGCCGAGAACGAGCATGATTTCCCCGGGCTGGACGTTGCCTGTCACATTGTGGATGATTTCATGGCTGGGTGTGGTGGAGGGAATAATGGGTATCGTGCGACGGGCCAGATGCCACAGCCCAGGGCCGAATGTGTACCAGATGGCTTTTGGAAGAGTCTCTACTGAGGATGCGGAAGCTTGGACGCCCCGAACAGTTAGGTTCTCGTAAGATACACCAAGACTTTTAACTGAAGATTCCACCAGACCGCCTTGCAGAAGCTGTATCAAGTCGGTATCTTGGTAATTATCACGACTAGATGGGTTGCAAGGCGTGTTCTGTCCACTCAGAGACATCTCTGTTGTTTCCACTCCCACCTTATCCATCTTCATTGGATACGACATGATGGAATGTAGAAACTCTCCAGGAAATGGAGGCTCTTTCTGTAAAATCCTGAACTACTTGTTACGAAGGAGCTCATCAGTCACAGTGTCAGGTGCGTTTGGAGTGTCCCTTTATGCAATTTTCTACGCTCCAGGCCCCCTTGATTATCCCCTGGTTCGGGCCGCGTTCGGAGGGATTGATTAGAAATCCACATCTAATAATCTATGGGGGGAGACCCTCTGCAACCTCCCATCTTTGGGTTTTGAGTACGGTGAGTGATGTGATCCTAGTGGGGCGCTTGGGCATCGTGAAAATCTAAATATGACCAACCGGAGCGGAATATACAGTTGGAGTTAAGTGGAAGACTCAATGGGAAGAATCGGTAGGGTAGGTCGGATACCGGCCGGGGCTCGCGAGGATCGATCTTCACGAGATACCACCTTGCTTACTATTCGTATTTCTCCACGGTTATTTATAATCAGTTTTGTCGAACAACTACTAGTTTCATTAAAATACTTGCCGCTTCTGACCAAATCAGACAATTGTCTACCAAATTTTTCTTCGAAGGGCTTGCTCCTAACAAGCTAGGCAAGATGGAGAGAGGTGGAGAGACAGGCATATGGAGTCAACTGGCCCCAGTAACTACTAGCTCACTCGATCCGTACTGAACCGTGCAAGTAATGCAATATCCGATGGATAAGAAGCTCTACGAATGCAAGTAGACAAGACGGAATTCGCATTCCGCCCTGCAAGATTGTCAGTTCCACCCTGAGGCAGTTCCTTGTCTGACTCGATAGTATCCACAACCCCACACGGAGATGCAATCTTGGGAGTAAACTTTTGGGAGGAAAACCCAATCATGAATGAGCCTGAATGTTCATTACGTTCTAAACTCGAAACAGTAACTCCGCGCCATCGATGGCCCTCCCACCGACGTTGTATCTTGCTCAGAAAGGAAAGACTAAGCCCCATCTGCCGTAGTTCTACCATTATCACCCTAGATAATTCACCGATCGTGGATTCCGACAACCGGATGAGAGCCTATTTTATCTTGCCATCCAACTGAAAAGGGTAAGGGGAAAAGTCTCCTTGCATTGTCCAATCGCAGGCGCAGGCCTATCAACGATAAAACTCTGTTCGTTCAGCTGACCAGCTGCATGCACCATTAGCGGAAATACGCATTCTCTGCGTCGAGATTCCTTGATATTACCTTGTCTTATCCACTTCCGAAACCACATATCAACTTCAATGTTGATCATTATTCAGCTTGCATCGTTGAATTTTCACTCTCAGTGTTGCATATTGCATGCCTTTCACTCAACTGTTAGGTCGCTGCACAGTGTGAAACCAGTCGAGAAATCATTCCTGGACCGAAGACGATACCCAACTCTTCTTCCCCTTTTGGAATAATGACCTTTATATTCAGACATGCTCTTCAGAACCCATTTTTTTTCTGTTTCAGACTCGAAAAAAAAAAGCATCATTTACGATGTCCTATGTTCATGCTTATGTTACCTCGATGCCCAAAGGAAGGCCCTTCGGGGTTTTCCTTGGTCTTACTTTATACTTCGCATCATCATACGACGTGTCACAAACTTAGCTGAATAGAGCCATCCTCGTATGATTCAGTCTCGAAGGGTTGTAGATTGGAGGGTGTGATTAAACACTTGGATCACACCACGCCAATGCAACCTTGGGCGCTTCAGTATTGGACCATTTTCCCAGAATCTATGCAATGAGGGAAAAGTGACGCGTAGATATTCAATTCTTCAACAGAACCTCATGAAAGTTTGATTCTAGAAGACGTGATACGGGCCCCACTAACATGCTTTGCAGTAAACATGGCACTCAGGCACGAGGCATACCAGTCAAGATTAGATTTCTCGGCCTTTCCACCTTCCAATGACGCGTGCCCGTCACGGAACTCCCCCGCGTAAAGGGAAGATTTACCACCGATTGATGTCCCAGTTAGCCGCTAATCGGCCTACAGAGCATTCGTTATCGTCATCCAAACCCTAAGTTTCATAACTCGGCCAGCATAATGGCAGGTAGCAGTATTCAAATTACTCAGGACTTCCCTGGAACCCTTAGGCTTCTCCTGAAGTTGGGCTGCTTCTTGGGCTTTTTGTTTCATCGTCAATGCTACTGTTGCACTGAAGATCTACCGTAGACTAATGATAGCCCCCTAAGGCACTCTTCAGTAAACAAGCCAGAAGCTATTGATGCCCGGATTAAATCCTCAATATACTCTTAGTAGGTTTTACTAAATATCAAGCTGCTTCTTGGCTAAAATTTAAAGTCGTTCAAGCAATCTATTTATATACGGGTACAGTAAAGGCAGGACTTGGATATAACCACGAAACTTAATCTGCCTACGATACAGATAATTCACGAGTCCTTGGCTCACTCACTGCGGATAAGAAGCCTACTTTTTATAATTATAACTACAACTCCCAGAACCGTCGCATGCCCGTTCCACACAGCAGTTTATCCCATCTTTGTGTCAAGCATGCTGCCTCGTGAAGGGTAGAATGACGTTTTACGAAGCATACCCGATACACGGTACAGACATGAATCAATTGATACATATACCTCAAGTGGTTAGAAAGCGCAGCCTCCAAAATTGATTTTCCCGCTAAACTCCACGTTGGGGCGTTAAGTTCCAATATAGCACAACGGCAATCTCGAAAGACAAGGCCGATGCAATAAGTTAGATGTAATAAGAGCTGCATCTTTAGGTACGGTGATATTGTGCCATAATTAGATAAGGGTTCATTCGGGCAGTCTTAATTTGTCACCGAATTCGCTTCCTGACAACAAATATTACTACAACACCACTACCATCATCACCATTACCATCATGGTGTGCCTCGCCCATTAACTCTGTCATTAGCCTGCCTTATAGATTTTAATGCAAACAATTAATGCCATAGTGTGTGGTATAAGTTTAACATTCTCTTTTTTTTTTCTGCTACAAGTGATATACCGAGCAAGGAAAGGAGTTAGTCTACCATTAGAAAAGAACATTAGGGTCTAAGAGTCAAATGAGAAAAGAAAGCTCTATCTTTATGGGATGAAAGAAGGCTAGTGGGGAAACCAACCATGTCTTTCGATAAAATAAACTTACCAAAATAGGTTGCAGCGCTTGATGGCGAAACATGCTGCATGCTAGTAAGCTTGGCTCTGCGAATGCATTTCTATGAAAATGGACTTGGCCGCACCACCGTCGGGAAAAGGACCAAAGTGTCAAACAGGAATACACAAATTATATACGTAATAAGCCTCCGAGTTTTGGAGAAATTGTTGCTAATAGCGAGAGTCCCTGGGGGAAGATCGCTGCTTTTGACTCAATATAGGCCATGATGCAGAGGCTTGTCATTTCGCCCTTTCCATAACATGCTGCAATTTCCGATGTAACTTCAACACTTTGTCTCGTATCTTCAGCCTAGATCCCATAATAAATCCTTCTGAGACACCAGTAGGCTGGTTGCCACGGTCAGATTTTGCACTCATGTCTCACATGACGAGATGCGGTCTGGCCGGTTGCGGAGGAGGGCAAGACTGACAGAGGCACCTTCTATATCAGCAGAAAGATGGCGGCAGGAGATGGAATGCCCCCCAGGTTATCGCCAATGTCCGTCAGAACTGCTGATACGGCCGCCTCCGGTAAGGAATGGAACCAATGCCTGATCTTGGACAATCGACACGCCGCCTTATCTCTGATGTGTGATAGTCCGGCTATTAGTGCCAATCAACAGTGCCTACATCTATCACAGGGCCCATCCTTACCCCGCGTTTTCTCCCCTTTTTAGGTTCACTCTCCAAACTTGTCCCATTCGGGGATTCATACCCGAAGGTGTAAGATAGGGAGCGAGATCATATCGTCACCCGCAGATCATTTCATGCCTGGCTTATGGCAAGCGTATAAGACATGCAAAATGATGATATAGTCCTCCTTTCGCTGAGATTTGTTATACACCCTTCCTAATCCTATCTTTCACACTTTAAACTCGCCATCGTTATTGCATATCATGGATATTGTTAATGCAATTTCTTCGCCAGGGACGGCCCTGGCAACAGTCAGTCTGGTAGCATGTGTTGGTGGCTTTGTCATTTTGCTTCAAATTCTCCTACACAGGCCAAAAGCACTGTATCACATTTGCTCTTTTCTTCAATCTTCATTGCGAGAGTCTCCTAAAAAGCCTTCCGATACGGACTACTCTACCGTATTCCCACCAAGCCAAAGGCCTGTACTTGGTCAATTGATTCCAGTAGCTTCACCCGGGCGTGACTTGTCCCTCTCACCCAGACCAGTCCTCCCACTAGACGCGAGCTACTTGTCCGCTCCCCCTTCTTCTTACGTCTATAGCGGATTCACAGTAGAGGAGATTAAGGCGCTTGGGAACTTTCCAGACTATTCCAAACTCTCTGGGGTTCCTCATCCGACACCTCTCAAGCAGTTCGATATTGATAAGGCCTTGCCCAGACCTTACAGACCTTTCCGATGGTCATATCACCAAACCATGTGTATGTAGGACTGCAGCAGAGACGTCGGTATACCACCACTGACAATAGCAGCCTTCAAGAAACTGGAAACAGATTTCTGGATTGAGCTTGAGAGCACATATCGCGACCGCGTTCGGCAGCGACAAGAGCTTTTTGCGCAACACGGGAAAGATGTCCTGCAGGCCCTTCCGGGGTCGGAACTTGCATGCAAAGAACTCATGGAAATGGTATTGCAGTTCATCTGCATCAGATATCCTAATTGTTTCCAGCTGAAGGGCAATATTTTTATTAATCATGTTCTCGGCACAAAAGACGACCTTTCAGCGAAGGATCCTTTACTTGTCCTCTTGGATAATGTCCCAGAAGACTTCGGCATAAGTTTGAGAGACCACCAAACAGGTCGCTATATGCTCCGAGCTGGTGTTATTTGCTCGTCCGTTGATTGGAACTTGGGTGAGAAGATAGGCTTGGGTCTGCCGGCTATTCATAAGCGTGTACCAGACTATAAAGAGAAGATGGAGTTAAGCATGGACAGGTTAGTGAAAATGAATATACGGGGTGAACCTGCCAATCCAACAGATTTCTAATGTTTGTCGCAGGTTCTTTACCAAGATGCCAGCCAATGGTCCAATTCAGAGAGGGTCGTGGGGACTCGAGATGGGCCAGCCTCTCTATCTTCCCCCAGGAAGTGAAGCCGTCGAGCACAGAGAGCACCAGCGACCGGACCTACGGCCTGATGAAGTGCATCTGCGCGTGGATTGGCAGACTTTGCGGCGGCTGCCCTTATCGGGTGCGATTATATTCAATTTTAAGGCATTGTTTACTCCTCTCTCAGAGTTCAAAGACGAGCCATATATTCCTTCCCTTGTTCTCAAGATTCTAAACGAAGGGAACGAAGGGATCATGAAATATAAGGGTACATGGCATGTAGAGCATGTGGCGAAGCCCTTGTTAGAAGAATACGAGCGATACCAGATTGCTCAGGGCTTAATGAAGCCAGAATGGGAGCCGGCAACATTAGATGAGAGTCCCTTCTTTCCGGGCTGGGAAAGAAAATGGAATCTACACTAGATTCCAGGAAGGAAATCGATTTGTAGAGCAGCGTATCATTTTTCAAGAAATTCTTCATATGCGTCCCTCAGCCATTGGCATTATGATCCGGTGCGCGCCCCTGTAAAGACGACAGTGTCGACAATATCTGGAGGATGTTGCATAATTGAAGCCGACAATATGTATTCTGGACTTTTAGAAGCCAGCAGGATATCCCAAAGCACAAAGAAAATTAGCGAGAGGGAAATAAAGCCCGCAATCCTACAACTTGATCACAGTCTACGTCTACAAACAGGAATACCTAATTAATCCCTTTTCAATGCACGCACTATGACCGATCTTTTTTTGCTTCTGCGCCATCAGTCTGCCCCGTAGGAATTTAGCCGCCTGCAGCCCTCATAATGATCGGATCCTCCCTCTCCTTCCGGGAACGCAAAAAAAGGTCAGGTCTAGGATCAGGTAATGCACGATCCAACGCTGTTCAAACGCGAAATACGAGCTGCCTCCAGTATTAGTGGCCTTAATACGACCATGGGGAAAAGCAGTTTGAACGGGGGCTTCTTTGGGACTTTGATCTTTCGATCCAAACCGCGAAGCAATGAGAAGACCAAACATATACATCAGCTCCCCAACGATCATTGAACAGACCATGGATGAGCAGACTTTCTCGAATAGACTTCGCAGAATGATACCTCGTGCTGCATAACAGCTTTTCAGTAAGCTGGTGCCCGCTTTAGGATGGGGCCAAGGCCAATTAAGCTCGCGATCAGCGTGATGGCCGGGGTGATCATTTTCAGCTTTGCCAACTTTAGTAGAAGATGAAACGCACGTTCATCAGCTCGCATTCATGGAGCAATCGCACAGTTATCCAGAATAGGAATGTTAGCCCAGCCAAGGCTGATCCAGCAGGGTAGATTGTCATCATTTTAAAAATCAACCAAAACTTACTTCGGTAAGCCTGGCGAGCGACTTGATTAAATAGATGTGACTTCTCATTTTACTTCGGGAAATATCAACTCGATATTCATTGCCTCATTGAAATCATGAAGCTCGCTACTCTCCTCGCTTTCACTGTGACCACAGCTGTGGTGGCTGCTCCCGCCGGTGAGGAGGGCCTTGTCACTCGACAAAACGATGTGACAGACCAAATTTTGTTCAGCATCACTCTTCCGGCATTTACCACTCGCCGAAATGCAAAGAATCCCCCTACGCTGGATTGGTCTTCAGACAACTGCTCCTGGTCTCCTGATAACCCTTTGGGATTTCCATTTGAGGTACCGATTGCTCCCTGAGCTCCACCATTCGTGCACTAACGATATTAGCCTGGTTGCAACCGCCATGACTTTGGATACCGCAACTACAAGAAGCAAACCCGCTTCACCACGGCCAACAAACTAAAAATCGATAATAACTTCAAGAAAGAGTGAGTTTCTCTTTTTTCTTCAATGTCAGGGCATCAACCACGCTACTAATAGTGATGCCTTTCTCAGTTTGTATTATCAATGCAGGAACCAAAGCCTCAAATCTGTTTGTGAAGCTCTCGCCAATGTCTATTACGAGGTGGTTCGAAGAGTTGGAAAGCAAGCGGCTTCGTCGTTGGTCAATGCCAAATTGGATGATGACTCGTCCGCTTATGATGCTGCGGTTGCTAAATATGAAGAGGAGCTAAAGAAGGCTCGAGAAAGAGGTGACCTTCCCGCCGAGTAGGAAATTCACGAACGATCATCCTATTATTTTCTTGCTAGATAGAAACACATATCTATTTATGCAAATTGAATATCTGTTCCTACAACAGGGTGAAATTCCATCCTGCCCCCTTCCGTCTCGGATCATAGCCGAACTTCTCTGAACCACTAGAGTTAAAGTCTGGGCCTATTTCCAGGGATAAATACGTTGATATGTCTAGTGTAGTCAGGTACTAATAATATAGAAAGGTTCTATCTACTTTTGCTCTTTGGAGGGTTGTCCTGAATTGTTGGTCCACGACAGCCACAATTCTCTCAAATAGGTCTTTGTTGCTGAACGTGCAGTGTCCCACTACTTTAACCTAGATGTCTTTTCGACTTCTCCAGCAAGATAAAAGATACACGCAAGTTTATGTCAAGCCTTATGAATACTCACATTGATAGCGAGTTGATTGAGTTAGCGTCCTTTGGAATGCCGTCGCGTGTTTAGGGTAGGAACGGCCGGCTATTTCCGGCTGACGTCGGTTATGTGACAATCAATAAGCCGGAAAGGCCGGATTGAGCGGCAAAGCACGTGACTGGCTCCGCTCCGCCCGAGGATCGGACTACGACCGATCGGCGGCAGAAAGTCTGGCTCATCTCAAGAACGAGATTGTTGTATGCGCCCACGCAAAGGGTCGAGGCGCTGTTACGCACCAAGTGCTGGCCATCAAATAATTTCCCAGAGAGTAACCAATGCCTCCGGCCGGGTCTTCGCATTTCACCCGCTCTGCTAACGCGTAAGATGATGCCCTACTTTTCATATGCCCCTCCCCCGCCACTGCTATAAAATGCCGCCCTCCCATTGGAAGGGTGTACACCTATCAGCTGGTTTTCCGAAAATGGAACTTTTCAATTAACTTTCAGCATAGATGTGACTCGTGCCGACGGAGAAAGGTCAAATGCTCAGGCAACCAGCCATGTCATACTTGCAACCGTCAGGGCTTGCAATGTGTGTTTGGCACTCGTGTCAGACGAGGTTATTCTGAAGCGTGGGTTCCATCTCCTGTTCAGCGGCACCGAATCTCTCTAACGAAATTGTATTTGCAGATATGTCCAGAGTCTTCTAGACACCATTAAGCATCACGAGGAGCATTCCGATGGCAGGTCTCGAAGTATGTACTCACCAATCTTTGATTGGATGCTTCCATTGGTGAACTAATATGAAATAGCACATCCTCCTCAGTCCAGCCCATCAGCATCTTTGCAAACCTCTCCTGCGCAGGCTTTCAATTCGACCGAGGGAGCAGCCCCTGAGAATATTGCACACAGCATTCATGGGGACTTCTCACTCAGTCCAGGTTGGTTTCTCTTCGTCTACGTTCCCCTGATTCTGCAATCCGCTAATGATTGTGTAGCTACCGAGCTGGCCCCCGGGCCTGCTTTTGAGTCGCGCGTGAGATCAATTATGCGAGAACATGTGGGCCACTATTGGGGTTCCGGAAGTTCGACTGATGCCTCCAGCCTCGTGGTTGATTCGATCGCAGAGAGCGGCTCTGGGAGTCGTTGGCGGAACACAACGGAGCTGGTCAATGATACAGCACAGCCTGTATTCTTATCGAAGACTGAGTCCCATAGGCTTTTCGATGTTTTCGTGTCTCTGATGGGCATCAACCAGCATTTCCTCGATCCACGAAGCTTTGCGGATTCGATTGATTTGCTGTACACAAACGAGGCTGTGCGGAACGCGCAGATGCAAACCATGTGGTTCACACACTACCTGCTGGTTATGGCTATGGGGATGCTAATTGGCTCTCCGAGTGATAATCTGGAGACACCTCCTGGAAGTGCATATTTCGCGGAGGCCATGAGACGACTTCCTCCCTCACATGAGCTGGGTGCTCATGGTATCACCTCCGTTGAGATACTCTGCCTGGCAAGCTTGTATCTTCAGTGGACTGACCGGAAACATGACGCATACCTATATGTATGGCCTAATCTCCACGCCGTGCTCTTTCATTCTCGAAGCCAACTGACAAATGGATAGATTGGAATTGCCGTCCGCTTGGCGGTAGCACTTGGGTGTGCTTTACCCCGTGACGAACAAGAAGGTCTTTCTTCGGAGAAATGTCATCGCAATCGCGTTTGGTGGACGACATACATGCTTGACCGGTATGCTTCAAAGCCACGTTATTTCCTCCGGGTTACTAACAGCCCTTAGTCGTCTCTCTGCTGGTCTTGGCCTGCCAATGGGGGTTGATGAAAGACAGATCAGGGCAGATCTACCGAAGCCGGCAGCTGGTTTTCAGCCACCGCTCCCACTTATCATTAATATTCAGATCGCTCGTGCTACCGGAGAAATTATGACTAGTGAGTTTCTGAGTACTGGGGGGGCATGAAATTGGACAGGCTGCTTACTTGTTACATCCTAGCATTTTATGGAAACACTTCCATCTCGCAGGCCGAGCTTGTTAGAAGGATACAGAATTTGCTTCAAAGCCTCCACGAGACGGGGAGATCTATCCCGGCAAATTTCGTAAGCGAATTCGAGAGTTCACATGGCAATGTGAGCAGGACGAATGCATCACTCTACCTCATGCTGTTTCAGGTACGTACTCCATGCACGAACTCAATACTCTTTTGCACGCTGTTTATTAACCTCCTTCGTAAAGGCTATTATTCTATGCATTCGGCCTGTAATTCTTCAGTGCGTCAAAGAAAAAGTGCAAGCAACAAAGGAAAACCGCCAACCCGCACCGATATCACCCATCATTAGTAGACTGTGCTCTTCTTGTAGAGAAGCTGCCAGTAAAAGCATTCGAATTCTGTCTAAGCTAAGGGAAGACAGAAGCATCGGTACGTGATTTTCTCTACTGTGCTATCGGAATTTGGATCTGACTATTGTCTAAGCTTTATTTGGATACTTCGATTTGGATGCCACATTTTCAGCTGCTTTCATTCTGGCAATGATGGGTCTGGTAGAGAATAATGAAGAGTCACGACCACCTGAGGGGCTGAGCCAATCTGCTATGATCCTAAAATATTTAGGTAAAGCAGGAAACAAGGCCGCCGAACGGAGGTTAAATGAGCTTAGACAGTTCTGCCTTCATGTCTGGTCTCCTGAAAAATTGTCCGGAGAGTGGAAATGGCTCAGGGAGGAGAAGACAACAAGGCCAAGCGTGTCGAATCCCGTGGGAGACCCTGGAAGCGCAAGCGATACCACACCCTCAAATCCAAACAACAATAGCGACCCAGCAGCCGGAACTTCTCTTGGGCCTGGAATGTGGACAACGTGGAATCAGATGACCCCAACAGGAGAATCGGACGGCGCCCTACTTAATTTTGATCAGTTTGATGATTTTCAGATTGATCTCAGCCATGAGATGGGCGATATCTACTCTAGTTTCAATGATCCTGCCTTACCCCTGACAGGCATTGACGAGGTGGACTGGGCCGAGGTTGGGAAAATGTTCCATCTTCGAGACTAAGGCATTGTTGGATTTTGTTTCTTTGGTATTGATACCCAGGATATATATTACTTAAAGTTGTTTCTCTAGTTGCAAAACGGTCTCTAACGCCGAAACATTTGCGGAAGCGAAGCTCTCTGCGCTGACTGTTGGCAACGGCACTCTGGCCTTTCCACTTCCATACCCGAACCAATGCAGACAGGCGGTCTTTACACCCGAAATTCCAAATTTGACTAGTTCCCAGTCCGCCTTTGACAGGTCGGCTTGAATCGCACGTGCCTTCTCAAGCTCTCCGGCCTGATATAGCCTGATAACTTCTCCGTGAACCTTGGGCACAACATTGGCAAGCGCTGAGATGACACCATTTGAGCCAGCGACGAGCCCCGGCAACATAAAGTCCGCCTTGCCCGCAAATGGAGCAAATTGGGTGCTCGGAAGTGTGGCAGAAACACGCTGCAGCTTGCCAAGGTTGCCGCAAGTGAGCTTTACGCCCACAACCTTTGGTGACTGCTGCGCTAAATCGATGATTAAGTCGGAATCGATATCAATTCCACTTGCTACACCGGGGAAATTGTAGATGATGAGAGGTAAAGCAGATTTGCTAGCGACCTATACCCTTTGTTAGGATTCAGGTTATAATGCATTGAATATCTTCTTCGAGAGCTCACCTCAAGATAAAATGTTTTGATAACTGGCTTGGACATAGCGGCTGCCCAATAGCTGGGAGGAAGCACCAGAGCGAAGTCAGCTCCTGCTTCCTTCGCCGTCTCAATATTGCGAATCGTCTCTCGAGCGCTGTTTGCACTGCACCCACTTATGATGACAGCGTTGCTTTTGGCTCCAGTGATGAGTTTTCGAGCATGTCGAATTACTTCAATTTTTTCTTCGGGGAATAGATGGGTGGCCTCTCCGTTGCTACCGTGGATAACCAGCCCTGCAACTCCAGATGATAAGAGGCGCTGGATATGCTGTGTGACGGCGTCGAAATTGATAGATTCGTCGTCATTGAAAAAACAGACCACTGGAGTGTACACTCCGAATGGTGGTGTTGGTTGAGAGGTCATTTTTTGGGCTGGTTAAAATTTTGTTATCGGTATCTAGTGCCTTGCAGATGAGTGGAAATTCATCTGCAAATTAAAAGACATAATCCAAGATACTCTTGTATTATTATATGATGGTAATGTCTAGAGTAGGCGAGGCAAGGCCTAGCTGTCTTGAAGTGTACAGATTCTCCTCGGCTTCGATCCGAGCAGCCGAGCGAGCCTCCACATCCTCCACAACCTCCACTTCCTGACGGGAGATCAAAGAACATAACTGGCGTAAATGAGAGAAAATAAGTATGGAACAATTCGAGTGGAGTGTGGAGGGCTTATCTTTGCGCTAAATTATGAGTTTTTCAGCTTCGGGGCTTGTTATGGGGGAAGCATTGTTGATCATTCATTCAAGCGCATCGTGGTTAGCAACACATCCCCTGGCTGGAAAAACAGTGCTTTCAAATCATAGGATTGATGATATTAATATGATAGATGCTGGAAACTGTATGTTAAGAAGACCTTCTGAGAAGTCGCCTTATAGCTTCTTTCTTCAAGGCATAATACTCCTCCTCTGTTCTCGTGACAGCATCTCTATTTTCCACAGCACGACGCAACAAGTATGAGCTGCACTCCTCTAAAGTGCCCCAACTGAGGCACTTGTAAGCCTCAGGGGAGTTGGTGCTACCGTTATCAATAGCCTCTTGTTTTAGCTGCAACAGGGCACAGCTCACACCATCTGCCATTCCAAGTAGCTGTCCGTATTGTACTTTGGTCAGTGGTAAGCCGTCTTTCTCGTGCGCCTGTTGCAATTCGTACGCCTTCAATACACTCGCGCGGTTGTGCGTGGCAAGAAACAGTTCCAATCTGGGAAGCGGTTCATCGACCTGCTCCTCTAGTGGATACTGTCCGTGAAGCAATCTGTGCGCAATACGATCGTATGAGATGTCGGTTTCCTCTTTAGTGTCATTGATGAAATGGCGAGGCTCCGAGTTTATGTAGGCCCCTCGAACAAGTTTGATCCCAAGAATAAACTCTCCTTTTTGGGCCTCCTTGAGATGTTTGTGCAGCACTTGGGGTGTGCGCTTTAGATACGCCTGATACGTGTTGAACACTATTGCTTGGCCGTTACGGTTATATTTTTGCATAAGTTCCATGGCAACGAGGTCGATTCCTGTCTGGACATAATGTTGCTCTGCGTCCACCAAGATTCGAGCTTCTCGTTTTACTGCTTCGTGGCACACGTCTTCAAGAGCTTTGACCATTTGCCTAGGAATGGGCTTCTGTGTCTCAAGAGCACTGGATACCGCGGGACCGGCTCCAGTGAACCTATGTCATAGTCAGCACCTGAAGTTGCGAAGGGGCTTGGAGTCACTTACTTCAGAGCTAGATAGTCACCCTCGCCAATCATCCCCACTGTCTTCAGGACACCTTTTCGCCACTCTTCAATGCCTTGATCTTGTGGGTGTTCTCGCAGAGTACCCGGGGCAGTCTCGTCTTTGGATTGAACGATACCGTTTGCGATCACTTTCTCAGATGTCTTATCAACCACGACTTCAGCCGCATATGTGAGTATCACCCCTCTGAAACCCATGTGCTTGATATTGCTTATAGTAGCCTTGACTTCTTGAGAATTCTCTCCGGCACAGAAGTGATTATAAAGAGTCCCTTTGAATACCTTCCGAAGAAGAAGATTGTCTTGTAAACTGAAAAGTCCCTTTCTAGGCTTTGAGAAGAAAGATAAAATTGATAAAGCTGGACCGAGAAGAAATCGATGAGTTGAGACAGTTGCTATGAGCAGTGATCGCCATAACATCAGGTTGGGGAGTAGCGCATGGGGAGGCAATCTGCTCGCTGCAACAGCCTCCCCCCCTGTTGTCGTGAATCGAACCTGAGATTTGTTGAAATAGATGAACGAGTTTGAAGCATGGTTGACTCTGCTGAGATTCAGGGCCAGATGCCACCCCCCTGTCCCAACTCTTTGTGATGCCCCGATTTTCTGCCACCGCATCTTTGTAGCCATTCTTGCTGCTTCACCCGCTTGTATATTCCAAAGTCGAGAGGGCTTTCAGTAGAAATCGGCCGAAGAGCGGAGGTCGATCGATCTCGATAACAGCCTCCATTTGCGGGGTTTGGCTTGTAGTACGGTTAGTCTCGCCTTTATCGGAAGAGATTCCGTAGTAAATACCAAATTTAGTTCTAGCTTGAAGATACTGGTGGGGACTATTTTTCACGACGATTGGTGACTTATTAACCTCCTTCTATTTTGGTTTCACCTTAAAGTCATCTATGAACTACACTTACTTTGGATCAGTTCGCTTAATGAATTTCCATTTAGTCTAGTTTTCTTAGCCCCTAGTCGATAGCTTCATATAACAGGAGGGCACCGGTTTCGTGTTGGGCATTGCCCATGCGCGAGCGTGAGCATCATGGTAACTTGCATTGATTTATTTATTTGATGAATTTGCTACTTTTGTCCCTGCTCCTCTCGGACAGAAACTGCGATGGAAGCGGCAACGTACTTCACGTTGCTATCGTTCAGGCCCGCCACTGAAATTCGAGAGTTGTCGGCCATGTAGATGTGATATTTTTCTAGTGGCCTTTGTTAGCATTTCTTCTGTTTCTGAAGGTTTTAAAACGTCAGTGTACTCACCCCTTAGCTCTACGACTACTTGAGATGAGAGACCTAGGAAACCGAACATGCCTGTCTGGTTGATAAGATGTTCCCATGTCCCAGGTGCGCCTTAAGATAAGTCAGCGATTTTAGTGAGCATTTAAAGGGGTTGGGGAGAAGCTTGTTTCTGACCCTCTTCGTGCAATGCATCATAGAGCTTTTGTCTCATAGTGCGAATCCGACCACTCATTGTCAGGAGGTCCTCAGACCACTGCTTTTTGAGTTTTTCGTCTGTGAGAATAAGATGTGCAGTTTTGGCACCGAAAGCTGGAGGGTTGGATACTTGTGATCGTTGGATTTGCTCTAGCATCGACTGGCAATCGAGTGCGAGATCCTTGGAGGCTGCATGGACCAGCACGGCACCAACTCGCTCACCGTATAGACCCATAGACTTTGCGTAAGATACACAAATTGCGGCCTCCAAGTTGAGCTCACCGATGAAATGGCGGATTGAGAAGGCGTCTTCATCGACTGAACCAGAGTTGAAACCAAGGTATGCGGCGTCGAAGATAGGAAATAGGTTCCTGCTCTTCATGATCTGACCAATTTCACGCCACTCATCCTTGCTAGGGTCACATCCTGTTGGGTTATGAGCGCAGGCATGGAGTAGAATGACTGAGCCTGGTGGAACGGTCTGTAGCATATTCCTGTATGATGCCATGTCGACTGATTTGGTTGCAGCATCGTAGTATTTGAATGTTTCGTATTCCAACCCAACATCTTTGATAACCTGAAAGTGGTTACCATAAGGGGGGTCTGTAATAATCACCTTTGGTTTCGGCGAGTTGGTGCGGGCGATGAGCTTGCCGGCTAAATGCAAAGCGCCCGTTCCCGAAAGACTCTGGCAGGTGGCCACCTGTATATCACGCAATCAGCATCAGCAAGGTTCTGTATTTTCAGCAGTGTTATACTAACATGCGAGCCCTTGGTGGAGAAGAGCTCCTCGCCCAAAACAGTACGTGCTACGGCTTCTCTGAAACCCGCATGGCCTAGAATTGGGAGGTACTCGTGAATCAGCCCCTGCTCTTGCAATAATCTGCGTGATTCTCGAACTGATGGCAGAATCCACGGGTTCCCATCACCATCACGGTAGGCGCCCTGGCCAAGATTGGCCTTCACAGGGGAGTCATCTTTTAGATATTCGGCTGTGAGTTCAAAGATACGATCGGGAGGAATGCGTTGTGCACCAGTGAAGAAGGTTGACTTATTTGTTTCAGAACCCATTTTGATGACTTTGAATATCTGATCAAGGTGAATAATAATATTTGTGACAGGGGATAGACATATCTTATGTGGCTGGCATGGCTTTTAGATATTAAACTCTGTGGAGTTGTGTCCGACGTCGGGCGCCAATTCTCGGGTATGATCCGACCATCGAGCAGACCGGAAGTCCTTCCGAAATGCACCACTTATCGTACACGGTTTACTCTTTATTTCTTTGGAAGTTTATTTCTCACTTGCATAGTACTAGTCATAGGACAAAGGAGGAAACTAAGGCATCTTAATCCGTGGACATAGTCAACCCCACCATTAGTAGCCCTATCCAATTATCAGATACTCTGGCCCTCTACGGAGACATACCATTCTGATATTATACACCGTTAAATGCGTTAGCGAGATAGTCGGGTTTGCCATCAAACGGCATCCATGGGCTTCCCAGCTTGTATGGATTCAAATCCTGGACTTTTGCCATTCCAACAAATTAAGATTTAAGCAATATCCTGAGTTTCACTGCACCTAAATACAGACACGTTCGCCGCACTAGGTTATATTGCAGAGAAGTGCTTCAAGTCTTCAACTAGAGATCAATGAATTTTATTTGTAATCATCGTAGAATTATCCAATGGCCTCGAAGAGACATTCTTCATTATGCCGCAGCCAATTAATCAGCAACTCCGTTATATCCGTCATCCCCGGGCAATACATAATACCTTGATCTTGCCAAAACATGATACCTTTGCCATTGAACTGGAACAGACTAGATCAATCATACGAGTCCTTCAAAGATGAAGCAATGGGTAACACTAATGGATGGAATCGATAGACTCCAGGTACAAGAAGTGCCGGAGCCTATCGATATCAAGGAAGATGAAGTCCTTGTCAGGATCAATGCAGTAGCAATCAACCACAGAGATATCAAAAGTATGACAGAATGTATAACTAGAGTCATACATAATACTAACGACCGTGTCCAGTCATCAATGGCGATTTCAAAGGGCGGTATGCGACTCCCACCGACCCGATGGTGCCTACATCAGACGCCAGTGGCACAATCGTCAAAGTGGGCGGGCCAGTGGCAGCGACAAAATGGCGAGAAGGGGATCGTGTCCTCGGGCTCGTGCGCCCGACCCATTTGACGGGCCCTACGCGTTCCGAGCATCATGCTCTAGGCCTCGGCTTTCCTCAACCAGGTGTCCTAACTGAGTACCGGGTGTTTTCTGCCTCTGGCCTGGTGCAGATACCGCAGGGTTTGAGCTTCGAGGAGGCAGCAACACTTCCTATTGCAGCTACCACTGCATGGATGGCATTGAATTGGGATCGACCAATCAACAGGCCTGCGCGAGGGCCTCAGACTGTTGTACTGCTGCAAGGTACTGGGGGTGTGTCTATCCACGCTTTGCAGCAAGCGACTGCACTGGGCTTGACCAGTAAGTTCTGCCAGGAATCCTGTTTTTACGGCGTGCGCTAACATGAGCAACATAGCTATTGTCACGTCTTCATCCGACGAGAAGCTGCTGAAAGCTCAAGAACTTGGAGCAACACACACGGTCAACTACAATAAAACCCCGGAGTGGGCAGACGAGGTGCTAAAGCTGACTCAAGGAAAAGGAGCTGACATCATCGTCGAAACAGGAGGACCTGAAACCATGCCGCAAAGTGTCCGAGCTGTAGCTGAAGGGGACGTCATCAGCGCCGTCGGCGTTCTAACAGGAATGACCGAGGAGAAGCCGCAGCTGGCAATAGGACTGAGCTTGATCAATCGGAACGCGGTTCTTAAAGGGATCAACATTGGCCCCAGAGACCGTGTGGAGGAGATGATGAGGCTATATCAACAAGAGGATATCCACCCCATTATTAATCGTGTTTTCAAGTTTGACGGGGCCAAGGACGCACTAAACTATATGAAAGACGGATTTCATTTCGGTAAAGTTGTGATCAAGGTCAATGAGGACTGATAGTAACCCACCGTGATTCAGGCTTTAGCTTTAGCTTTGTTATAATATTTTAGTCCATACTATTATAATATATAATCAGAAGTAGAATATTTTTGCTAATTGAGCCGTACTACAATATCAATTTATTCCATAGATTAAAGAATTAGCCCGTGTGATTAATCAGAGAACCTTCCTTCCAACCTCCACTCAAACATATCCCATTTCTCCGTTTGCTCACCATTTACCTAACTTTCAAGCCGCAACACATTTCATATCATACCTTTCTTATCTCCTCAAACCTTCTACCATTCAACGATGATCCCCGACAAGTGGAAATGGTCCGTGATTGGTGGGTCACTGATGCCCAATGGCCCCAGCAATTGGCGGATTGTGGACTGGGACCAACGGCGGACTGTTGCCATCACCACAGCCGGAGAACAAGAAGATGAGGATCTCATGAAAGAATTCCTCATCAGACACATCAATACTCTCTCTCCGGATGTACGGGAGGTCTCTGTCTCTGCCACCGGGGACTTGCTTTCTGATTCCAACGATGTCGAACGAGACTACACGAACATCCCATACTACCCACCATTTCAGGCACTATTGGCCACAGCACCTTCCAACCATAAGTACAGCATCTCTCGCTCTGATATGCGCGAGAAGGACCGTCTTGGGCCAATGGTGGACTTGGTGTCTCGTCCTGCCTTTGGGGATGGTTCACCAAAGCTTCTCGTTTTCAAGTACTATTTGCACGAGCAGTTCACCGAGGCACGCTGGGCCGAGATGAACCTATGGATGCGTCTACCGGCGAACCGTCACATTGTGCCCTTCGACCGTGTTGTGTCCGATAGACTGGGCGACGAAGATGTCGTCGTTGGATTTACCACCAAGTTTATTCCCGGCGGACCCTGGAGGATAGGAAGCAGTTCAAGCTTAGTTGGTTGAGGCACCTTCTTTCTGCCGTTGATGATTTGAATCTCAAATATGGAATTGTCCATCAAGATATTGCTCCCAGGAATCTTCTTGTGGATTGTGATACAGATGACCTTCTTCTTTTTGATTTCAACTATTCTGCACGCATCGGGGAAGGCGATGCGGGCCCGGCCCGGAACGATATCAAAGGCACAATTTTCACAGTGTATGAGCTCATCACACGTGATGATAGCTTTAGACAGAAGCCGTTTTGGGAGCAGAACTCCGCCGATGTGAAGTCCATGAAGGAATGGGCCAAACACCCAGATGTTGAGCTTGACCATCCTATTTCGATGTTCCGACAGACCTTGGACAGCTGGGTAAAGAAGCGACGAGAAGGGCAGCAGATTACACACTACAGAGAAGCCCCAGAGCACATAGACTGGCCTAAGACTCCTGAGACACCCGTGCGAAGGTACACCGCGAAAGATGGCCAGGGATCTGAGGTTGTAAGAACAGTACCCGGCTGGAGTACTCAGGTCTGTTTTGCTCACAAAATGGGGTGGCCGTATCTGAACTGGCAGAGACCAAGGGAGGGGATCTTGGACAAGGATTCAGTTCTCCTGGCAACAGGTACCGTCATTGGAGGACCCGAGATGGCACCTCCCTCACGAAGATAGACTTGATTCATCGGCTGATGACTTAAGACCAACCAGTAGCCAGCGAGGATTGAATGAATTCTGCCCGTCCTTTTGCTTCCCTGTTTTCCATTGTTCATAAGCGGGTCACAAACGACACGTCTACATAATATCTGAATATTGAAGTCAAAACTGTAAGGGGCTGGTCCGCGAGAAGATGGGTGTCCAGGCTCGAGGGGGCACATCCACAACGCCCCAGAGGCGCATGTTGGTTGGTAGATATAGGGCGGGGTACACAATATAGGGAGCACATGGTAAGGTTAATCCGCCATTTGGTGACTGCCTGAACCGAGTTGACAGCGCCTGAAACTTAGTGCCGACTCGACCCATTATTCGGATCTTCCCCTCTATAAAATTCCATAGACATCTGATTGTTAATTTTAGTATTTTTCTTTAGTAAACAAGGTATTTAGACCTGTCTTATTTCTTGGAAGTTTCTATCATCCCACTATATCTTTCTTCTGCCTTGTTAACATGCCCATTAAAAATTAACCTATGGGTAGAGTAGCTCTGAAAACTTTAATGATACTGCCACTATGCCTGGTGCTGGCAATGCTGCTTCTTAGTAGTACACGAACCGCCTTGCTAATGGATTTGTGGGAGAAAATATTTAAGTTTTAGGCAGTAAGTTGATTTCTGTGAAGTCTATTAGCCCTGAGGAGCCCAGGGTGATTGAAGCATCGATTCGAGTAACGGTATGACAAGTCTAGCTTTATTTCTTAGCCATTCTATTGACGCGGCAAAGGAGCAGGGCGTGAACCTCTATACTTCGAAGCTGGCAGGGTATGGGCTCAGAAACACTCTGCGAATATTACTTCTTCCAGTAGAGGCAATAGAAGTACTCGTAATAGCCTCCCGTCAGGCTTTCTTACGATATATAGTAAGAAAAGAAAGAACTTTTTTTTCTTTATATTCTTCTACGAATAACTTGAGTAAGTTTTATGTCGAGTTAAATGAGTATTCTGCTTTCAGCGAGTGGGAGAGGATAATGTTGGATAAGTCAAGCCTCTCTTGAATTAATTTAAGATATCTTCAGGAACTACAGTAATCTTACTTTACACTCTGATAGAGAGTTATACATCATAATAATTTAGGAAGCTCGTGTATTTTCATATATTGAATGGCAACTATGGGTGTATGGTGTGAAAATGAGGAATCTTCATATAAAATTGTTCGGTGAGCCTTTCTGTATTGCGAACCTAGAAACTAGTACACGGAGAAGAAAGGTTCAGTTGAAACTTTGTCAACAATATCTCAGGGTAGCTTAGAATATATGTGGATGTTTCCGGGAAATCTAACGAACAAGATCATGCAATCAGCAATCTCGCTTTCTTGAGATACTTCTTAAACCCCGTCGCTTCCTTAGGCGCCTCCTCATCTGCTCGGACCTCGAGAGCCAGGATAGCGTCTAAATCGGTGGTCAAATCTACATCCTTTGGTGCTATAAGCCACGGAGCCTTCCATTCATAGATGCGGTGGGCAAGGTAAATTGCGAGGAAGATGGGGAACCCAATATACGCAGTCAAGAAGTCGGCCACGGACCACTTTCCTGGGAAGAAGACTGAAAACCCATTAAGCAGGAGTAGGAGAGAAAAGAAGAAGATGGTCGCGTACGCAGCATACGGCTGTAGGCGGGAGTGAAATGGTAGGTCAGTGACGCCCTGAGCTTTGCAAGCTTTGCGGAATCTGAGCAAGATGATGCTGCAGGATACCCAAGAGGTGAACGCCGCCGTGTTGGTGAGGTTGATGAACCAATTGAAGACCACGGTTGCGCCCTTGCTAACGTTGAGGTAGGCCAGGAAGCTAAAGGTGATACTGGCGCACAGAGCATAAACTGGAACACCCCATCGGTTGGTCCGCTGGAAGATGGCTGGAGCGTTGCCGGCTTTGGCCAAGGAGTAGAGGGATCGGCTTGACATGTACAAGTAAGAATTGCCCGAGGACCACGCCGAGGTGATGATTCCAGCATTTACCACACTATCGAGGCCACTAACTCCTGCCTCCTTGATTGCAATTACCCATGGTGAAGCAGCAGCTCCGGTGCTTCCGTCAGTGAGACCGGGTGCGTTGCTGCGGCAGATGATGCCGATAGCGAGGGAGCCGACGACGTAGAACTGCAATTTGTTAGTCTGTGCATTCGATAAAGCTTGGTTTGAATCACTGAAGATCTAGGAGGTCAGACTTACGAAAAAGAGGCGCCAAATAAATGTCTTGGCCGCCCGAGGAAGATTCTTTCGGGGAGCTTTCATCTCACCACCAGTCAAGACAATCAATTCAGGACCGAAATTGAATGAGAAAACAGAGAAGACCATGGAATAAACAAACGCACAGAATCTTCCCGTGTCTCCCGTGACAAGATATTCATTAAAGGCACCTGGATCTTTCCAATATTTGAAGAGCAGCCGCCCGTTGCCGTTGACATTGCCTGCCCAGAGCGCAAATGAAAACAGGAGCAGGCCAATAATCATGAACACCTTGATCGAAGCAAACCAAAACTCGGATTCGGCGTAGACGCCCACTGGCGCGACATTCAACGCGATGATAACAACCAGCATGATTGTGATCCACACGGCAATATGTACGTTGTTTGGCCAGTAGCTAATGACAAGAGCAGCGGCGGTGATCTCGTATGCGACCAGAATGCCAAAAGAGTACCAGTATAGCCACCCCATGGCGAAGCCCAGGCTCGAGGAAGCGAATCTCGTCCCGTAGTAGGCCATGGAGCTCCCCGGGATGGGCAGGTATGAGCTCACCTCGGCCGTCGCAGTAACAATGCCATAGACGAAGCAGCAGATGATTATGTAGCCGATGAACAGGTTGGCGGGACCTGCGCGCGCGAGGGCCTGCCCGGAGCCGACGAAGAGACCTGTTCCAATTGTCCCTCCGATGGCGATCATCTGCGCATGTCGTGACTTGATGTTTCGCCTCGTCTCGGTGCGGATATCGGCCGTTTCTCCAACCTCTGGAGTGTCGACGACGGGGGTTCCGGTCTTCTCGTGGTCGCCATCTTCCGGTTTAGCCATTGCTAAAAATCCAATTCGGAGAGATCCGAGATCTTGTGCTTTCTGATTTGTTGGGCGCTGTATGCCAAGTGTTTGCCCAGACTTTGCCAATGCTTGGACTTGGCGGTGGGAAAGGACGAGGATGAGGGGTGATGTAAGATGTTCAAAAGCTGGAGCCCTGTGGAAAAGGCGGTAGAATTACTTTCTGGATTCTTGAAGGGAGGGTTACATCAACGAGAATCCCGTGTCTAGCCTTTTAAACATAAAGTACAATGCAGAGCCGGGGAGCGGCACGAGACATGGATGTTAGACACTGCACTAGACACTGACAGGCATATTAGCGAATAGTTTGCACACATGTCACTATTCTCCCCTCTCTGTCACTGTATAAGATCCCTTATCGCGACTAGAAACAAGAATGGGTTGAATTATCATCGTCTAGAGGTCCCTCCATCACCTGATAGAGATAGGAAGGTGGCATGGCATCGACTGGGCTCCCGGCCGTCACTGATAAGCGGCAGGCAACATAGTGAATCAGAAAGCACATGACGCCTCCATAAGGCCCAAAGAGTTGATAATCACCATGTCGAATGCGGGGTAGGAGCAGCTGAAGGACATGGATTATAGAGGCCGCCTGTCAGAATGCTGTCTCGGATCTGGGGAACTCAGCTCATTTTGAGGTGTGATTGGAGATTGGAAATCAATTTATGAATAATTCGATATCCTCTAGTTTGTCATATTTGTATCGCGGTCCCCATTTAGAGCTAAGAGCATATTTAGCAAACCAGTGATAATGCGATGATACCTGGTGATACCGGAGGATTACGAGATGTCAGACTCGAAACGTGGTACGACTATCCATCCCTGTGCATCCCAACCATGGAGACACCAAGATCACCATACAGACACAATATTAGTGGAGTACAGGCTTGCCTCAGTGGAGCTACCAGGGAGATGAATTGATGAACAACACCGGATCCCATGGCGGGCCATCCGAGAAACATGACCTCGGTTGTCGGATAGCTCGTCCGGGGGCTAAATGGTAATATTTCTCAATTACGAGTATCTTCATGGAAATTCACTCGCGCTGGATTCCTGATCTGGCTCTCGAACCTCATGTACGTGGAGTTCTCAGCCTGGGTGGTTCATGGCATGGCATGGGGCAGCTGGCACCTGGCTCAATGGGTAAATGGAATTCTCGGCAATGAAAGACGCATCATTGAACAGTAGATATGATTGCCCGCACCTATGTAATAAATACTATTCATGTAAGGGACCGATCCACAAGCGTCTTATCCGAGTTGCGTAGTCCTACCATGATCTGTATGATTTCCTCTACCAAAAGTGGCCTCCCCTCACCCGGGTAATTCGCATGCAGGTAGGCCACCACGGTATCCATGACCGTTTCATGGCATGCCAACGGGACACTGGAAGTAGATGAAGCATACGCCGTAGCATCTGCGGACGGGATTTGGATGCATGGAACCCCGTTGCCGAGCTGCATGAACCGCTGCACATGAACGCCATCCGTGCCATCCAAGAATACCTCCCTACCTGAGCTGGATCTCGGTGAGCGAAGGGTGTCTCTTGGATGATCCCCACAAGCCACCCCATATACCCAGAGGGCGAGGCTGGCATGATACATCATGATGGCCAGCGAATCCCGGATCTGCTCTTTTGGTATCAGCCGGGCTGCTCGCAAGATCTGGCCGGCATGCCAAACTGCCCTGCGTGCTGATTCCTCCTTGGCCCAGTCTTGAATGATGGGATAAATGGCAGAGGACCGCTCCGGGCCCTCGATACCAGCAAACACCTGGACGTCCTCGATGGATATATACAGATGCAAGAGAATCTGCTCAGTGCGCATTGTGACATCTGGGGCGAATGCCACGCCGGGCTCTGTGCTCAGACGGAAGTGCTCAAGAAGCTTCAGCAGTTCGTCCTGGCGGGACTTCAGAACGATGCCACTCCACCGACCAGGGGCAGTACGCTGCATGGAGTTTAACTGGATGTACTCCCACGCCATACTCCATATACAGGATAAAAAGGCGTGACTTCTGCTTAAGAGATCGTTCCTGTTGCCAATGGTGGCGAACAGCCTCGGGTCCTCAAGGTAGGCGCCGATAGCCGGCGTTGACTCAAGTATGTCAGCCAGGAAAGCCTCCTTCCACCGCTCGGCTGTTGGAGCAGACCACAGCTTGTCAGATGCGGGGAGAGGCAGCTTCAATTCGGCGTATGAAATCAGAGGGTTGGTGAGGAGGCTCGCTGAGGAATTGCTGTCGTGCCGCAAAATCCGGAAACATATACGCTTGAATGATTCCTGCTCGACCCATTTGCTCCAGGTCTCCTCAAGCTCTTCTCCCCTTGTATTCCGACTTAGAGTAATATCGGGATACGAAGAATTTCTGAACCTTCCCCCTCGCCGGAGCATAGTCAATATTGGTTGGAGAAAGCTCTCCGCTATTTCGACCTTGCGACTGTGTCCACTCCACAAGCCAATCTCCAAAGTGATATAGAACGCCTGAGTCAGCTGCAGGTCACGAATCAAAGCATTTTTGCCCTCCCACTTAAGAGAGAGAGATTCCGGTTAGCGAGAACTTGCCCAATAATCCACCTGTTCGAGAGACTCACTAGTGTGGGTATAGCGACCCTCGTCGACTCTTGCATAGCAAACCCCAATTTCAGAAACGTCGGGTCCAGTGTTAACACAGCACCATGGGCTACCATGGCCATGATCAACTCAGATCGTTTCTTGTTTGGGTCGAAGGTGGGCGCATGAAGAAAGTATCTTGCTTCAGACGAAGGCGAAGAGAAATAGAACTGCAATAGTGAGTCTAGGAGGTTTATAGAGGGGAAGGATGCCGCTGCTTTGAAAAGACTGTCTGTCCTGCAGCTTCTCATGATCGTCGTTATAAGTTTATCCCGTCCAGCGGTAGCCAGGCTTGCCGAGGTAATTCTTGTTTCAACGGGGACTCGCTTTTCAGGCTGATTGTGACCGTCGTCAGTGAGAATTAAGTTCTCCTCCTCTGCTCCCCCATGATCGTTGACTCCAGGCCGAAATCTCCAGTGCGAAGTCCGATAGGCGTCTGTGCATATACTCCTTGGTGTGGAGCCCGCGCCCTCACCCATTGAAAAGATGTTGGAAGGAGTTGGCGTATATTCGTCGGCACCGAAGGGGATATTAACATTATAAGAGTCCAGAAATCTAAGGTCGATGTCGTCCAGTTCCATACTCATATCTGGGTCGAAGCTGAATGGCCCAAACGGGGTGCTGGTTCCAGAGGCAAACAACATGTCTGGATGCTTAGGAAATGATCGGACTTCAATAAAGTCATTTGCTGATTTCGGAATTAGACAAGTTCAATCGAATTCATTTCCTCGCTCCCCATATCAAGTTGTTGGTTGCTTACCTATTGCTTGAGTGACATCAAGGTCAGATAGTAGATTTTCTTGGAGGATATTTTCCTGATAAGAAGTAGTATTCAAGGTCTTGTCACCCGTATCTTGTAATGATACATTTGGAGATGCCGCGTTCTGTTGGGGTACAGTCTCCGGGGGTGTGAAGGCGTTCTCAGCATCAAGGGGACGACTACTGACACATTCAATGCCTTTGGACACGCAACGACGGCATGGCTTCGTCTCGGTACATCGGAGGTGGTTCAAAGCGCAGGATTGGCAAGCTTGTGATACTCTGCTCAAAGAACTTGAGCTGCCATCTGAGAGGGATGGGTTGAGGTGGTCCCCTTTAGCTTCATGTGCGGCGATATGTCTTTTCAGAAGATCACTGTATTAAAGCGTAAAGAATGTTAGATTAGATATTCCACAATACTGTGTGATATGATTTTACTGACATCCGAGTAAATGCTTTCTGGCACAGATGACACTGGTGTGGCTTTGAATCAAGATCTGTAATTTGCATTTTAGTGCGTGTCAGCAGCCGTATTGCCCCCATTTGTACGCGCAAATGGTCATATCAGATCAATCACTTGATAATTAATGCAGAATACAGTACTCACGAGAGCGAACATGGCGGGTCAGATGGTCTGGTCGCTTGTACTGGCGCTGGCAAGAGCCGCATTGAAACAGCCCATTGCCTCGAGTGGCCGGCATCGTATGTTCCGGTATCAGTCAAACAAGCCTAAGCGCAAGGCACGGAAAGTGGAGGGAGAAAATGAAGACTACAGGGTCATCGGGACATCTGGATGATGTGGGCAGACAGGGTGATCAAATGAACTGAGACGTACGAAGTGGCGAGATGCAAGATGCAGGTTTGAGGAGCATCTCGGGGGATTTGCGGGGAAGCTGGGGCAAAACAGGGGAACCTTCGATCGCCCCATAGCGGGATTATGCGCTAGCAGCCAGTGAAGTTACGGGTATTTACAACGGATGTCATTCATGTTATATAGGTCTTGCTTGGCTGATGGCTACGGAGTGTTCGTCCACGAGACCAACTACCATCACAACGGGAACAGTTTCGCGCTCTTGTACTAGAATAAAGATCACCTCTCCAATTTTCTTCAGGGTGGAATTAATTTGAAAGGCTGGTTTAATTGTGTTGACAGCTACTTTCGCGTAACCCCCCCTTTTTCCCGCAACTCCACTCGGGCTACCTCCTCCACTTCCCGAGCCGAAAGTAACAACATCGTCATTGTATGAGCGAAAACCTGCAGTATAATGCACAAGGCCCGCTCGTGCCCCAAACTGTCCACCGGCCTCGGTGTTAAGCGTAGATATCATACTGTCTCTCCATCATGGCACGTACCACTCCCACATCCTCGTTGACTCCGGTCCACCTATTCTCTCATGGATCTACCATGATGTTGGGTGAGGAGTCAGATGCTGCGACATACTGGAAAAAGGCAGGAGATGAAGCCCTGGCCAACAAGATCAAGGGTGTCATCATGATGGTAGGATAATACAACGAGCCGGACTTTTATCTTCAGCCCCATTCTAATGATTATCTTAGGGTGCGCATTGGGATGCCTCTCATGACAGGATAGAGGTCGCGACCAATCCTAACCCTGGAAAATCACCAGTGGCATATGTTCACCCCTCCAAATATGTCGACTATAAACTCAATCCCGACCTTAAGACGGCTGAGCGCTGTGTTTCAATGCTTGCAAAGGCTGGATTCAAGGTGTCCGGCAATCCAACATTCGATTGGATTCATGACACATATCTAATCCTCATCCGCATGTTCCCAGATCACTGTCCACCCACAACCCTCATCTCTATGAATGCTCGATTTGATCCCCATTATCACGTGAAGGTCGGCCAAACACTGCGTTCTCTGCGCAGGGAGGGCTATCTTATCATTGGCTCGGGAGGCTCTGTTCATAACCTCTACAGGAACCATTGGGGCTCCATGTTGAGATACGGTGACAACTTCGCTCAAGAGGTGCCTCCCGAATACTGGGCTTTAGAGTTTCGTCAGGCTTTCGAGGATGTTGTGACCAAAAACTCGGGACCGCAGCTGCGTCGTGCAGTGACACGCCTCATGAAAAACCCGCTCTATCGAGATGCTCACCCCACCGATGATCATTTCATGGCATCTATGTTTATTGCTGGCGCGGTTGGAGATGAGGAGGATGAAGGCGTGCATGGAGAGTTGAAGGCCGAGACATGGGAGTTGACTAATATGTGTAATAGCCAGTTTACGTTCGGGCGCTGGCCAAAGACGCCAGCAGTTAGTGTCTGAGTATAGCCAAGTATATATTGGAATATAGGATTTCATTGACGTTCATCCTACTCGCTACAAAGAAAACTTATAATCAATATGCTGCAAGTCTCTCATGCATACTACAATCGTCAGCGGTTAGGTTGGGACACTGGACAGCGAACTACAATGACACAGTGAACCCGTGCAGGTTCATGAATAGAGTTTCACACAAAATTTGATAAAGTAAAAAGTTTCAATTATATCAAACTATATCTGAATGTATACTTTCTATATGTATTTAGGTGGGATAATAGGCAGCGTCACAAAGTTCTCAAATTGAGGACTGAAATGGATACGGTTTGTTCCTTGAAATTTCTCTGGGGACCTAGATGTACTGAATTAGCAACTCTCATGGGGTTTCCTTGGGCCGTGTGAACTCACCGATCAATAGGATCATCATGGATGAAAATTCCGGACCCCTGGGTGTCACCTGAAGAAACCTCGAAAACAAGCTTGCCACCCTTTTCAACAACCACATTCGTGGGCCAAATCTCGACATCTACCGCATAAACCTCTCCCTGGATGACAGGCAAGACATCTGCACTCGTGTAGTCGCGGTGTGGAAGCCAGTCCCGGTGCTTGGGATGCTCTTTGTTCACTTTTCTGAGTGAGACTCTCAGCCAACCTTTTGTCAGCGGAACTGGGTCGCCAGCTGTTCCAGTATAGAATACCTCCTTTCCTTCAGGGGAGATGTGTCGGAGAGTGACGAAGAGATCAATGTCACTCGGAGTTGGGCCGTCCGGGTCTGGCATTACAGAAACATTGAGATGCGCTATTATATGTCCTGTGATCTCAGTTTCCACTTTGAATGGATCAGTGGTGAATTGAATAAGCTGTGGTTCCTTTATAGTGCCGAGCGCCTTGTAACCCAATGCGCCAACGGCGGTTGGGGGTTCTGTTGACAGGCCTTGGTCAGGTGTGAGAAAGAATTTTGTGTACTGCGTACGTCCAATGGGCCATTCACTCTCTTCTCGCCTCGGATAAGCCTTCTCCTTCTCGGCATCGTTGAAGCCGACATCGCCTTTCCGAAGGACGAGACTGACTTGGGGCACCTTGCCCTCTTGTGACCAACCAACTCGGTCATCGCCCTTTAGAAAAGCGTCAAGGAAGCTACGCTGTACTTCTACTTCCTCAGAGTAGTAGAATGGAAGGTCGTGACGCCCTGTGATCAATCTCAAGTATTTGAACTTGGAGCCTGCCTGTGTGAAGCCCTCGATGTTGCCCCGTAGGTGAAGCAGAATTCCACCCCAGTTTCCTACTGACAGTAGAGGAACTTCGACGTCTCCCATGTAATACTCTTTCGATGCGTAGTATGCTTCATCCCGAAATCGATGCACTTGGTTATCGACGGTTTGGTCATTTCTGTTGGCCAAGAGCTCGTCCTCTGGAAGATCCCCCTCGATCGTGTCAGGGCCCCAGTTACTCGCATTCCTGCCAGGCCGCCCGTACTGGTTGGTAATGACCTGCCGGTTCCACCAAAATTTAATAAACCCGTTGGAATGGATGCCTCCATGCCTACATCTGTCTCTGTAGTAGTCGGACATGCCTTCCCATGGGATTATGGCAGCCAGCCCTTTGGGTTTCCGGGCAGCGACCCTCCATTGGCTACCAGCATAGTAACTGATTCCCAGCAGGCCAACCTTTCCACTAGACCACTTTTGCTCAGCAGCCCATTCAACAACATTGAAGAATGCCTCGCTGGTGCCACGGGACATGGTATCAAGGAGACCTGGTGATTGGCCCAACCCGCGCTCATCTGCACGAACTACGGCGTAGCCATGGTTGGTCCAAAAGCCAGGATCGGGTGTCTCCCATGCCGAATGTGCAGACTTGTGCTCTGGGTTCACTTCAGAGTACGACTTTGCATGAAAACTATTACTCCAGAGTTAGCCTAATCCACCAATAGCTTTGAGCTGGGGAACACCTACTCTCCATAGTGAATATCCTTTCCGTACGGTCCGTAGGTCACAAGTACTGGAACTGGGGCGTCTGTCTTCGGGCGGTAAATATTGCACCGAATAAGACCTTGGTTAATTGGCAGATTGATTGTTACATCCTTCTCAAAAATGTATGGGAAGCTTGTCTCATCAACCACCCGGATGTCCTTGATCGGGTTTGGCATCTTGGCAAGTTGCGAGCTCCTACTAATGGCAAAGCCCAAGAAATAAAAGCTCCTGATTTCAGATTATTATCTCTGAATGATACCGTAGTAGAAGCGGGATGTAAAGCGAGCGGCTAAGTGAATGCTGTTTGAATAACTACCGCGGAGTGCGTGAAAGAGCTGGCCTCCAATCCAATGCCGGTGATTTAACAGGTATGGCCTTCAAGCCTCATCGAACTTATAATTAGAAGCCTATAAAGGATAAATACTCCGCTGAGCTATTTCTTCCGTCAGAGGCATGTGCCGGATTCTACCCTCCACCTGCCCGAACTACCCGAAACTCATCCCGCCCACCTTGCGAGCTTTCGCGGCTCGGCATCTCATGCACAGTACCCTTGTAATTTGGGCGTCGAACTACGTGTCACATGTGGCACGGTTTTGAAAATGCTTGGGAGCCTCGTGTGAGGTATTGATGCGGAGGGCTAATTTGATGCGGAGGGCTAAAAATCGTTAAATAACCATGAGGACTCACTCTCTAGGTCATCCTGTCTAGGTACTCTCTAAGTTATACTACTTCGACCGCCATAAGCCATACCGAGAAATATCTGGTGAAAACAGCAAAAAAAATGACGGACAACATTGATCGCCCGTTGGAAATTGTCATTGTCGGGGCAGGTATGTTTCATTCATATCGTTGTGTTTCCCAGAGCAGGCGCTGATGTGGTGTAGGCATTGCTGGCCTTGCTGCAGCGCTTGGACTACGCAAAGAAGGGCATCAAGTGACAGTAAGTGTCCGCTATCATCAAATCTGTTAGAATTTACCGGAAACGTATACTAATTATTACCGCAGCTTCTCGAAAGATCAGAGCTGGCCAAGGAAGTCGGCGCCGCCATCCACATCGCCCCAAATGCACATGGCTTGCTCAGAGAACTCGGGGTGTATCCTGAGACGTTTGGTGCAAATCCAGTCCATGGAGTGAGTCTAATCATTTGGCAACACAGTTTCGAACGGTCATTCTAACACTTATTGAAGCTTACTGAGTATGATGCGAAAAACGGAGCTCTTCGCATGTCCGTGGACTTGAGAGAGCAATTGAAAATCTGGCAGCATGTTAGTGTTAACTATTCTTTTTCTCTAGGCGTGGAAAACTGCAAGAGGCCTAACCATATTCTAGCCTTGGGTCTTGTCACATAGAGTCCTGCTTCACGAGGCACTAAGAGAGCACAGTATCTCGCCTGAAGGGACTGGCCCTCCCGCTATTCTGAAGACTTCGGCAAAAGTCACCCACATTGACCCTGAAACCGCGACAGTCACTCTAGAGGACGGATCTCAAGTATCTGGGGACTTGGTTCTGGGAGCTGATGGGGCCAGCGTGAGTATCCGACTCACTATTAACAAACATCTTGTCCAAAGTCTAATGTTCTGCATCAGTCAGTTTCTAGGGGAGTGGTTGCTGGAGAAACCTTGAAGCCATTCGCATCTGGAAAGAGTGCCTTTAGATTTATGATACCATGCAACGAAATATTGTCCGATTCTGAAGCTGCTACTCTATTCAAGGAAGGATACTTGTGCCTTTGGATGGCTGATGACAGAAGGCTAGTCATGTATCCCTGTTCCAACAATACGATCATGAACTTCGTCGGTATTCACCCTAGCTGTCTCTCTGAGACAAAGAGAGAAGATGGTAAAACTTTCATTATCCATCAGTCCCAAATATCTACTGACTTAGATGTTTTAGGCTGGGATAATGGGGCAAGCAAGGAGGCCTTGCTTAAAGTGTATGAAGAATTCGGGCCACAGGTTCAAGCATTGCTCAAGCTTGCAGACGCTTCCTCTTTAAAGATTTGGACTCTTCTAGATATGGATCGAATCCCAAGATGGTTCAAAGGAAAACTTGCTCTTCTTGGTGACGCTGCTCATCCATTTCTACCTCGTGAGTTATCCCCAAGCACCCATTCGCAGCCCCAGCTAACGAATAATTGCAAAAAGATCAAGGACAAGGAGGTAATCAAATTTCTTCTCTTACCATGAAATGTTTACATTTTGCTTTTGCTGATTTCTAACATCTCACTAGGATCTGTGGCTATCGAGGACTCTGCTTCACTTATCGCACTGCTTCCAAGGGGAACCAACCCAGCAGACCTTCCCCAACGGTTAGCTCTGTACCAAAGGATAAGAGATAAAAGAGCTCATGATATCCAAGAGTTCACCCGTCGGATGGGTGCTGATATAAACGATGAAACTCGAGGCAAAATGAACAGTATGTACCATTTCAACCTTTTAGAGCACGGAACTCTCTGTCTAATGGCATCATGCAGTCATGGAATTCGTGAATTACAACTATGGCCATGACGAGTTCCACAATTCCAGACATGAGTTGAAGAAACTATTGAGCTCCATGAATGGGCCTACGTATCTTCGCCAGCCAATTGCTTTTGGTCCGTCCCCCAGCCCGAGGCAAGATCACTTTGGACGAACCTATTCTTCGGAAGATGCGACATTTACAACCTACACGATCAGATTTAAAACTTCGGCGACATATTTGAAGAATTTGTTCCCAGAAGGTGTTTTCAGCTTTGAATCGCCGGGTACTGTTGCAGAGGCAACCCTCCGCGCGACCGAGCTACATAATCTACCATGGCTAGGCGGCGGTGGCTACTGCTTCGTTGGACTATGGATCCACGGAGTCCAACACGTGAAGAAGGATGGCACAAAAGTCTTGGGGTCCTTTATCCCCTTTCTCTTTGAGAATTTGTCTGATCCCATCCTCACCGGAAGAGATGAGTTGGGAATGCCAAAATTACACTGCGATATCGAAATAAGGAAAAACTCTGGTCGGACAAAGATCTTTTGTGCTTGGAGGGGTGCTGAATTCCTCAGCATGACTCTAGGCTCTGCCCCGGCTGGACCAAACGGTGTGATTCCCAATGGTGACGAAGAGGCTTCAAAGCACGAGTCGGAGGGCAATCAATTTGTTTACCGATACGTGCCTTCGGTGGGAAAACCTGGAGAGGCTGATGCTGAATATCCGGTAATCATCCCCAAGCCTACCAATTCTCCAACGGTTGTCAATCGGACGAGGCATGGAGATACGAAAGATTCTGGCATTGAATTTACGCCAGGAGATTCGGAAACATTCCCCACTATCCACCACATTACTTCGTTCTTGGCTGCCATACCTATTTCAAACATTCTTGAGACAAAGACTGTTGAAGGAAGAGGCTTGGACGATCTTTCAAGGGTTCAAAGGTTGCAATAGCTTATCCAAGAAGATCTTCTGATATTGCAAACATTTTATAGTTAAGTCAAGTCAAAATCCATGATTTTGAAGGTTGTTGTTGCAGCTCCTTGGGCACCAAAATTCTTCATCTAGAAGCTAGATATCAATGAAGTGGATCACTAAAGTTAGGGGTCGGAAACGAGCAGTTGGACGGACATACGTCTCTAAATTGTATCAAATCGAGTGATTTTACAGATATGTTTAAAAAGACTCGTGTTGATAAACGAACTTGTATGCCAGAGATCACTGCTCAAATTTGGCAAGGCAGCATATGTTTGACAGGATCTCCTATTGACTTTAACATCCAATAACACAATAGATATAAACGTGTACGTTATATCATTTCTCATCTAGTTCCTTTGGCTGCCTGCATATGATCAATTTAAGACTAACGACTTGGAAGCACACGTCCAAGGCACGCTCCAAACCCAACGCCAGAGGATGGCTCCCCAGCAATGGCCGTCATCCTAACAATATCTAAGTCTTCAAGATATTTTCTACATGTCCCATCAGTCAGAATGACAGGCTCCAGGCCACCCTCAGTTGTTTCCAATAGGCACCCACGTTCTCCTCTGCCTGGCTCGCTCACGGTACCCGTCGCTAATATGTCGCCAGTACGCAGAGGGCTCCCTGAGCTAACCGCGTGTGCAACCATCTGTCTCACATTCCAATACAAACTCGAGACATTGGATGTTCCTATAATAGTCGGCGCAACGCCATCCGTTAAAAGCTCAACTTGCATTTGGATAGAATAGCTGCAGTTGTCGGGGTCTGCTATATATTCTGCGGTTGGTAAGGTTTTGTTTTTCGACTTGACCATGAAGGGCTCCAAAGCTTCTTGAGTTATAACCCATGGCGATATTGAAGTTCCAAAGCTTTTTCCATTGAAAGGTCCCAGAGGAGGCATTTCCACTGACTGAATATCACGCGCTAGTTCAGGTTTCTTGTCAGCAGTTGGCCTTGGAAGAGCAAAGGGGTCACATACCGCTCCAGTCGTTCATTATTACAAACCCAAAGATATGCTTGTCAGCGTCCACTGCTGTCACTCCTACTCCTGCCTCTATAGGTGAGCCTACAATCATGGCCAGCTCCACCTCGTAATCAAGGGCCTGTGATGGTCCATAAACCAAGTATTTCCCTGTACCATTTCCACTATAATAATGTCCACGGGGTCTCTCTATATCAGTCCCCGAAACATATATCGAGCTGGCTCGGCCATGATAGCCAATGGGGAAGTTAAAGAAGCCAGGTGGTAAGCGATCACTCTTGGCCACAATACGGCCAGCATTCCGCACATGCTCCAAGGAGCAAGAGTAATCTAAATGAGTTCTTATTAGATAGGCTTTTAGGTTATCCAAATTGGCATTGCATCCATACCGATAAAGTCGCCAGGTTGGATTGGCAGGTGCAAAGTGATTGCTGAAATATCCTCGGTGCTCCCCGGAGGGAAGCCTGACAATCCCTTGGCTTCAAAACTCTTTTGTATTGTTTCACGAACTGCTACTCGCATCCATTTGGGATAGGAAGCGAATTCATTCAACGACGATCTTTTGAATACACTGCTATCCAAACCATCTATTTCTGAGAATAATCCTGATGCGGCCAGGTCAAACACAAATACAACGGCATTTCCAATTCGTGTCACAACTTGTACTTGGTTGTGGCTTGCAGACGATGCTATTCCAAAGGGAATGTTCTGCACAGAAAAGTGTTCTGAGAAATCTGGAGCTGGCATGGCGGTTATTCGAATATGAGTCGGCGCTGGTTATAGCTTGGTTGAGCGCTTCCCTTGAAACGACTGTTCTTGAAATATGACCGAAGGACTTGAACAATGTGCCGTAATCGGCCTATGCATGAACCTGGATCTTGGTACTCTGACAAATCTCCTTGCATGCCTCTAGTACACCTTCCCGAGCCGTGGTGGTATCCCGAACCGGTGTCGTACATTTTCGAGGAACTCGCCTCCACTTCCCGACCGCGCGGAAGATGTCGTCAAAGTAGATCGCCACGGAAGACATGATGGGGTCACATTTATCAATGAAGGAAATCTATCCAAGCTAGTAGTCTCTACCCATGTGATATAGTAAAGTTAACCTTCAACATCAGGCATAATTCACATCCAGTCACTCATCCTTACTACTGATAAATCGTCTTATTCTATCATTACAATACTTCCAGCAAGATGGCGGAAAGAGGACTCAGTCACCCGAAGCGTTATATCACCACTCATAATGCTAAGGGCCAAGCCATCCTCGATGAATCAATACCCGCAGAAGCGCCTTTCTACACACTTCCCAAAGGAACCGCCGCTTTTGCTCAGTGCTACGTTACCGGGGCATTCCCGACCAAACTTGAGAACGATGAGGATCTCGGGGTGTATCGAGACTACCTTGCTTCTCCTCCCGGTCTGACTGTATCCAGCGGCACTGTATTGCGATACGTCGACATGCCACCAGATACTTTGTCGCCAATGCACCGTACCATCAGCTTGGACTACGGTGTCGTGTTAGAGGGAGATATTGAGTTGGTCCTCGACTCTGGTGAGACGAAGCTGCTTCACAGAGGGGATATTTGCATCCAGCGCGGGACGATGCACGCCTGGCGCAATACGAGCAAGACGAGCTGGGCGCGGATGCTCTATGTTCTTCAGCCAGCCGACAAGTTTACTATTGGAGGGGAGGAGGCCAAGGAGGACTACGGTGACATGCCTGGTGTAAGGTCTTCTAGCTAGAATTTCGGTGCCTATCTAAGATTTTAAACTTATTGGTTTCAATAGAGAATGAATTTCTACTTGCTTTTCTCGGGTATCACAGATTGGGCATTTGATAATCGCAGAAGAGAATGAAATCACCGGAACCTCACTGTAATTAATCTTAGCTGGTGCGCTAAGTAAGAAATTATCAATCTGCGAGCTTGAGGGTTAGATGCAAGGTTGCGCTGGATATCGTGTTGCCTGGTAATACACAAAATGAATCTGCCATTTATTTCTCTACTAATCACGCCTCCCCTCCAACCCTATACTTAAAGATGTTACCATTTATGCGTCCACCTGATGCTCCCCAAACCTTTGCCATGGTCTTTTTATTGCGTAGAACGTTAGTTGGATTGCTCTAGGTCAATATCTCGGATGAAAGGCTTACAGCATTGATCAAAACTCCCGTGAACATTGTAGTAATAAAGGCTCTCTCAACGTTGCTTGTATATACGTTGTACTCCTCCTGGCTCCGTTCACGATCTGCTGGCCGATAAGGCGGAACTCGACGGTGCGTTGTGTCCCAACCAAGCGGCTGAACAGATCTTGACAGGTTTGTATTCTCACCGTTCACTTGCTCAGTGATATTGTTTTCTCTGCGAGAATGGTACAGCCTGTAGTCTCTTAGAATCTGGTGATTCTCTGTGACTGTGTCCGTGACCGTCGTAGAAGCCATTGTGCTATAGCTAGAGGTGAGTGGGTGATGCGAACAGGGTTGATGATGATGATTTAGGGAATGCCCATGCTACAACAGTAGATGTCACAGTTGATCTTGACCACTCTATGTTCCATGCATTAGTAATTCACCCGAATGAAGGCTCGGGAAGTGGAGTGGAGGTTTAGAAGTCGGATGTGGAGGACCCTCCACATGTCCGGCAGTGCCCCTGCCCACGGGTACACACTTCCGCGTTGCGGGATTCGACGACAAGTCGTTCGTAGAAGTGTTTGCTGTTTCTATAGCCTCTTCAAGCTTGTGTTTCTTTCTTTGGAATCTGCCTTGCTTCACATTCCTATCTTTACTTCTTTGATCTGACAATTGGTGCCATGGCCGCCGAGCTCCGTGACATTCGATCTGCCGCCATTGATGGCCGGATGCATAATGCTTTTTTCCAAAAAGAGCAACTCAAAAATTTGCATGACGTTCTTTCCAAAAACATTACCGAAATTCAAGATCAGATAGCCAGAGACCATCGCTATACCCAGGCAGAAGCCAGCGTTGAATACTGGCTTGCCTTGAGATGCATTGCTGAAGCATACAAGTCCATAGACCCAAAGCAACATCTCCAGGCTGAATACGCTATAGCAAAATCCAAGGATGCATCAGATGCTCGAGAGCCTGTAGGAATTGTGATTGTTGAACCGGCTCAGCACACATTTTTCTATAGCCTCATTTCAGCCCTTGTCCCAGCTTTTGTCCACGGGAATTGCATCATTGTCCAGGTAAGTTTATCAATCCAAATCCATGACACAACAAAGCTTACATATTTGAACCGTCATAGACCGAGAAAACACTTCTTGAGTCTCCAAAATTTATCTTGTCACTCATTGAGTCGGCACTGGATGATCACGTCTTCAAGGTTGTCTACTCGCAGTTGACGGACGATGAGATAGCGTCTCGGCACACACGGATCGTCCAGAAGCAAGATATCAACCCTCGAGTGATTGCAATTATTGAACGAGATGCAGATCTTCAGCTTGCAGCCAAGGCTGTTGCCAGCGCACGATTCAGCCTTAGGGGCAAATCGCCCTTTGCGCCAGATTTGGTGCTGGTAAATGAATGGGTCAAAAAGGATTTTCTTAGCGCATTGGTACAGCATACTTCAGCATTCATCTCAGACATTGCTCCCAAAGATCCGGTCCAGAAACTGTCTAAGTCAAGATTCCATGACACCATCCTTAAGGAAAACCTCGGCGAGGTGGTCTTCTCCACCTCAGAAGGATATATCTTAAATATCAAGAACAGGTAAGAGTTCCATAATTACCTGTTTGAAATTCCCGGCTAACTAGTTTCAAGACAATCTCCTATTATTCAGTCCAGAAGTGAAGAGTGCTATTTGGCCATACATAGCGTCACAAGCATGGATGATGCCATCGACCTGTCACGAAGGTTAGTTTGAGCTGTCTAATCTATCATAGTTGCAGGCCATCTTATCATTACTAGTCTTGGGCGCCTTGGGGCTTCTTACATATTTTCCAGTCCTCTGGCTGCAAAGTATATATCTCAATTCATAGATTCCCAACTCGCGTTCGTGAACCATATACCGCCACAGCTTCTTTGTATGTTTTCCCCCTTCCCCAACCACACCTGCTTCAATCGCGCCCTAACAAAATTAGACGAGCCAATGATTCCATTTGAGGTCTCATATCAACCGGGTCCTCAAACTCGGTACTCTCCAAGCCTCTTTTCACTACCGAAACCACAATATATTAATGATACGGACGTGAATCGGAGGCTCCGTGATATCATTTTCAAGCCAACTGCAAAAGCCCTTCAAGAACTCGACAAAGAAGCCACTAAAGAGCTCCCTGAACAATTACGTCCAGCTAAGATGGCATACGTGGGATTTTTCGAACAGGGTTTCATCACTGGGGCAGTTCTCATGTTATCTGGAGTTATCCTGGGCCTGGCAACTTTATCTTATCATGGGCATAATTATTTGAGGTCTCGTTCACTTTGATATACATCTGGTTAATATGGGGAAGATAGTTACGGTTTTTCGTATGTATGTGTATATATAAAAAAAAAGGGAATCCATGTCAAGGATAGTCAAATCCTCCTAGAAGCTTACCGGCTCGTAGTGAAATTACTAAAAGATCCTAGACCCGGCATCTCAACACAATGAATCTTATCCCAGAGTACAACAGCCTTACGAACTCCTTTCTCGTTATTTCAAATCTGATGATTCTAATTCGTTCCTTTTTATTAATTATTAAATATTATCGTGGTATCTTATCATATTTAACCTTCTTTCCCCTTTGCTTCCGGTATAGGGGAATTACAGTCAGTCGGTGATGACGTTGTCCAAGCCATATAACCGTGGTAAGACTGCCCTTTTCGAGGTGACGATTCTCGACTTTGTACCTGCCATTGGTACGTTGGAAAATGCAACCCTGTGGTTTGGCCGGACTGATCTGTGTTGATGGGGTCCGGTGGTGCCGCTGGGACATCTAGAGCTTGTCTCTTCCTCCTCCTTCTCAGTATAAACCAAATGAACAACCCAATGAGTACAATTCCTACAATGCCTCCCACGATTGGGCCCGCAATCCATCTAAGATCTCGGTCTTCTGATTCTGAATTACCCAAGCTTGAATTCAGATCGGATACGTCCGTTGCTGTACTCGAAGTAGAGGCTGAACTGGCTGGGTTTTGGGTCCTCGTCGATGCAACCCCCCCGGTAGTGGTTTTCTTGACTGACGCTTGCATGCTCGTGTTCGATGTTAATGAAGTGGAAGTGGCGTCCGTGCCAGTAGTAGCTATGTAAAGCGATGCCTGGTGCGGTTCGGCGCTGCATCCATAGACACTCCGTGGTGACTTGTCGTCTAAGTCTTCGAAGATGAGGGCCGTATAACATACGCTCGCTCCGCTTGTGACTTGTCAGTACTATGTCGCCTCGCGCACACCATTCGAATTCAAGTACCATTGATATTTTGTTTTCGACGCAATTAAGATCGATTCGGCTTCGCAACTGCTCCATATCGCATACTCCGTAGCGCTTGTTGCTACGCAGCCGCCGTTTTTACCCTCCCACTTTAACGTTGAACCCGGCGGGCACGAGCTGGCGCTATCTGTATACAAATCGCGATGAGCATTCTCACTTGCATCGCGCTCGCCAGATGGCTGAACTTACAGCTTCCATCCACCGATGCATATCCTATAATCTCGGAGCCGGCAATTTGGCCAGCATCGTCTCTCACTAGCAATGGCGCTGCAGTGATCATTGGCGAGTCGAGCGCTGTCGTGAAAGCCGGATAACCAGTGTAGAACCCAACGAGGCAGAGGGCCAATTTCATGAAACCGGGTAGTCGCATCGTTTCCGTCATACAATATCGCAAGCTCGATACCTAGGCGCATTCATCGAGACTCTTTGACGACCTCGATGCGCCTCATCCGTATTGTCGACCATTTGGCGCTGTTCTATGGGAGAGTAGACAAGGTGGAAGCGACCAAGGGCACAGGGGAGGGGAAATAGCTTGAACAGTGCTAGAGAGAACTCCCCTCTAGACTGCGAAACTACAAGCATATTATGTGATCCATCCATGTAACATCCCGAAATTGGAGTCAGTCAAGCCCATTAATTGACAGGCGGGAGCGTTCCGAGCTGCATGGGCCCATGTCATGACCAGGGCCACCACCGCATCCTCAGGAGAAAGCACGAGCCATTTGTTTGAACAACCCCAGCAGATTCGTATTTCCTTCCCCTCGCGTGGTATAGTGCAACCTAAAAGTCCCAAACAGTATATTGGATCCTGCGCAACAGACTTGGCATGAGGAGTTCTTTTCTTATGATATTCCTGTCGCGAAATGTTCATGCAATGCGCCGCAGGTTGAGCTCAAGCGTCTTAACACTTGCGAGTATTGTCTCCCTTTAGCAATTTACTCTAACCGTGGTGAGATTCTTGATATGGTCTTCTTCATGATTATCGATTGTGATTGTCCAATCATTTTCCTATATCGGCATCCTTGTCAATGTCATAGGATTGACACCCACGTGCATGTGGAGGCTCTACTTTAAAATCTCATTGAATTTTATCAGGTGTTGGACCCTGATGCCTTTCAGGCATCAAATCGATCGTCTTTCAATAAAACATTTTTCCTAAAATCTGATTTGCAAATCTGAAGTCTTTATTAATCTCTCTTAGCATCTGTCTGAACTATGACCAGCTCGATCAATACTCTGCCTTCGCATCCCCTTGCCCCTAGGCATCAGCAAGCGCAACCACAATGCTACTAAAGTGAGACATGAGTAACCTGATATGGCAGGTACCACTCGCCGTTTCTATTCTCATTTTCTTTCCATTATAGGCTCAGCACAGGCTCAGCTCAGGCTCAGCTCAACTGAATACAATTCTTGGTCCCAGGGAGTATTCTGATATTCGTTTCATGATTCTGCTAGGCTCCCCAGAATCTTCGCCGGCAAAGCCGGATAGAAAGATTTCAAATATTTTCCAGAGATAACTGTTTCGTCGAAGTTCCCAAAGCCCGTTAGAACCATGCTACGAGATGATTTCGTTGCGTATCTCGGGGTGCCCGTTGCTTCATGCAGATAGCAGTTTCATCAGTAAGCGAGGTGGCCCTCGATTTTTCGACCATCTTAAGCCACTGAAGAAGGCTCACTTCAACTGTTTTCAATTTTAAGCACCAATACTAGCGTAGTGAGCGTGAGCAACTGCGTTTTGGTGAAACGAACGATGTATACTACATTCCTTGTTGAACCTACCACTCCATGTCTGACAAACCCACTAGAAGTGGCCGCCTTTCTCACAGGGCTCGACATGCAGTAGATATGATAGGTCCACGACTCTCGCCTCCGCAAGACCTGTCAACCAGGCACTTCAAGACGGTCTTTCCTTGGCTAGCTATGGACTTGGTAAGTTTTATTCAAGGCTTCTCACCCTTCAATAAAGGTCACTAGTCACAAATATGCGCATGATAAGATCACGTTCCAATTCTACGGTCTGTGGTTTCATAACAGTCCTATTAAGCAGACTCCTATCAAACGAAGTCTCCTTTACCCCTGAGTCATAGACCATTTCTAGAGTAAATTAAGCCATCGACCAATCTATCCGATGCATCATGTTAGCTCAACTCAAAACAAGGTCTTGTACATGAACCTCGACTACGTCATCGCAAAGAACATATCGATGCTCATTTAAGCTCTCAACTACTGGTAATTTTACGGGATTCGTGAGCTGACAACTGAGGCTAATTAGCATACTGGTAAATAGAAATGTTGCATCTCCCGTGTGCACAAATCTAGAATGGTGTTGAATGTTGGACGTTAGCCATCAAGTGGCATCTTCGTATCATGTTGGCTTGAGTAAATGCTGCTGAGTAGTGGTTACACCATTGCCCACGAAGTTGGCGACCTGAAAATAATACTCTCGAGAAATTACGCGTAGAGCAGACATGTCTCACGTATCAGTAAAGCATTCAAATCTATAATAAAGAAGAAATTTTCCCCATCTAATTCAGATCTAGAACTCAAGGGTCAACTTCTAGCTTTTGGATAGTTCCATGCTCGTAATTCTATCCTCAATTGATGCATTACTGAAAGTTTACGTTCGCAGTAGTCGGAACATACCAAGAGTAACGCGCCGTTGCGGGCGGAGTCCATGTACTCTCCGTGTCGACTACAGGTTAGTATTTGCTTTTAGCCCAATTTTGAATAGCTTCACTATGTTGTGTTGCAAACCTATTGGCATAATCGGGACTAGGAGCTTCATTCGATATATTTTGCAGCCTCCCGTGGCAAGTCCTTAAGTCTTCCTCGAAGTGAAAGAATACTTGGTTAGGGGCAGGGACTCATATAATATCAACTATGCATGGGGGGCCGCTCATTCACCGCCGGTAACAAAATTCCGTATAGAGAAATGGCCATTACTCGCCTATTTGTTTAGTCTCATAGCGCCAAAGAACTCTGGCTCTGGGGGATTGGTTCTCCCTGTGAGGCGGACTTCGATGTATCTGAATACATACGGTTCGTCGCCTTCTACCCTATTCTGCAGAAATCTGAAAAGAGACATGCTCTTCTACGAAATAGCTATTTGAAATCAGCCGTTGCCTCTGGTCGGCTAAAAACCAACGTATCCACAAGAAAGGAAAATAAAGTTGCCTCCCGGAAGACTTCTAGACGGCTGCTGCTTGAGGCAATGTGAAAGATCTCAAGTGTTTCAAAGGAGCAACAGAGTCAGGCGCCTTTCTTTCCAGCGTCCGGGGCTACGTTTACCCTACCTAAAGCAAAATGTAATCAAGATAGGATAGCGGTTTCAAAGTATAAGGCAGACAGGCGTCTAAGAGTTTTGCGGCTATATCACTACTCGGGTAGCTTCATAGAAGCAGTAAACGCCACCTTCAAAGATGAGCTCGATCACATCCAAAAAATCGATGCGCTGGTCGACAACCTCTACATCAGCGGACCGGCAGGTGTCTCGACTACTAACCAAATCAATGACTGAGGAATGAAGAAACCTTCCTAACTTAGTCGAGGAGACTAATAAAAGGTCAAAGCCTCTTCAAAACTTCACGTCAAAATTGACATAGCAAATGACAATGGCACAATTCCAAACATCACCCAACTCATATGAGGAAATGATGCGCCTAATTACAAGTAAAATACCAGATAGGCGAGCGATGACTCGAAGCGATATATACGGTAGTTGTTCAACCTCATTACGTAGAATATTGCTCATCATGACTCTCCACGAAGGCATCAAAGCCTCACAGCCGTCCCAGTGAGTCTATAAAGCAATTCTCGAATTCGTAAATATTGATATGTCTATACGGGTCCTGGCGACCCTAGTCCATTTAACCCCCGTTCATTGACATTTTGTAGAGATGATCAACTTCTAACTAGACCCCTAGAAAGGATCCGATATATAACATTAGTCTCGGTATTTGGAAGATTTTCTTAACGACAGTACATTATTCGACTCCTTGATTCTCGTAGTACAGAGATTCTAGTAGAGTTGCATAAGCAGTAAAGTTAGAAATCATATATCTGCTTAGCAACCTACAATTCGGAATATCCGGCCTCAAGGAAGCTATTGGTAACTATTAAGCCGTCAAACAGCAGGCAAGCGTACCAATCATATCATACTGCGAGCTTTCACAGATGTTACTGAATCCTTGACAACTATCCCGGCCCTTGTTTATTGCCTTGTTAGATAGGTCATTCAGCCTTGATTCTAACTCTCCTGTGTTTGATCGGGGAGTAATTTCAAGTCCTGACGGGACACAATGGACATGGAATCTTGTCACGCATTCATTAAAAGATTTGTTTGATGTCTCAAGACTTCCCGTATTGCATCTTATAGAGGGTAGACTCGTCGCTCCGGGAGATGACTGTGGTGACATGGCAAGGATCTCACCAACGAATTGCTATCGAATAGTACCATTCTCAAAATTCTATCGGAACCACAAAGGATATAAATTAGGGTTTTCGTCGTATTAAATTGTAGATGAAGGTAATATCATAGGGCATGGCCAGGTTACATATTCAAGATCCGGGCAGCTCCGGGGTCCAAAGCAAGCCCTTCATTTAAGTAGCCACCATAATACAAGCGCTTCAAATGTATTTGTTATAGAAGAATCGAGGAGGATCCGGTATTCCCTCCAGCCTCATTTTCTTATACTGGAGTATCATAAACCCTTTGTCGCGTGTCATGCTTTCCAAACCTCCCACTGGCTGGGTCCGATGCGGAGCCGGAACTGCTGTGCCGAATGCCACCTCCACAGTGATTGCGGCATCCATGATGAAATGATATTTGATTATGGTAGTCCACAAAAGGCCCTGGAATCCTCTCCGCTGATAAGCCGGCCCAGCCATCGTCCCATTGCTCCAGGGAACCTTTGTTCTGGCTGCGAGCAAGTCCATCCCCTGCGCTCTCTTCGTCGATCAGAATTTGGCCTAACCACAACAAACAAAACACAAGGATTCATATCCTAGATTATTACTCATTGACGGGCATAATTGAATCAGCCATTTAATACTGTTTGTTGCCCAACTTATCCTCAATTGAGTCCTGCAAAAGCGCGTTCGCCTTCTCCGAGCATCATTGCCGAAGCGGGACATATGCACAATTGTCCCTCTGCTTTGGCCTCTTGCGGAAGGAGGAGGCAAACTTGTCCTGGGCATTGCTATGAAGCTAAATATACCACCTGCCTACTGCGACGATTGAGGGGAGGGATCTTTCGAATCTCCCCACAGTCTTGTGCCTGGATTATACCATGGTTCTGCCCAGGCCCTTGGATTGGACAATGCAGCGAGGATCATGCGTGTTTCCTCGACGGATCCTCGGATAACGCCTGATTGGTATCGCATGCCATTGATTTATGTAGCACGGATAAAAGCAAGCTCGTCTGCCCTGTCAGGATGGCCTAGAGCTCCCTCGTCTTGTAGCCAAGTCCTCAGACAGCAGTAACTCGCCATGAGACTCCATTCAATTACATCGGCTGCACTCTCCCTCGCGGGCCTGGCATCCGCTGCTTTTATGCGCGGGAATGGCATCAAGGTCGGTCCCATCGACGAGACGGTCCAGCTCCGGAGCGTCTCCAGCACCAACCAGAGCACCACCGGCTGGGGCACGTTCGAGCAGCTTCTCGACCACAATGACCCCAGCCAGGGCACGTTCAGCCAGCGATTCTGGTACGGGATCGAGCACTGGAAGGGCCCGGGGTCGCCCATCTTCATGGTCAACCCCGGAGAGCAGGCCGGCACAAACTTCAACAAGACTTACACCACCACTGCGCGGCTGCCCGGGCTCTTTGCCCAGGAGCTGGGCGGCGCCGTCGTCATCCTCGAGCACCGATACTGGGGCGAGTCTTCCCCCTTCGAGGAGCTCACCGTCGCCAATCTCACTTGGTTGACCCTGGAGCAGAGCATCAAGGACAATATCTACTTTGCCAAGAACTTCAACCCCCCCTTCGATACCACAGGAGGGAGCAAGCCTGATAAGGCCCCCTGGGTCTTCTCCGGTGGCTCCTACTCTGGTGCCCTGGCCGGCTGGCTTGCAGCTCTTGAGCCGGGCACTTTCTGGGCCTACCACGGGACCAGCGGTGTCGTCGAGATCATCTCGGATTTCTGGCAGTACTTCACGCCTGTGCTCGAGGCGACGCCCAAGAACTGCAGCCGCGATATCAACGACGCCATTGAGTACATTGACCACGTTCTCCTGCATGGAAATGCTAAGCAGAAGCACGAGCTGAAGGACAAGTTTCTGCTTGCTGATCTTGCTGATGCCGATTTCGCTTCGTAAGTTTCCATTTCCGATACTGTTCATCTGGGAGAATACAGACCAAATACTAACAGAGTATATTAGCGCCCTTGAGTATGGACCATGGCAATGGCAGTCGACCCAATTCTATTCCGAGAAGGTCAATGGCTTCAATTCCTATTACCGATTCTGCGACTACGTTGAGGTATGTTTAGCTTCCATTTTCCTCGTTTCAAGATCTTCAAATGGTAAAATTAGTCCTGACCACTGATCGCAGAATGTCTGGCCCAACTCTACCAACAAGGTCCCAGGTGCTCACGGTGTGGGGAGAGCCAAGGCCATCGAAGGCTACGCCAAATGGTTCAAGGAGGAGCTCCTTCCAGGCAGTAAGTTTACGGTGCCGCATTATTTGCTGTATTCTCCTAGATAAATCTAACAATCCTGCCCACTAGACTGCGAGGCCTCCGGATATGATGATTGGCAGGGAACGTACAACACGGGCTGCTTCGCTAATCAAAACTCATCCAACATCATATTCAAGGATCTCAGCGTTGGCAACTGGGGTAACCGACAGTGGAACTGGATGCTGTGCAACGACCCGTACGTCTCCCATTCTTCCAATATGACCTCTTCTTCTTGCGTTTGTTTCTAACCAAGGTTTCACTGTAGGCTCAAGTACTGGCAGACCGGTGCACCAAAGGGCCAACCGACCCTCGTATCCAGACTCGTCAACGTCGACTACTGGGAGTCGCAGTGCAAGTCCTGGTTCCCCGAGGGCGGCTACGGCATCGAGAAGGGCAAGACCGAGGCGGACGTCAACCGCTACACCGGCGGCTGGTTCGCGAAGAACACCACGCGCCTCATGGACACCAATGGCCAGCGCGACCCCTGGCGCGACGTCACCGTGAGCTCCATCTACCGCCCTGGCGGCCCGCTCGAGAGCACCCCCGAGCACCCGGTTCGCGTTGTCCCCGGTGGAGTTCACTGCCCCGACTACTACGGGCAGAACTGGGAGGCCAACGAGGAGGTGAAGAAGATCGCCTACGATGAGGTGGAAAATATGAGGGAGTGGGTGAACGAGTTCTACGAGCAATAGATCTATTTAGACAGGTTATGAAATAGTTGTCTAATATAAATCACTTTTGTAATGCTATTGAGATAGCCGTACGTCCTGATCTAAATTGGGTAGATCGTAATACTTAGAGCTCTCTGCTAGAAAACATGCCGTGATCCAAATTTTCCAAAAACTACCTATGTCTCTCAAGTTTTCGAAATATTCAACGAGATCAGTAACAAACAACTACCTTTAAGCAATAATGTAGTCAATGTTTGGTCAGCTTGATTGGACTAAGCTATTTAACTTCAACCAAACCAACAACTAATACGGCTGGACAATATATCCATGGTGCAGATCTTGGCTTTATTTAACTTCAATGACGAGAGAGCATTAGTATCGAACTCATCTTTAGGCACACGCCCAAGAATATCCTAGCATTGAAGTCGAACAAAGCCAAGATCTGCACCATGGTTATATTATCCAGCTGTAATAGTTGTTGGTTTAGTTGAAGGTTTTCAACCAACTTGTTCTAATCAAACTGATCAAGTTGCTTGACTGGGGCTGCCTTCATATAGCCGATATGCTTCGGATCACTGTTAGTTATTTTGGGTTAACCAACTGTATGCAATCAATGTTCTGCCGGCTTTTGGAAAACCACCTCTGTAATATAGTTGGTGGACGAGTACTTACAAAAGCTTACTTATAAGTTGGCACTGTTGAATCCTAGTTCTTTCCACGATTGTCCTAATAGATTCGTGAATAACAATACATTCGAAATTTGCGAGGCCCCATAATCAATGATCTCTCTATATCCCATGAATGTCGCAAGTCCTAGATGATTGTAGATTCTAGCTATAGAAACATGTATATTCCAAATATCATCTACATCTGCACACAGCCCATATAACAATACCGTCTTGAAGAGCCGACCCTCTTGTTCATCACCGCAGCGACATCTTAAAACTTAAGGACTTCATCGGCGCTTCCACGCCACTCTAGCTTCAGAAGTTTTCCAAGATGATTTGGTCCACGTGTCCGGGTTTATCGTTTTGGTTATCCACTGGGCACCAGAAAACTCTATGGCCCGGTTTCAGGGAGCCGCGAAGGCCCTTAATCGGATACGCAGCGCAGACAGTAACATGTATATGTTCCCTGGGCAGTGAATTTCGGCAAGAGCCCCTATGGCGCAGTAGTAAGCGCGCCCCCATGCTGCTGTCCATGTGGTGTGCTCACACGGAAGACACGAGCATCTATACGCAGCATCCCCCTCCCTCCAAAGATAAGCCAATAGAACGGCAAGTGGGTGGCAGAAGAAATAAGACATTCAATTGAGGAGTGCTTATGAACACAAGGACGGCCATCCATATCCAGCATTCATGGATCAATAGGTTTTAATTTAGGATGAGAAAAGTCAACAGGGCATTTGGCACATATTCAGCAGTCTACAGTTCAGAAAATCTGTAGTGATCATTGATGTACGACAAAAGAAGCATCAGGGGAAGATGACGAGTACGGAACTACGGACATAATATACACTATAGATACTTCCGAACAGATGGAACTCATTCATACACTTAGGACCACGATATTCTCAAAAGATATTATCTTGTCACTTAGTGTGTGCATATCAGTCTCGGTGGACAAGGATCGGGTAGCCTTCAAATTGGAATCCGGTGCGTTGGCAATCATCGCAACCGAAGTAGGAGGTTGGTGGTCGGCAAGCATTCAGAACCTAAACCATAAAAAAGGGCCAACTGCCCACCCACCCCACCATCAACAGTGGCCTCATGGTATGGATTAAGTCATGGATATCACTTCACAGCCTTTAGCAGAGCGAATATCAAATGGTATAAGAAATCATCGTTTTATTTTTGCCCATATCAGTAAAACAAAAACAGGGTAAAGCAAAGTTATTTCCCAATTGCTAGCTATCCTTTGTAATGCTCAATCTCCCTACACGTAAATAAATAAAGAAAAAAAAAAAGATCTTCGTGACAGTGGTATGTAACTCGCTGAAATGAATCATCCAGATTGATCGTCAAGTTGACGGCGAGATGGTATTCAAAAAGCGTAAAAAAGAAATGACATGTAAATGAGAGTGCGCAGGGTTCGACCCGCTGGCCAGTTTTGTTGCTTCCCAAAATCAAGATTTCAACTCCAATTCTCCCATAAAATAAATAAAACGAGGGGAAAACTCCCTTCCATACCTCGCTTCCCACCTTTCGCTCTTTATTTGCTTTGTTCGAAGTTCGGTAGAGTTACAGGCAACGGAAGTGTTGCTCCTCCTCGCCTAGCCTCGAAGTAGAATGAAACAATAAGTGATCAAGGGGAGAAACAAGAAGAAAAGATTCCGTAGCTCAGGTTTATTCGCTGTGTTTCGCATGCGGGAAGCGCTTTCATTGTCAAGGCGAATTCGAATCAAGATCGAGGTGTCCGCTGAGCTGAGGGCGTTCGCAAGCTCTCAGACAAGTTGCTTCGATTTTCCAACCAACTCCTAGCTTATTCGTCCCAGTCTTTCATCATTCTAGTGACACGATCAGGTTCAAACGACGCCTGCTCTTTCGTTTTTTTTTCCCTTCCTCTTCCTCTTCTTCTTCCTCGGCAATCCTTTCGCAGAGATGTCTGTCTCTAAATTGTTTCTCTTAGATTCCGATCGCTCGATTAGCCCATCTTCACATCCCCATTTGGCTCCGTCTGTGGCAGGATAGGCTGCTCCTGGGCCTCCCTGCTATCCCGTCTCTTCTTTCCAATGCGCTCGCACCACTCCTCGGCGCTCACAATGGTACCATCCAACACGCCGCTGACCTGGGACACCATGTCAAGTCCTTCTTTCGCCAAAAGGAGCACTCGCTGTGCTCCATCACGAACGGCTGAGTCGCTGTCTGGAGCACCGGACGCGCTACTAGTCTCAGACATGGCAGCGACACGGAAGCGTTGTGGAAGGCTCGTGAGATGTCGGCGCACCAAGACACGGGCATTCTCTGGGAGCGCTCCTCCAGCATATCTTGACACCATATTGATTGCATCATGCAGTGTCTTCAGGACATCGCCTTTCAAAGTATTGATGCGCGTCGCTAACTCGGCACGAGTCTCTGGCGATGTAGCCCTCTCCATCTGCTCATCAACACCGGTATCATCTCGGGCGCTCTCGGTCGAATCGGCCTCGCCCGCCTCGGCGGATGGCTTCTCGTATTGTTCAAGGGTAGTCTTCAAATTCCCCACAACACCTCCGATATGTTCGTTTGCCCATCTGAGCCAGCGCAGGCAGTACTTGAGGCTGCGAAGGCTCTCCTCACTCATTGCGACGCTCAGACCAGAGGTAGACATAATGAGACGCGACTGCCAGGCTGTGGGATTTGCCTGCTGCTGTCCATTGGGTTGCGATGACTGGTTGTCATTGGTCTCTGTATAAGCTGGTGAGCGAACGTCATCGTACGCCGGCAGCGTGTCCACCGTGCTGGCGAAAGACATCCGCCGACCGTCCTTTGGAGTTGACGGGTAGGAGGCCTGAGGGGGGCTTGCCAATCCTTCAGCCTCCAACCGTTTCCTTGACATCATTTCCGCCTCGGACTCAACCTTTCGTCGCTTCTTCGAACCGGCACCGGTTTCAACATCCGATCGTTGGCGACGGCCAGCACCAAGGAACCAGCGCACACCTCCTTCCACGCCAGTGACACGACCAACGGACCCGACAGTGTTGGCAATTGGTGTCAGATAGCCCTCGACATATTCGGCTCCAGACTTGAATCGAGGTGAAAAGTTCTTGGCACCACCATAAGCCGATGTGGCTCCCTCAATCGTGGTCGCTAGGAGAGGATGGGATGTTGTAAGTAAGGAGAACAGGGGTTCCGGACCCTGTGGTGACTGTGAACGAGTGGCGGGCTGTGCGGTTGGTGCCGGAGGGCTCAGAGGAAGGGAAGCACTCATGTGGGACGGAGAAGAAACAAAGTCTGGATCAGCGGTCAGCGCTTGTGCCAATCTACACGGGCGAAAGGGAATGTAGCCGCCAAAACGAGTTCATGTCTCAGGGCAAAGGAGACTTACCAGCTCGCAGGTCCCCAAGGGCTTCGGCAGCCAATCTCACATCAGGGTCGTCAATGTTGACACTGCCGGCCCGGCCATCGAGACGGCCATCAGGCGATACCGCAGACAGAGGACCGCTCCTCATGGTATCCAAATCCATCATATCGGGGCTATCTGTCATATACTTCTGAGGGTGATTCGAGGTAGGCGTGGCGGACTGTTGATGGTGAGGCGTCATAGGGTTGACGACGCCGGGCCATTGTGTGTGCGAAAGCGGCGCAGGAGGGAACTCCATACTGGCCGTCATCTTGTGAGGATGTCGGACGTGATGGTCGCCCGTGAGGGAACTCAGGGGAGGTAGCGTGCGATCATTATTGGACTGTAAGGCTTCGGACAGTGGTGGCAGCGACTCGATCGCAGCCGGGAATTCAGCGGTCGGCAAGGGGACGGGGGGCTCAGTTCGCAACGGGAGAGTGGCCGTCAATGGAGTCGAGAAGGAGTAGGCCGGTGGGGGGAGTGTCGGTGGTGGAGATGCGAGGTGAGCAGGAGGACGAGCGACGGTGTGGGACGAGGGCTTGGAGGATGGTGAGGAGTGGCTATGACCTTTCTGGGTCATCTCTTTCCGTTTTCTTCTTCCCCCGTCGCAGCTGCTGTGGCTGCTCTGGCGGAATCGTGCTCGAGGCGGTTGTGGTTCTTAGCTTAGTAGTAGTGCCTATGTTGGTGCTGGGGCGAGCATGTGATTGCGGTGCTCTCGAAGTGCTTGGCTCGGCGATAAACGGCCGGAGAGTTCAGCGCCCTCCACCCCTGCTCACAGTCGTCAGTCAGGTCGGCTTCAGACCAGGCATGTACCTAGGGACTGCTGCAACTAGGGTCCGGTCTTGAGTGATGAGCAGCCGGGGCCAGAGTCAGAATTTGGCCTGTCTCAAGGATGTGCTGATCTCCAGCCTGAGCGCTAGAGCCTGTCTTCGGTGGTCGGCCAATTCGCTATGAAGCAGCGTGAGCGTTGGTCGCAAGGCGCATTCAAGCAGAAGAGGTCGAAGAAATGCGAATCAAGGTGGGCGAAACGAGGCTTTGATGGCCGCCGACGACGACGAATAGACCACGACGTGTGGAGGGTGGGGGGGGCAGGATATCCTCTAGTGAGTCTCGTGGGACATTGATTTTTGTTGGGCCACCACCTCAAGTCAGTTGTTGTCTGGCTTCGGGGCGATGGAGGAGGGTAGCAGCTAGGGCACCACTAAGGTACAACTACCAGTATAAGCTGCAGGTTCCCAAGTCAGGTACCTCTATCTGCTCGTACAGGTCAATCCCTCCCATGTGAGTGTCGGCAACAGTCCAGGCGCCTCCTTCATATCTCCTGTGCCCGCCGCCCATGCCTGCTCCCTACCTAATGACCTGACATGTGAGTTTCCTCATCCTTCCAATTCTTCGTCCTCACCAATTCGCACCAGAACGCACTGCAATCCTAATCCAACGCACGTGCATACGCCACCCACTCGTGGCATGACAACATCATCGTCCCCGGCTATTAGGCATATGCTTAGCGCCCCTCTGGGGTTTCATCCGCTAGAGCCAAGCAGGTACAGCCAATTTGTCGTGTACCTGTCCTCGGGCTCATTCTACGAGATAGCTTAGTACTTCCACCTATTGCGGAGGACGTCAAGACCCCTAAATTCGAGCATACGCTCAGTGAATCCAGTGCCTGGGCGACCGCGAGTAGATACATAGAGGCGTGGCTCCTTCTTGTTGTTGCTGCCCGGTGCACTGTTACACCAGACGCCCACTGAAAACCCCCCGGCGGCAATAAGTAGTCGCCGGAGTTTAGGTACTCCATTGGCTCTACAGGCCGATAGGTACCAATCAGGTACTCGCTGCTTCGGCCAAGCGTATCACTCTTCTGACATGTGAAAAGGCACTCCATCCCGCTCCGTGATGCGGTGGAATTGAATTGAATTTCCGTTTTCTTGTAAATGCCCACCACCACCACTGCTAGCAGACACAACCATAACCGGTTTCTTTCCCGAGCTATTGTCTTAGTCTCTTGCTCAACCTTTCAGACACCGGCTACGTTGCGAGGGCGCTTAGGTCAAACTCGGTTCATCCTCACCCCTATCCGGTCCCCGGGTCGGTCGTAAATCACATGCATACTGCAGAGAAGGGCGACGAAAGTTCTGGCGCACACATCAGGGCTGGTACCGCGACCTCCCACACGTGTTGGCCCCTTGGAAGCTTGGAACAGGTTAGTCTCGGGGCCGGGGATTCAATTTTCATTCACGCACTGCGACCCATGTTTGGTTTCAAGGAGCGAAGAGCACCAGATCCACTCATATAGGGCGTAGAGTACGCGTAACTGTCAAAATGACATGGCTTACCCAGGAAGATCATGATACTACCTCAACAACAGCATAATGCGCACATCGTAGCTACTTCCGCTGAACACCCTTCGCTCATGTGTTAACGCAGACAGGCGCCGCGTAGTTTTTTTATTCCTTGCCTGTGGGAAAGGTGCAGCCCAACCGCAGCCCTGGGGCCCATTGCAACTCCAAGATGATGGATGGATGTGCACGTGCATATCCAGGAGTTATAATCATAAGTCATCAACATCCGGGGTTCTCTTTCTGGAAGGATGGTGAGATGACGGAAATACCCTGGCTAGAACATAAGGTATCCGGTACTCTTCGCAAGCTTGCTCAACGGCCAGCTCTTTTCCTACAATCATGGTCTTCAAAGTCGAGCCGGTCTGCTGTAGCCTGTGATGCTGCCGGATTGCAGTGCAGGTGGTAGGCAAGTAGGTCATCATCACATGGAATCGCATGCCATTATCACTGTACCTGCTAGCTCCATGAAAAGCTTGCTCTCAACCGGATGCAGACGACAATGCAGAATTGGAACCTTCACCGCTGATCCTGATCAACATTGGCAGCCCAAGTGATGTGCCCAAGCTGAACAAACCTGGCATACATGGGAGGAGATCTGGTTGGAGGGCAGATAGACATCTAGGTTTGCTCAAGCTCGCTTAACCCTCCATCCAAATCCCACTTGCCACTTTGGGCACCCACATGAAAGCTGGGGAAGCCAGCAAGTGATTCCAGTGGGATGCGCCGTGGCAATAGTTGTGCCAGGACGCTGATCTGATTGGGACGGGTGCCCGTGAACCCAACCGAAAGCGACAACGAACTTCTGTGCTCATTCCTTTGGCCTCATTCCCTCGTGGGAAGTGCCACACACTGTGCTTCGGTCAACGACGTATTGGTGTGCAACAGTCACGATGATTGTCGTCCAAAGAAATGGATCTACGGCTTATGAAAGCTGGTGTTGACTGAGAAAACAATGCAGGAAAAGTATGTCCGGCTCCTCTGACGCCGCCCAAGCCACGAAATCGGTCGAAAACCAGTCTCGGGCAGCTCTTAATGGAACCATGTGCTCCCTCTCCGCATCTCCAAATCGCGATATCAGTCCACGGGCCTACGGGTGAGAAGAGTGACAGAATGCCACCTCTCGGTGCGGGCTTAAAGACTGGCCGCACTGTCTAATGGATGCGTTGATGGAACTCCAAAACAGAGAAAAAAACGACGGCCCAAAATAGCTATTTATTGGTTTTTTTTTTTTCCCCATTCGCCAGCCCACATCTCCGGTCACGTGGCTAAGAAGGCAGTGCGCCGAAGTTGATCCGTGTAGCTTACCTAATGGCTTCTCCCTGTCTGCCTGCTGCCTGCCTGCTGCCAGTGATGTCGTGTGCGGTGAGCAGCAGAGGTTCGAGCCTTACCTTATTATGTAAGCGCCAATTTGGGACCACAGCAAGCTACTGGGTATCTCACTATCTGGCAAGTAGCCATATGATGCCAGCCGACGACATGTCGCTATGAACTGCCCGAAGCTTCGACCACATTCCAAGCATTGAATGATACTATTGCAATAGCAATCTCTCGCTCTTGTGGCCGTCGTGCCGATCCCAGCCGTCGCCCAAGGTCATTTCGTTCGTCTCGATAACTTGCCCCGCGATCCTCAAGAACCCCCCTAAGCCATCTGCAACCATGGCCTCCGCGCTCTTCTTCCTTGACCTGAAGGGCAAGGTACGCAGCTCCTGTTTTGTGCACATGTATGCAGGGAATATTAAGAGGACATTACTGATACGCGCGCCATGTTCAGACCCTACTTGCTCGCAACTACCGAGGTGATATCCCCATGTCCGCCGTCGAAAAGTTCCCCGTCCTCCTATCAGAAGCCGAAGAGGAGTCCTCCGCAGTCCCACCATGTTTCTCTCACGAAGGCATCAACGTGTGTACCCTCCTCGCTTGACTGCTCAGTTCCAATTATCCAGCTCTGACTGACCATTATGGCGCAGTATCTTTACATCCGACATAACAACCTCTACGTCCTCGCCCTCACAAAACGCAATACCAATGCCGCCGAAATTCTACTCTTCCTCCACAAGGTTGTCGAAGTATTCACAGAGTACTTCAAGGTCCTCGAAGAAGAATCCATCCGCGACAACTTTGTCATTATTTACGAGCTTCTCGATGAGATGATGGACTTCGGCTACCCGCAAACTACCGAATCTAAGATCCTTCAGGAGTACATCACACAAGAGTCCCACAAGCTGGAGATCGCCCGCCCTCCAATTGCCGTCACAAACGCCGTCTCCTGGCGTTCAGAAGGAATTCGATACCGCAAGAACGAAGTCTTCCTCGATGTCGTCGAAAGTCTCAACCTGCTCGTCTCCGCCAACGGCAACGTGCTGCGATCCGAGATTCTCGGTGCCATCAAGATGAAATGCTACCTCAGTGGTATGCCCGAGCTCCGTCTTGGTCTCAATGACAAGGTCATGTTCGAGACCACAGGCAGGAGCACTCGTGGCAAGGCCATCGAGATGGAAGATGTCAAGTTCCACCAGTGTGTCCGTCTCTCTCGCTTCGAAAACGACCGCACGATCTCATTCATTCCTCCCGATGGCGAGTTCGAGCTCATGTCCTACCGTCTGAACACACAGGTCAAGCCTCTGATCTGGGTCGAGTGCGTGGTCGAATCTCACTCGGGATCTCGCGTCGAATACATGCTCAAAGCCAAGGCCCAATTCAAGCGCCGGTCTACCGCAAATAACGTCGAGATTATTGTCCCTGTTCCCGAAGATGCCGACTCTCCTCGATTCCGAACGAACATCGGTTCTGTCCACTACGCCCCCGAGCAGAGCGCCATCGTCTGGAAGATTAAACAGTTTGGTGGCAACAAGGAGTTCCTCATGCGCGCCGAGCTCGGCCTCCCCAGTGTTCGAGGCGATGACGAGACTGGTGGTGGTATGACCGGTGGATTTGGTGGTAGTATGGGTGGTGTTGGCGGTGGCAAGGCCGGCAAGCGGCCGATCCAGGTCAAATTCGAGATCCCGTATTTCACAACCAGTGGTATCCAAGTTCGATATCTCAAGATTACAGAGCCCAAGGTAGGCCGTAAAGCGTTTCATTCTCGCGCCCAACTTGCTAACTAACTGATACTAGCTTCAATACCCGTCGCTGCCCTGGGTGCGCTACATTACACAATCCGGCGACATCGCCGTCCGTCTACCAGACGTTGTCTGAGGAAGCGCTGGTAGCATTCCCAAACACTCCTGATCTGAAGAATTCAAAGAAGCCATCGCTTCCGCTGAGGGCTGCAGGCATCCCATATCTCTGGCGGTGTACTATTTATGCGCCAGGGACGCTTTGTCGCCTTCAAACAGCCGCAATGGTGTTCAGCCAATTTCCCTCTCGATGTTACGACATCTAGATAGACGGAATCAATGCATGAATAGCATAGGGAATGGTGCATGAAAAGCAGTCGATCTAAGGGGCGGCAGGTTCGTACGATATGAACGTTCAAGTGGCTCGGGTTATGTATGTAGATAGAAGTGAATTAGAGCCAGCGATAATGAGTTCCATACGTTTCATCCGTCCAGCGCCTCCTGTAGTCATGAAGTTCCCCGGTCGTCTGATTGGCAGAGGATTAAGGTATTCTCCCCATGGCAGCCACCACTTCACCCAGCATTTTACAGCCGACGCCTATTCAATTGCGGAATAGTACCTGGCCAATTTCACATCGTCACGTCGAAGAACAACCCACAATACAGCGCTTGGTGATGTTGCTCGCGGATTTTCAGCTTCGTCGCCTTGGCGTTGCTACCCTATATCAAGAACTTCCTTCTCAACTACCTACCTACGTGCTTGCCCAGCAAAAAAAAAGCTAGGTATAATTAATTGTATCAATAGCGATTTTATATACCATATCATAATGCCTAAATGAAGTATCAATATTACCTAACAACAACCTTTCATGATGCAATCTTGACCTAGTCAAGAGGTTTGTCTTATCATCAATCAAGCCTCAACAAGTATCAAACCTGAGTAGGCATGGAATTTAGATGGTGGGATAGAAGTATCTAGGATTGGTATCATGATGGGAAAAAATAACAGGCAACATTAAGAAGTTGCTGCATCAATCGGATCTTGGGGCCGTTGAGGTAGTATCGACGCTTCGTGGAGCCTGAGGTAGATAATCCAACCCCGCCTGGTATATTTTAGGTGTTCTGTATAGGTATCAAACTGCTGTCGCTCGCTGGGTTTTGTAGAGAAGCAAGAAGCAGTTCACGATTGACAACAAGAGAAGACAGTTCAAAGATAGCTGAACAGATTGACTTAATCTCGAGCGACTCGTCCAGAGACACAACTCATCGAGAGACACAACTCATGGAAGGTCGATAGACTTGAATCACCCAAAAGGTCTTTCGTGCTCGTAGCAACCGCGAGTTCGTCTGCCATTAGGCCTGATGTAACCACCATTGCTTGCGGATTCGATCCTAGATTTTCAAGCTTGTGTTGTACTACTTCCAAAACGTCGGATTCTTCCGCGGATTCGGTTACGGAGAGGAGTATCGCAATGGATGCTCAACTAACGTATACGTTCGATATCTTCGTCGGTATCGTGGTTCGTAGTTCGTGAAGATCGCCTCGCGTACGACAGTCACCCATCCTTCCCAGACCAGACAGATGACCACTACCAATGGTGAAAACAGGTCGTATTAATCTCGGCTTAGGATAAATCCTTGATCGTCATATTTCGTCTCACCAGCGTCTCGAGGACCCCCTAGCGGCCACTTTCTGACAATAACAGTTTATTCATGTGTCTAACATTTCAGAAACGATTGTCGGCCAGGAGTCTCTGTTTAAGAAACTGATCTCCTAAAAGAATGTAGGCTGTTTGCACTGATCGATCGCGGATCGAAGGTCGGTTTTGTGGGAAAGGGGGAGAGGGCTTTCGCAACGGACTGTTTTGAAAGGCCAAGAGCCAATAGTTTCGACGGATTACTCCGCCTGACCATCACATAAATAAATGGCTTAGACTTCGGATCGGATACAAGTATGTGAAGAGGGCCATTTCGGACACGGATTCATCCTTGGGGAAGATCGAGCAGCTAGCGAACGCCAGGCGGACTACTCCATTCCTTTAAGATATAAGTATTCGGGTGATCAACTCGATTTTGATCTTTTGTTAATCGTACGTGTTGGAAACCTCATGGGCGGTACTGACCATCGTCTGGCTGCTTGGTTGAAATATGTTGGTTTGGGTGAGGCGAAATACCGCAGGCCATGCACTTTGGCTGACAATGCTAGAATTCAAGCCCGCGGCTGAAGAGAGCTGAGGTACGTTCATACGGTGAAAACCGGCTAAGGGTTCCTAATTACATTTATTGCATAGCCAACTCACCACAAGTTTTGGGTTTACCGTCTACAATAACTTTAACTCAAACAAACTCGCCGGACTTGATTTATGCTTAAGACACTTCTTCTGCCAGCGTCTTTTCCATGAGTTGACTAAAACTTTGATCGGCTAGCTCCTTCAAAGGTATCTACCAGGCTTGTTTCGTTTGGTTCAATTAGTCCTCCGGCAACTAGAGAGAAGTCTATACGCGTTTCTTCATCAGAATCGAATAAGTCAACTTGATATGCACACTTTCAATGGGAAGAGGGAAAAATTTACGTCGAGATTGTGTTGCTGTCCGAGCGTTAGTTTATTGTTATTCCACGGATCTATCCGATGACTCCTCTCACGGATCGATCCGCTGTCGCCTCACAGAATCGTCCCAGCCCCTAACGGAGCTTCCCCCCCTGACCTCACACGGAGCTGTCCCCCATGTCTCAAGGATCAAGCCATCGCTTCCTTTATATGGACCCAAATGCCTCCCTGAATAAATCCTGCCCACAAAAGATGAAAGAGGTGGGTAGTGAGATTTAGCCCTGTCTGCTTTGAAATGCACCAGGACTTGGAATTGTTCATTGTAGCTCGATTTCACTAATAGTAACACCAGAACATCATTGAACAGTATCCTGAAGCTATATTCTGGCCGGGACAGTGTGGTATGATCATTGGTGGTTCAAGACGAGTTGCTGTTCAGCTTTCTCTCCGTGCTTACCATGTCATATGCCATGTGCCTCCCCCGTTACTCCGAAGGGCATCCGCAAAATTTGCCCCATCATAACCCCCTAATCTCTGATTTTCGCCATAAAATGTACGTATGACATGACGAAATCGTGCCGAGCCTGTCGAACGTTTCAAAGCCCGATGACGAGCCGCGTTCCGACACTAAGAGAGCCTCTCGAGCCCGCGCGCGAATTACGTATCGAAATGATATTCAAGTCGTATCTAGATGGAGACAGATGATATCCCACACGGTCGGGTTAGGCAGTGACACTCTAGATCTATCCCATCTGCATTATCAATCTGAAGCCAGCCCCCCTTTCACGCATTAGCACCAATGAGCCCACTCTAAGAGGCCATCGGACTGAAAACCACGATTAGTTAGCCGGTTTGTGCTAGGTGGCTAAGTTCGGGAAGATGCGGTGCCGAATCAGTTCATCATGAGAGATATTGCCACCGCCGAAAACAGTTCTAGAGTTGCTGCTTACATGGTATAACCGTTTGTATGCAATGTTAGACCCAGAATCAATCTGGTGCAAGGATACCGAGAACCACATGCCGCTCAACCGAATTGGAGGGGTTTTCTCTGTGTTTGATAGCTGCCTCAGGGCAAATCAAGAAGAAACAGCACGAGGCAACGTGTGATTAAGGTTAGTTGAGATCGCAACACGGCCGGCCAAGCTTGTTTGGGCTGAATGGGCCATCTCTTAGCCTGTCGAGATACAGTCACAGCGATCTGTCACTGTTATTTCCTTGTATTGAGAAACCGTTAAGGCTAGAGCGTAGTGAAATACTACGTACTGAGAGTGACTTGAGCCTAGAGACACTAGATCGAGGCCGTGTGAGACCGCCGAGAAATATTATGCCAGGGAGCTGCCAGTTAGAATCCACCCCAGGTCCTAGGATGACCTTGTTCGAGCCATTTTTTTGCCCAGTTTCCTTTCTTGCATGGCGTTATTCCTGCACAAGCCTTCGGAACATCGGACGTGACACATTGAAGTTGCCTGAATAGGGAAGAGCCAGCTAGTCACCCTACCCTGCCTCCACCTAGGTCAGGGTTCGCCCATCGTGGATTTGGCCTCTTTCAGGCGTGGTAGTGGACCAGGTCTGTAGATTCTTGATGATTAAAGATTACGTGAGGCATAGAATCGGAGTGGAATAATCATGAAACTCTTATCCAGATACTCGAAACCTTGTACGTCTACTACCAGGGGCTGCTCCTGACCTCGCTGGCTTTCGTCTGATATATATAGTACACCTGTGGCTTTTTTTTCGTTCATGTTTCCATTCTTCGCATTAGTCGAGCGTTCATTTCTTATCCGACTGTATTCATTCTTTACTTGACAAAAGTTCTTCGAGCTTTGACAGCTACCACAATGCGCTCCCTTTCTCTTATGGCCCCCCTGGCCGGTGTGGCCCTTGCTGCCCGTGCAACTTACGATGTCGTTGACACCGGCTACGAAAAGTACCTGAGTGAGAACAACTGGAACCAGGGAACCCTCCCAGACCTCAAGACAATCCAGTGTCTTGATGATCTGGAGCTTGCTGCCAAGCAGGGTATGACTCCGGGCAACTGGAGCCATCACAGAATGGCCGCTGGCCAGGAATGGGGTACGTCTATGTAGCACGATAATTTTCATTGAAACTTAGTGTGTACTTGAGCTAATTCATCTCAATATAGGTCTGAAGAACAACCTGGAAATCTGGGACGAGGTCAAGTTCCGCCCTCGCTTTTTCCGTGACACCAACAAGCTGCAGGACAACCTTGGGTATGCGATACCCACACTCTGAATCCTATCTAATGAAGTCATTTCGGTGCTAATAGAAACAAGAATTGAACTTTTCGGTTATAACTTCAGCGTGCCCTTCTTCATCTCCCCTGCTGGCTCAGCTATCAAGTCGAACGCCCAGGTGGCTGAACTGGACCTCGTGAGGGCAGCTGGTGATGAGAACTTCCTTTACATTGTAAGCCTCCCTTATTGACCGATAGCTGTGGCTTTTCTAATTCTCTTTAACAGCCTTCTATGTACACTAGCAAGAGCAAGGAGGATATTGCGAGTGTCAGACGCAACAACACTCTCAACGGCCAACAGGTTCTGTTCCAGCAGGTGTGTTGTGAAATGGAATTCCTGTTTCGTGTTCAGGGAAATGCTAAACTTTCACTAGATTTATACCAAGACCAACATCTCTGAGACATATGCCGATCTGCAGAAGGCTGAAAAATTGGGCTTCAAGGCTATCGTTGTCACTGTTGACTCTCCCGGTGATGGTGTAAACCTCCGTACCTGGCGTTACTCTGATGAGGAATAGTAAGTGACTAACTGGCGATGAATATATGCGAACTTTTCTAATACATGGTGGTAAATCAGCTTCACTTCTAACTTCCGTCCCAACAACGTATGTATCCTCCTTTTTCCGCCGGTTTCGTTATTTCTAACAATAGGTCTACATTTAGTGGGAGGTCTTTCAGTCATTCCGTAACTACACCAGTCTGCCTATCATCGCCAAGGGAATCTCTACTGTCGAGCAAGCCCTAGAGGCTGTTGAACATGGCCTTGACGGTATCTATCTCTCGAACCACGGTGGTCGCCAGCTTGAGCATGCCAACGCGCCCCTTGAGGTGGCCTATGAGATCTACCGCAACGCGCCCGAGATTTTCGAGAAGGTCACTGTCATTGCTGACAGCGGTGTCCGTTCCGGTTCTGATGTGCTCAAGCTGATGGCTCTCGGTGTCAAGGCTGTTGGCGTGGGACGACCGTAAGCACTCATTAAACGCACATCTTCGGAACGCGGCTAACCTCGTGGTATTAGTTTCTACTACTCCAATGTGTATGGATATGACGGAATCGTCCGAGCTGCGACACTACTGAAGAACGAAATCATCTATGACGGTTGGAATGTTGGTATCAACTCCTTGTCTGACCTTGACCCAAGCATTGTAAGTTTCCACTGGCCTCCCAACATATATACTTTCTAACCGTTCCATCTTTCTTCCTTTAGCTTGACTTGAACAAGCTGGCCACACATGTTCACCTTATCGAGAAGAACTAGATTCTTTTCTGATATAACCAGCAGTTCCGTCTTGTTCTCTTTAATTGGACCTTTTTTCAGATATGGATAGAAAGATGGAAACACTGAGCAATCAAGCAATATAGACGATGTACATTAAGACATTAAATGGTACCTATAGACTTAGAGAACAACTCATATATGCATGTTTAGCAGCACAAGCCTCCTGTGTCTTGTTGTATTGTGTCCTCTAACATTGAGCCTCACGACAAGAAAGGCATTACGGATATGAAAATCTTGCACCAAGTGCACCATGGTATATATTATTTTACCCTATGATGGAAGAAATTCTTTAAGAGACTTAGAGTTCGGATACGATTCTTACTCAAGCCCTTTTTCTTTTTCATCAGACCAGTCCTCGATAGAGTTTTCGGTGAATGAATCACGGGCGTGAGCAAACTCTGTGCCTGCATCTACGAGATCTGGACGCAAACCTTCTATTAAGCTTTTGGGAGGATCCTTGAATATCTTTTTACAGGAAATGTCGATACGGGTTAAAACGGGCGCCAGGCATCGAGGTTGATAGTATACCTGGAAGAGTCAACAGTGACATATATTCCCGGATACAATGTATTCACACCACCGAGCAGGTTCCTTGTTATATTTCGAAGGGTATCAAGGGAGAATAATTAAAGGGAATTTTACGAGATCGCTTCATGCTGTCCAAAAAAAAAAGAAGAAGAAGCTGAGCGGAGAGGAGGTTGTCTAGTAGCCGCGACCAGAGACTGTGAGATACGGAGTGAAGATATATAGGAAGAAGGCCATGAGTGTCAAATGATACCCCCTGGCCTGTTTCTTCAAACACGGGGAATCATAGAGGAAGGCGAAGTAAAACATTGGAATTCAGTTAAAACCTCCCGTACGTAAAATCATACAGTCATGGCTTAGCTAGTGTATATTGAGATAAAGCCAATTGTGGCATACTTTCGGAATCAGATTTACATCGGAATATATTCGACAAAAAAGGTCTGAATGTTCGATTTGAGACTACTACTATGATGACCTTTTTAATTCAACTAAACCATCTGTTTTGTGTGGTCAAATTAGCATAAAGAGCCCTAGATGGATATTGACGGTCTCAAGCCCGTTATGACTAAAACCATAGCCATGTAGGTTATCTTCTTGGGTCAACCAAAGTTGAACATACCTTATTCACAAAAGTTTGGGTGCGACGACCGGGCTTTCCTATTTCATCCGGCAACGCCCCCGCCTTTCGTTTGTTATCTGCAATTCATCCCGAGTGATACCTTCCCAATTAGGTCTCTTGTTGGAAAATCAATGAGAAGATGAAGTGATCAAGTAACACACCGCCTGCATATGCTTATCTTTAATGAGGGGAAAGAGGGGAGAGCCGTCCATCCATGACTTTGCTTGAGTGTATGACTCTTCTCATCAGTATTATTTAAGTTCACAATGAGGTTCCATCTCTCGCTGCTTAGCCTGGCGGCAGTATTTGCCCAGCCAGCCTTGTCCCAATTTCCCCCAAAGCCCGAAGGCGTGACGGTATTGAAGTCGAAGTTCAATGAAAACATCACCATCAGCTACAAGGAGGTAAGGATGCCCTCTCCGACAAAAGCTCCTGGGGCTTAGCTAAACTATTCTCATAGCCTGGGCTATGCGAGGAGACCCCCGATGTCAAATCTTATGCTGGCTTTGTCCATCTTCCCCCAGGAACGCTTGAGGGGGTTGGTCAAGAGCAATTCTACGAGATCAATACTTTCTTTTGGTTTTTCGAGGCCAAGGAAGATCCAGAAAATGCTCCTCTGTCCATCTGGATGAATGGAGGTCCAGGAAGTTCGTCTATGCCGGGCCTGTTTAATGAGCATGGGCCTTGCTATATCAATAACGATTCCAACTCGACGCGGCCCAGTGAGTGGTCTTGGAACAATAAAGGTAGGCGATATTCTCTATTTCCCCCATATATTGTCTACCTTCTCACCTGTCTTAGTAAATATGCTGTACATCGATCAGCCAGTTCAGGTCGGCTTCTCCTACAACACCCTTCGAAATGTAGCGAGGAACCTGCTCGGTGGTGTGAATACATTGGAACCTGGAAGTCCTGTTCCAGAACAGAACACCACCTTCCATACTGGCACTTATCCCGAATCCGGCGTCAATACCACCAGCTGGGGGAGCCGCAATGCGGCAATTGCCTTGTGGCATTTCTCCCAGGTTTGGTTCCAGGAATTCCCAGGCTATCGCCCCAAGAACGACAAGATCAGTATCTCTACTCAATCTTACGGAGGTCGCTACGGGCCAGCCTTCGCCTCATATTTCCAAGAACAGAACGAGAAGATCCAAAATGGGACTTGGGAGGGCCCCGAGGGCGAGCAATACATCCTGAATCTAGACACGCTCCTCATCGTGAACGGGTGCATCGACCGCAAAGTACAATGGCCTTCATATCCTACAATGGCATTCAACAACACCTTTGATATCAAAACGGTAAACGAGACGGTTTACCAAAGCATGGTGGATGCTTTTGACCGCCCCGGTGGATGTCGCGAGCAAATCGACAATTGCCGCGAGGTCTCTGCGCTCTATGACCCTGAAAATATCGGGACCAATGCGACCGTGAACTCGATCTGTCAACAAGCCGAGACGTACTGTTCTAACACAATGCGAGATCCGTATCTCGATGTCTCTGGCCGCGACTACTACGATGTGACCCAGCTCGAGCCCGTCTCCTTCCCGGCTCCGTTCACCGCTGGCTACCTCAACCAACCCCATATCCAGTCTGCGCTCGGCGTCCCTCTCAACTGGACCGGCAGCTCGTCCGCCTCCTCTACCGCCTTCCGTAGCATCGGGGACTACAACCGACCCGGCTGGATCGAAGACATCGCGTACCTCCTGCACCGCGGCATCAAGGTCACGTTGATGTACGGCGACAGAGACTTTGCGTGCAACTGGATCGGCGGCGAGCAGACCTCGCTCGCCATCCCGTGGGAGAACCAGGACAAGTTCTCCGCGGCCGGGTACGCCCCTCTCCAGACCAACGAGACCTACGAGGGAGGGCAGGTCCGCCAGTACGGAAACCTGTCCTTCATCCGCGTCTACCAGGCTGGCCACGCCGTCCCCGCCTACCAGCCCGAGACCGCCTATCAGATCTTCAACCGGGCGCTTTTCAATCGCGACATCGCGACGGGGGAGATCGACACCGCCACGAATACCACGTACGCGACCGAGGGCCCCTCAGACACGTTCCACATCCGCTCAGAAGTCCCCCCTCAGTATGGTGACTTCTGCTACATCCTTGACACTGGCTCCTGTAGCGACAGGCAGATAGCGGCGCTGCGTGATGGAACCGCTATCATCAAGGACTACATCGTGATAGAGCCAGCATCAGAGCAAGGTGCGGCTCGCTCACTGAGGACAAGAGACATGTAAGTGCTCGGCCCATTTTCGTTTGTCTTCTATAAGGATTTGTGTGCTGACAATTTACAATAGCCTCGATGGATCAAAGGCAGGGTTTTAGAAGGTAATTTGACGACTCAGTTCCATGAATAAGCCATTATTTGTTGGTGTATGAGACAGTCCACGTTATAAGATAGAGCCAGACGGACGCTTCATTCTCCAGTCAATCACCTATATCGCTCAATAAACTACTTATCGCTCAATTCAAGCCCAAATCAAAGGCAGGCGCCGGAATACCATCTGGTAAGCTAAACGTGATCAGAATTTGGGTTAAGCTGATGAGATTTGTGATGCCTCACAAGTGTAACGCTCCATTAATCTACGCCCGTCTCAAGTCGTTTGACTGTCGGTCGCGCCAGAGCGGAAGTGTTCAAGATTATCGTCCCTACTCTCGCAGAATTATTTCTGTTGCTCGTTCTGCCTCATTCCAATAATCGCATCAAGAGTTGTTCTTGAAGCATAATCACACAATCGCCATCAATTACAGCTGATATAAAAATCCACATCGTCCGTATTTCATCTCAACGCAGTCGGGAAGGCCAATAAGTAAAACATGTAATAACACAAAGGGATATCTCTCAAATCATAAGTACTTTAGTAGGAAAGGGTAAAAGAAGTGGCCTGAGTTGTCCGGTCAGAAAAATGGGTTCAAATTGCTTGGGACAGACTCTTCAATGACCACCCCTTCGAACTCAAACGCTTGTAAGGCCTCCCGGGTGGAACCTAACGGGTTCCAGGGATCCAGAGCGACAGATACAATGAAGCCTTTCGGGGTGTCTTTGGTGGAGCATGAATCTTTACAAACGCGAGGTGTCTTGTCAGTCTCAAGGTCGTTTATAAGAAGGTGCTCAGGTAATTTCAGGAGGGGACTTACAACCTTGCGGGGGAGTTTCGCATTCCCATTTATTATTTCTCCAGTATTGGGGAATGAACAGCTCCGCCCTAGTTCCCATAGAGTCCCGGCTAGGGCAAAAGGCCATGAGGCCAATTAGGATTGTCAGTTCGCCGCCGAGGCCTTTGGATGGCTGGACAGGAGGGTATGGATATTGACACGTCCACGGGACAAGGCGAGGAATGCAGCTGGCATTCGTCCCTGCGACATATTGTAGTGGGCCGTTATGAAGTGTCGCCATTGGGCTGGCGCCGAACACTGCTTGCGATATGCCCCTTCGGTGATGGTCCTTGGGGTGGAGGAACTGCAGCGGTTCCCAGACTGGGTATCGCCATAGCTGATCCGACGGCATATTCTCTCTGCTATAGGTTTCCTCCACTGAGGCGTCAACATCGACCATGGCAAACGGCATGTGTGGGTGACAGGAGAATATGGTGGCTGTCTTGTAAGCCTCGGCCTCGGTGACATTACCATCGGCGTGCCGCGCGAAGATGGCCCCTCGGTTGTTCTGGTTAGGGTTCCGACCCCAGTAAAAGTAGTCGGGGAAAGGCGTGACGATTCCATTCTCATACTTCATGACCTCACTAGGCCTCTCCATATGATAAGCCCCAGGGTTCTCAGGGGGCCGGGAACCTCCCCACATATCAACCAGGGGATGTGCAATTGATATCTCGTTGACGACGAAGAGAAACGTGAGCGGGGGCCGGACGCCAGTCGTTCTAGCATGATTTTTCAGCGTCGTAAAAGCTCTGTTGCTGCCAGGCACACGCGCGGTGGGTCTTGGTAGCATGCCACCTGAAGACTGGAAGAGAGTCAGCAAGAACACCTTGAAGTCTTGAGTCCGTCATCGCGCATGGGCTATCACATACCCTCGACATTCTTGACATCTTGGCAGGACGGTTGGTCGTTTGTGAGAATTGACGAAAGCCTTGACTGGGAGAGACAAAACAGTTGCCAACATCGGCCTGCCTTAAATAAGTCGTAGGAAAAGGAGGTGCTTTGTCTACATACAATATTAGTGCGGCTCATGAAAGGCGGTCGAGGCCTGTACCATCGGTGCCCAAACATTATTACAGTTGCACGCTCCATCAGCCCAGCTTCTTAGTACCCTCAGCATTTGATACATCCCATATGACAACCCCCGGAGCGGTCAAGGGAAAGCCTTGCGGCTCAATACCCCACCTAGCTCTCCCCGCGTGGTCCCTGGCCAAGGCAGCAGCACGACATGCCAAAGGCGCGAGAAGAGTGAATCAGAGATCATCCAGAGATTGCGGTCCACCGCCGTCCAGATCCACCAAGTACGCCCGGCCTATGACGCCACCTTCGCGATATTGTGTGCATGATAAGGCCCTCACAAGGGTCGGGCTGCCATGGCTGGCAAGAGGGTGGATGCGGGGCGCCATGTGGACGTTTAGCAGGGGGGAAGCGTCAAATCCAGCCAGCCTTGTGGATAGATACTCGTCTTCTCCGAAGTCGAACCCGTCAGAGCAGTAAATGCATTGCTAGCATGTCAGACGGAAGTGCGATAATGCCCTTCACCGCTCCTATCGACGGAGGTCGCCGCGCGTGGAGGTGGTCTTGATCAGGTACAACTGAGGTTTCGATAAGCTGAATACGGCCGAGAGCGCCTAGTTGTCTCTGAAAATCTCCCGCTGATCGGAGGGCAAGGTATCGATGACACTGGTCGAGCCAATAGAGTCACAGGAGGGTGAAGGGGACATAGATGCCCAGTGAACAGTACAAGCCCTTGTAAGGTTGTCCAATCTCGGAAAACTTTGACGATATGTTGAAGTGGTGGCACAGGAAGCCTTCTCACCCCTAAAATGTAACCGCGGTCGATGAAAAGCCAGATAGTGGTTAATTCATAATGGCAAACGACACTCGGTCACAAAGACTCCAGAAACAGCCCAGGAAACTCTGAGTAGATAGTGAGATAGGCCAGTGGGAAATGCGCCGGCTTTGTCTTGTTACCTGCCCAAAGTCCCTTGTTAGCCGAGCAGCCGGAATGTCGGGATGGATGGATGGCGGTAATGCTCCTCACACATCACAGTGGTGCCCAACTCCTGGGCCCAGGTCTAGATTGAATGATGCTTCCCAATCCAACAACTGTAAGCCAGATGGAAGCCAAACATGATACCTGGCAAAGGCGATCTTTGGCTCCACATCGGCCAGTCCTTCGGGCCTAAACAATCGCCTACTGAGGCATAACCTGCGCAGGCGAGAGGGAGGCGACACGGCCTGCGCCGAGCTGAGAGTGGTACAGGGCTTGGCATTCGTCGTGTGCTGTAAAATCCGGTCTAGATGACGGCCTTTTGAAGAAGGCAAATGACGCCGCGCAAATATTTCTTGACCGGTCTTCCGCGTCAGGGGTCGTCGATGTTCTGGGACTCGCATCTGCTGTCCAATGATGAACAGTGCCACGCCATAGAGGGACGCTCATCTACCCGACGACGATGATTCTCGACCGCCAAACCGTTCCCTCAAGTAGCGCGACGATCCCCACAGCCGTATCAAGAGCCAGGTGCAATCCCACGGCCAAGATGCTCAACACCACCGACACCAATCAGCTCCACCCATGTGGCTGTTGAGCAACTAGTGCAGTTGATCAGGGTTGAGAATCATCACAGGAGACAGTACATAGATCTCCCAGTCGAGAAGGTCACACCTTGCAGTCAGTGGATGGAAATAGCACCCAGGGCCTGCCATGAGGAAATACTCTTATTTATACCTATCAGTAGATATTCCGCGCAGCTTACCTTGTGGCAAGCTTAGGCATCACCCAACTTAAAATAAAGGTCCAATTAAGCGCTCAAAATGACGTTGGATATGCTCATTTGTCCGATCCATGAGAGAAGAGACAACTGAAAACACATTCATGCCATCTCGGGTCGAGGATCGAGAGAGGGTGTGGTGGCCCCCAATAATTTCTTTCACCGGTCGACTGCGGCATCAACCCAGCTGACTTTGGCCGGTATGCAGCTGGGGTTTCACGTGGATGTTTTTACTCGCTTTCCCGCATTTTCATTCGATGACGACTGGAAGAGTGCCTTGGCTTCCTGGATAAGCTGCTTCTCTCCGAGTCGAACCTCCACCGCCATGCGAATACGATCCGATAGATCCGTCCTCTTCAATAGAATCCTATCCTCGATGTAGGAGGTTGGGTATCGTGATTCGAGTAGTTGCAGCGAGTTCAACATGACATCACTAAGGATCTCGTCGCGTTTTCGCTTATCAGGGATCAAGTCGGGTTTCAGCTTCTTGATGCCCTTGAGAAATGCCTTCACCTGCTCTTGCAGGTCACCTGGCATCTCCTTCAGCTCAGCGGGACCCGCAAAGGTGCCATCTGAGTTGGGTTCCCCAGTGTCACGCTCCAGAACAAACACGTCTTCCAGTTCCTCCTCATCCAACTTCTCTTTACACGCTGAGATGACGTCCGCAGGCACAGAAAGCTGTGCTGCCAGGGCCTCCTCAACAACGCCCCACGGAATTTCGACAACATCGTACCGGCCATGTCTCTCCGTGACATAGCCATATCGCCTGAGAAGCTCCGAGTTTGGGTGAGGTCCATAGTAGTTGAGGATCTCCTCCCCAGCTTTGATTGGCCGCAGAGATGTGGCGGTCAGACTTTCTTCCCCGTGATTAATGTGAGCCTGACACGCTGGTTAGCTTTATGCTCACGTTTTCTGATATAGGGGGAGTAGACTTGCGTTGAATTCGGCGTCGGCATTGAGAATGTCAGCCATCGGGACCATGCCCATCAACGACTTCCCATCACGGTCCTCAACCCATCCATCCTCTTCCTCTTCCTCACGGTCCTCGTCGTTTTCCAAGTCGAAAGCATATGCCATGATGGTGCTGCCCATACGATGCGCAAGCCCAATGAGCTCCTCGTCGGTGTGATTCTCGCTCGACATGAAAACACCCTGATTGCTGCGAATCACCGGTAGCAGCTGGCTACGAAACATTTCCTCTGCCTCGCTCTTGCCAATCTTGCCTCTCGTGGCACTCGCCTGCAGTGCATCCAAGTCCGAATCAGACCAGAACATGGGCGTGTTGAATTCCTCGGGGAGAACGTCAAAGTAAGGCTTCCACTGTGATTCTTGCCCACGGAGAAACTCGTAGATCATAATGAGGATGAGCGAGCTCCAGCTGTCCAATTGAGGGGAGACATCACCGTCCACATCCATAGCTTCCGATTCTGGATCGAACACTGCAGGAAGCTTGGAGGGAAGCTCCGATGTCTGTACATTGATAATGGCCTTTCTTGGTATTTCAAACAACGTCGTGTCTGCAGGAATATCCCGTGTGGCCACTAGAAGTGCACGATATTAGTAGGCGTTCTTTTTGTCTTCGGCCAAGAGCGAGACAGCATACCAATACCCCGACCAGCATTTTTTGATCGTAGGTCAACAATCTGGATTGCATCGGAGAAGGAAGCCCCTTCAAGACTCTTGAACCAACTCAGGAACGAGTCGGTCCGTTGGCCAAACTCAACTCCCTGTGCCATTGTCTCTCAATTGGTGTTATGTTGACTGTTATAGATCTTCATCTCATCGCTCGACAGAATTTTTCTTTCTCGACGGAGTGTCACTGCACTGTCCTACCTAGACGAAAATACTGTGCGAATTGAAAGTTTTGGGCTATTTTCCGCCTGAATGTTGTCATTCGCACTGTACCCTGCCACTATGGGGTTAGTGCTAGTTACACCGCTCTTAGAAACGGAAAGAGCAAAAGAGAGAGCACGAAAATGTAGAAACGATAGTAGCAAAGTACGAAGTGGCTATATTATTTCCCTTGTGGTTTTCCGTACGCCTTTTAAATCCCCTCGAATTATTAAGGTATTAGATGATTCCTCCAGGGAAGTGCTCAAGTTACGCGACATTCGCGCCTCGTAAAATAGTAATAATAGTACAATGTGGTCATATGTCAAAACCTCCGCCCTCGTTCAACTTCACGCAAGGGAGTAATTCGAGATATTATAACACGATACCACCGCCTCATCGTACTGTCGATTTTCAGCCGTAAGCTTCATGCCAGGACGAAGTACGATAAGCCCGCCCGCGCCGATCGGCTGCACCTTGGCATCTCCCACCTTAAGCTCAAGTTTGCCCGATATTACGTCGAAAGTCCGCAAAACATCCTTCTTGGCGTTCCAATGCTGAGTCCCCCCAGGTGGTATTCGCAGCCGGTGGAAGCCTATGTCTTCTGCGACTTGTATTGCGTTTTGGCTGGTAACGTACGGACCAGAAAATGCGAAAGCTAGAAAGAAAAAGAATCAGCAAGGGCGTGGACCTGTGATATACCCGTCAAAATACTTACGTTCCCCGGTTTTCTCATCAAGTTGTCTCCCTGGGGCAAATTCCCAGTCTTCCATTTTTGATGAATCATTCCTGCTCTGGGCAGCTTGCTTTCTCGTAGCCCTCCGAGGAGGAGGTGATTCCGGTTTTGGTTCCTCTTCAACCTCTTCGTCGCTCACTTCTCTTGACGCGCTCGACTGTGACACGGATTCCTCGTTCTTTAAACTGGCGCTTTGCAGGCCTCTTCTGCTATCGGCAGACCTTGACCTACCCTCTATCGATTGGGACCATCCCAGCATGTGGACTTCGTGGGCAGGCGTCCAGCTGCACGGTGCTGGGTTCAAAGGGTGACCGAAGTTATAGTAGAGGCAGCTTACACAGGATTCGACACGGGCCAACTGAGTTTTTGCCGCCTTTGGCATCCCCGGGGGTATTCTGATGGACTGATTTATCTCTCCAGAACGCGTACACTTGTGTGTTGCAGAGACATCCTCCCCGACGATAAAGGCAAGGACTATTGCGTACAGGCCCTCAGAAAGACTTTTAGTCGCAAGATGAAGGGTCCAGACTTTTGGCAGCTCACGAAGCTGGGGGAGTGACAGCATGAAAAGAATGTCCTCTCGATTATAAGCCCGCTGTTTTTGTGAGAGAAGGTTTCTTAAGTAAACGCCTGGTTGACGGGGAGAGGGTGCCGTAATTGGTTTGGGAGGATAGACAGGCGTTTGCCCTTGAACAGGTGGTGGTACGATTGTGTTGGGATTCCGCGAGACAATCACACCTGGGAAGGAATTGACATTGGCATCAGTCTCGTAAGGTCCAAGAGACGATAATGTCCCGTCACGGTTGTCGTTGAAGGCAGTCGTGTTATGAGACCAGGAGAAGTGGCCACCAAGCCCGGTAACCCTCTCGTAGACTTTCTCACAGCCCCTCACTGGGCAATGATACTGCCTTGGACCTCTGGGACGGTAATTTTCAGGGATGAGCGCTCCTCCCGTGGGTTTCTGTTCCCCAGATTCTATATCAAGGGTCAATAACATTCGAAAATAAGGCTCAGCCCGAGACGGTATCACTTAACCTGTTATGTGCCGGTATGAATGGTCATCTACATTCACAATGACCGGGAATGGCTTGCCCTTCAGCGTGACATACCTCTCTTGTTCCTTTAAGTCGTATAGTGATTTTCGCCCGCTCGGTGAGGCGATGCTGGGCTTTGGTGTGGATGTCGATTTTCGACTGGAGCTCCTGCGAGAGGATCCCTCACCACCGCCTGTAGACTGCCTAGATAAAGATGGCTCGACGCGGGGGTAGCCTAAATTGTCCGGAAAATAGGATGCCATTGTTTTCCGAGCACGCTTTGGAGTTGGCTGGTCCAGGTTATCTTCTCTCCTTCTCCGGCTCTCTGGAACTTCACGAGTAACAGTTCCTGACATATGTACAAGCGTGACAGGACCTATTTTTCTGTTATCAAAAATCCAATGCATTAAAGCTCGTTATAAGCGAGTAGAAGAGCACAAGCACGGGGAGGGCTCGTGGAAGCGAGCAAACAAGTCTTAGCAAACTTACCTGTGCTATTGGAAGTGTAGGGGTATACTGGCAATTCACTTCCTACTACCTCTCCCTCCGCATCAGAAGAGGATGGCGAGGAGCTAACGGCGGAGGGGCTGTAATTATCATCCCCTGAGGTACTCGGCGGCCGGGGGAATGGTTGGGTGTCCTGCTTCGCCGCTTCCCATATCTTGTGAACTCTTTCACTTGTTTGCGTCGCTATTTGCGCCACCGAAGAGGGTCGAACTGGCGGTTGAATATCACTGACAATTTGGGCCAAAGGCTCAGTGCCAGGCCAGAAGGGCATCAGCGCATGGACGCCCGAAGTATCCATTATTGATTATGATATCCAAGCAATATTCAGCTCAGCCAGTATTGCATTGAAATTCACGGCCTACAGTATTATAGGGCCAGTGCAAAGGAGCAATCAAGTAAACTGATGTTGAAAGATGATGCAAGTCAGTGGTACAGTGCAGGGGGGGTTAAAGAGAGTTAGGTGCGTCGAGTCGCGTCAGGCGCGTTGAGTGCAAGTTCTAGTGCTAAGAGTAAACCCTGTGTGTGGTGCTCAGGTCACTCTCCACCAAAATAGCGAGGGCGGCTACCTCTGACCTTTTAGTACTTGGGCCAGCGCACCAACAGTGGCGTGTATCTCGCTCGCCTATATTGAATCTGCGCTTTGGAATCATATACCTAATAAAGTGCACCTTATTTCATCCTGTTAATAGCTGGAATTACTTCCTGCAGTAATATTATCTTCCTCTCTGTTATCCTCCACATTAATGTTTATGCCTACTCAGCTTTGTCTTCTATCAACCCAATATGATCCTCCTCCCCTAGCTTTTTATATACTGGACATACCTATACCTTGTTAGGCACATAAGATGTCCAAAAATTAAAGGCTAAGAACATCCATGCAAATAGAAGACGTTGGTCAATCGAAATGCAAAGTGGCAGAGCCGGGGAAATCAACACATAGGCATTCGATAAAATGTTATATGGACATACTCTACCAACCATGGACTCCTCGAACAAAGTATTCTATCAAACATTCAATCAATCAATCAATCAATCAATCAATCAATCAATGCCTCGTAAGCCGCAGAGAGACGAAGAAAATAGAACATCAAATGTATTTTTGCCAGGCTTACATATAGTGTACATTGTATATCATGACAGGCTCTCCCCCCCATCAACAATCATGTCATATCTCAATCGGCCTCGAGACCACGCTATTAGAGCAACCTCCTCCCCCCTCCCCTCATCTATTTACGCCCAGCCTTCTTAGCCTTCTTGAGGGCCTTCTTGCTCAGCTGCTTGACAACCTTGACGGCGTCATCGCCCAGCTCCTCCCTCCTCTGGGCCGCCTTGCGCTGCCCCTCAATCTCCCGCTCGCGCCTCCACCTGCGGTGCCGGAAGTACTGCTTCCTCGTCCTGAAGCGCTTGATCTTGAGGCCCGTCGTCTGCACCAGCCGCCCGATCCGCCAGTTGTCCTCGCGGTAGCTGTAGTCCTTGCGCAGGCGCAGCAGGCGGTCCGGCTCGCCCTTCTCCACGCGGGTGATCTGGAAGGGGATGCCCGAGGGCGAGACCTCGGGTTTGGGAACTTCGGGCCTGATCTGGTGCGCGGTGCGGCCCAGCTTGCGCTTCCGCTCGGCGTGCGCGGGGTAGGGGAGCACGTCGTCCTTCTCAAAGGTCACGCCGATGTACTTGCGGTCGGGGTGGCGGGCGGGATCGCGGTAGTACTTGACGTAGCCGGTGGCCATGGCGTGGATGGTGAAGTCCCGGCCCATGATGCAGTTCTCGCCGGGCCACCAGAGCGTGCCTCGCTGCTTGTAGATGATGTTTCCGGGGATGACATACTGGTCTGGTTGGGTTAGGAATTGGATCAGCAATTGGATCTTGGAGGGGGTGAGAATTTTGGTCAGGATCTTGACATACCACCAGTACGCTTCGCACCGAGCTTCTTGGGAATTCCTCTCTTGCTCTTCTTCTTGTAGGCTCCCTGAGACTTCACCGAGGCGTACCTCTGTCCCTGGACAAGAGAGTTGGCCAATTGGGCGCCGATCGGGGCCGTTCGGTTGATGCAGACTCTGCTCAGGCCAGAGAGAGCAGCCACAAAAGGCCGCTGGGCAATGAGAGACCGCATGGCCGTTGTGAATCCCGAGGGTTGGCCGTCGTCGGTTTTTGACTTGCTTGGTGGTGAATGGGCCGTTGCATTCTGCCGCAGTACCTATTGTTTGCAGTTTTCATGCTTAGTCACCCGCCAGGCCGTTCTTATCGATAACCGACTTCCATGATCATGACAGCTATCATCGATGCAACCCGCAAAGCCGCAACCCACCATTGTGCCGCCCAAAGCACTTTAGGCAAGCTTCTCGTACAAAATGCGATACCTCATTGCGTTCCTCACACTTCTGACGGCGGTCAACGCCCAATTCGGGGGCTTCTTCGACCAGATGTTTGGCGGCGGCGGCGGCAACGGCCACCCACACGAAGCTCACCAGCAAGGAAGCCAGCAGGCGCCTAACAACCCGAGCGACGCATCGCTTTTCCGACAACGTTACGAGCACTGTAAGATTTCTTTCCATTCTCTTCAATTTGCTTCGTGTTTTCATTCAGATTCTGATACTGATTCGTTTATTCTCCACGAATAGCCAACTGCGACAAGTTCCTCTGCCCCGACACACTGGCCTGCGTGCACTTCCCTCACCATTGCCCGTGCGCCTTCGACTCACACCAGGAAAAGTTCGAGCTCGCCGAGGGCCAGAGGATATGCGTCTCAAGGAGCGGATTCAAGCCAGGCGAGACCGCTCGAAAAATCGAGCTGGCGCGGAAGGGCTTGCTGTAGACGAGGGAACACGCTGGAAGCTGTGATATGGGTTTACGACAAGCGACATTGTTTGAAGGGATACGCAGGTTTGGTATCAGCGTTCAGGAGCGATAGAAGCATTCGCATTTTAGTTTGGATTCAAAATTCCAAGTCGAGCATTTGATAGCGAAGCTGGGGAGTGTATGCTCAAATACGAGCGGCAGTATGAGAAATGTATTGTGCCGCATCAAGTGCATATATATCTACCGCTGCAAGGGAAAAAAAATCAACAACCATCATATTCGTACCGCCCCTTCTCTCTCTGGTGTGTTTCTTGATACCTTCCAGGTCGTGCACATCTCCAAGTAACGCCCTCGGTGAACCATGAATAACAGCCCCCAACTCCTGAGTGGGTGAGAACAATTCGTCTCAGACACCTAGAAATCCAGCAGATATAAAAAAAAGCCAAACCGACCTTCGTCCCGTCATAAAATACACCCATCAATGCATGAAAATAACATCCGTTTGCCCGCAGCCGAGCCCTTACTTGAGGCCGTTGGGTATCTTGGGCATGGGCGGGATCTCCTTGTCCTCGTCATCGTCGTCCTCGTCGTCGAGCATCTCCTCCGAGTGACCCAGCAGCTGGGCCACGTTCTTCATCTCATAATGCTTCTTCCGCGCCTGCTCGAACTGGCGGTGCTTCTCGCGTTCCTCGGGCGAAAGTCCCACCAGGTCCGGGTGCTCGGAGGTGACGCTCTCCTCATCCACGTGGACCGTCTTGTTGGACGAGGGCGAGCTCGTCGTCGTCGCCTCCGGGATTTCTTCTTCTGGCTCGCCCAGCGATAGACCCGGAATGTCGTCCTCCACAGCTGCACCTGGACCTTTACGCTGACGACGAGGACCCTCCACTTCGTCGATCGCCTCGTCCTCGTCGGACGGGTCTTCGGCCGGGTCGTAGTGCTTAGCATAGGGCGTCTTGGGCTCCGTGATCTTCATGGTCGAGCTGCGCTCCTGCTCCGTGAGGTACAGGTTCGCCTCGTCCCACTTGAGACGCTGGCCGGCGTCGGCAGGGTTGGCCGGGTCGCCAGAGCCGCTCTGGGACGAGAGTCGGCGGGACGGGCGGCGGGCGGCGGAGGAGGAGCGGCGGTGGCCAGCGTTGATGGCCGTGTTCTCAATAGTGATTTCCTTGCTGGACATGGCCCGCTCACGGCCCTTGGGAGGAGTCTCGCGGGTGGGGCTTGAAATAGAGGCAACGGTTGCGGTGTTGGATTGCGAGGGGTTCTTGAGAATACCTAGAGCTCTCAGTCAGCGGGGTGAAGCTTCCTCGAGCTTGGCGGCGGCGCTGCTTGTTCACCTTTGGGTCGCTTCGTATCAGGCCCAGGCGGCGAATGCGCCGGGGGGGAATGGTCCAGGACGGAGGCCATGATGGTTTTGTGCTGCGTCCAGAGTGCGGGGTGTAGTGTTCTATCGTGCAGGTTGTGAGAGCGATTAAAACGCAGGGCAGGAGACCTTGGGTGATGGGCGGGTGGTTGGTCGGCGGGTTGAAATACTGGATCGTGTGCCAGGTGCAGGTGGCACGATGTCAGTCGCTGGGGGCCCACACGTGACGGAGATAGATCAGTGGGTGCAGAAAGCCAAAGACGAGGATGCTCGTTTCTGCTCTATTGCTCTACAGCTCTACAGAATGAAGTTGTTCGTCGCTCCATCAATCAGGCCGGGGTTGGGTTGAGGCGTTGGCGGGGCTTTCTCTGTCGACAACCGAGACCAATAATGGGCATGCAGCAATACTTCCTTCCAATAAGTATGCACGCTTCATTCACGCACTCTGCACGATATGCACACACCCGGGACACAAGGCAGAAAGACGTGCATGCGAGTGCTCGCACTACGCGACAAGCGCATGCCACCGTTGGTTTCACCAGATGTGAATGACGACATCTCTGCGCCAAGTGCCAAGCGTTAGGTCGTATCATATCCTCGACATCTCGATCACCCCAGTTAGCTCTAGAACTGTCCGCTCTAGAATTAGTAGAACCGTCAGCTCTAAGCAGAACTCTGGTGACCCCTAAACCCCGGCGAGTTCTCGTTGACAGGCTCGCACAGAGACCGTCAGCCATGTCTCAGCCATTCAACGGTGGCCAGGCCTGTGTCGGATTTGAATCACTTTCCCATCCACGCATGTGCTGTTCATATTCATCAAGTTCCAGCACTGCCCCGCCCTCCCTCTCGTTTTTTCCTTTTTCTTATTTCATTTTCTTCTCTTTGAAACCCTGTTTCAACCCTCGGCTCCCACGGAACACAACCTTCTTCCCTCTCCTGTCTCAGCTCGCGGTCAGACGTCCCATCGTCCATCGAGCGCTCAGCCGTACACAACTTCATATGCAATAAAAACAGAATCCAGCTTCGGGACAACCAGTCACCCTTGTGTGCGGGGTGACTCGTCGCATCAGCACCACCCTACAAGTGACATAAACTTGTCCCATCATACCCTCCTCGTCCCCTTCGTCTGATGCCAAGAGCTCGTATGTCCTATCAATTTTCCCTGTACCACCGCCAAGATAGTTGTCTCGTCCAGCAACCCTCTTGCAGTCATACCCTTCCTTCTTTTTTTGCCTCAGACAAACACCCGGCAGGATGGGAGTTCTAGACTCCATTCCAGTCCCGCCAAACATCGCATGTGAAATCTGTAGTTAGCCGTGTCCATGTTTGCCAAGCTGAGTGTCAACTAGCCCTGTTCAAGCCACCCACCGCCCAACACACTGTCTCATCGTGCTGGCGGCCGAGGCCACATACGTTATAGACATACTGGGCAGCAGTGCATGCCAAAGATGTTGAAGCGGGAAACATGTCATATTTGTCATACTATCGTAGAGGAAGCAATTTCACCTAACAGGCCATGGTCGTTGAGTAAGAAATGCCCTCGAAACCAAACAAGCAAGTTCAAGCGAGAAACAGTGAAAAGCAAATAGCAACGGAAAGACAAATATCGCTCCAGTGTCTGCCCATGAACTAGATACATGTCTAGTTTAACCCCCATATATATAGCCCTGGGCGAAGCTGCCAGCTTCCCTCAGTTCCTCTGTACCCATAACAATATGCGCCCCCTAAACTGGGGCTGATCAGAAGAACCGGCAACTAATTCAAAAGTATAGAACATATCCAAAAACAGAGCAAAATCCCGTTGTCGGAAAGGCTCCCCAACAGACACTCCAAGCTGGAAAATATCGCTTCGTTGCTGCACCATTAGATTAAGACAGGAATAATTGAATGAGAGAGAAACCCAAAGAAAGACAAAAAGAAAACTTATATCCAATTTTCCCTGGAGTAGATAATCCATATATATTCATTCCATTTTCTCACTCAGCATCTGGCATGAGTTTCATAATGGCCGTAAGCACATCATAAGCAGTCCTCCAGCACACGCTCTTTTGTTGCTCGCTATCCCAGATTTCAATACAGCTCTCCAGTGTTTCCAAAATAATCTGTCTGGGTGGGATCTGGCACCCTATGGCCTCCTCATCAGCGAGTGGCGCATCCTTTCTCAGGACGTGAACCGACGCTTGCAGGGCGGCCGAGAAGAAGTCCATTGTGAAAGCACGGCCGACAAGATCATAGCGGAGGCTAAAGTCCTCGGACCACAGGTCGCGGTAGTGCATCAGGACGGCCAGCGAACACTCGAGGGAAGACCAGTACGACTCGGGGAACAAGGTGGGACCCTCAAGGTGAAGAGCGAACGGCCGGTGCAAGACCATGAGGCAACGGCGGAGATAAATATCCACCGTAACACGCTGAAGGGGATGCGCAATGACACGCTTGGCATGGGCAATCAGGTTTCGGATCTGGGCATTGTGTCTCAGTACCTCGGCGTAGGGAATCTGATCGTTGCTCGAGTTGATTTGGACAAGGACTGAGAGAACCGCCGGTAGAGACTCGGACAGAATCTGCTGCAGCGGATCGGTCTGAACCAGTTCCGGCATGGAACTCTTCAACGAACGAAGCTCGTCCGGGCGTGTCAACGGTGGCATTCCCGTAGGCATGGAGATTTTGATATCGAGATAAATGATGGTGAGCCAAAGTCTTCGCCTCGTGCCTCGATCGACATTATCTCGAATTTCAATCGTCTCTTGCGGGAGGCCATAGATGAACGACATCCGCACGAGAAGCCCCAGCAGTGACCAGCACGAATCGGTGAACCAGCAGGTTGGGTTGCACACTTGCTTAGCCACAACGACAAGACACATGGCTTTGAGCGAGGTAAATGTCGGACGGAACATGAAGGGTGTCTGCATGATACAGGCCTCAGCACCCATCATCAATTCGGTCGCAATACTTGGCTCCTCTGGCGTGGCAAATGCACCAAGGCCCATAACCATGAGCAATTGTGCCAGCCAGTCAAGGGTGACAGTGTCGGGGTTCTCCCAGTAGCTTTCTACCTCGAGCTTGAACTGGGGTACATCGACAATCGGGTTGACGCAGTCCAACAAGTTGATGTACCTGTCAATGTATATCTGGGCTCTCGGTCGTTCGCTTTCAATGAGGCGTATCACGGCATCGCGGGAGTAGTACTTTGTTGCACCAGGTGTTCCAAAAGGGAAGTTCCCAGGGAGTGTAAAGTTCGCAAGGCAGGCATTGGTCGCAACATTCTCAAGGGCGGCGGCGAGAGGGGGGGATTCCTTTGTCGTCAAAGCACCGATCTACCAGAGAAAAGGAAAAGGTCAGCGTCTCCTTACGGTTGAAGATTGGGTCAATGGAGAAGGGGGAGGTGAGCTTACCTTGGTCATCAGATCTCTCCAATGGCTCGCACCACGAGGCTCATGACTGACATGCCATGTCGCCTGAGTCGACTTTGTAATATCGCCCCCAGATCTTGTGTTCGAGGTTGGGGTGACGGTAGGACAAGGGAACTTGCCTCCATTGGGTCCCTTGTTGTAGCTATAGTAGCACTCGCGCCCATTGCCGCTCGACTTGCATCGTCCGCAAGGCAGCTCCTTGTCGCACTTCACCTTGAGGCGATGGCATCGTAGACAGCTCAGGCAATTGCGTTTCCGCTTGCGCACGACCTTGGGTGGCTTGGCAGGAGCAGGAGCTGGCGCAGCAGCGCTCGCGGGCCCTTCGCCCTCGCCGTCCCCGTCGCCCTCCTCATCGCCCCCTTCGCCCTCTTCGGGTCCGGTAGCTGTAGGATCGCCTGACACGGAGAGGGAGGCGGCACGGTTCACGAAGTCGGCATCTTCCGTCGAGGTGGAGGGCGAAATCAAGCCGTTGCCAGCGCCGGGCGTCGAGCTGTCGGCCCTAAACCCCACCTCGTCCGAGGTCTGGGTCGGGGAGAGGGAGGAGATGGAGGAAGGGCCGCCGCCGGTGATACCGTTAGCTTCGAAGCTACATCGCACGCCAGCCTGGACGCACCGAGTGCACGACGGCTTCAGCAGGTCGCACCGCCGCTTGAAATGGCGACAACGGTCGCACGTCTTGACCTCACGCATGTGCGGCATTACTGTTTGGGGTCGGCTGGGGCCGGTGGAGGAGGTGATACAACTATTTATTTCAAGGGCGCAGCTGTGTCGGCAACAAGCTGTCCAGGGCGTCAATTCCAGCGCAGCCCACTCAGCAACGGCAGCGGCGGGTGCGCACAGGCGGCCGGCGGTTCAATTCGACGCGCAAAAGGTCTACCGGCAAGGCTGAAAAGATTGCAGCAACTGACGAGTCGGGTCTGGTGGGCCGTAGATCGTATCTGATCAAAAGCCGAACGGTTGCACAGAAGGAATAAGGCGTGGTCACCCGATTGGGGGGGGACTTTAAAAAGCAACGCAAAGCCGCGGGCCCAGAAGCAAAGCGAGCGTTGACGCTCCTGAATCAGGCTGACTTATTGTCTGGCCTTGCTCTGCTTACTCTCCCAGCTTGGTTATTTCGCTGGAGACGTGGTTTGCCTGCGCAAGACGGGCTGGGGATAATTGGTCGGTGATAGTCGGCGTTTAACCGGCGGGGGCAGATTGGTGTCAGTCAGTCGATTTCTGAGAGCGAGCGAGCAGCAGGGCAGTAGATGAAGACCGCGCGCCGGCAAGAAGAGGGAGGCGAGGGCCAACAAGCCAGTCTCACTTGGCCGCAGGAGGTAAATTAATCAGTCGATCCGGCTCCAATATTTGCTATTGGGGGGGAGATGCATGCGCGTCAAACCCCATGTAATGTAACCGAAGGTAGCAATCGTTTGCCTCGACGGAGGGATGGAATTGACTTGGGGTAGGATTTGTTTTTAAAGCGTAAGGATCCAATTCGGGAGGCAGCTTGTCGCCAGCGCTGGTTTAGACGTCAAAAAGAGGATGGCGACGTTTGATGGTGGCCCGGAATAAGACACCAGTCACTGTCCCATGACGAGGCCAGGAAAGGGGATGGTATGATCCAGGTCTCCTTTGGGGGAGGGCTGATGGCATGCAAGGTGAACACACCGTCGCAACTAGGCGTCGGGATGGATGGAAGGCTATTCTAGAGGTGGTGGTGGTGGTGAGCCTGGCGGGTTGGGCAGAGGCAACGTGATATGTATGCAGGCAGGTTGAGGCAGCAATGGATGGAGAGGATGAATGAATGGGCTGGGACGAGATGGGACGGGACGGGCTGCTGAATATGTCTACCGAGACAACTGAGACGCTGCTCTGGTATTTGGTGGGTGGGCGGTTTGAGCGAATGAGTGAGGCGGTTTCCCAACACGCCTTCCTCCCTCCCCTCTTTGGAACATATGCAGAACAGGACGCGAGACCTGCACCGACAGCCCCCCGGCTCGACTCGACTCGACTCGGTTCGAGTCTGCTCTCCTGGCCCTCCATCTCGCTCTGCCACCATTCGCAGACACCGCAACGGACAGCTGGGGGTTATGGGAGCGAGCTGCACGGCCCGTTGAGCTAAGGCGCCCATGTTAATCTGCGGCTAGCTAGATGGCCAATCCGATACCCGTACCGCAGTCCCACTCCACCAGCTGCTACACCTAAACCAGTAGAGCTTGCACTGTGAGCTTGGCTCTTCTGCAGCTTCAGTCAGATCCTAGTCATCTTTTAGCGTCAAAGCGAGGCTAATGCTGCTGGTCATTCGGTCCAGCCAGACCATATCCAATGGCGCAAGCTGACAGCTCATGCTGGACATTCTTGCCGACGTCGTCGAGCTTTCTCCCCGTCCCCAGCTTGCGAGCCCTGCCCCTGCTGCCACAGGCCAGGTATTGGTATTAGCAATCAGCGGATGCACTGTGCCATTGGGTAGCAGGTACAGGCCCCCCCTAAACCCCCCGCCTCCAGCCCCCCCGGAGCATTTTTTAGAGGCTGCAGGTGCAGGCCGCCAGCTGATCAGGGCGTTCCATGCCGCCGCAACTATAAGGGCCACTCGATACACTGGCGCCCTTGTTAGCATCATGCTGCGCAGACTGACCTGCGAATGCCAGATGCCATTCGTCCAACGAGGCCCAGCCAAGCTTCAGGTTTTGAGGCTAGCTGCTGCGAGTCATCAACACTCGAGACGGAAGCGAAGCAGTAGCCAAGTCCAGAGGGCCCTGGAGGGAGCTGCACTGCTCGTCATGGGCGACGCTCCACTGGCAGCCAACCAACACGGCTGGATCTGGTTACAACTAAGCAATGCGCCCGGGCATTCCAAGCAAATCCCGCTAACAGCAGCAAACAACAGGGCTGATCGACCGGTGGACACCTCAGTCAGAGAGTATGCCGGCCAGGCCACTAGGTAGGTAGTCCTCGGCCTCTGTCCGTGGGCTACGTAGGCACGCATACATGCTTGCTGTGCGTACTGTTGCTATTAATTGCTTCAACCAAGATGTGGCCAGGTGGTCGCTCCAAGCCCTTCCTGAAAGAGAGACCGGTGAGATAGCTTTGTTATCTCCCCCTCCGTTCTCTCCCGCCCCCATCCCCATCCCTTTCACCCCTTTCCTCCGTAGACCCTAACATATCATGTACGAGCGTGCGAGCGAGCCCTACGATCGGATCTCTAAGCCTGTTCCATCGACTAGATTAGCGTGCGTCCGTGTCCGGTTCTGCAACGGTCCGGCGAGGCAGAAAAGAAAAGAGGCAGCAAAAAAGAAAATATCACAAAAACTCTCCGACCCCTTCGATCGATCCTCCTCCATGTGGTTCTCGTCAGCACATGCGAACCGCGTCAGGAGGTAGTCCCCCCACACAGAATCATCAGATATCACATTCGTCACATCACGCATCCATGTTCTCTCGAGGGCTGTTTGTCATGCGGTAGTGAGGCACGTCTTCCCCACCTCCACTGTCACACCTTTGGTCAATACTTGATATGTTGATGCGTCCTGGGCTGTCGACTGCCATGCGGCACTAGCGAGCTAGTCAATCGTCTGTATGTACGTGCTGACGGAGGACCCGGGTATGTATAAGAATATCATGCATATACCACGTATTACTGGTCGTATACTGGTAGGTGCGCCACACTAACAGGCATCATCGTTTATCACTCACGAAGGGTCTTTTGGAAAGGGTGGCACGGCTTGCTCGGAGAGGCCAACCGAGACGTCCCTGACGAGAACATCCCTCACCACTGCGGTGCCCAGCAGCAGCAACATCATGCCATTATACCCAGGTGCGGATGAGATATATTAGACGGGGTCGACCTGCCCACTTCCTCGCCCATATCCACAAACCTGTTAATTTGCCCGGCTGCGCAATCACGGCCTACCTCTTGCCGCCAGGCCCCTTCAGCGGACCGCCTGCGGGTCCTGGCCTGCTGAGGCTATCTCTTAGTCGATCCTCTGCCCCAGGGGACCTCTCACTAGACCAGACTTGGCGCAGAAAGAGGGGACCATGATATGCAGTTGGTTGTTGGGCAATATATCGTTATGCGTACTTGCATGTTACTTACATGGAAGGCTGCAAGATTGAAAAAAAGACTCCATAAGCCGCCTACATCGTTGCTTCGACCTCTCCCCCCACTCCTACTGCAACCTCCGGGATTCAAGTTGGAAATAGCTCTTCATGCAACTACCTCCCTATTGTAGCCGTGCTAGACGACTCGTACGGAGTAATATCTGGTGATACCCGAGCTCGTGAATACTTGGCCTTCTTGAACTTGAATTCACATACCTATAGTGTCATGTTCTCGGTTTATCGAAGACAGCACTACTTTCCCCATTCCCAGCCGGTGCTGTCGGCAGTTATAATCCCCCGAAACCGCCGGCAGTTGTATTCCCTGAGCATAGAAAGAACATCAACACGCAGAACCCTTCTCCATTCCCACTACATCATCGATTCGTTGTTCGCGTTTGCATAAAGTGCAAGTCCTGCAGATCGGCGATGCGTGCATCTTCCCGCAAGTTTCAGTCTGGCCCCCCATTCGATCTCTGTACGGGACGTGTACCATCTCCTCCTTGGCAGCGAGTAGCAGCAGGGCTGGATTCGCTTAGAAGCCATGGCCACTCCCCTTCCCCGATCATCTTACCCGGGCTGCTGCTGTTGGTCGGTCCACGACGAAAACGACTCGTGGGAATGACGCAGGATGCAAGCCACCGCAAACCAATGGGCTCGTATCATCTGTTCGCGCGAAAAAGCCCCTCAGCGCCTCTGGCGTGATGTGCTCAAATGTCAGTCCGTGGCGTAGTATCCCCAGAGGCCTCATTGGACCGTCCATGTCATGGCGTTCCGACTTCGGGCACGTGGGGGGGTCACACTCGACCTGCATGAGGTTAAGAGGTAGCTTCTCTTTTGCCTAGTAAAAGTAAGAGAATCTCGTGTAGATAGAGCTAGCCTCGATCCACCTGTAGAACCAAAAGGTCCCATCATGTGTGATATCGTTCATGTTTCTAGCTAGTTGGCCAGACGCAGCCCGCCGTTCGTGTTTGCAGACGTTTGCTCGCGAGATGACCTCCCCGCGCTCTCATTAACAGTAATACATGGTGATGATACCAAGACTGGTACCCAATCTTGGCCAATATTACAATTTCGGTTGTTTTGTTTGTTTTCTTGCTCGTAAATCACGCCCAGATGGGCCAACCCCCCTTCCCCCGTCCCGTCCTTCATCTCCAGTTACATTCCGTAGAACGGCCTGCAGAGTGTCCATCCGTGCCTATCACTTGTCCGACCCCTTTTTCCCCTTTTTGACCTCTCGCTTCTTCGGCTTGAGCCACTCTTCCATGCCTTCTGGCCAGTACACGCGGTTCTCGGGCCCACCCATGCCAAAGTCTTCGTCGCTGACCGCCTGTCCGGGTATCTCAGCATCAGCCTCGATGTGGTCTTCGTCCTGCTCTTCCATCTTCTTCTCCTTGCCCTTGTCCCCCGTCTTCTTCTCCTTCTTGCTCTTCGCCGTGGGCTTCTTCGACTCGTCGTCCCGTTCGTTCGGCACGATCGGGTTGGACAAGTCCCAGCCGGCCAGCCTGAAGGTGCGCATCAGTTCGAACACCGCCTGCTCCTTGTCCTTGGCTTCGATCATCAGGTCCATGTCGGGCGCGCACGGGGGCAAAGTCTTGACCCGGGGCGAGTGCTTTCGCCTGTCCCGCGGCGTAATGGCCCCGGCGGTTTGCTCGCTGTAGTGCATCTTCTGTCGAATGCCTTTGCGCGTCCATGTTTTCCGGATCCGGTCAAAGAATTGGATGATGTCCTGCGTGCCTTCGCGAATCGATGAATCATACACAATGTTATGATGGTGGAAGTCGAGGACTAGTGGGATGTTCAGCTCCTCACATACCGGGAGCAGGTCGTGAACACTCCAAGCTACGTCGTCATTCTCGAGCACGAGCCTGTTCTTGACTCCCTGCGAAAGACCGCTGTAGTTCTGTTTGAAACGTTCAATCGTCGCTTCTTTATCCCCATAGGTTCCTCCCATGTGTAAAATCATGACAGCGTCCTTATTCGCCTGTTCTGGCAGCCGGAGAAGCGACAGCATCTCGTCGTGGTATGTTAGATCACGGATCGCTGCTTCTACCACCTCTGGTCTCGGACTTCCAATCTGCGTGAACTGCCCAGGATGCGTAGTGACACGGTGGCCCAGCTCTGCAATTACCTTGCCCGCCTCAGCCAACACCTCTGATGCGAACGGCGAAAGCTTGTATCCGTACTCGTCATGGCTTGCAAAGGGAAACATTTCACTGCTCAACCTCATGAACTTGATACCGTACTTGTCGTTCCACCGGATCATTTTAGGAATGTCTCTCGCATTCGCTAGGCCCAAGTTCTGTACGAACTTCATGCCGAGCTCTTTATTCTGCGGCTTCGACTTGTCAGGTCGATTCTTCGTTGGATGCTCTGGCTGTGATGGGTCTTGCAAGGGATGTCGATGGTCAAGAATAGAGCTGATCCGGCACGTTCTTGAGGAGAACACGGGAGGTGTAGACGTCCGTAGATATGTGTTCAAACAGGCCTGAGCACAATTCACTGTCAGCCACGAAAATAGACGGCATCAGAGTGCCAGAGCAGATGAGACAGCATCTCAAATCGAAGGTATCTCACATATCCTAGACGGCCAGTCCATGGCAGAGGCAGCACATCGCTATTGACAGCGGGAGGTCTTCTTGCGCCTCGATCAAAACCATCCTCCTCGATCTTGGCCTCCGTAATGTCTCCTGCAGCTATCTCAGCTTCGTATTCATCAATAGGCGCATGCTCAATGGCATCCGAGATTGATTTCGAACCCGTCTTCAGCACCTCTACAGGATCTCTCTTCTCCTGGTGATAGAGCGTGACCTCTCTCGCCCTATCCACCTCGCATGTCAAATCTGACGACTCGATGGCTAGCCGCTGGCGCTTGACGGCTCTCTGCAGGTTGTATTCCATCTCAGTCAGCTCGCGCCGGGCCTGTTCGACTACTTCCTTGGATTCCCACACGTGCTTGATTCTGTCCTGCGTCATCTTCTCCAATCTATCGTCATCAGGGAGGCTATGCGGGGAGCCATCCTCTTGCTCAGCGACCTCTTTTATTCTCCTACTACTTCGTCGAGGAGGCTCGGGTCGGGTCGGCAGCTGCTGCTGCGGGGCATTGGCCTTTCTTTTTGGTGGCATACTGGTAATAGACCTCGCTGCCCGGAGCCGGTCGGCTGCGTTCGCTGAGACGGTACGCTGGAGTAGACGCGCGAGGTGGACGAGCGCCAGTTTGGGAGGCTGATGGATTCGACACTGCATGCATATGCCACTGGGGCGATGGCACTCTCGGGCGGCTCTGGCAAGGATGGCTCAAGGATATGGAAACTTGGTAATTGTCCCCAAGTACGGCTCTGTCCGAAGGAGGAGGGGGTTGCAGGTTATGTCCTCAGCAGCGTTCAAGCATCACAACCGGTGGTAATTGCATGGGTTCGCACAGCTGCCGGGTGTGAGATTTCCGACAGTTGTGGCCAATCACCCCAGAATAATCACAAGTGATAGGCACGAGCTTGCCCTTGTCTGGCTGGTGTCCGCTGGGTGAATGGGCCAGAGAGTGCCATGGCGTTGGTTGAGCAGAGCAGCAGACGAGGCATGCCGGTAGCCATCGTCGATGCATCGTCCAGAGCTCGATTCAGCTAGTGGTGTGTCAGTGAAGTCATCGACCGGGCACGCAGATCAAGTGGGCCACACCACCGCCGCAACCGGCCAATCAGCCACCAGCACCGTCGCCTCGTTAGCGGGCTGGCATTCCAGGTCACTGGGCTAATTCAGGGCCTTGTCCCAGCCTGCGGCAACGTTCTCGAGTCAAGGCATCATCATTGGGCTTGGTTGACTCATGATAGCGATCGCATCGCCAGGGACGGAGACCTGCTCTAGGAGTTCTGTACGGCACCAGTACGACAACCAAAGTTACCAAATGTGACGGCCTGAGACACTGCCGCGGGCTACCCGCCTCACTTTCAGGCACGCGACTGGCTTACCCTTGTCACACAACTGCTCACGAAGCACAAGTGACATGTTCCTAAATTAAATTAACTTGTGGATTAATTAGATGTGACATGTAACCAGCAGTGTTAGTTACATAAGAGGGGAGTTGACGAACCATCCGTCTGAACTGTCAGTCAAGATAAGGAGAGGAAGAAACCTATCGGGTATAACTATCGCCAATGATAAGACAAAAGAAACTGTAGAACCAATATCCATTGCAGTGTTTGACCCTGGAAAGAAAAGGGTGACGAAGCGGACTGATGATGCCGTGCCGTGCAGAAGGTGATATGATGTCATGAGCGTGTGAACGGTTGTGGAGTCATCGTGCAAGGCATCAACACAACCAACGGGTCGACCCCGCAGAAGGTTAGCAAGGGAAAAGAGAAATGGGAAGGATAATAAGATTAACGGGCAGGCAATTGGACGCATTCGCCTGGCCCATGTCATAATAGTCATTCAATCGAGTCGCTCATTTGGATATGTTGTAAGGTTGGTAGTCAGGCTGGAAGGAGATGTGCCCTCTTTTTGCAGGCTACCCTAGACCCACATGCCTGTTGATTGAGGACGCGGCGGGGAGACTCGAAGTAAAACCCTGGACGGTATTGAAGGCGGCGAGTAGAATAACTGTCTGCAAATCGGGCAGTCATTTCTATCCATGAGGAACCAAGAGATAAGACATTTGGAGTGGAAGGAATGACCACAACTGTTGATGGTGAGCACATCATCAACCTCAGTCAGGGCTTCACAATCTTCCTCTGTGCCGGCGGACCCCTTCCTCCGGAGTTGAGAAAACCAATGAGAACCAAAAGGGAAACCCGAATGAGAATTATTCTCGGATATCTCATCTGTGGCCGACGGACGGCCTTCAGCGGTCAAGTTGGTTGATTGCCGGCGACTTGGCACGTCTTGGTGCGCAATAGTCTCATCTCCAAGGAGGCGAGTCTGCGTAAAACGGGAAGGCGACTCAGGCACCAAAGGTCCAATACAGATGGGGCTAATGTGCCAATGTTGGTCAGCCAAGCTCTTGTTTCTTACCACTGTTTCAGCCTATATAATTGGAAAATCATTCCTTCTAGAAGGAACGGTGTTCTCCACTCAAGAGAGAGAAGCACGATGAAGCGGTGCAGTAGAGCCAGTCCCAAGTGGATCGGTGAGATAGGCCTTGTGTATCACGGCGGGGTCTTTAAGAAGCACCTGTTGGACTTGAGTAAAACAGACTCACCATTCACCAAGCCCTGGCCTGGCGTCATTCATCTCGCCGTCATGTGAGCCGTTGCGTTGGATGCTGCCTGCAGCAGAAGCAACCGAAAACGAACAGGCTGTGACCGTGCTCAGTTTTCTCCGCGCGCGGATCAGGCTCTTGGCTCTTGGCTCAGCTACAGCCGCCTGGGGCCTTCTTCGGCGGGCTGCAATGGCGGTGATGCTGTGCGCCCCGTTGAGGAGGCTCCATGTTAGCTGAGTGTAGGTACTGGGGATAAGGCAGGCCGGCAGACTCGGTGCGCGGTGGAGGCTGCATGGGTCTTACTGTCGTGGGGAACATACAGAGGACACGCAACGACGAAGAGACAGAAGAAGGCGATGATAATGAAGCCGATTTGCTCCATAATGGGGTTTCAGGGTCAGACGGTGGATGCATATGCATATGAGATATGGAGATTGGCAGCGTTGAGCTGTTCACGACACCACCGGGCGGTGCTAGCTTGGTGAGCAACGGCTTGGATGTGTTGGTGGCTTCCGCATCTCTTCCTCTCAACTTGCTCAAAGTGGACCGGCCGGGAACCCCTCCTTTTGAGCCTTCGCAAGCCGCTTGCCTCTAGGTCCGGACTGGGGTTTGTGGGACTATGCCATGCGAGGAAGGGAAATGATCCCGAGACGAGGACATCTCTCGTCCACCAGACGTTGCTAGTTGGAAGGCGGGGAGAAAGAAGAAAAACCTCCAATACAGAGCGAAAACAATATATCTCCGCCCAAATGGATAAATGGCATGTTAATAAAGCGCATTCCAGGGTCAGTTGCCAGAATTGTGGCTCTGCCTATTGGACGACCAGCGGATGGCACCCCTCTAAGAAGCACAAAACTGCGGGGCGCACTGACCACGTCACATTGCCCAACGACCCAAGCCAAGATGGGAGATGTGTGGACGTAGGTATGATGTATGTACGCCGTGACTAAGGTATCTGTATCTCCGAAGACAGTTATTGTTGGGGGACAGGCGCTTCTGGGCGGCCGAGTTGAGGGAAATGCGAGTAATTGTGGAGGACATATACACCCCTGCGCATTATGTGAGGTAAAAGGCAAAACGCAACTGGGAGTAGTAGCCTGTTAGGCCTTCTCTCTTCCCAAGCTGGAGGCTGCAAGGCGATTCTTGATAAGCTCTAGCAGCTGCCACGACCCTCGGCGTGCTACACAATGGCAGGTAGCAGGCGCTGGAGCGGCCTAGTCACAGCGGGCAGCCAACGGAAGCCAGCCCGATTACAGCATTCACGGGTGCCTTCAGGGGTTGCTTCCAGGGGGTTTGGCTAGATCCACCGCTGTGACCCCGCTGAGCAGCCGCAGCGCAATTAAGCTTATTGAAGGCTGCATACTAACTCAACCACCTTCCAAGAACATTCCGTCGCCCTTGTCTCTGGCGCCGGCTGGGAAGGCAGGAACGGACGTGCATGGAAGCTAAGAAAAGTTTTCTCGTCCATCTCTTCGGAAACGCTCTCCCCCGTATCTTTTGGATGGCATCCCTCGCCGGTTAGTAATGCACTCTGACTGTGAAGCGCCTCCTCATTTGCCTGCCTGGGCGGGGTTTCCACCAGCCTTGAGACTAAGGAATCTTGGCCCACTGCCGGTCCCCCATTTTCGAAAGCACTTGGTGCCTCTCGGATTCGTCACCCAACAGCTTCAGAGCAGTGACACTAAGCGTGTTCTCCGCCAAGGACCACGGACTGACTACGGTCTTCCATGGCTATTTTGCCAAGCGTTCAAGTCATACTGCCGGTGTCTGTTGAGGCTAGCTCTAGGTTTCTCGAGCTTGCTGAGCTACCGTTGCTCATCCCGCGCTCATATCTGCTTTGTCCGACTGGTGGGGATGCCATGAGGGAGGCGAAGGCTTCCATGCAGCTTCGAATTTGGTTACCAGTCATATGAGGCCATCTATTTCCGTCAGTACGTGGGCAGGCCGCATATCTAGATCCAAGCCCCTCGGTATCATACGCCCGGCAGCATGACGTTGTGGATCGGGATTATCCACATCCTCCAGCAGTTGCAGAGACGACGAGGGAATTTTTCCCTTTCAACTGGGTGCTTTGCCTTTGCCCATTGCAACAGTGGCACGTGCATCCTGAGGCCAAGCACGTTATGATCGGTTTGCTTGGCTCTCAGTACCAAAAGGCTCTGTTAGGCCTTAGTCTTCTGAGCTACTTTTAATTGTTGATGGGGAAGCAGATAAGCTTGTTTTGTACCCACACACACATTAAGCGAGTCACGATTGTGACCTTGCTCCTTTGGATTCGGAGACATACAAGAGATGACCAATCTTTCCGTATCATATCGCCAGCCTCCGCATAATGATGTCGAGCGCAGGCTTATCTGCCAAGAGGTTGAGGCAAACTTGCTGCTCTCCATTCGCCAATTAGGTGAACCGCCCAGCCCTCGAGATGGGACGCCCCCATTTATTCTTATGCACTTGCGTGCGTATGAAGTCTTGGCTTTTACGCCCAGCAACCCCGCCAAGTTCAAATTGATTCTTCTTACCTCACAGGTATTCGTGTTCGTGAGCAGGGATTGCCGGCTGATCCGCCCCGATGACGAATTCCCAGCCAACGCTGCCATCAAAATTCCAACTTGTTACCGAAGAATCGAGCAAGAGGGGTGAATGGAAAAAAGAGGCGTAGAATAAGGACAATTGGGCCAACAACCCAAGAATATGTGTATGAGCTCACGATGGTGAAGCCATAGAGCCTCATTGGGTAATTGGACGCATGTTGAGTGCATAAGAAGCCAGTGGATCGGAATCTGTTGTGCAATTTGGGTTGCGGGATCTTGGAGGATCTTGAGACAAGACTAACCATAGTGCTAGTCTCCCGAGGAGGGGTGACACCGGATCGCTATTTCTGTGCGTGTTTTGCTTTTTGGTTCCAGCTTCTGCATTGATGGGCTCTCACTAAGGCGTAAAGAACACGATAACGGCTAACACGGTGCCTTGCCATTGAGGATGCTGACATGCGTTTCACAGCAGGGCTTGAGGTCAATTCGATCGATACTTGCACAATGAGAAGTGAGAGGCAATTTGGACCATGCCAAGCATCCGGGGGCGTATCAGCTGTTGGCTAAACCCACATCCCCCAACACTATGAAATCATAGCCTCTGGGGTTGTGGCATCCTCACCTACCGTCCTTGTCACCTCTCACCTTCTCTTGCGCCTGTCTGAAGACTAGCAATTGCGTAGCTCAACTTGGGACTGGGACAGGGGATTGACCGCCCCCACCAGATCCAAAGTAATTCATATTCATCCATGTAATCCTAAGCCAAGGCGGCAAGTTAGATTCGGGATACATATCAGTACCAAAGTCTCTTTGGTCCTTAAGACTCCGGCCCTCCCGCACTCGATAATCCTTCCCTCCACCCTCTTTCACTATCCGACCAAGAAACGTTGACACAGGAGCCGGATACCCTCTTGTTGTGACCTTCAATGTCTCCTGCTGGGTCTACAACCATCAGTCTTTACCGCGTCTAGCCTCCTGTCTTCCTTTGAACTGGTCCTAACTCGACCCGTTTCTTTCCCAATCATAACTCCTCTGACACCTGAAACATTGGTCCATCACCGGCAGAATGGGGAAGCAGGAGGATCAGTCTGTTGCTGAGCATGTCTCGGGCCAGTCCAACAAGCCCATGACGGCCCCTGCTCATGCCCTCTCATTTGAACAAGTAGCCCAGGAATTGGGTGCTAACACACAGGATGGACTGAGCCACGACGACGCTGAGAAGCGACTGGAAGATTACGGTCGCAACGAATTTGGCGAAGGTAACAAAGTTTCGCCAGTTAGAATCTTCGTTGGCCAGATTGCCAATGCATTGACACTTGTAAGCCCCCCTCTGATCTTTTTAGGGTCCCAGACTCGAACTATCGCCAGCCCTCCTCCTCAGTTGGACACGATAGCTGACTCTTCCACTCTAGGTTCTTATTCTGGCCATGGCCGCCTCATTTGGTATTCAATCCTGGATTGAGGGTGCCGTCGTCGGCGCCGTCATCATCCTTAACATTACTGTCGGCTTTGTGCAAGAATACAAGGCCGCAAAGACAATGGACTCCCTTCGCTCCCTCAGTTCGCCTACAGCACAAGCAGTTCGCAGTGGTAACAACGAGACTGTGGTAACTGCAGAGATTGTCCCTGGTGATCTTGTGGAACTCAAGACCGGTGACACCATCCCTGCAGATGTGCGTTTGATCGAGGCAGTGAACTTTGAGACAAACGAGGCTCTACTTACCGGCGAGTCTCTTCCCGTTAGGAAAGAGATTGGCTCTACTTTCTCTCCCGAAACTGGTCCTGGTGACCGGTTGAATATTGCTTATAGCTCGTCTACTGTTACAAAGGGGCGAGCTAGAGGTATCGTCTTTGCTACTGGTTTGTATACTGAGATTGGTCAAATCGCTGCGGCACTTAGAGGCAAGAACTCGCGCCGCCGCGAACCCAAGCGTCGGGAGGATGGTACAACTAGCTTTGGTCGACATCTTCAGGCTTGGTCTCTGACTGGCACTGACGCCATTGGACGCTTCCTAGGAGTCAACGTCGGAACTCCTCTGCAAAAGAAGCTGTCCAAGCTGGCTCTTCTGTTGCTTGGAACTGCCATTATCTGTGCCATTATTGTTCTCGGTGCAAACAAGTTCTCTTCTGAGCAGCAGGTCGTTATTTACGCCGTTGCCACTGGTGTATCGATGATTCCCGCTTCTCTTATTGTCGTGCTTACCATCACAATGGCTGCTGGTACTAAGCGCATGGTTGAGCGCCATGTTATTGTCCGTAACCTCAAGGCTCTTGAAGCCCTTGGTGCTGTGACGAGTAAGTCGATTCTTCTATAGATCCAAATATCACGATTCATTAAATAACCTTACTATCAACAGATATTTGCTCCGATAAGACTGGTACCCTCACCCAGGGCAAGATGATTGTCAAGAAGGCTTGGATTCCAGGGCGTGGTACCTACTCTGTTGGCACCTCCAACCAACCTGTTAACCCCACTGATGGCGAAATCTCGTTCAACAGCAGCCAGCCCAAGGATATCGACTTTCAATCAGCGGACTCGGCGGGTGATGTTATCCAGGGCCCCGAGCTCGCTAAATCGGACACAACTCTTCGGGATTATCTTAATGTTGCCTCCCTGGCCAACCTTGCCTCTGTGACCGAAGTTGAAAATGAATGGCACGCCAGAGGAGACCCAACTGAAATTGCCATCCAGGTCTTTGCCTCTCGATTCGACTGGAACCGACTTCGCCTCTCCACCGGCCCTGATGCCCAGTGGAGGCAGATTGCCGAGTTCCCCTTTGATTCTGACGTTAAGAAGATGTCTGTCATCTTCGAAGATAAGCAAGCCAATAAACAATGGGTCTTCACCAAAGGTGCTGTCGAGCGTGTCTTGACCTCGTGCCCCCAAGCCGCCATCGGCGACGAGATCGTCGACTTCCCCGATAGTGTAAAGGAAGATGTCCTGAAGAACATGGAGGCCATGGCCCGACTTGGTCTTCGTGTTCTTGCTCTCGCTAGCAAGACAAATATTCGACATGTCAATGAGAACGAGGCTGAGCTGGAGCGTGGTGACTTTGAAAAGGATCTTGTCTTCCGTGGTCTTGTCGGGCTCTACGACCCGCCTCGACCTGAATCTGCGCCCTCGGTTCGCCAGTGCCACCAAGCCGGTATCAGCGTTCACATGCTCACTGGAGACCACCCGGAAACTGCCCGTGCTATCGCTCTCGAGGTCGGAATTCTGCCCAGCAGAATATCTGAGATCGCCGCCGATGTGGCCAAGACTATGGTCATGGCTGCTGTCGACTTTGACAAGCTTACAGATGATGAGATTGATGCATTGCCTCTGTTGCCCCTGGTCATCGCTCGCTGTGCTCCCCAGACCAAGGTCCGCATGATCGAAGCTCTCCACCGTCGCAAGCGCTTCGTCGCCATGACTGGAGATGGTGTCAACGACTCTCCCTCTCTCAAGCGTGCTGATGTTGGCATTGCCATGGGCCAGTCTGGCTCTGACGTTGCTAAGGAAGCCTCTGACATTGTTCTTACTGATGACAACTTTGCTTCCATCCTGAACGCTGTTGAAGAAGGTCGCCGAATGTTTGACAACATCCAGAAGTTTGTTCTGCATGTGTTGGCTGAGAACATTGGCCAGGCTCTGACACTCTTAATTGGTCTGGCTATTAAGGATAAGAACGGTATTTCCGTATTCCCTATCTCGCCTGTTGAAATCATGTGGATTATCATGATCACCTCCGGTTTCCCAGACATGGGTCTCGGTTTCGAGCCTGCTGTTGCTGAGATTATGAACCGACCTCCTCAGAACGTAAGTTTAATACTTTGATCTTGCCGGCTTATTCGATGCGACTGTGATCTAAATGCTAACTGCGTTCCTGCCTAGCTTCGACAAGGTGTCTTCACTCCTGAGCTCATGTGTGACATGATGTTCTACGGTATCTGGCTGGCTGCCCTCTGCCTGTCTTCCTTCCTCCTGGTTCTCTTCGGATGGGGCAAGGGCCACGCCGACATTGGCTTGGACTGCAACGGAAGTATCGACGATGGATGCGAGGTCGTCTTCCGAGCCCGCGCCACCACATTCGCCTCCCTGACCTGGTTCGCCCTCTTCCTAGCTTGGGAGATGTTGCACATGCGCCGATCTTTCTTCCGGATGCAACCCAAGAGCACGAGGTACCTCACCCAGTGGTTCGTCGACGTCTGGCGAAATCAGTTCCTCTTCTGGTCCATCATCGGCGGCATCGTTACCATGTTCCCCATCCTGTACATCCCGGGCCTGAGCACCATCGTCTTCAAGCACACCGGCATCACATGGGAATGGGGCATCGTATTCGTCGAGTCTGTGCTCTTCTTCCTCGGCGTCGAGGGCTGGAAGTTCGCGAAGCGGGCGTACTTCCGCCAACAGGCTGCCAAGGAGGTCAACGGCAATGCTGACCTGGAGACCCGGACGTTTGGGCATTACTTCACACAGAGCAAGTCCGACATCGAGGATAGTGACCCGGAGAAGGGAACGACAAGCAGGGTCGAGGCATCATCAAGGGCTGATACGGGGGAGAAGAAGGTTGAGTAAGAGATCAAAGTGTTGAGACTACAAATGAATTAAACTTAAGTAAGGTGTTCTTTATAGTGCATTATGAACAGGCCTCAGGGATGGAGAGATGATATGATACATATGGATGAAGGAGATGATAAAAGAGCCAATACTACTACTAGGGGGCGCATGCCAAAAGGCAAATGGATGGCAGTTGAGGAGAGGATACTATAACGGTATCGAACTTGGACCTATACTTGCTACCTCATGGCAGCTTCTATCCCTTGAAGTTCTATCTAGAAAGATTTTAAAAAAAAAAAATCCATAACAAAAATAGCGTCATCAATAAGTGTGAAGGAAGTAAAAATGGAATAATAACGTAATGACAGCCCAGTGACTAATGCCGGAGCATTTGCCGCACTATATGGTGTGAAGCTCCCGTGTGCCTCGTTTTGCGCTGGCCCGTCCCATCACGAGGCCAGACGGTTGCAGAAGGTCTTGGTTTTTGGTCATCTGCCCGATGCTGAGCCTCGGGGCCTATCCACCACCAACGGGGATGACCACCATCACGAGTAGCCAGGTAGCACTCCCAGACCCGTTATTCCAAGGCCTGATGTGTCTCCTACGCTGAAAATCTGCCGAGAGGCCCGTGCCAGAGCGCGGGTTGTGACCTTGAGCTGAAGGGCGCCTGCGGCGTGATGTTGTTGCGTAGGTAGCATTGAGTCATGATACTTGTGAGATTATAGGAAATCCTACGCTCTGCTTTGTACACTCTCTGCCTAAATAGAAGCCTAGGCCGTGATCCTATTCCCATCTGGGATATAATCTGTCTTGCCTCCAGCTTCGGGACTTTTCTTAATCGCTGGCTCGACTGTCTTTCAAAGATTAATAGAGACTGCTCTGAGAAGGTCGTGAATATAGAAGGTCCAGGGCCATGGTTTCAGGCGGTTCAGCAGCTCCGGGCGCTGCAAATAGCGGACCAGCGCCTGCCAGCGCCGCCAATCTGCTTCACCCCAACCCGCTATCGTCCAACCCGCCAAACTCCCCTCGCCAGTCCCGGTTTCCATCCACCCTGCAGCAACAGGCTTCCTTTATAGAGACCGAAGCAGAGAAAACCCAGAGCGCAGGCACTGACGAGCATGAGGAGAAGGGCACTAATATCAATGAAAAGGAGCCTGAAGATTCAACGAGCCAGTTCATCTGTGACCCGGCTGGCAAGCTGACCCACGATGAGACGACCGTTGACATCGTCACGGTGCCGTGTCCTGGTGCCGACGCCCTGCGCAGCTGGAACCGAGACGGGCTGGTCAGCCGCTACTTTGGCGCGCCGTCTATGAGGGATGCCGAAGTCGAAAGGCCAGAGTCCGGGCCGTCATGGGTGAGGCAGGGCATCAGGAGGGAGGCGGACGTCGCCAGGATCCTCTTGTACAACCACCCTGACGTGGTCGAGGGCACGACGCTGGGAAGCCTGGCGGACGCTTTACTGGAGAAGTTGCTAGTGGAACGAAGAAAGAGCGGCGAGGCCTCGAGACAGCGGCCGGTTATATTCATCGCACACAGTATTGGTGGCCTAGTGGTCAAGATGGCTCTGGCTAAGGCGAACCGAGATTCTAGATATGAAGATATCCTGCGTGACTGCTACGGGGTGGCCTTTTTTGGTATGTTCGACTTCCTCGACCTTATTATCACGAAATGCGAATGCTGATACTTCTACATAGGAACCCCTCATCAAGGGTCCAGCTACTTTGCCATGCACGGGCTTGCGTCTAGCATCCAGAGCCTGCTTCAGCTATCAGTACCGCTGCCCACCTCCATCACGGACGAGCTCCACGTTGGGAACCGCTTGCTGTTGCACGCAGATGAGGATTTTAAATGCATAGCACATGATATGCAGGTGTGGACCATGTACGAGACCATCGAGTCAAGGCTGAGCGGAGGTGAAGGTGATAGTTCGACTGTCTACTTTACAGCTCCCCTAGCTTCCATCAAGTCAGCCATCCTGGGGATTCGACAGGAACGTATCTTTCCATTGCAAAGCGATCACGCAAATGTAGCCTCATTCGGGAGACACAACACACATACCTTGCGGCTGTTTCTTCACCAGCTAGCCACGCTCATCGACCAGGCAGACGAGAGTGTGCGCGAAGACGGCGAGGGGTCTCGGTGGACACTGAACCTGGAGCAGCGTGTCAACGTCGAGGTTCATGGGTTTTACGAGGACTCGGTAGTGACCAAGGAAGGAGATAGCGAGGCTATTGTGCGAGCTTGGTCGACGAGGCTTCCTCTCAAGGAGTTCCTAAGAAAGGGGCCAGAAGAATGCCTGACCGAACGACTGCACGAGGTTGAGGGTGTTCCCGAGGAGGGTAGGTTCCTCCGCGCTAGGGGGAGGACAATGTCGCTGACCGAGTTGGACAAACAAAGACTGAGGCAGGCCTTGATTACGAAAGAAGGTCTTGGAATCAAGAACCAGCTCATTCAGCCGACATCGCCGCCCTTGTCCCCTGTCCTAAGACCCGTCGACGCTCTAGCCAGGGAACCTCACTCCGTCTCACTCTACCCGACGTCAAGCCCGTACCAAGTCCGCCGCATATCGTCTCCAGCTTCAACACCTCCCATCCCAACTCATTTATTGTCGACCTCCCCGCATCAGCAACCAGTCCCCGTTCGGCTACCACAAGTTCTCATTCGCTCGGACATTGACCAGGATCTCGCTGTTGACCGGCTCTCTCCCTCGCCACGGCCACGTTCAATCACCTCTTTCGGGCGATCTATAAGTGACCAGTCGTCAAGGCAGGAATACCGTGATTTCCCACCCTTCTCTCCGCCTCGTAGCCGAAGAAGTACAGGGGACAAGCAACCCGTTGCCTTTTCTGATGATGACTCGAGCTTGGAAGCGTCACCGCGACTACCAGAAGCTGTGATAAACCTGCGCAAGGATGCGAAGAACTCGAATCGCAGATCTAGCGAGACGGCAATCGCAGATGAGCAGACACCTGTCGCGTTATCGAGGCCGGAAATCAGTGCCCGCAAATTCATCTGGGTTCATCTTCAGTACAATAACCCAACATGGGTTAAAGTATGTTGCCCCCTTTCTGGTTTTGGACTGTCAAAGGAATTAGGAACTGACCCCTGCGCTTCAATAGAAAATACTCGAAACGTTGCAGAACTCGAACAAGAAGGATTATTCACCCTTGTATAGCAACGACTTTTGGGCAACCAAGCACACAAGAGGCAGGCATGCGCAGCACTATGCCTATTATGCGAAGCCCGGGTGTTATTTCACTGCACCCAGAACTTGTAAGTTATGCAATGAATCCATGTATTCCCAGTTCTCATTTTAATGAAACGTCTTGCAGTATCGTTCAGAGGTCACTCAATATCCCCAACCATGTCACCATCTCTAGGCGAGGACGGCATCTCGATCTGCCTGTTTCTGCCATACCTTCATTTTGATTCTTATAAACGGCTGATTAGGCGTCGTCAACTGATCCTCGAACGCCTGGGACGAGGCCGTGCTCAACCAACACCCGAGGACATCGCCAAAGTAGACTCGATTGAGCTGCAGGTTATTTGGGAATTCCTGGGGCACGACCCCCCAATCAACTGTCGACGTACCCTCGACCAGTACGGATATCCATCCTTGAGGGACACCAGAGCAAGAGATGACGATCAGATGTTGTACAAACTCACGAAGGAGAGAGACTATATGCATGGAGAGGGTAGTAGCAACATCTACGCTCACTCTTCAAGCAGCAGGCAAGGATCGTACGGGAGCGGTAGGAGCTGGAGGGAAAGGGCCGGAGGCCTTGGAAACGCCCCAGAGGAACTCAGTGCTGAGATTGATGCGGATAAGGTTCTAAACGGCAATGTTCTTATGGTAGATCAAATGTGGCTTTGGGTCATTCAGTCTCGTAAGTGCTTACGCCGAGTTACCGTCTGGCTCTGTGAATTAAAACGGAAGGCCTGTTCTGACAAACGCAATTAGATACTCTCCTCTCGTTCTTTCCGAAGAGAGAAAGTGACCCGATCGAGGGACCTCTCTTCCAACAAGCCGATCTTCGTGATAGCATCTTCAACGAGGTCAATGTTGATGGAACACACCACTGCGAGAACGCCTTGGATCTAGCTGCGCTTGCGGCTTTACACGCAGTTAGCGTTCTTTTGGATCGATCCTCTCATCCCGATCTAGAGATCTTCCGCATCTTCGAAGAGGCTATCAGTGTTTTGGTAGGAATCTATCAAGCCCAAGATCCTTCGCTCGAAAGGACAAAAGCTAACAAGGTGTATCACTTAGACTGAGAAACTTACCTCCTCACTTAAGGAGTTCCGTGTCGAAGGTTTCCGAGACAAATCGTCTGAATATGAGCCCGTCGAGAACGGTGAACGTACCATCCGAGCCCGTCACAAGCAAGAGGGCCGCCGCGCAGAGCGCGAGAACCGCGACAACACCTCGGCCCTTCTGGAGCTCCGCGACCTCCAAGATGAGCTCCTCGTCCTCCTGAATCTCTTCGAACGCCAACACGCCGTCCTCACGTCTATGCTTGCAGCGTACGCAAGCCCGCAGCTCCGCGACCGCAGCATGAACGGCCGCGCATACCTAGCGGAGGGCATCCGCCGCGTGGACGAGTACAAGCGCCGTGCCGAAGAGATGGACGAGCGTGTGCGCAGCACGCGGGACGACTACGACAAGCTGCTGCAGATGGTGCAGCGGCAGGCGCAGGTGGATGAGGTGCGGCTGAGCAGGCTCCATGCGGATCTGGCGAGCGCGCAGAGCAGGAGTGTCATGATCTTCACCGTCTTCACCGTCATCTTCCTGCCCCTGACGTTCTTCACGGGTCTCTTTGGAATGAACACCCAAGAGTGGGATGCCGAGCTTCCGACGATAGGATACATCGGGGCCGTCGCGCTTCCGTCGAGTGTCGCTCTCATCGTGACCACATTCTCCCTGGCGTTCAGTACGCGGACTCGTCGAGTGTTCAGGTGGGCTAGAGACATCGTACTAGATGCTCTGCATTTCCTGGCAAAGTATTCTGTGTACCCAATCCTCGAAATGACCGGAGAAATGATCCAGCGCAGGCGAGAAGAGCGTGAAAGCCAGCGCGAAAGCCAGGCAGCGGGAGAGGAGAAGAAGCCCCGCGATGGAAGGAGGGCCGTGCTGAAGAAGGAGGCAAGTGACTTTTGGGCAAGGCACCGCGGAGAACGGGACAGCGGGTATAAGATCCCGGAAATGAACAGAAAGGTAGTTGGGAGGAATAAATCAAGCGCGAAGCCAAAGGAGAAGGCTCGGAAGTAGGAGAATCGATGATATATGTGGATGAGAGGATGGGCATATGGTTTTATCGCTTATATTGCGTGTATATTTAACTAGCTTTATTTCTCCACGCTCATTTGAAATACTTCATTCTTACACTCGCATCGAAACTGTAATCTAGATATGTAGATACCTATCCCAAGGTGTAAGTGTAAGATCAGAGCTCATGTGGCTGACGCCGGACGGTGGATGGGGCTTGCTAGGCGCGTGTGTGGCTAGTGAACAGTACGTACCTTTTGATGCGTGAAGCTCTTCCATCACTTCACGCTACTCTTAATCCCCCTCCAACAGCAACACCGCGGCAGAAACGACCAACATCATGGCTAGTGGGGAGCCAAAGCTCTTCTGGAACCCGGAGAACGTCAAGGACGTTGCCGAGTCCGTTGGCATCACCTCCTTGAATGAGGAGGCCCTCAAGACCCTCACTCAAGATGTCGAATACCGCATCGGTCAAGTCATTATCGAAGCCCTGCGCCTGATGCGCGCCGCTCGTCGCACAACCATGACGGTCAATGACGTCTCCCTCGCCCTCAGAACCCTCGATGCTGAGCCTCTCTACGGGTACGACTCGACTCGCCCGCTGCGATTCGGCGAGGCCAGCATGGGACCTGGCCAGCCTTTGTTTTACCTGGACGACGAGGAGGTGGATTTCGAGAAGCTCATCAATGCGCCCTTGCCCAAGGTGCCGCGAGATATGAGTCTTACAGGTGGGTTCCCACCGGCTCGCTCTGGTACAATGAGCCTTCTGCTAACTGCCTGAGTCCAGCTCACTGGCTCGCGATCGAAGGCGTCCAGCCATCCATCCCCCAGAACCCAACCTCGGCCGAATCGAGATCACAGGAGCTTCTGCCCAAGGGCCCTGGCACCAATCCGGCACTCTCTGCACTTGCAGGGAGCGACGACCCCTCCATGAAACCCTCGATAAAGCACATCGTGAGCAAGGAGTTGATCCTCTACTTTGATAAGATTCAGGCCGCAATCCTCGACGAGAACCCAGATGAGGAGGTGGTGCGCCTTCGACAGGCGGCATTGGGCTCCGTCAGAGACGACCCCGGGCTGCACCAGCTCGTCCCGTACTTTATAAACTTCATCATGGACCGAGTCACGCACAACCTCGACGACACCTTCACCCTGAAGCGGATGATGGAGCTCACCAACGCCCTAATCGAGAACAAGACCCTGTTCCTGGACCCCTACGCCAGCCCTCTGTCGGCACCCGTTCTCACATGTCTCATGGCGAGGAAGCTCGGCACCGACAATGGCGAGGACGGCCTCAAGGAGCAGTACGAGCTGCGACAGCTCGCCGCCTCCCTGGTCGGCCGCATCGCCCACAAATACTCATCCTCCAACACACTATTACGGCCCAAGCTCACGAGGACCTGCCTCAAGTACTTCCTGGACCCGACGAAGCCCCCCGCCGTTCTCTTCGGTGCTGTCCAGGGCCTGCGCGAGGCGGGAGGCCCCGAGGCCATCCGTGTCCTCGTGCTGAGGAACCTCAAGCCGTTCGACGAGAACATCCTGCAGCCGCTCAAGACCAAGCTGGAGGGGTCAATCGACTTCACCATGCTTGTCCAGGGCTTGATCCAAGCCGTAGCTTCGTTGGCCGAGCACGAAGACCCGGGGATTGTCCCCATGGACGTGGAGGCATCGGAGTCGGAGACCACAGAGCTGAAAGAATGGATCGGACCAATCGTGGGCGAAAGGATCGCAGCTTCCAAAAACCGGAAGCTGATCACCACCGTCCTTGAGGCTCGAAACCTAGGTTAGTCTATACGACGCATTGGACGGGCAAGCCTCACGGAAAGAAAAACAAGCTGCTTCTTAGTTGGGGCGAACGGCGTTTGGGACTTGGGAACACATAATTTTTCTAGGAAACTGAGAACTAAGCGAGAGACCATCCTCGGGTCTTGAGATAGACAAATAAAAAGAATAATCTCCTTAACACTCGCGCCCCTGATCTTTCCACATTGTTGTTTTTAGAATTGTTTTTTGAAGAGGCTAACATATAATCTTCCTACGAAATACAGCCATTATACATGGCCAATCCCCTTTCCCCCCTCTTCTCTCTTTAATTCCAGAAACCCTGCGGACTCCTTTAATTCCCACGCATTGCCCTCGCCCTCTTCATATCTATTGTTACACCAACCACATTCTTTTTACAGGCCGAAAGCAAGGAAAAGACCGGCGAGGATGCTGGCCGACCAGGCGAACTGCTCGGCCCTCCTGATCTGGGGCTTGGTGTACCCCTTACCGATGTCGAAGACGAGATGCCTGACGCCGTTGACGAAGTGGTAGGAGAAGGGGAAGGCGAGGAGGGTGAACTTGAGGAGGCCCTTGACGAGGAAGGGGAGCGAGGCGAGCCCCGCGGCGAGGCTGGCGCTCTCGACGTGGAAGCCGACGAGGGGCGCGACGAGGTAAGTGGCGAAGTAGGCGTAGGCGGTCCCCGAGAGGACGCAGCCGGTGATGCGGGTCCAGGCGGAGGAGGAGAACCAGACCTGGCTGAGCTTGTAGATACCCAGGTGAGGGGAGATGGGGCGGGCGAGGCGCTGCTTGGCGAGGATGTCCTGGCCCTCGGTCAGGGAGACCTTGGAGGTGGTGGCGGCGGCACTGGGGGGAAGAGTCTCGTCAGTATGATATGCGGGAGGAGAATGTTGGAGTTCAGGCCTTGATATGAGCCCGTGGGGATTGCCGACAACGTACCGGAACTGCTGGGCGGGCAGGCGGGCAGCGAGAGCCAGCTTGGGGAGGTTCTGAGCGACGAAGAGGCCGTTGGGCTTAGCGACGCCTGTTGAGGGAGAGCAATTAGCCTTGTTGTTGCTACGAATTGAGGGCATTCGCGCGAAGCCGAGGCGCAAAAGTAATCTCATGTACATACCTCGCATGGCCGCGAGGCCAACCCGTTGGGCGATCATTGTGATGTTGGACTGGCGGGGTGATCAAGCGGAGATGACGGGTCCTACTTCCTCTCTGAAGCTTGGAGGGATTGCGTTGTGTTCGTGCTTGTCGCCGTCGATGTTCTTCACTTCGAGATTCCGCAGAGACACCGTAAAGCCGGATGGGGTTCCACAATCCAGAGAGAGCTGGACGATGATGTTTCGCCCTTTCTCGGAATAGGTCCTGGGTCGGCTCCTCGGCTCAGCCCGCCAATCAGCGAGGGCGAATTCCTCATCGCTAATCGGTACACGTGATGCAATTCCCGTAGGTAGGTAGGTTAGTTGTTTCTTAGATCACGTGCGGAGGAAGTCAATTGTGCTGACTAAGGAGGTTTCTCAGCCTCTCCACCTACAATTTGGTCGACAGAATTTCTCGCTCCCTTTTTTATTTTCTTCTTGCTCTTCAGATAGACACGAACTCCCGCCGCGTGCTGCCTACTCTCCACTGGCAGCAATTAAGGCAAGGTCTTTGCGACCCATGGGTGTTTGGAGAGCAATTGATCCGTCGTTAATCTCGACATCTGGTTTTCTTCGTCTGGGTGTCGTTTCATTTTTGAGATCTACATCTCTTCCCTAAAACTAAGTCTTGCGTAGTAGTGCCATAGAATCTCTCCCCTGACCAAAGGTCATCTTCCATTCCTAGAGTGAATTCACGAGTTACCTTGCCGAAAGTAAACATGGTTCCCTTGCGATCGGAATATCAAATTCTGGGATTATTGAGCGTAAAACCCAAGGTTTTTTTCTTCTGAGTGTGTTCAAAACGGGCTGCTGGCGAATTGATGTCCGCCGCATGAGATACCAACCCCTTCCCTTCCACCGCATTTCAAACATCCCTCTACAGCACACGCAACAAGACATGGTACGAATTTTGTCAACCTAGTTTGTTTTCAATTATTTGGTGACGGTTGATCTAAGGGGGGATTGGACTCCAAACTAGTACACAAGCTCAACGCAACTTATGCCAGGGGATTTTGGCACCATCCCAGATATCGTACACTAAACCAACACCTTTCGTCTCTGTCGTTGATGCCTCGTGTTTCCTCATATGCTCCGTTCTATTCCCGTTAATTGTCCGTGAAAATATGTGCAAATAAACCCCATCACCCAGCCATGACCTGTTATATATCAATAAACCCCAAGTTAAAATCGTCCAGTGATAGATGCTGAGTCTGGACCCCGAAATACCTGCTCCTGGAAACGAAGAGCGCCAAAACGCCAAGCCCAGTCCTATACCTATTGCATGGAATTGGCACTTTTGCCGTCCATCCCCGAGCCCAAGGCAAAGCCATTGAAAAATGCACCTTGTGCTTGGTGATTGTTATTATTGGTGTTAGTGTTCGTCATGTCACCCCACATATCCCAGCTCAACGAAGAGACATCCAAGTAACCGCCAAGGAATTGGTCAAGATCGTGTATAGTCTGTTGTGGCGGGGGCATTTGGGGGGATGTCATGCAGGATTGCGTTGACCCTCTAGAATCTGATGTCGGAACGAGTTCCCGGAGACGTGAAATAAACGACGGTATTTCGATGGCTTGTCCGAGAGCATTATATGCTGCTTCACGGGCTTTCCAGGCTTTGAGAGTGAACTGTGCCTGAGAAGCATAGGCCTTGACCGACACATCAAACAGTTCAGGCTGCCAGCGGTGGACTTTTTCCACGATTCTCCAGCCTCGATCCGATAAAGACCCGGTTGGCCGTCTGGCAAGTTGGCCAGTCAAAACGCCAAAGACCTCGAGCTGGAAATGTAGCTTAACGAACCAGAGGAATCCCAAGGGTGCCATCCGATCGTAGGCGTCGGCACTCTGTTCGTTGTTCATGAGTACAAGCTTGACCAAGTTGTCTTTGGGCTCGAAGATTTCGGTTCCCCATTCCGGCTGCTCTTGCATAGGAACAAGCATCTCATCTAGCTTTCGAATGAGCATAGCCCTGATAGTCAGAGCAGCGCTGTGAACATTTCCAGCCGATGGGTCGCAATATCGTTGCTCAATATCTAACAAATCCCTATCGAGCTCTTGAATAATAGCCTTATATTTTGCCTTGATACTGGGATCTTGGGGCTCATCTGCGTTGTTTGGATCGTGTCCCATTATAGCACTTTCGAACCCCATTCTCGAGCTCTCTGAAAGCATAAATTTAGTGAGTCGGTTGGTGATAAGAACAAATGCCATCTCCGTTGGGCCCTCGCGAGGTTGTACAGGTTCTGTGGAACCGGGAAACAGATCGGCGTCGTTCAGATTCCGGGGAGGTTTCGTATCGTAACTATCCTGAATCGTATTATGAATCACACCCGATACAATCGCAAGTTTTGTGTCCTGCATTAGAATTTGCCACCATATTCTTCTTCGCATCTCGGTCTCAAACGGTGTAAGACCAAGCAACTCGCCGTCGCGGTGATAACCCATTTTCTGAGCAACACGCACGATTGTGCCACTCAAGACCCAGGCAGCGTGCCTATCATAGCGACCTTGAAGTGAATACTACTCTCGTCAGTCATGTTACTCCACATACGTAATGCATATGTCAATCCGCTTACAAGAAACAGGACCAAGGCTTGAATCGAGGCCATATCAGAGTTGCGAAGAAAGTCCAGCTTAATCAACGCCTGTTTAGTGCCAGCTGTAAACCTCTGGACAGCTTGATCTCGAGAAATCCCAATTAGTTGCATGCATTCGGAATCCTGCAAAGCTATGCTGGCCAACAGGTAAACGGATAAGAGTAGAGCCTGATAATTCAGAGGCACACCGGACGAGTCACTAGTTGCCTCAATCACATACGGCTGCAAGGTGGGAACGTGTACGATCTTTGTAAGTGGGTTGACGCGGTCCAGGAAGATTTGCCATAGCCGGAAGGCCTGCACTGGGTCAGGCTGGTAGTCTTCGGGGTGTGCGGAAGAGCTGTCGGACAACAGTAGTACGTCGGCGTTGTTTTCAGGAGTGTGGCCCTCAGTCCCTAGGACACTAGATCCCTCAGGATCATCGGCATCTACAATCTCTCGCATAGCTTGTAGCTAAATGACAACCCTAGGTTAGAGAGGGTACTAGGAGAGAGGACATCATGCGGAGAGAAAACCCACCTCGTCATAGAAAGTCGACCAAAGTTGGCTGTCTATAAAACGAACACCCCCATCTTGATGAATTACTTTTCCGGGGTGCCGGCGATCCGGGAAGTCATCGAACGTGGGCGAATAGTCCGAGGTTTCCGCTTTGAAGGTTGAGGCAGGGGTCGTCACAGAGGCTACGGAGGGTGCGGCTGCTTGGAGGTCAGCCTGGGAAGGGACAGAACCGCCAGCATATTGCTTGAGAAGCTCTTCACACCGGGCTAGGCGCTCTTGGAGATCTTGGTTTGGCCGGCGTCGCTTGCGCGCCGGAGCTGGAGTGCTGGGTGTACAAGTGGCATTGGCCTGGAGAAATTTGGTAAGTGGGGGTTCGACTGAGAGTTGGGACGATAGGCAATTAGACGAGACGGATCGGTAGATGTGCAGTCACCTTTATACAATTTGAACACGGGGTATTGCGATCACATTTGATCTTGCGATGTTGACACAGGACACAGGCGAGAACTCGAGGCTGCCTATGTGAAATGACGGGTGTTGCATTGTTCGACATGGCGGCACACACAATCGAATCACGAGTGTGTCATGCGCAGAAGATGTGAGGCTCTCATGGGACGAGCTGCTGAACGCAAGGGGTAATCCAGTAGAGACACGGCCAGGGTGGCACTCTTAGGATTGACTTTAAAGTTGTGCGACGTTTGTCGTTTGCAGGTGTTTGCGAACCAGGAAGAACAGCGCACCAGAGCTGGAAGAAGTAGCAGGTGGAAGAGGTCAATTGCTGGGCTCTCCTCCGTCCTGCTGGCCAGAGATGCGGACGTTGTATTGAAGCCGGGCAAAGGAAGTAGTACAGAGTCGGCGGGAGAGCTTGACGCAGCGAGGTTGGAAATGCAGCAGGTCTGCAGTTACCAGGTACGTGTTGGGGGGTGGGCGGGAATGGTTTGAAAGCTGCCGAATGCCGTCATGGGAGAAAATTAGGCCTGGTGGGTTTTTGGGCAGGTACAGCGAAGGCGCAGTTGGGTAATAATAAGAGCCGCGATAGAGGAGGAACAATAAGAGAGACCCCGCTGGGTGGCTGAGATGGAAAAGAGTCAAAAGACGTAAAGGATGGAGCCTAGTGGAATTGGTTCAGCTGAGCGAGAATGACGGGTACAGTACTCATAGACCACCAAGTTGGGTGCTCTGATCTGATCTGTGCGCAGAGAGCTGAGGCCGTTGGCGACTTGTGCAGACTTGTGCAGAGCGAAAAGACGCCACCAGCGGCATGGGATGGCTCTGGATGGTGGGGGATTGCGCAGATACTGAATCAGGAGGGAGGGCAGACAGACAGCTGGGGGGATGAGGTGAGATGCGGGCTCTGGGCTGAGTTTGGGTTTGGCGGGTATGGAGCACTACAAGTAGGTACCTCAGGGTTCACGGCTCCCCCAGATGTCGCCGAACGAAGCTGCTAGAACTGTGCAGGAACCTTATACAGGTGGGAGGCGCCGCTCTGGTGCGCTGGCATGGGCTGTCACATATGCGCCAATGCAAATATACATGACATTAGAGGATCATACGGTACTGCTACATTGCCTACCACCGAGGCGCAATGGATGGATGTCCGCTGGTTGCCATCCCTCCGATTGAAAGTGGCCGACGGGTCAATCGTGCAGGCACTCACTCAATCTCGGTCACATCCATGGGGATCCATCCATCCTTGCTCCCTGCCCACCTCCGCCAAAGTCCATGGACTGAGGGATAACTCCGCCCGCTTCGGAGTACCGCTTGCAACCACGATCCGGGCTCCCATCAATCCCGCCACAGCGTCGCGCGAGACTGCTACCTCATGAGGCATCCGTCGATGGCGCACCATTAGCATCTCCCTCTGGATTTTCCACATACTACTTAGCTCAGGTCAACTGGAAACTAAAATCCACTCGAAACTCCGCATGCTCAGTCGCAATTTTAAGTTGGTAGGCAGACCACCTACGTCAGCGAGCCTGCTTTTTTTCTAGCCACATTTCAGTTGCAGACGGCCCTAGGACTAGTGTGCTGCACAAAGTCAAGCTGCAGTAACCTGTGATGCCAGGCAACAAGGTTGTATGGCGAGACGAAGATGGCTCGATATGACGATGCTATCAGCACTTGTTTGCGAGTTCCTTGCTCGCTTTCGGTCTCTTCATTTCCAATATAACGTTGTCTGCGAGAGATAGCACGAGGACCACCATACTAACCTGAGTTTTCACACACTGCTGTCCCCCAGGGCTGGTTGTAAGCTGACGAACATTGAGCCTTGCTCAGCGCCGAACTACCGGCAAGCCGCAAGGTGAGATCCAAGACCTGATTCAGAAGCCTACCTGCCATAAACAGTATAAGCTTCCTGTCATGCCTACATTTCTGTCTTAGTATACCACCAGTCAAAGGCCCCAATTCGTCCCTTTTTCAGACCAGGCAATGACTCACATGCGCGCCCTGCACGCTGTGTTGCGCGACTGTCACCCAAACCGTGGGCCGTCTATGCAAGGACGCTAGAGCGCGATGTCCGCTAGGTAAGGAATAGGTAGCCCCGGGGAAGGATACGCGTGTTTTTAGTGGCTGCAGATGGGCGATCAGTGCCAATTTACAGGCATGGCGCCGCCTAACAGTGCTGCTCGTGGTAATCCTATCCATCATGAAAACATGGAATCTTGACCCGGACTCTCCCGGAATATTGCGCGCATGATCATTATGACGGTAGCAAGACAGCGCATCATGTGAATCATGTAGAAGTTTCATTGCAAGCTCACAGCTGAGGCTTTTTCTCCCCTGGGGCCGCGCAAATTGCCATTGAAGCACCAGCGTTTTGGCACAAACGGTTGATCGTCCGAGGTCAATGCCTCGCGAAACTCAATGCGCATAATGGACGCACGGAGGCTCCAGGTCTCCTTAACACGCTTCTTCGGTATTTTCTAATTTTCCGAAACCCCAACATATAGGAGAGCCGAATCCCCGAGAAATAATGCAAAAACCATCTCTCGGATTCTTCAGCCTTCTCCCAGTTCTCCATGCGGACCGTGAAAGTCGGAAGGGGCCGGTCAGCCAGCTGATCCGAAACCGAAGACTGCACAAACGGCTAAACGAGAAAAGCGACAACCTGCATGAGCAATACGAGTGCGCGGGTTAGCGGCCACCCAAATCCGATCGCTTTTACGTTGTGCAAGTGCCTGGCCGATGAACGTAGCTTCGGTATTTCTGTCCTTGGTCTGGGGTCAAAGGGGGGCGCCAGCTATCACATGGAAACGACTATAAGCCAATGAAGATCTCGAACTGAGATGCACAGCCACAATTCCCCTGGCTACGGTCATTACAACGGTCTCGGACTCTCAGGCCATGCCACAGGCAGCTTTGATTGCAAGGAGGTTCTAGACGAGGCGGCCCAGCCTAGCTAGATTGCATGCGATGAGGCCAGATGGCAAGATGGTTGCGTCGATGACAGCCATCTCGAGACTCAAAAGTATCCGGGACTAAAAGTATCCGACTGCTCGTGAGAAGACGGAGATTAGATTTCCCCGGTGTTCGTCCAGCCAGATCATTGACAATCATAACTTGTGTGTACTTGTTCATTTAGATGTCTGGAAGAGGAAACGTAGAAATAGGTAAGGGAGGCAGTGACGCGTCACGGAAATATCAATGTCCAATGCATCTCTCAAAACGGCTCAAGTGAAGTCGATGTGGAAGCCGAAGGACACGTAGATTTCACGGATATTATGACCAGAACAAATAGACTCTAGAAACCAAAGGCTCAACGTGCAACTCCGTTATTGGCTGAGCAAGACACTTATCATCGGGTGATTCTCAATCAATTGCGAGTGCCTTCTTGGTTGTTTCACGAGTTCTATTCATTCAGGAGAATATTGATCCTAACTCGGGACTCGAGCTTCGCTCGCTCGTAGGATCTTCGCTTCCATCCCCAGGTTGATCCACAGGCACCAAAGCCAGCCTCTTTCTTTTCTTCATCGCCCTTTTGTGGCTTGCTCCTCTAACGTGTCTTCGCCACATCTCCTCTGTGGTTGCCACTGTGCCACAGATTTCGCATGTTCGTTCACAAGGTACAGCCTTGGGAGGAGGCTCTCTAGCAGTAGAGAGCACCTCACGCGCTAGTTGCGATATATCTACTGGATGCGGCCTCTGCTCACCTTTGAGGAACTGCGCCGTTATGGCAGCGGCCGGTTCTACGACATTGTCCTTGTAATGAGAGACGTCAGAACTATCAAGGAGGTAGAGGCTGTCCACTGCTTCCGGTCCCTGTTCTACGAGGAGCGGAAACTGCTTGAGACGAGTCCAGCGGTTTTGGTAGTTTGCATATCGGCGCGTGGCTACTTTCATGTCCTCAAGTGCCGTCGCCTTCAGCTCTTCCAACGTTGAAGCGTCTTCGCCCCTGCACGCAGCATCCAGATATGGTTCAAACTGCCGATAGCCAATCGACTGCCATATCCCACGGGTCATGTCAACCTTGAAGCCCGCTGCCTCTCTACCACGTTTGAATTCATGGCACTCGCGTACTTCATCCAGCAAGCCGGTGTCGAGCATCTTCTCGACACGCCCATCCAGCCTGGTCTTGAGAACCTCACGGTCTGAATATACCCAGAACATCAGATTTTCCCAGGGGCTCTGCTCCAGATTACTGATGAGGGTGGCTTTGCGTTCCTGCTGTTCAGCGTAGAACTCCGAGGCGGGCTTCCCGCTGCGAAGATATATTTCAAGGGATCGCTGGATCTTCCGCCTGTCGTTCGGGTGCCACCTGCTCGCCATTGCGGGGTCGACCTTGCGTAGTTCGGCCAGAATCACTTCCGTCGGCTCATCCAAAATCGGGAAAGTCACCGTTTCGTTTGAGTACAGGTCGCCAAGGGTGACTTCCTTGAAGATGAGAGGGTCGACATAGTATTGTGTGCCTCCGACAACGATGGGTAGGTTCCCTCTGCTACGAATCTCTTGAATCGTCTTTTTCGCCTGTCGTGTATAATCGTCGACATCCCAGGGCATTTCGTGAAGAGAAATGTGGCCAAGAAGATGGTGAGGAATGCCTTTTTGTTCGGGGACGGTGATTTTGTTGGTGATAATCGGAAGTCCATTATAAAGCTGCATGGCGTCGGCGTTGATAATCTCCCCGCGAAATCTGGTGGCCAGCTCAACAGCTAGCTGTATCCGGCAGTCAGCAGCTGTACATTCAATCCCACCTAGGATACGAGGGGGCTCTGTCAATCTGCTCCTACCTCTGACTTCCCGGTTCCTGTTGAACCAAGAATCACCAGTAAAGGCTCGCTTGGGATACTGGTAGGTGTCGCCATTGTCGCAACATTGCGCCTCGCCGAGAATGCGAAACCCAGTCGACGGAACATAAATCGTGCCCAGCACTGCGGTTATTTGCGCATTTCAGTCGGTAGCAATGCAAGACGGTCCTACAATCGAGAGTTGGGTTCTTGCGCCGCTGACGGAGACCATATCAGGTCGTGGGAATTTGTTGTTAGCTGCCCCTCGAATCTCGAATCAGGGTCCTTCCTCGTCGCAGTCCAGAATTGGCACCCAAATCGGAGACACCCCACATTTCAGGCATTTGGGGACAAGTGCCGGGAAAATTACGGTGGTGGGTGGCTTTCCCCTAGAAGCGTCCATCCCGTCATTTACCATCCCTTATTAAGGCTTGCTCCAGGTCCAATGCAGTCACGTGTCCTCTCCACCAGAATTTGGACACATCTGCCTTTTGGGCTGGAGCGTTCATAGAAGCCAGATCGTCCAACATTCGTTCCACAATCCTTAATATTCCCCTTCACCCCCGATCGCCCACCACTTTCCTGAGCTCGACACAGCTCGATCTCTTCTCTCCTTTCTTTCCTTGGATGAGGTAGATTCTTCTTTGTATTCCGTTCTTCCTGCCAGTCGCCACAATGAGTTCTCGTAAGTTCGCCCCTGCGCAGCTCTGTTTCGCGACAGCAAGCTCGCGCGCGTGTCAAGACAGCTTCCTCTCGCGCCAATTGGTGCTCGCCAACATGATTCTAACGTGTTCGATTGCCTGACAGTTCGATTCCTTGACTTGGTCAAGCCGTTCGTGCCGTTCCTCCCTGAGGTTCAGCAGCCGGAGACCAAGATCCCCTTCAACCAGAAGCTGATGTGGACGGCTCTCACCCTCCTCATCTTCCTGGTGATGAGCCAGATGCCTCTGTACGGTATCGTCTCGTCCGACAATTCGGATCCCCTCTACTGGCTGCGAATGGTCATCGCGAGTAATCGAGGTACACTGATGGAATTGGGTATCACTCCCATCATTTCCTCCGGCATGGTATTCCAGCTCCTCGCTGGCACCCACATGATTGACGTCAACCTCGACCTCAAGTCCGACCGTGAACTCTACCAGACCGCCCAGAAGCTCTTCGCTTTCATCCTCTCCGCCGGTACCGCCACCGTTTACGTCTTCACTGGTCTTTACGGTCCCCCCTCCGACCTTGGTGCTGGTGTTGTCTTCCTGCTCATCCTCCAGCTCGTCATCGCCGGTATGATTGTCATTCTGCTTGATGAGCTTCTCCAGAAGGGCTACGGACTTGGCAGCGGTATCTCTCTGTTCATTGCTACCAACATTTGCGAGTCCATCGTCTGGAAGGCCTTCTCTCCCACCACCATCAACACCGGCCGTGGCCCTGAGTTCGAGGGTGCTGTTATTGCTCTCTTCCATCTCCTGATGACCTGGCCCAACAAGCAGCGCGCTCTCCAGGAGGCCTTCTACCGCCAGAACCTCCCCAACATCATGAACCTGCTGGCCACCCTCCTCGTCTTCGCTGCCGTCATCTACCTTCAAGGCTTCCGTGTTGAGATCCCAGTCAAGTCTTCGCGCCAGCGTGGTGCTCGTGGCTCTTACCCCGTCCGCCTCTTCTACACCTCCAACATGCCCATTATGCTGCAGTCCGCCCTCTCCTCCAACATCTTCCTGATCAGCCAGATGATGTACTCTCGCTTCTCTGAGAACCTCCTCGTCCGTCTCTTCGGTGTGTGGGAGGCTAAGGACGGTTCTTCCCAGCTCCACGCCGTTTCCGGTCTCGTCTACTACATGTCTCCCCCTCTCAACTTCCGTGAGGCTCTCCTCGACCCCATCCATACCGCTGCCTACATTGTCTACATGCTCGGTGCCTGTGCTCTCTTCTCCAAGACTTGGATCGAAGTTTCCGGCTCCAGCCCTCGCGATGTCGCCAAGCAGCTCAAGGACCAGGGTCTCGTCATGGCTGGACACCGTGAGCAGAGCATGTACAAGGAGCTCAAGCGCGTCATCCCCACTGCCGCCGCCTTCGGTGGTGCCTGCATTGGTGCCCTCTCTGTCTTCAGCGACCTCATGGGCGCTCTTGGCTCTGGTACCGGTACCCTGCTCGCTGTCACGTAAGTTTCTTATTCGTACGTCGCATGTACAATTTATACAGGAAGCTAACAGTTTCATAGCATTATTTACGGTTACTTCGAAATTGCCGCCAAGGAGGGAGATCTTGCTGGCATGAAGGGTATGATTATGGGCTAGAGACGTCACAAGACTTACCTTTGTGATGATCAAGGTCTTTTTTCTATATAAACAGTCGCTAGCAGACTGCGGATCACCTGTCGGTCCTTGTGTAGTACTAACAGATTAACCCTTCCTCGAGAAGAGTGATTATGGAGTTGAAAAACATGAAAATGAAAAATGCGAACATAAAATCATAAAATCTTTTCAAGGGATCAATCTCGGCGAGGAAGGCAAGCAATCATACGGAGTCGGGTTGGACATTGGTAGTTTTAACGGCAGTTGAGGATCAATCCTTTTGTCATTTTCTCGTCTTGTTTTTTTCGCAGGCTTGGCTGGGGTCATCATCAAGAGCGTATCCGATACCGTCATAAAAATAATGGGTTGTGCGATGAACAGGAAAGATAGGGAAACGAAATGTCACATTGTATGCAGGGCCGTATGAATGAATACCCTTTCGAACCATCAAGTTCACCAAGCAAGGCGAGATGTGCAAACTCTAGGCATCATGACGGTAGCGACTCGCACTTTAGTGCAACGAGACACTCCCATCCTGTGAGAAATAGGCCTGTGGTACCTTGATGGTTTCATTTCCTATCATATATACCCATCAAGGGAATTGGAATCTACCTGCTCATATTGTATTGTGGAGGGTGAACCGCGACATTGTTTCGAAATGCCGGAGCATGTGCCGTCCGATGGTGAAAGGAACCCCTGCCAAGGGACGTGTATGTTCCATCCGGCAACGAGGGGACGATAAAGGGCCTTGGACGACATGGACATTCGACCAATTGGAGTCGTCTCAGACAGGACATCATGGTTACGCTCTCGGGCACGGTCAAGGAAGCTTTGAGAGTGACAACGTCACTTCGGTGACGCCCCGAAACTTCTATTCGCAAAGCGCCGCATATGGTCAGGCGATATATGCGCGCACCGTCGAACAAACGTACCTCGTCCTCCAACCGGAAGGAATGGATGGCGTATGACAGGCAGGCTCCTCGCCCACGCACGTCATCCTGGGCCTGACCTTTGCACCACAGCAGAACTTGTGAGCGCTACTATTACCAATACAACCTCCATATTCGATATCCACATCACGATAGATATCCACAATGGGGGAGAGATAAGGAGGGGTGATCCCCCCCCAGCATGCAAGGCTCATGCATATGCACATCCATGTAGCACAACGGGATCAGGGCTGGAGGAGAAGGGGCAGGGCAAAAGGGCCCGGCAAGGACCAGTTATCGCCGGCGAGGAGGCGTCTACAACAGTTCCTCCCCGTACCCAACAGACGGGGGGGAGTGATGGTACTACCAGGCAATTGGCCCGTAGGGAGTCCAGCAAATGATCCTCTGCGACTAAATCTGCATGATCGGGATGGAATTGCCTGCATTGGAGTCATCCTGACTGACTCTTTGCGGGTCATTGAATGTCTTTGGGATGTTATTGCCGTGTTCGACGAGGGGGAGGGCGTCGGCGGTGAGTCAACCGGAGAGACGATGTAGGAAGGAATTGCGTAGTATTCCCGCTGGGGCAGGTCGACCAATCCGTCCCATGGTGCCTGCAAGTGACTCTCTGTTTGTGTTTACAAGGCGGGGAAAAACTGCTAAGGGGGGGAACTGTCAGCACTTCGAGCCCTGCTGGGTTAGATCTAGCTGCCAGAGGACTTTTAAGATCAAGAGAAATGGGATAAGTGACTGATTAGAGGGAAGCCCACTATTATGCCCGCCCTACAATGTAGGGGTATTGCATACAGTTACAAATGACTATTACAGTGTGGTGGCGTACGGTGATTTAGTGTTATGAGTCTTTCAGCGGGTTGATTGATCAGCGGAAATAGATAAGGACAGGAAACATACCAAACAAAAAGTCCGATGGCACAATGGAAACGACCTTAGCAAAATGGCTAACCTAGTGCTGTGGGACCGGATCTCTGGATGCGCTCGCCGAGTGGCAACGGCTACGTCCCCAGTCGAGAAAACACCTTTGGAAGTGGCCAGAAGGAAGGGGGGTCGATGGTGTTCGCCCTCGCCAATTGGACGCGTCGTAGCTCGCGAATATGCAGCTTGGGGTCTAGACGCCCCGGTTGGAGGTGGATGGACGGACATGCACCAAAGTGACAGACCAGTCGGGTGTTAATAACAGTCCAGGCTGGCAAAACTGACTTCCTGGTTACAAACCCAGCAGGATTGTTGAGGAGCAATGAGCATAACCTGGAATGCTTGCGCTGGAGAAGCTGTCTGGCTGGCTCTGTCAATTCGTGTCTTGCCATCAGCTTAGAGCGCCGAACTATTGCCCATGGTTGGGTGATTTATCATGCGAACGCCCTTCTTTACAGATATTAACGTCTGGGCAGCTGAACAATGGAATTCGTCGAGCACGACCCTGCGCCCACGCCTGCGGTAGGCATTACTGCCGCCAGTGAAGCGCTAACTGACTTGCCCATCCCGGTAATAATAAGACTCGGGCCCACATCTTCGGTGCTCACACCGCCCGTCCCGACCTTTCTGACCGGCTTGGTCACGGCACCAGCGCCTCACTGACGCCGCGCCATCATCTGTCACGCCGTACTTGGACAGATCGAGCAGCGAGCGTTCGCAGCACGAGAATAGCCATGGTGACGAATTGCGCAAGTTCACGCGGCCATTGCTGGTTTGCGGTCATCCTGGCTAGTCGTGCTGCTAGCCGTATGGCCAGGCTTGATGGACAGGGGTTGGCTGTGTGCTCTCAAGCACCGGAGACTCCTCCACTCCACACACGAACGCCCTGGCTAAAGGTCTGGTAGGTCCACACCGGCCACAAGATCCCCACCCGTAGCAGGTAAAACACCCATAGAAATTCTCATACATTCCTGGTCCGTGTTGGTGCAGCCCCAGAAGCGCGTGAAAACGTTGTCGTGTTGCATGCCTGTCCCCACCTCCCGCTCTGGCTCTGGCTCTCTCGTGCGCCGTCTGGTCGGCACCTTGTCCTGGGGCTGGCCGTGGTTACACCGTCCACAGCCTCTGCAGCATGCAGGTCGAGGGAGACGGCCTGCCTGGCTGCATAGCAGGTCCGTGTGTGTCTTAATGGAATGAATTGATCCCAGCTGGGCCGGGTGCTCGATGTCTGTCTGCCCAACGCTGCTGAGCAGGCAGGCATATGCTAGGCATGTGTGTAAGTGCAAGTGGACATACATCTTATTATCGTGGATGGAGACGTTGATGATCGATCCAGCCATACCCAAGCTGGCAGTGCTTTACTTTACCTTACTTCCCTTGTGCTACATCCATCTCATCTCATCTGCCATCGTACCTGCCGGTTGACTGCACGCCGCCTGTCTGTGAGTGGGCTGCACCTACCAGCCTCATTTTCCCACCCTGCACCTTCTACATTCTCATTTTCAACTCATCATTACTCACCTCTCCCTCTGGTCATTTCTGAGGACCCTCCATCCACCCACCCTTCTATTTCTCTTTCGTTTGCCCGCTGTATTCCAATTCCCTTCGCTCCTTTCCATTGCACCTACTTCTTGCTTCCTTGTTCTGGGTAAGGATCGCGTTGGCCAGTATATCTCTGCTCGTTGTCCGGGGCATCGTTCACTCCATCATATGACCTAAACAGGCCCTGTCACTTGGGACTGATTGGCCGGGTCGTAGCTCCTCGTCGCACCTGCCACAGGCCCCTCCACCCAATCTCTCGGCGCCCCGAGTCCAAAACAGAGCTACTGTCAAAGGCGTTTGCCGATCCTTAGTCTCGTCATCATCCGGGTCCGCGGGGCCTGACTCAAAGCCTATTTTTTCTCGCCTTCCGTCATTTGCTTTCCTTGCTTTCTTTCCTCTCCATCCTTCCGGTCTCTACACCCTTCTCCCACCCGAAGTGTACACGCAGCAATCGCTGCGCCCGGTCAAGGTGGCTTCATAACTGATATTCAACATCACGCGCGGCACTGCGACCATCGCGGCTCAGTCATGGGTTTTGCGCAATGCTCCTGGCCAGTATGGCAGGTCGATGACTTCACGACATGCTTCCAGCTCGAGTTAGTCTCCCTCTCATCCTCTTCGCTCCCAATTCCCTCCGGGATCAGAACCTTCGCCCGTTGGAGGCCTTTTATCAACCGTCCCCAGAGGGAAGACGCCAAGTACTGACCCAATTGTGCAGCTACCTCCGGACTCTCCTCCCTCTCATTGTGATCGCGCTTTCGATCGCGCATCTCGCAGGCCGAAAGATTTTCCTCACTCTGAAAAAGTCCAGGTTCTATACCGAAATTCCAGTCGATGAACACCCACACGACCACACCGCGCTACCGCCCGAACAGCTTGGGGACGAAGCCGACGAAGATGACGACGATCTTGAAATCAGCGGTGGGCGCCTCGCACTAGCCCGAACAATCTCCAAGACCTCGATCGTTCAATCCGATACCCCTACAGGCCAATGGACTTCCCAAGTCATCGAAGAACTTGCCATAATTGGACTCGTTGCCATCAACATCGTCGCATTGGTTCATGATTCCTATGGTGCTTCTCGCGGACGGGCTGCGGCAATTGCCGGCATTGTCGTCTGGGTTTATGCGCTGATCCTGACGACTTTGCGACTGACTCTGGGGAACACCAAGTGGCGTGTACCCAAAATTTGGTACCATACGGCCATCATCTATTTTGCACAGTGGTTACTCTTGATCTTCATCTTCCGAAGCGTCATCATTCGGCCATCCTCAAAACTCACACAGATTCTCGGCATCGTTGAGTTTTCCCTGGTATCGCTTCTCTTCATCATGGCCTTCTCCACACGCAAGGGGAATAAGACTGTCATGTTGGAATGGGAAGATGGAATTGAGCCCTCTCGCGAACCCCTTGCCAGTCTATTCTCTGTTGCCTCGTTTGCATGGGCCGACGATCTCATGTGGAAGGGCTGGAAGCAACCCTTGGAGATTGGGGACGTCTGGAATTTGCTTCCCAAGGACAAGGCCGCGACAGTTCTTGCTGACTATCGGCAGCTGAAGAGAACCGGTGCTCTCGCGTGGCACATGCTCAGTTATTTTAAGGGCAGCCTTCTCCTCCAGTGCTTGTTGGCTGTCATCGGTGGCGTCTTTACATTTGCTCCCACTCTGCTTCTGCGAGCCATCCTAGAGTATATTGAGGAGCCTGGCGACACCCCTATCAATGTCCTCTGGCTGTATGTAATCAGTCTTCCTGTCCTTGATATGGTTCGGTCATGGGGCGATGGAATGGCCCTCTGGATTGGTCGCAAAATTTGCATCCGCGTTCGTGCCATTACTGTCGGTGAAATTTATGCCAAAGCGCTCCGTCGTAAAGCAGCGGCTGGAAAGGATAAGGTTCTCTTGGATAAGAAGCCCTCTTTTCCGACCGAGGAGAGTAACGCGAGCACAAGTACGGCTGGAAAAATCAAGCGTGCCCTGGGGCTGAAGAAAAAGAATTCCAAGCCCCCTAGCGACACCGAGACCGCCAACGAGGGTGCCCGAGAACTGCCTGTCATGGACGACGACGAACAGGCCAATTTGGGAACCATCATCAACCTCATGTCTGTCGACAGCTTCAAGATGGCCGAAATCACCGCTTATCTCCATTTCCTGTGCGCCGCAGCCCCGACCCAGTTGATTGTTTGCATCATTCTCCTGTGGCAGGTCATGGGATATAGTGCTATTCCTGGACTTGTCATCATGGCCTTCCTTCTGCCTATCAACTATCTCATCGGCAAGGGGTTCAACACAACATCCAAGAAAATCTTATCTGCGACAGACAAGCGAATGAACATCACCAATGAAGTGCTTTCAAACATCCGAATCATCAAGTATTTTGCGTGGGAAAAACGATTCGGCATGGCGATCGAAGAGAAGCGACATATGGAGCTGCAGGCTCTCCGATCTCGTTTCTTGGTCTGGGCTGCGGCAGTGGCCACCTGGAATTTCGTCCCCGTCTTCATCACGTTCTTCTCTTTCCTCGTATACACGGTCATTGAAAAGAAACCGCTGTATCCTTCTGTTGCCTTCACAGCAATCTCCTTGTTCATGTTGCTGCGTATCCCCCTCGATCAATTTGGTGATATGTTTGCTCATGTGCAGGAGGCAAAGGTCTCCATCGACCGTGTCGATGAATTCTTGCGAGAGGAAGAAACGGAGAAATATGAGCAGCTTGGCTTTGACAATAAGGATGAAGATGGCGTGGAGCGCATTGGTTTCAAAGATACCACTCTCATCTGGGGCAGCAAAAATGCCGTCGCGGACGATGGCTCCAAGGCGTTCAGACTGATGGATCTGAACATTGACTTCCGAATTGGACAGCTAAATGTCATTGCTGGGCCTACTGGGTCTGGAAAGACATCGATGCTGATGGGTCTGCTTGGCGAGATGTCAATGGTTGACGGCAAGGTGTTTTGTCCTGGAGGTCAGAGCCGAGAGGATGTTCGACCAGACCCGGAAACTGGCCTTGCAAACACAATCGCATACGTTGCTCAATCTGCCTGGCTCGTGAATGCGAATATTCGGGAAAATATTCTGTTCGCAACTCCTTATGATGCTCGTCGATACAGAGACGTCATTGTCGCCTGTGCTCTTGAACGCGATCTGGAAATTCTGGACCACGGCGATGAGACTCAGGTTGGAGAGAAGGGTATTTCGCTTTCTGGAGGCCAGAAGCAACGCATATCCCTCGCTCGAGCCCTGTACTCCAACTCTGCGCACCTGCTATTGGACGACTGCCTCAGCGCTGTCGACTCACATACCGCCCAATGGATTTTCAGCAATTGCATCAAAGGCCCACTCATGGCTGGCCGTACGTGTATTCTTGTCACTCACAACCTGCAGCTCTGCGTGCCTTCGTCCGAATATATCGTGGTTCTCGACAACGGCCGGGTCGCCATCCAAGGGCCCTCGTCAGAAGTCATCGCATCAGGGAAACTTGGTGAGGAGATCCAGAAAGCCAAGCCTATGTCTACTGCTCCTTCTCGGGTACCATCTCGGGTCCCTTCAAGCGTTGGTGATGAAGATACAGTAGTGAACAACAGTATCGACGGATCTGATGCCGCCAAGAAGAAGAAGACACCTCCACAGGATGCCATGGGTGAGGGCAAGGTCACTGGCGCTGTACATTGGTCCGTTATCAAGCTCTACTTGACTGCTATGGGCTCTTGGTCATTCTGGATCGTTACACTGATTGTGTTCAACATGCAGCAACTCTCTGCTGTGGTTATTCAGGCTTGGGTCCGAGAATGGGCCAACCAATACGTCAAGGAAGATCTCAAGGGCAGCGCTCATGGCTCTTGGGCTCAAGCTTACAGCAAGGGCATGTCTACTCAATTGGGATTCGCGCACGATGCAATTGCATCATCGCCATCTGAGGTGGTCGTCATGTCGGAGCCAAAGTCCAATGTGCGCGTCGGGTATTACCTCACAGTACTCGCGATCATCGGAATTTTGTCGGCAGTCACAGCGCTTGTTCGAGACCTTTGGCTGTTCTTCGGATCCCTCACTGCTTCGAAACGCATTCATGACCGTCTGATTCAGTCCGTCACCCGGGCTCGGTTCAAGTTTTTCGATCAGACCCCCCTTGGACAGATTGTGAACCGTTTTAGCAAGGATCTTGAGGCCGTCGATCAAGATGTCGCTCCCACGGCCATCAGCGTGTTGACCTGCAGTCTGGCGCTTGCTGTCACGGTTGTCTTGATCACCGTCATCACTCCGGGATTTCTGATTGCTGCTCTGTTCATTGCAGTTCTCTTCTATATGGTATCCGCCTTCTATTTGCGTGCCTCTCGTGATCTCAAGCGCCTGGAGTCAGTCCAGCGCAGTCCACTCTTCCAGCAGTTTGGCGAAACGCTACATGGCATCACAACTATCCGAGCCTATGGTTGTGAACGGCGTTTCATTCGAGAGAATTTGAATAAGATCAACGCACAAAGTCGGCCATTCATCTATCTCTGGGCCCTTAACAGGTGGTTGGCGTTCCGTGTTGACTTACTGGGAGACTTGGTTACGTTCTCCGCTGGTGTGTTCCTTATTTTCGGTCTCGGGAAGATTGACGCTGGCGCGGCGGGTATGTCTCTATCCTACGCAATGAACTTTACCGAAAACCTGCTTTGGCTAGTGCGCAACTATGCTATCAACGAGCAGAACATGAACTCGGTTGAACGAATCAAGGAATATCTAGATGTTGAGCAGGAGGCCCCAGAAATCATCGAGGACCATCGACCGGAGCCCAGCTGGCCCTCAAAGGGCAGCGTTGAGTTTGTGGACTACTCAACAAGGTACCGTGCAGACCTTGCCCCGGTACTGCGCAACGTCTCACTCAAGATCAATGCAAAGGAGAAGGTTGGCATTGTGGGACGAACAGGTGCTGGTAAGAGTTCGCTTACGCTTGCCATCTTCCGTGCTCTCGAGGCAGACAGCGGAAAGATCATTATCGACGATGTTGATATCAGCAAGATTGGTCTGAAGGATCTCCGTGACAATATCACAATCGTTCCCCAAGACCCGACGCTGTTCCGAGGTACCATTAGGAGCAACCTCGATCCTTTTGAACAGTACACGGATGAAGAGGTCTTTGCTTCCCTCAGGCGAGTTCAGCTTATAGGGCAGGACGAGCCCAACACGGTACCTCCTACGCCTATAGTAGCCAGGTCAGTGAACTCAGAATCGAATTCTTTCTCGTTCAACAAGAACGTCTTCCTAGACCTTGCTTCGCCTGTCAGCGAGGGTGGATTGAATCTGTCGCAAGGCCAGCGCCAGCTTCTCTGCCTGGCCCGCGCTATGCTGAAGAGCCCTACAGTTCTGGTAATGGACGAGGCCACAGCGTCCATCGATTACGTGACAGATGCCAAGATTCAGGAGACTATCCGCGAGTTGACAGGAACTGTCATTACTATTGCTCACCGTCTGCAAACCATTGTGGATTATGACAAGGTGCTGGTGTTGGACAAGGGCGAGGTGATTGAATACGCTCACCCTTGGGAGTTGATCAACAAGGAGAAGGGCTTGTTCCGCAGCATGTGCGAAATGAGTGGCGAGCTTGCTGTACTCGTCAAGGCAGCGAAGAGAAAGTGGGATGAGGACCGATTGATTGACGATTCGTAAATATGCACTAAGACCTACAAGAAGAAGATTGGTTAGGGGGGAAAGAGATGGAAGCGACCGGTCTGCACAAAGTTTTTTATTACATGTTTGGCTGTGTACAACAAAAAGTCAAGGACCCTGCGAAAACAGTATATAGAAGGACATTTTGTTAGGTATGTGATTGCACAGCATAGATGGCGATCTATCACATTGGATAGTGGTAATCCATGAATATACGTTTGTATAAATTAATTGCGTTCAAGGAAAGACCAGTATCTTGTGCTGTGCGGTTGACTGTGACGGGGATGTATGTCTGGAGAAGCATCAAACTGAGTCTCCGAGCAAGGGCCTAGTTTCGGCTGACGGTGACTCTGATGAAACAGACATGGTCTTTCTCTATTCTGGCAGTACATATCGCACTCTTTAAGCACAGTGGCATAAACAACTTACATAGATGACAGATTGGCTTACGGCCAGGGGTTTCTCTTGGGGGCCACGACAGCATTGCGAGGGCTTTGTCTGGTGAGACGGTGAGAATGGGATTCTGCCCCAGGCCAGACTGGGGTTGTATGCTGGGGTGTCGCAGTTTGCACGCCTGGATGGTAGGCAGCCCTTGGTCTGCATGCGTCGGTGCGCTGCGTTGCGACACGGTTGCAGGAGGCCAAAGCCGATTGCAGGCTCAAGCGCTGGACTTCAGCCTACTTGGCCCGCCATAACAGTAGGTACCGTACTTGAGGTATGAAGCGTTGAGAAGTCGGGTATCTGTCGTCGTACCTAAACGTACTACTGTGGGCGCGTTTGTGCTTCGCTTAGGAAACCCGACCCAAAGTGGAGGCAACTTGAAGGTAATCTGGACTTGGACGGCGGCTGTCGTCGCCAATAGTACCCGCCTGCCACCTAAAAGCACTAAAAGCAGGCATCTCGCCTCCAACAAGAGCCACCAGAATAAGCCCAAAGTACCTCGACCACACCACCACAAACGCATGCACACGCACGCACCTCGCTAGCGCCTGGTGGCCTGCGTACGCCTGCGCTGCGCCTTCATTCTCGCCTCCTCTTCATCACTGGCAGCCCGTTGTATTTGCCTATCCAGCTCTGTTTTTATTTGCCAACCTTCAAACCTCTGCTCCTGGACACTGCCGCCGTCCTGCGAAGTGAGCACCAGATACGTCATTCCCACCATGGGCAAATTCCAGGACGAACCCATCCCCTCCCCCAACCCAGCCACGCCTGTGGGGGAGTCACCTTCATCGATCAACCTCAATTCACACGGCGGACCATCTTTGAACTCGACCGAGCGCTATTTCGACGATGACCCAACCGAGCTCCATGCCGATGACCTCCCTCCCCTCTACAGCGACCTCGAGCAGGGCCCATCGGAGCCAATCAACCCTCTGATCCCCCCCGGAACCAACGCTCTCAAGGTTCGACCGTTTCTGCAAGACAAGAACAAGGGCATCGAATACTATCTCGACCACCGCCTGGACACGAATCCCGAGTTCCTCGCCGAGCATCTAGCCCACCTCGCCGTCATCCCTCCCCGACCCCACGTCCACATCCGTGGCGTCCACTCTGAGCAGGTCCGTAAATCGGACGGCAAGTCGGAACGCCGCGAGATCGTCGATTTCAACCTGCAGATCGAGCTCACCCACCTGCTGTACGAGGACATCCAGGCGCAGAGGCCCTTCCTCCGCGAGAACACCACGGCGGGCAACTTCGAAAAGGTCCGCCGCGGCACCGTCTTCCCCACCAGAGCCCCCGGCTTCGGAGGCGCTGGCGTCGCCGAGGAGGGCACCCCCTCGGTCGAGGAGTGGTGCTCGCGGTACTGCAAGAGCCGCGCGGGACTCAAGAACTTCTCGTTCGAGCGGCAGATCGAGGGGTGGGACTTTGACCTGCTGCGGGGCAAGCTCGAGACCCTCCTGCGATCAACCAACTACCGCGGCAGGCTGGCCGTCGAGTTCCCCGTGCTCAACGCCCGCGTCGAGATCTACAACGACTGCCTCACGAACCGCTGGCGGCTGACCAAGTGGATCGAGATGATCTTCGTCTTCACCCTCATGTTCGTCTTCACCTGGCCGTGGCTCCTCCTCCGCACCGCCCGCTGGGAGGCGGTCAACGCCAGGTGGCACCTGAGCGCCGTGGATACCGTCGGCCGCAAGAAGTACGCGACCCTGAGCGAGGAGCAGTGGTACAACATGTGGGCGCGGCCGATCCAGAAGGCGGCGCTCGAGCGGAGGCAGGGGACGCTGGACCAGGGGGACCTCAACAGGGCCGGCCTGACGCCCGACCCCCAGGGCGGCTTCGCGAGCGCCGTCCAGGCTGGCGTCGATGCCATGGGCGTCGTCAACAGATCTTTCGGCTGGGGCGGCGACAGCTGATCCGGCCTGGCATGCCTGTTGATGGAATGTTGTCTCTTATCCTTGCCTTCCCCTGGGCTCCCGCTGGATTTCATGTTTCCTTCTTGTCTCTTTATTGCACAGCTTGGGTTAGGCGTCTCTCCTCTATCAACCGTCGCAGGGGCTGGATTTTTTCCAACTCTTCACTGTCCTGCTCTCTCCCTCCCTCTCCCCCATCTTTCCGTTTTAGTATTCGTTGGCATTACTTGGGATACGTCTTTCATCCCCTTTGGTTGAGTTCTGATGTCTCTCATCAGTGCTGAATTATCGATCACACTTGATCACGTTACGCGTTATGGTTTCCTGTTTTCTTCTGTAGCATTAGAGAAATATATTATGCCGATATGCCATTCTCCGCGGTCACTCATTGCGAACTGCAACCAGATCAGTGTTAGTAGCTTCTGTCGTATTGGATGTAAACATTTTTATGCGGTTTGTCAATTAGACTTCAGACTCGTGAAGTGCATAAGGTGCGAGAAAACGGTATAATTCCCCAGTTGAGGTTCCAGTATCAGATATCCCTCAGTGAAGCGACTCTCCCTCATCACCAATAGCCTCGTCTGACAGATCTGAACATCCCACCAACAAGATCGACAATCCCTTGTCTGGCCAAAGCTCCCATCGCCCTAACTCAGTCCGGGGCCACGCCGCATCAGGGTCCAGGACCAGGCCATCAATGGCTTTTCGTCGATCAGTTAATTTAGGTTGTGCCCGGTATTTAATTAATTACGATCCCATCGAAGATGCCTCGAATAGATTTTCTAGGACCCTGGAGATACCCATCTAGTACAGTAATCCACTAAATTACAGGACCCTGACAAACAATTTACAATCGGGGTTTTTTACCCCACCATCGACCTCTCTCTCGCTCCACCCGTATGCTGGTAATATCTACCACTCTACCGTCCGGGCAAGACGTCACCACAGCTTCCCCCCATACTCAGACGTCGCCGCTATGATACACAGGGAGAGCGACAGCAGTCCCAGGATGTCCGGAGACGGCGCGCTAGAGATCAAGAATCCCCGGCGGATCCTAGCCGTCAGCTTGGAGGTTGCCACCCAGCATCTAACTCGGGTGGTCCAAGGTATGCTTCAGATCCCTTACTGCTACCCTACACCGCGCTTCGTAGAGTTTCAATATCATGAGGCATGCGGTTTCCCTTACTTTTATTCTTGTTATTCTATATTGGGTTGTGGGAATGCTCGAGTCTCTTTATATTGATTTGAAATGAATCTCGATATATATACTGATTATCTACGCCTTGCTTGATGGGCGGCGAGCAGAACTCACAGGCTCCCCACCAGAGGCAGCATCTACAACATTGGCCGGCTCAACCCACGATCTGAATCTCAAGACGGCGTACTACACCGCCGTGGTCCCCACCTGGATCGACCTCATCGCCTCCCCAGAGGAATGGAGCGCCTCGTTCCTGTCCCCCGAGGCCCGCGAGGTCCTCACCGTCCTCGGCGGCCTGGTCCTCGTCTTCCCCCTCTCGAGCGCCACCGCCGCGGGCACCCAGCCGACCAGGGACGTGATCAGGCAGGTCGGCAGGGTCGTCAAGGAGGGCCTCGGGGGCTGGGAGTGGGACGGCGTTGGGCTCGCCGTCGGCGTCGGCGAGGGCGAGACGGACGAGTGGGATGAGCTGTGCGCCGAGGCGGGCCTGGAGTTTGTGCAGGTGACGGGCTCGTCGCGGGATCAGGGCCGCAATGAGTTTGGAGGCAAGTTTTTACTTTCTATTCTCTATGTATTTGGCTTCTCACCCCATCAAACATGGAGGAGTTGGCCCAAATACAACGAGCTAGCTAGATTCTCAATCGGGGAATGGATAGATCACATGGCTAACTAATACCGGGGGACCACAGAGAAGATGGGAATTGCAAGAATCCTGGAAGCCCTCGAGGCTAATGACTGGGAACAAGGCGCAGGGCCGCTCTCGGACTTCGGAGACTTCGAGGGAGGCGATGGCGACGGGGGAGACGACGAGTTCGACCCCGAGAGCCTCGACTTTGGCTTCGACAGGGCGGATTTCGAGGGTATGCGCATGGATATACTTGGCGCTGGAAGGGACAGCCAAGGCGGCAGCGGGGAAGCGTCGAGAATGGCTGAAGGGCTACGCGGCATCAAGAGCGAGGATTCCGTAGCTGCGTCAGCGTCGGCACCAGCGGCTACGGAGAAGCCGGAAGGCGAAAAGAGCACGGAAGAGGAAGGGAGCGACGAGGAATTGAACGATGATACTATCGCCAAGTTGGAGGGAATGATGAGGAAACTACAGGCCGCGAAGGAGGCGGGTGAGGGGATGAGCGAGGACCAGAAGAGACGGATAGCAATGAGGGCAGTGGAGGAGGTGATGCGGGAGCTCTGAGTGGCGAACAAAAGATCATCCCAGAGTTGGTTAGTTGGGGGGAGTGTGAAGATCATGATGCCAGCATTGAGTGATGCGTGCCTGGATGGTTTCTGTATGAATCAGGAGATTCGCGTCCATCTGTGTTGACCATCCCATTTTTTTCATCATCTCTGCCCCTCCGCCCCTCCTTTCTTTCACCTGCAAAGATATGTAAAAAGCACTCGGATGTTTTGTTTACGACTGTGAGTTAGCATGTTGTACTTCTACCAAAGGCTCAACAGTCCACGACGCCATGTTTCTACATTGGAGACCGAACTACGGGCAGAGCGTTTGCCATCTGTTGTAGGCACTGCATCACGAAGTAGCCTTTATAGCCGATCTAGACGGGAGCAGTTATGAGTTTTGAAGGGGGGAAAAAAGAAAATAACAAACCTCGAGCCGAAGCATAAGCAACACGTAGAGGTGCAGTGCGCCACAGTCCACAAGACGACCCATACCGTCATCAGATCAGTCGATATGCAAGGGATGAGCAGGCAGCAAGTAGCAACGAAGCTAGTCTTCCTCGAGCAGTGATGCTGCATGTCTGGCAGGCTGAGACAGGTGGCTGTTTATTTGTCCGACTCCAAGATGCTTAGGCTGGTCTAGGATTGATCTTGGCCGTGTTTAAGCCGCAGATTTATTGTCGATGCGCCGCTATATGTAGCTGAGCAAGTCTTGGCACATAATCGATACACCTGGGATCCCCGTTCAAACAATCACTTCGAGCAATCCACGTACGGGTCCGTTCGGTACTTGGTCCAACTGCCTAACTACCAATGCATGCTTTCACCAGGATAGAGCAGGTCTATCCCAGAAAGAAGGCATGAAAAAGTTGAACGAGGCATGAAACTAAAGTGCGCGATTCGAGCGAACTATTGTCAGGTTCCGTCCCCTTTTCTTTTTTGCTTGTCATGCAGAAAGGGCACTAGTATCTGGCCGTCTCGCGCCACAACCGACGATTGAATAAAACATATAGTAGAGCGTCAATGGTTAGGGTCTGTGCGGCTGCCCACTTGATCACTGGCAATGGCAAATCTGTGCCCACAGGCTCTCGGACCTATTCAGGTTCTCACATCACGGACGCTAGTAAAGGGGGGTTATGGGTCTTCGGGAGGCACAGGAGCCGGAGCTGGTGACATGTTAGAAAAAAACGAAAAAGAAAAAGAATCGAGTGGGAAAGGAAACAGACCCAGTCAGGGGTGTCGCACACCAAAGCGGGAGACGCGCTGGGGAAAAAAAGAAACCATGGTGAGAGGAGCAAGACACTGACTAGCGGCCACCCGCTTTCAGCCTGGCCACAAAACCTTCGCAATAGTAAACACAGAATTGAGACCCTCTTCCTCGTATGGTGTTTTTGGAGGCGGGTGTGGCATTTTCCATCTCCAACTGCCACAGGTCTGCTCTTCTGCATGCGCCCGGTGATCCTCCAAAGCGGCCTTTTGACTAGAATTAGCTAATGAACAGCACATCCAGCATGTAAGTAAGAATGAGGTATATCATAACCCGAGACGCTCTCTGGAGTTGTCGTGTGGCCTCCGTAGGCCTCCATTAGTGTGTGACGTTTTCCGAGGCTGAGTCTTTTTTGACTTTCCGTCCTCTAGGCACACCTTTCCCTTCACCTTCTTGTTATGATGGTTGCCAGTGGGATGCATAGACAATGCATACACCCCTCTCAGGACCGGACCAGACCAGAACCAAGACCGAGCTAGACCTTTGTACGCACCAGACTACTCCGTGGGTTGGCCTTTTAGTGTGGTGGAATTATGTGTGTGCTGCAATGCAGCAAGCATGTGGGAAGCAGACCACGCACGCATACATACTCGTGCATGCAAGCTCGAAGCGAACAGCTTACATTGGCCACCCATTGGCTTTTGGTGTGCTGGCAAGGCATGAAGTGTATTATGGAGGTACAACATAGGCGGGTACCTGGATAGTAAATACCGACGGACCTACATCTGGAGATATTATGGATGCACATACCAATGGCACAGCTGCGTTGCTCCTGGGTGCTGGTACCTAGGGTAGCAGTGACCATCGCATTGGAGATGGGATGTGGTCGAGACGCATCTTGGCAGGAACAGACAGCCCTCCCAGCTTCTGACCTGCATGGGAGTAGGCATCCCGTACCACTCACACCACTCCACAGTACACCACTCCAGCTTCGCACCAAAGCGGTCAACACGGAGTTTTGAACCGCAGGCCAGTTGGGGAGGTGTCTGGTGACGATTGGCGACCGACATATCGCTCGGCAATGACATGACCTACGCCATACATCCCCTGTACGCTAAGCATGGGGGCAGCGAGCCCGTACCCATCCGTCGGCTGCCCTCGTCTGGAACAGGAACAAGACGGCTGTGGTAGCCTGACGAACAGGCAGCGAGAGCCAGACGATCCCCAAACAGCAGGCGTGTTGCCAGCATATTCCATGCACACATCGTGATGGGTAGATGTCATACGCGTGGAAGCCCTAGCCATTGTTGATATACATTTGGTGTAACAAGTGACAAGATCTACCCCATCACCCCATCGTTTGAATATCAGTTGTTTCGGCTGAAACAGTCAGGTCGTGGCACTAATTGTATTGGATGTTCGTCCTGATACCCTTGCAGTAGGCTACCGGGCAGCCAATCGTTTTGAAGTTTATCACCGTCCATTGAGTCTCTGGCGGGCCACTTTTAGTCCATAGACGGTGACAAGATACCCCGAAGGAAGGGAAGGGGAAAAAAGGTCCATGTGTGCATGTGTGGGACGCTGCTGGGGCTGGTGGATCTAAGACACCGCTCTGGTTGGCCTCGCCTGAACGCCAAGGCTGCATGGATCTCGCGAACCTGCAAGGCACAGGATCCGGGTTCAGGGGCTGGCTAGTGCTCGTATGTCGTAGCCTCCAGTTGGGGACGGGCGCTTGAGCTGTGGGCCGTGGTCAGCGGCCTTGAGGCAGCTAGCCGGAGGAGGCACGGGAAGCGTCGTGCACAACAGTTCTGGTGCGTGGAAAAAGGTTTAGTCAGGGCAAGTCTGGCTCAGGTCTCCGTGATGGTGTCGTTAGTCCAACAGGCTGGCCCAGGCTAGGGTAGTTTTTCATCCATCCGTCCATTCACCCATCCATCCATTGGAGCCTCGCGAGTCATAACCCCTTTTGTTCGATGATCGGCCAGCTGACGTTGAGGATTTGCTTGTCGATGTCTTGTTTGTGCTGCTTGCCGCGGCGAACTACGCGCTTGAACGGGCTGGGATTGAACACAGTACTTGATTGGTTGTCTCAAAGTTGAATCGAAGAGCGACCCATCGGGGTAGCTCGCTCGGCATTACTAGTAGGGTATCTTGACCTGACATGGATCTTGGTATTCTCAAAAGAGGGTTCTTGTGCTGTCTTCTCTCACCGAAATCAAGTCACGTTGATCTGCCGCGGAAGATGAAGGGGGAGACTTTCACGCACAGATGCTTGTATCCTGCAGACGGGTCAAACATACCGCCTTTAGCACTGATCTCGCACCGCGTCACATGGAGGTGCGTAGGTGTATTACCACACTGATGCAGCATCGAGAAGTACCGCCTGCCTGTCTGAAGGTACCACGCAAGATGATGCTGGTACCTCCCTTCTGGGGATGGCCGCAGGATCTTATCATGTATGTATGCGTCCTCTTGGCCCAAGGTACGTCAAAGTCAAAGTGCTGTGGAGGGGACTTGCGACGCCTCGTCCGTGCTCTGCAAAGTCCCGTCTATTCATGGAATCTGGAGTAGAACTAAAACAGGGACAAGCGTGAGAACGGGGTACGTACCGCCCAATGCAATGCATGACTTCCCGTGCACTGTGCTGGCTTCCACTTCAGCTCAATTTAGCGCCGAAGCTCTTCAAGCAAGCTGGCTGGAGGCCCTTCTTCCCGTCTGGGTACTGGAGCCTGTCAGAGGCAGCACCACGATGCGTGGGCGTTTGGCCGATTCGTAGTTGGAGTAAAAACCAAGGCCACCACCACTGCGCGAGGAGGGCTCCGCCCGCTGGCTGCTCGCTTCGGATAGACATGTGAGCTCCGTTCCTGCGCGAGCTAGAGGCGATCCTGCCACACTGGTGGTATTTTGCTCCCTGGGATCAACAGTGATGGACTGCCTATCAATCGCAAGGTAGGCGTGAAGAGAGGGGATGGGAGAATGGGTAAAACAAACAATCAGACGAATTACTGGGTGGCGAGTTGATCAGGTGGCATGGTTCCAGCCATTTGACCTGCACTGAGGCGCGTGTGCCGCGTCTGGAATCAGCCTTGGGAGAATCAGGAGGGGCCGGCTTTTGAACGAGTGCTCGCCGAGACAGTGGATGTCATTGGCTAGCAGCAGCCCAATGTTCTGGCGTAGGAGCCATGCCGATGTCAGCAGCGTCAGGAGAGGCCCGAACAAATGGATGTTCTCTCTGGACTCGAACTGGGCTTGACTGGCCACATGTACCGTCCCGTCTGGCGTTGTACTGTGCAGGTACCGGCCGCTACCCCTGTCCAGCTCAGTCTGTGGGAAGAGGTTGTCTCTGTTTTTTTCTTCCTCGCCATAACCACCTGCCGACTTACGGAGCACCCTTGCCCAAACTAGGAATACAGTGCGCTTCCCACACTGGCTCACTTGTGTCAGGAGCATCACCACTATTCGGTGCCTTGCAGTCTTAGCGGCTGAACACATGCGGTACGTACCTGGTTCAGCGGGTCCGTGGGTGGTCTGAGCCCCTGAACCCTTCAAGACCTTCACTCCGTTTGCTATTCAGGGATGGAGGATGGATGGAAACGTGAGCATCCCGGTCTGTCCGAATGATCCGTTAGCACCTGACTGGTGTACGGCTGCCTTGCGAAAAAGCAAGGGGATGGGACGAGATACACAGAGTCTAGATGGGAGGGTGGGAGTCAATGGCATAGGTTTCTAGAACGATTTAGCCAGGCACGGCCGCCATGGGCTTGCTTGAGGTCTGGTTCGCATCGGAATCAGTTCGTCGCGGCCAGCGGTGA